TTTATAGAGTACGTAGAGAGTATAGTAGGTAGCCTCGCTACTTTATATAAGATTAGCTATAGACTCGAACTCGCTAATATTTACTAGTAGAGGCTATAGTAGCTAGCTAGGCTATAGCTACTTATAAAGGCTCTAGATAGAGCCTTCGAAGCTATCTATAGCTAGCGTAATAATACTACGAGCCTAGCCTAATAGAAGGCGTACTACGCTACGTAAACTAGTATTACCTATACTCTCTATAGTACTAGTAGTACCTATAGTACTAGTAGTACTTATACTAGAACGCTCTATTAACTTAACGCAAGTACGGAGATCTATAAGAGAGAAGTAAAAGCCCCGAAGGGTATCTTTGTAGCTATAGAGTATTAGTAGAGTACCTATAGATTAGGGAAAGAAATAATACTAACTCGGTAGTAGCGGTCTCTAGATTAGAGACCCGGTCGCTAGTTCTAGGCGCTAGTAGTAGTATAGGTAGCGAAGCTATCTCTTTAGTATTATAGCCCTACGTAAAGAGTATTAGTAGAGTATAGATAGAGTAAGATAGATTACCTAAAAAAAAATAAGCTATACCGACTATTAACCCTTCTTATATTCTATATAGTACTTAAATTTACCTACTACTACTATATAGATACTACCTCTCTAAGCGTAGCGATTATAAGGTATAGTAGTAGTAATACTATATCTAGGTACCTTTAAAATACTTCTAATCTTATAATACTTATAGAGATAGTTTATTACCCGATTATAAACTAAAGATAAAGTTAGTAATAGATTAGGTAAAGAGTATATATAGATTAATATACCCTTCTAATTATCGAAAATACCCGGACTATACTACGTTTCCTTAATACGCTCGTTCTAGTTAAGAATATTAATACACTACGGCTAGTATAGATATTAAAGATACTATAGAAGCGGATCTAGAACTATACTAAAAGAGTATTAGTAGATTACGTATAGAGTAGGTAAAGGCTTCCTTACCTAACCTCTATAGTAGTTTCGGCTATAGTAATATTATTATTTATAGAAGAAAAATTAAGAAGATAAATACTAAGATATATTTTAGTATTCTATTATTATTTAGTAAATAATAGTACTTATACTATTAAGCTAACTATATATTCGATACTATTATCGCAATTATTGATTAATATATAGCCTATTATTAATCTATTTATATAATAATAGCGATAATAGTATAAGCTAATAATATAATACTCTACTTAGTATAGGAATTATATATTCGCTAAGTAAACAGCCGTAATAAAGATTACTATATAGAGTGCTAGTAGATACGCATTATTAAGACTTCCTCCGCAAATCTCAAAATACTGAAATCCTGAAATCCTAAAATCCTGAAATCCTGACTGAAATGTCCGTTATGTAGATCCGGAGCTCCTTACAGACTGGGCCGTCCCTGCGTGCTGTGCTCTCGCGTATGTCGACAGCAGACGCCGAGTCATGGGGTGATCGGGTGCATCGGCACTCGCTCGACACATGGGAGCACGCGCCTGTGCTCCGTACATATACACAGTATAGGTCGCATGTATGTCGAAGGATCTGTGTGCCGGTACCTATCTGTGTATGGTGCTGTAGTGCTATATGGATGGATCATAGGTAGAGATGACGAAAGGAAGCGTCGGTCCTTGAAAATCCGCTCTACACACTGACGGGCATCGGGTATATGACTATGACCAACACCATGACCAACACCTTGACCAGCACCACGATTAGCCCCATGACCATGACCATGACCATACCGCGAAATCGCAATGCTTCACCACGGACGGACAAGAACACCTCTGTCCAAGTACCTACGAGAGCAGGCTGAGTGTGCAGGGCCGAAGAGAGCCGATTACGCAACGCGCTGGAGAAGTGCTGATGCTCGTATTCACAGCCACAGCACACCGGCTACCCAAGGAGACAGCTCCACACCACGCGGAAATCAGACGGGCCTCCTTCTCCAACACGGTCACGAAGCCCACACATCGCGCCTCTGGCCAGTATCGTACATTTGCCCATGTCCAGCCCCCGAATCTCCACACATCGCGCCTCTGGCCAGTATCGTACATTTGCCCATGTCCAGCCCCCGAATCTCCATCGCCTCGCCTCGCTTCGCCTCGCGTCGCTTCGTCGAAAATCAATTCCAAAATTCTTGGTCATCAATCATTTCACACTACCGTCGGTCATATCCCTTCGTCCTTCGCCTTCAGTCTGCGCCCATTCATATCCAGCATCGAAGCTTTGCCGCTGCAATTACCAAACTCCATGCCAATTCATTCCGCCCGCACACCTCCAACACTACCACTCTCCGCCCTCTCGAGCCCCGTCGAGTGCGGAGACGCGACCGACCATCCTGCGGAAAGCCCTCGAGACATTGCAATGCTTCACCATCGGCCCTCAGAACCAGTGTATGGACTTTCAATATCAGACCTGGGAGCCCTGACGAATCCGTACGACCGCTTGATGTTCTCAAAACTCCGGAGTCGTATCATGCGCATGTACTGCGCTTGTGTCATTCCATCAGGTCCGGCGTTATCTGGCTTCTCCTGTGGCCGCTCCGCTGTGTTGTAATGTGCGACCATGACTCCGACCAGGACGACTGCAGCCCCTGCGCCTAGAATACAGAGGAAGACGATGAGTGGGTAAGGGATAGATGTGCTGACGCCGTTGGAGTCGTTGGCCATGTTGACTTTGCTCGATTTCTCTTCTCTCGTGGGTGGCGAAAATTCCGGTCTCTCCAGCCAGGAGGGGATGGTGTTCGGGCGGCAGAAAAGCAGACGAGTACGTCTCGTGTCATAAATGTACCGCGGTAGGGATGTTCTGGTGGCACCACTTCGGAGGAGGATGACGGGATAAAAATCGTTTATATACGACCTTGTTCCGGCCCTCCGATGAGATGGAAGAGATGAAGAAGCTGATGGACATCTTCACGCACCTCGACACGCCGCAAGAACTACCTCGATACCGAGTCCGGCCCTCACGTCGTACACGTAAGCCGCTAAATGTGTCCAGGCCAACTGTGGGGTAGCTCGTGTCTGACCGCGCCGGCAAAGGCGAGTTTCCGCGTCGAAAGGGAGTATTTTGGACGTCTATATCTCCAACAAGAATATGATGGAGGTGACGAAATGTCCTGCACGATTCTTGGACCCACTTCTCTTCCAGCTCATTCACTCGAGTGGATCTATACCGTGGACGTTTTATGCGCTAGTCCGAGAATGGTTAGGCGACTTGGCTTGTGAGAGTCGCTCAGGACGAGAGAGGCTGACCTGCAATCGGAAAGATCCAGCCATGCGGAATCTGCGGAGACTGCGGCCACTGCCATATTATTATTCTACCATCCCATACCGACATGTTACCCCAAATTGGACACAGGTCTCTACGATCTGGAAAGGGAAGTGGCCGGGCTCCTCCACTCGTTATCCGATGCTGCCAGCCCACAAGTTGGGTCTCCAAATCCTTGTTCTCTGCCTTACGAGTCCTCGATAGAACCACGAACCCGTCGTGAACAGATCATATACTGGTATCCCTCGCAGCGCCTCGTGGAAGGCCTCTACGAATGGCGACATCTGCGTACGTACACCCCCGCACCATCGCTCCAAGATCAGAATGCCGACCAACAAGGCCTATTGCTCCACGCACCGGCTCAGTCGAAATGTCTGAATGGTCGTACCTACCACAGTAACGGACCAAGCGCCGCAACTTGCCCTCTAATAGTGCGTCTGCTATGTAAAAGCGATCTCGAAGCTCTAGATCAATGCCGAGCTGCTCGAGATGAGCGAACGTAAGCCGGCTTGCATCGTCGAGAGTGAGTATTCCTATGGATCTTGAATTAGTTAGGATGGCGAAGATCGAAGGGACCTGGTTCAGTGATGTTTTCGAGGCTCAGGGAGCTACTCGAAGACTGAATCACATGATCGTTGGTACGGCAGACTTGTCCGTACCAGCGATACTCGCATGTAGGTGAGTAAGCCGGCCAGTGAGATTGACCAAGTAGAGTATCCGGCCGACACGCTAGAAGCTGGCCACGTCGAGCTATCGGCATATGACGGAGGCCTCGTGCCTTTCCCATCTAAAAAGACCAAGAAAAGAAAACAGTTACCAGAATCGGCTCTGCATCTGCCAAACCTAAAAAACTACATAAACAGAAACAATGCACGGAAATCCTCCTCACGACCCGCAACCCCCCAATCCCCTCAGCACCGGCCAGCACGCACCAAGAAGAGCAGCGCGCAACCCAAGAGTCGTCTCCCTGGAGAACCCCACGCACGCTTCCTCAGTCCGGAAGACCTCTCCGACTTCGAGGGAGACTTCGACTTCTCCATCCTCGAAGCTTCCACCCGCCACTAGACCCAAGACCCTCCTGCCGCGGGCAATCCAGAAACACGGTCCCCTTGATGCCTTCCGTCATCCGCATGGGAACGCCACCCTATGAACCGTTCGATGCAGAGCTGCTGGGTGCTCTGGCGCCGCATCACTGTAAGATCATCGCTTCCGCGAGTGCGGGGTACGATGAATTCGATGTGGGTTGGATGACCCGGGAGGAGATGTAATTTTGTAACACCGTCGATGCCGTGGCGGAGGCGACGGCGGATATGGCGATGGTCTTGATCCTGGCAACGGTGAGGAATAGCAGTGCTGCGGAGAGGGGTGCTAGGGCGGGAAGGGTCGGTGCCGACGAGAGATCCGACGGGCACGGTGTTGGGCATAGTCGGAATGGGGGCCATTGGGAAGGTAATGAAATCCCTGGTCTTGGCTGTGGTATATTTGCTGTCCTTGCAGTCGGCGAATGTAAGGGATTGGTGTACTTGATTCCTCGATAACCGATCTTCAACCAGCCATTCACGTCGCGAGCAGAGCCGTAGAGACCGCCTTCCGCACCATCTCTCATCTTTCACTACCAGGTTGGAAACCGTTCCGGGGCGAAATGATCCCAGAGCTTCGACTCTCGAGGGACCTCGATGAGAGCGACTGAGCCGGCTGTCGTCTTCTCGCAGATGTTGTCTAGACATGGTAAAAGTGAAGGCGTCCAGCAATCACAAGCCATGATGACCAGCGGAGCGAAGTGTTGTAATCCATCTGCAGTTCGGAGGCCAGATACTCTCGCCTTGTCGCTAATCGACGCGTGTAACAGAGACTCAAACTCGCCCGCTCGAGGGCCAAAGACAAACTTGACGCCGAGCTTTGTTGTCTTGTGCAGAGCAAACCGACAGGCTTCGTCGGCTACAGCCGTCCCGCCGGTCGTATCGAGGACGACGACATTGGCCAGACCGCGTTTCTCGCGTTGGAAAGGGTCGATTGCATATTCTAGTCCCTCCTCAGCAGCCAAGCGTCGTGTTGGTCAGAAGCCGAGTACCTGGCTTCGATTTTTCGACAGTAGCAAGGTTAAAAGCCGGTAGCTTGTCGCCATCCGTCGTGATAAGATTGCCATTGGGTATGGAAACGCTTATGAATTCTTCATGCCAGAGGAGGCAGTCTTTCCGCTAGCCAGCTCCTTATTCCACTTCTTCCAGCCTTCGATAGCCTGAAGTGATAGGTCTTGACAGATGTCCACGCCTCCAAAAGCAGAACGTATGATCTTATTGGTGTCGGCGGAGGCTGCATCGGCTCCTTCGAAGTAAAATACTGCGAAGCATCGTAAGGTTGTTCGTCAAAGACCGTGACGTTTTGGTATCCTCGTTGGGCCAGATAAGAACGATCCTGTCGTCGGGAGACAGCTTCATGTGGTGTAGGAGCCGCAACATCCTTCTTCATCAATGACGGGATCGGGCGCCTGTGGTCGTTCCGGCTGTACGTCCTGGTATGGACCATCGGCGAGATGATAGCAACAGCTAGCAGCGGACTCCTGGCAGTCTTGTACGTCGCTCGTATAGTATCTGGACTCGGGATCGGCGCTCTCACAGTCACCGGACCAGTGAGCCTAGTGGAGATCGCTTCATACGAGATCAGAGGTCTGATAGCTGTCTGGTTCAGTGTGGCAATGTTGCTGTCTCTGTTCGTCGCGGCCTTCTGCACCTATGGTGGGTGTCTTCATGTCCCTGCAGAGCCTTTGCAGTATCAGATCGTGTTCTTTGCTCTATGCATATTCACGGCACTGGTATGCCTCCTAAGCTTCTGTGGCTTTTGCTACGAATCTCCCCGCTGGCTGTTCCTGGTGGGTAAAGACGAAGAGGCGAAGAGGCGAACAGGAATCTTGTCAAGCTTCGGGGACTCGGCGAGGAACATCCACGCGTGGTGCAGGAGCTTCAGGCAATTATCCGGCAGAGAGAATAGGATCGAATGCATGGCGTGGCCTTCACCTCGTGGGAAGGGCTTCAAGTCATATCGTACGCCCTCGCGCAGCTGTCTGGAGCGAACAGTGTGACGTCGTACTTGGTGCCGATGTTGCAAGTAGTTGGTGCTGCCAACAACGACACGGCGCATTCGCTGTTGATCAGCGGCATCTACAGCTTTACGAAGTTTTGCTTCACGCTCATGGTCAGCTTCTTCTTCATCGATGCTCTTGGTCGAAGGCGAAGCCTGTTCGTTGGTAAGTTGTCCGAATCATCATATAGAGCGTCATTGGCTGGCAATGTACCAGGTATGACAATCCAAATGATCAGCGATACATATGTTGGCGTCTTCATCCGCTTCAAGCATATGGGCAAGGTCTCAGACTCGGCCGGCCAAGCCGTAATCGCGATGATATTTCTGCATGGCTTTGGCTGTGCGGTTGGTGTCTCTGCGACGCGTTTATGCCTGTTGCAAAGGGATCTCATTGACGCGTTGCAAAGGCCTCCTAGTGCTCCCGTATGTCTTTGGCGCGGAGGGTCTGGCCAAATCATCTGCGATCGTTCGGCTCTGCGGTCGCCCAATCCTTCCACTTCTTGTTCTTTCTCGGTGACGATCAAAGCCTGCCGTCGCTGCTCGCCCGTACCAACGACTGAGGCGCTTTTCTGTTCCTCGCCGGCCGGTGCCTGGTGTCTTTGATTTACGTGTTTCTCGTGGTGCCGGAAACACAGGGCTTGAGTCTTGAGCAAACCGACGCGTTGTTCGAAGGTCCTTGGCCTATAGCATATCGGAGCAAGAGGATGCTGCGCTCCGAGCCTGTCGTTGAAGGATTCGAATCAAGGTACATGTCTTTACCTAGCAGTTGAAGACGTGTCTTGCTGACCGCAGGCCTAGCAGCTACAGCGACAGCACCACGGCGGAGGATACAAGCCGCAAAGTCGTCTACGCGCAACAAGACTCCGCATGAGCTATGTTTCAGGAGGCCAAGCTGGAGACATGGAGTTGGTGAAGGTCTTGGGTGCAGGGAAAGGTGTTGCCCTCATGATGAAGTATGATGAAGCATGTGAAAGAAAGAAGCACAGCGGGGACTTCGACTTCCCATGGACCGAGGCATCTCTCTCAGCTCGGGTACTTTGCGACAACAGGCGACGAAACGTGTGACACCACTTCCACTACCTCCCGCCTCTCCAAACCCATGTCCAACTCCTCCACCGCACGCCGCGCACCCCGTCTGCGCCTTCGATCCGCACAGTCGCCATGTCGGATTCTTCGCGACGCTCCTCCGGCTCGTCAGCCAGCAACTTGTCCAAGCGACCAATCGATCCCATCACGCGGACCGCGTTGCGATATACCCTCTCCCCTCGTGAATATGGACTCCTGCACGCATACTTGATCTCGAGGGCGCCCAAGCGAATACAGAAGCAGACACCGAGTCCGGCACGCTATGAGACGATTGCGAAGAGCAGGACGGAAAGCGGCGACTACAATGTCGCCGCTGTACGAGCGGCATTGCGGGTGTACTTGTCGCTGTTCTTGGGATTGAAAGGGTTTGAGATGGCCATGCGCAGGATAGCGAGCATGAGGGGCGCAAAACCACAGCAGCAAGCTCCAGGTCCGCGATACAAGAACACGAGAATAGCCTTGTCCTTCTCCACGATGCTACTCTTCCACCGACTGCTGCATCGTTTCTTCAAACGACTACGAGCATCATTGCTGGAAGACTCCGCGACGCCGTTTCGGGCACGAAACCCAGGAGTTTCCAAAGCATTGACATCGAAGTACACTCCCGCAGTCGGCGCGTCGCTGGCTGGTGTTTTCCTGGGCCTCAGTCCAATGGAGCAGCTGAGGATGACCATCACCATCTACGTGATGACGCGCAGCTTGGAATTCGGTTACAATGCTCTGTCCGAGCAGGGCTATCTGTGGAAGAAAGACCAAGACAGACCTTGGTGGTTTGGCAGCTGGTTGCTGATGCCCTTCGCCGCTGGTCAGCTGCTGCATGCCTTTGTGTTCGATCGAGACTGTTTCCCCGAAGATTTTGGCGCGTTTATCCTCAAGCGCAGCCCCGAATATATTCAGTTCCGACCGAAAGACTATCCTGTTGGCAGGCCTTGGCCAGGTACATTTGATATCGTGGACGGCCTCGCACAACTCAGCAAGCTGCGATGGCCGCCGTTCATCTCGCCCATTCTGTTCCCTGGAAACAAGGCCACTCTCCCGAACAACGCAGCAATCCAGAAACTCGCTCCGATCTCCGCGCCAGCGCACCCAGGAATTCGACACACCTCTTGCGCCTTCCTCCACCCTCGAGATCCTAGCTGTGCCAGGACATATCTCAAATACTGGCTCTCCGCCTTCCCACCTGTCGTCAAATTCTTCACGCTCATCTACGGTGGCTTCGCCCTGCTCGCTTATAAGAAGCTATTGAAGTCGCCAATGCCCTTTGTCAACAACCTGTCGCAGCGGATCTTGAAAATGTCCCTCTTCATCACCGGCGCGATCGGCACGAGCTGGGGCTCGATCTGCCTCTTTGCCAACGTCCTCCCGCGCAACGTCCTCCCGACGCAGCGATGGTTCCTCGGAGGCTTCCTGGGCGGCCTCTGGGCATACGTGGCGCGCAATCACGAGAGGGACAACTTCCTGTACAGCATGCGTCTGAGCATCGATTCCCTGTACAAAGTCGGCAAGAAGCGAGGCTGGTGGCGAGGAGTCCGCAATGGAGATGTCTTGGTTTTCGTCCTGAGCTTGGCCGTCGCGAACGTGGTGTACGAGAGCTCCCCCGGGGCCGTGAAAAGCGGCATGGTCCGCAAGGTCATCAGCTCGATGAGGGGCGACGGCTGGACGGATGTCGTCGCGGAAGAGAAGGTTATGGCGAAGCAGCAAGCAGAAGTCTCTGATGAGGACGTGGTGGAAGAGAAGAAGAAGAAGGAGGAGAAGAAGAAGAAGGAGGAGAAGAAGAAGAAGGATGTATGATGTGAATGGTGGCAAGGTTGGGAAATAATCTTGTGTGATTCTTTACCATATGATACCCCAGTTTTGTATGTGCATGTGTAAGATGGCGTTCTTTTTTTTTTTTTTTTTTGGAAACTTTTTGCGCTCGCTCGCTCTGTTGATCTCTCTCTCCCACACACACAAGGAGCCACGATCAAGTCTAGCCTAATGGCGACGCGCCTGCTGGTTTTGCGACGCGCTGAAGAGGATCGATAAAGACTGGACTGGGTTCCTCGTGTCATACACAGCAGTCAATCACACCGCCAAGATTCACATGATCGCAGCCTCGCCTGTTCGACCCGCCCCCCCGCTACACTCTCCCTACGCCCTCCCTCACCGTATTTGTATCGTCTGTGCACAGACCGGAGAGGGAGAGAGAGAGAGAGAGAGAGAGAGAGAGAGAGAGAGAGAACGATTCTACCCTCCATCTGAGTTATAGTCAGTCGCGTGATACGTACGTCCGGTCGGACTACTGGTTTTCGTCTCCTTTCCTTTCGGCTCATAGTTGCGTTGCTCGGAAGGATGGATGAAGTACTCACCCCAAAAAAAGCCGAACGAGGTATCTTATGAAACAGCAGCAGCGGGAGTGGGAGTGAGGGGCACTGTGTTCGCGCTCATGCTGTCGTCTGACTGACTATATCGGTAGAAACGAGCAATATCTTCTGATTTCTAGTAGGAGGGATTAGAGTGTTCTCGTCTGTTGGGGAGGGGGGAGGGAGAGAGAGAGAGAGCGGTATGACAAGGCAGAGAAGATGTCATCTGATCTGTTCTGAGTCAATGGATGGGGGGAAGTGCGTTTGGTAAGGTAGCGTAAGGAAGTGCATTTTGGAAGTGGAAAGTGAAATTTTTTTTTTGTTTTTTTTTTTAGGGATTTGCTTTGAACATTCGAAAGGGAAGGTTTTGTGTTTGCTTGCTATACCACTTTGTGTTGTGCACGGAGGCAATAATCTGGGAGAGACATTGGGGGGGTATTCTGGCCGCTTCTACGGCTTGGACCGGCACAGGATTGGTGGGTGACGGCTGCTTTGAGGAATCTGCGTTTTCCTCGTAGTCGGCTTTGCTAGAAGAAGATACGGCATACGATCGCGGTGATGAAAGAAGGAGGGAATCGTGACCACGCGTCTTCGACAACTTACCTGCATCGCCGGTTGACGCGCCTCTTCTTCGGGCATCGCGTACTTTTCGCTGTCACAAACCCCTGGACGGCTAGGAGATTTTTCCAAGCCGTGTTTCCAGTCGGTGAGCGGATGCATACCGACCTTACGCAGCCGACGATCTGTTTGTAAGGCCTGGTTCGACCGGAGCGATGGCACGTACCAAGCCCGCAGCTTCGACTTGAGGTGGAGAATGCGAACATGACCTCCTCGATGACCGGATGCAATTGGATCGGCTTCGAGGCCACTGGTAGCGGAACGGGCGAAGCTTCCCTCGACTGCAAGGTCGCAGACTGTCCAGTGCTGCGCACATGATATCAACTCGATCCGGTTCGAGGCGAAAGTCTGGGTAGGCGGGTGACGTTGCCTGCGAGCGAAACTGGCACGTCTCGACGCGTTCGGCGGATGAGAGGATGGCGTCCATCCAGCGCCAGCAGCATCGATGTGATTCCTTCGGGGCGGGCATAGGCAGCGACTGCGGACGTAGCTCAGCCATGTCTTGCCCTCCGTACCACGCCTCAAACAAGAAGGTGTCGTCGTTGGTGGCCAATCGGAAAGCACAGGGTGTCTGTCGCCTGATGGAGTCTCGGGCCATCGCGGCGCTCTCTCCCGCCATGGAATGCTAGGCTGCCTCATACACTCCGTGAACGGGTTCGTCAGCCTCACTACATTCCTACAAAGCTCCGTCTGATTCGGCTGCACGCGTCCCAAGTTGTTTGGCTAGGTCTTTGCGCAAGCTGACTCGATGGTCGTCGTGGAGGGTGGGTATGCTGCAGCGTCGAACCCCGACGTGGCACTGAGGGGGAGGGGGAGGGTGCGGAGGAAGTGCTTGCTTGGTGAGAAGCGTCGCCTCACTCTGGCCTCTCATTATTATCATGCTACGGCGCGGATGCAGGAAATGCAGCCCCCGATCCACGCCACGGACCCCGTCGCCACGTGTTACCCGCCAAGACGAGCCTGTGAGCGAAGATGCAGCCCCCGGAATGCATCCCGCGCTTTCAAGGTAGCAGTAGCAGTGCTGAGAGGGGCAGCATCGGAAAGGTGCGGTGGAGAAGAAGGGGGTGTGCAGAAGAAAGAGAAAGAAAGTTGCAGCACGTGCAGACCGGAAGCGGGTGCCGTGACCTCTCGTCCTTCTAATTGGAAGCAACGGGCACCGGTCGGGTCTGATCGAGTGGTGTGGTGGGCATCAGAAGAGATTTTGTGATAGGAAACTAGATTCGGAGGCGATGGAGGGCTCGTGTGGAAGCTTACAGAAAGCTTCGCGCGGGAGAACAGCGGGCGAGGTGGTGGCAGAGAGAGAGAGAGAGAGAGAAACAGGTGATGGTGTGTGACGTACGGTACGTAGCGCATCGTAGCGAATGATGGGGAGAGACAAGGAGCGAGGCGGCAGTAGTCAGCATGTCAAAAGATACAACGGGTGTGGGACTGTGTCCGGCAGTAGAAGCGGTAAGATGACAGGTGATAGCCAAACAGACAGACCGACCGAGTAGTCAAGGAGCTGTGTGTGAGTGAGTGTGTGTGTGTGGAGAGGGGAGGCTACGTGTAACGACGGTGTTGGCAACTTCGCATATTATTTTTCTTGTTGGGCGGTCATACTGTGGGTGGGTGGCCGTCAAGCTGCGACAAGTCGACGACTCGCTTCACCCGCACCCGCACCCGCACCCGCGCCCGCGCCCGCGCCTTTCCCATCCCTTCACACTTCGCTTCCCTTCTCCTCCTTCCGTCTGTCCTCCGGCCCAGCGCGTTGCATTTTGCACTCCCGTCGCAGCCGGAGTGGCGTACGGCTCAGGCGCATCAGCGCACAGCACAGCTTGCTCGACTACGCTACGCTACGCTACGCTACGCTACGGTATTGGTTATTGGTTGGATCTGGTGACCGGTTGCCCCTTCGATTGGCGCGCATTTCACCCTTCAACTACTCTGCCGGCGACTTTCGCGCAGCAAAAGCAAAATCAGGCGCGGGTCGCACCAGTCACTCTTCCGTGCCGCCCTCGTATTATCTATACATTTCTCTTCTTCATCGAAATTGAGCAATCTCCAAGGAGGATTCGCACCCTTGCTCCACGCCAGCAACGTGTGTGCGTGTGCGTGTGCGTGTGCGTCGGACTCCGTCCTCGGTGCGCGCCCTCTCTCGTCTACCCTCTCCTCACGGCAGCACAGCGCGGCGCACGGCGTGTTGGTCGGGACTCGCTCCCCCATACCTCCCTGCTGCTGTTGCTACTGCGCTCCTTTCTCCGCCCGCACGCTCCGAATCAAATTCGTCTCGTCTCGTCTCGTCTCGTCTCGTCTCGTCTCGTCTCGAATCACGCTCGCCGTGTTCTGGACGCAGCGGTTGACAAAGGTGAAAGGGGAAAAGGTGAAGGGGGAAAGGTCAAAGGCGAAGGAAACGCGAAGCAAAGGCGATCTCCGGGCGGTCCGGAAGGCGCAGACCGCCAAACGAAGACGAGGCCGGCTGTTCCCGTCCGCCGAATTACTCAGCCACGGCACACGGGCAACACGGGCAACACGGGGCCACACGGAGAGACAGTCACAGACTTCTCCTGCACCCAAAACCTCCACTCGTCATCCCCTCCTCCTTCCACCCTTCCACCCTTCCACCTCCTCCCTCCCGTCGACATCCTCTCCTCCTACCACCGCAACACCTCGAGCCCTTCTTCTCACCCGCCACGGCCACGGCGCTGCTCTCGCCTCCGCCAACCTACCGCATCCGCATCCGCATCCGCCAGACAGGCGCCGCACTCCTCTCACGGCGCGCGACCGCGACTCGAAGACCACACTCCTTCGCCTGGGGACGAACTATTCACTTAGATCCCGTCCGCGTCGCATCGCATTGCATCGTCACCACCACCACCACTCACCCGCTGCCTGACTCCGTTTCGGTCAACGACGCCGTTTGCTCGTGCGCATCGCCCCCCACGACCAGCTTCCCTACCAGCATTCTACACCACCTCTGGTCACAAGCTACACCCGACTCGGAGCATCCACCACCGCCGCGCCATCCATCGACGGTCTACCTCGCTTCACCTACTACGCATCTTTCGCATGGTCAAGAGACAGTAGACTTCGCACCTCCTTTGCGGTGCTTGGTCTTGGTTCGTGTGCTCGGGTCAAGAAACGGTTCGTTGCTTGCAGAATTTTCCACCACCAACCCACCACTGACGCCTGCTCCAAGGTTGTCTCCACACACCGTTTCTTCCACCTCCCCCGCTGTTCCTGCAATCATGCCAGGCTACTACTCTCGGTCCATGGCCGGCCAGCTACCACTTACTCCACCAGACTCCGGCTCCGGATATGGATACGCCAACATGTACTATCCACAGGATCCATACGCCTCGCACCCGCCCGTCAGCCAGTGTCGCCAGGACAGCGCGCACGAATACCATCACCAAGCCTACATGCAGCCACCCGTCGCCCCTGCACCACCGACGTACCAATATCAGAACAACTACCACGCCTCCAACAGCCTGCCTCCGATCCAGTACTACGAGCCCATTGGAGCTCCCATCCTCCCGCCGCTCCGCATCCACGAGCGTCTCCCCTTCGCCGACGACTACCAACGCCGACTCCAGGAGGAACAGCAGCAGCAAGCCGCCGTCGCCGCACGTGAGCAGCAGCAGCAGCGACACGCCGCCAAGGAAGAAAAGGCAACCGGCGGTGTGTCCGCCAAGCTTGACTACGAGATGGATCGCATGACCGATTTCGTCAGTCAGGCTGTACAGTCAATGTATGCTTTCCACAGCTCCCCAGTCTGCATGGCAGATATTGACATGACTCGAAGCTTTCAACAGCAGATGCAGAGCCGCCCGTCATTTCAGAAGTGGGTGCACCAGGTGCTCTCGGCGACTCGTCTCCCTTCCGCCACCATCCTGCTCAGTCTTCACTACCTGAACGACCGACTCTCCTCCTGGCCAGACTCGGTGCCGAGAGGCGAGAACCAGATCTACCGTCTGCTCGCTGTGGCCCTCATCATGGGCAGCAAGTTCTTGGATGACAATACCTTCATCAACAAGTCGTGGTCCGACGTCACCGCCATCCCGGTCAGCGAGCTGAACATGCTCGAGCTGAAGTGGTTGCATCTCATCAACTACCAACTGCATGTCGAGCCAAAGGATGGCCTGCAAGCCTGGATCGACGCCTGGAAGAAGTTCGACGCAGAGATTACCGCCAAGCTGCAGCCGGTATCGACTCGTCTGTCGCCGCTGGCCACGAACGTGCATCGTCACAACACCGGGTCTCGTGAGAGGTACTCGCCGTACCCGTCGCCGTACACCGCAACCACGACTTCGACTGCTTCAACTCGATCTTTCGACGGTCATCCGTCGGCGCGCTCCTCTCAATTTTCCACGCCATACAGCGCGTCCGATCCGTGGACCTCGAATCAGCGCCCGCCAGACGACTTCTACAAGCGCCAAGACCGCTACTCGACCGCATACGAGTTTGACGATGCCGGCCGCCGTGCCTCGGAGGAGCGCGCTCGTCATGGTGCGTATCAATACGCTCAGAGCGGCCATCAGTCGTACTACCAACCGGCATACGGCTCGGGCTGGAATCAGCTTGCCGCCTGGAATGACGCTCACCGATACGATTGCCATTGCTCTGCCTGTGCATACCAGCAGCACTACCGGCCATATCCAATGACCTCGAGCTATGCTGCTCAGACCGTCATGGGGTAGAGCCTTTCCCATTCGTCGGCTTTACACCTTCAGCACTACAGGCGCCTATCAGTGCTTGTACTTTCTACTCCCTGGGACCTCTGCAGCATTCACGCTTTCCCAAAAAGTTGACCTCGCAGACGGGTCCTTCGGAAGCATGCGATTCTCTCATACTAATTGCGGAGCGATTTCCCTGCTCCCTGACTAAAAATTGCTCTTCTCCACGATGAACTGGCACACAACGGCATCACGGTCTGGATTGGAACCTATTGGTCGTCAACCCGAGACCTGCGATAGGTTTCGGTTGACCTCGACCTGCGATAGGTTCCGGTTGACCTCGACCTTGGAATGTCCGACGTCCACGAACATCCTCGAACGGATTCGACGCTCGAGTTACCAGTTCTCGCCACTATTTGTTTCTCGGCACAGCGGATGGGTGCTTTGCTTTGTTGCGTTTCTCTACTTGATGCGGCACGGACTGGGTTACGGGATTACCACGGGGTTTGCTACGTCTTTTTTTTTTTTTCACTCCAGCAGGGCGTTTTCAAAATGGGGCAAGTCGGGCTTGCGGCTCTAAAATGGATCACGGAAATGGGATGGAGACTGATTGCGTTCGATGCATATGACCTGCTTTGGGGCCGCCACGATGCGGCAAGTTGCCGCTACTGCGCCTACGTTTCTTGGGCCCTGCGAAGATGTTGCGGATCACATCGCTCGCGACCATTCATCACGGGACAGGGTTACGTTGGGCAGTTGGCGCGCACGCAGATTACTGATTCTTTGCTTGTTTGTTTCATCACCTGTACTAGATACCAACATCGCGCATGTATGGGGCGGTTTTGGGCGACACGGCGATGTTTGCGCTGGGTCGATAGCTTCACGGTCGTTATTGGGGAAGAGGAAGAAAGCGGATGACGATGCCTCTTGCGAATTAGACACAGCTTGGCTTGTAATGCATTGCGCTCCACGCCGGGAGCTTCTGACTGACTCTGGACTCGAAACCTTCATCCTGTGTGGCCGCGTATCTCCCGTCCCCGTCAAAGGTGAGTGGTAAGCCACCGTCTGCAGTGAGTACTCATCGTCTGGCGTAAGCCATCTCGCAGCGTGCATACTGTATACTGTATACTCCACATACACCGCTGCCTCGCAAGCTGAGCAACGACTCTCATGGCTGAAGGTGTCGCAATGTGCACGTTATGCCCGAGTTTCAGACGGATGTCGGCGCACAGCTGTTTTACCCGCAACGGGGATTCCCTCAGTCGTCGTGCCTTCTTCCATCACCGCCGGCGTGGCTCAAACCGATCGGACTGCCCCAGCTGCCCAACTGCCACAACTTTGAACCTTCCAAGCCGCAGTCCTGCGCGCCGCTCCCCGTTTCAACAACCTCGTAGACATGTTCTCACATGCGCGTCGCGGCAAGGGTCGAGTCGCGCGGTAAGAGCACGTCTCTTGTTTACGACTCTCCAGATTCACGGCTCTCCTCATCACCCACCTCAGGCAATCTCTTTCCAAAGCCAAGTCAAATCAAAAATGCCTCGTAAAGCATCTTCGTTCCTCTACGACGCGAACGCCGACGCCGAAGGATCTCATGAATGGCTCTCATATTGTCGGCGCGAGGTCGCTGGGTTCAGGCACCGACCCGATTCTTATCAGCGAGGAGTCTGAGAGGTGCTTTCAGGGGTGCCAGCTCGACAACGACACCCTTGGGAGGGAGCGAAGCCGCACCAAGTTCATCTGGTGTGCAATCGTCGAGCGAGATCACGGAGGCCACCGAGGCGGATCCCCGTGCTACGAGTCGCTTCGTGGAAGCCCTCAATGATAGCGAGGATCATTCCGAGGATGGCTACCTGCCCGTCGGACGAAGGTCTTCGGATGAAGGCGCCAAGGAGGCCAGTCTGGAAGACCAGCGGCCATCGCTACCCAGACCCGTCAGCTTTTGGGACCCGAGACTCCGATATGTGCGGCGGGAAGCGATGCTCAAGTGGACGGTTACCACACTGGTGCTGATGGCATTCATCCTGGGCGTAGGTACTTTTCATGGCGAGGAGCAACCTGGAGATATCTGCTTACACTCATGCTTTGACCGCAGGTACTGTCGTTATACTGGGGTGCCTTTACGGCAATCAACAGGAAATTACCCAACTTGGCGGTCATTATTGTGGACTTCGATGCGCAGGTCGCGCCATACAATAGTATGGCCATCCAGCCACTTGTGGGCCCCATCGTCACCCAGCTAGGGCGAGAGATGGCCAACAGCCATATGCCGCACCTTGGATATAACAACGTGCCTCCGTCAGACTTTTTATATGACCCGATCCAGGTTCGACAGGCGATTTACAATTTCAACGCGTGGGCTGCCATCATCGTCAATCCGAATGCTACAGCCATGCTTCAGTCCGCGATACAGCACGGCAATACTTCCTACGATCCTTTGGGCGCGTGCCAATTGGTCTACGTCTCTGCGAGGGACGATACCAATTGGGCGGACCTCCTCTCACCCAAGCTCTCTGAATTCATGATGGAAGCCACGGCTCGAGTGGGCCAGGCATGGGCGCGACAGGTCATGCAAGATGCCGCAAACGATCAGACACTGATACAAACTTTGGAGAACGTACCGCAGGCACTGGCCCCGGCGATTGGATTTTCACAGTACGACTTGCGGCCGTTCTTCCCCTTCACCGCCACTCCAGCCGTCACGATTGGCTTGATCTACCTAATCATCGTCTCTTTCTTCTCCTTCTCGTTCTACCTCCCAATACACTTCCGCTATCTACGACCCGAAGGCCATCCGGTCCTCAAGTTCACCCACTTGATCCTCTGGCGCTATTGCTCTACGATCGTCGCCTACTTCTTCCTGTCCCTCGCCTATTCCCTCGTCAGCCTGGCCTTCCAGATCAACTTCTCCGGCGGCAATCCTGTCCGCACCGATACCGATCCAACATGGACCATCAACGGCGACAACAACCCGGACGCCTACGGCCACGGCACCTTCCCCGTCTACTGGATGCTCAACTTCGTCGGCATGATCGCTCTCGGACTCGCGTGCGAAAACGCCGCCATGTTCGTCGGACAGCCCTGGACAGGCCTCTGGCTGATCTTCTGGGTCATCACCAACGTCTCGACGGCTTTCTACGACATCGAGATCGAACACGGGTTCTATAGATGGGGATACGGATGGCCTCTGCATTACATCGTGGAGGGGAGCAGGCAGATTCTGTTCGATTTGCATTCGAGGATCGGGCTGGATTTCGGGGTCTTGTTTGCTTGGGCGGGTGTGAATACGTTGATTTTCCCGTTTGCCTGTCGGTTTATGCGGTGGAAGAGTCAGCATCATGTTCGTGAGTATTATCGGTAGGATGAAGGGGGAGGGGGAGAGAAGGCATTCATGTTGTTATGGCGAGTGTGGTTCCAGAGCGAGATGGAGGAGAAGATCGCAGTATATACAACTCGCTGCAGAGAAAGAATTCATAGCATCTTTGCACATTGGACGTGCATCTCGATGGCTGCTACTGCTGAGTTGTTCAGACAATGTTGTCGCAAGGTGGAAGGACGTTGTATTACACATGGTGGCATTCGTACGTACGCAAGTGAATGCCATGTGATCAGATTGCAGCCTCAGGCATCATGAGGCCCACTTCCGGAATTCCTCCGCAGCTCCTTCCGCAGCTTCACTCACATAGCAAGCAAGTCGCGCGTCGCCCCCAAGCAAGCAAGTGCCGCACAGCCAAGCTGACTCCCAGCAACTTCTTGCCCCAACAGCCAACCCAAGTCGCATCGCGCCGACGATGCCGTTCAAAAAGGGCGGCGGCCACTCCAAGGGCCGCAAGAGCACCCGCATCTCCCTCACCGTCACGCGTACGTTTGGTTCAACGCGAGGGACGCAAAACGCATGTTGCTAAATCGCAAGACAGGCACACCGACACCGACACAGATCCAATACGAAGACGAAACCATGGGCGATGCGGACGAGGATCCGACGCGCGATGTCACGCCCGCCGCGCAGGAGGATGATGGGGAGGAGGAGGAGGAGGAAGCTGCTACGCCTGCCGCGGAGGAGGATGAGGAGGAGGAGGAGGAGGAGGAAGACGATGAGCCGCAGATTACGAGTCTCCCGCGGCGACGGGTGCGTGGTGGGGTGCGGAGTTCGAGGAGTGCGCGCGTCGCGGCTACGCCTGAGGCTGGGATGGATGAGGGATCGGAGTCGGGGACGCCGGCGAGGCGGAGACGAGGCAGACCGCCGGGCACGGGAGGGGGCAGGGGAAGAGGAGGACCGAAGCGCGGAAGGGGCAAGAAGGACGATGGGCCGAGTGTGGTGATCGACAAGGAGGGCAATCGCCTGGAAGTCGTGGACGACGAGGCGATAGTGGATTTCGATGAGGAGGGAGCGGAGAAGGTGGATGCGGTGGGAAATCTCCAAGGCGGGAGGGAGTACCGGGTGCGGACGTTTACCATTCTCGGCAAAGGCGAGCGGCTGTACATGCTCTCCACGGAGCCTGCGAGATGTTGTGGCTTCCGGGACAGTTATCTCTTCTTCACCAAACACCCGAAGCTGTTCAAGGTCTTGCTGGACGAGGAGCAGAAGAAAGACCTCATCGATCGGGAAGTCCTCCCCAACAGCTACAAGGGTCGCAACATTGGTGTCGTCACCGCGCGATCCGTCTTCCGGGAGTTTGGAGCCAAGATTATCGTGGGTGGACGCCGGATTATCGACGACTACAAAGTCACGCAGGCTCTCGAGAACGGCGAAGTCGAAGGCGAGCTCGTGGACCCCGATGACTACGTCCCGGAAGACCGATCGCAGTACAATCGGAATCGATATGTTGCCTGGTTCGGTGCTAGTGAGGTATATCGCTCACAAGGCGGTGGTGCGACGGTGCCTGGTGGAAAGCAAGGAAATTTGGGCAGGAAACGCAACAATGTCACCGTGCAGAACTGGCAGATTCTGCATGCGCGGGAGGCGAGGTGAGTGACAATTCTTTCAGATTCTCGGGTCTTCCTGCTAACATGTCTTGACAGCCGCTTCAACTCTACCCTGACAGCCATGCGCAAGGCAAATCTGGACGGCGTGTACGAGACCAACACGAATATGATGCATTACCCGAAGATCATGCAACCGACGCATGCAAAGTGGGAGTACATCCCACCCGACGACGGCGAAGACAAGAGGAATTTGACGAATGGCCTGGGTAATGGCCATCACTCGCTCTCTGACTCGGACCACGACACTGTGATGGAAATTTCCCCGTCCAAAGACACATCCAAACCCACCATCTTCTTCAAAGTACCACCAGTCATCTCACGGAATTTCACCGTCGTCGACACCGTCTACCACGCGCCTCCCATCTCCAACGCCGGCTATCCTGGCCCCGACGGACACGTGGAAGATCCTACCTCTGGCCCCAATGGGCTGAGCACCGTGAGTCAGGATCTGATCGATGAGCTCCCTCCGGACTGTCGGGCTGCTTTTGAAGAGGCCAGGGGTTCGGAAGTGCGGTGGAAGCAGCAGTGGGGTACGGAGACGCACAGTGCGCAGCGGGGCGTATTGAAGATTGGCTTTAATGGGTATCCGGTTTGACGTTATTCGGGCGTTGGGCGAATAGGAGTTTTGAGGGCGTTTGTTGTTGTTTTTGTTGATGTTCTTACGGTGGCGGCGGTTCGCCCTTGATGAAGTTGCAATTGGAACGGAATGGGATGATGGGGGTTTTTTTCCTGATGCTGCGAGGCATTGCAATGGGTTTCGCTTTTCGGGGTCTGTATGAGATGAGATTTGGACTGATACTGATATCCATCCATCCGTCCGACTGGGTGGGTGGGCATAGGCAGAGAGAGAGGTATGTATGTATGTGACTTGCAAGATTCAAAATTGCAAGATGATGATGCTTCGATGAAATGTCTACTGTTTCACGGAACGGGGCGTTGCCGTTGGACGGCTCGCTACACATCGGAATTATTGTTTGAGTCGAGAGAAGGACAGCTGGAGCTGTAATTCGCATCGCTTGTTAAAGCGAGCGCCGCGCGCTGGCTCGCTCGGTTGACTGGTTTTTGGGGATGATATCCAAGCTATGATCTCTCAATTCCTGAATCGGGGTAAAAGGGCAGCTGGCCTAAACAACTCGGACCGCATTGTTGGGTCGGCTCTCAGTACCGACCGCACTGTACCGACTGCCCATGGCGAATGATTCGGCAAAGCTGTCCGCTGCCTTTTTCCTGGCGGAGAGGCTGGATAGCCTGATTCGGGTGGCTGTGAGTGAGTGAGTGGCACAATGGCGTCCCATCCCATCGCAACCCTCTCTTTCTTCGGGAGTGTGAGCGGACGTGTGCTAGGTAGGTAGGCATCAGCGGCCGCTTCTGTGCCGAAAGAAAAGCCTTGAAGCCTCTCCTGGATGGAATTGCCTGCTGGGTTCCCCTGTCCTGTGGAGGACTGGGGGGGGGGGTTTTTTTTCGGATCGTATGTTGAGTACTATGTTGTTGGAGATGGGAGACTGATACCTTTCTTCTAGATCTCGCAGGTTCTCGGATCGGTTCTCTTCCTCGCCATCACAATGCCCATCACCCGAGTCTCCTATATCGCCTTAGACCGACGTGTGTGCCGAACGAAACGCTCATCTATGTCACCTCGCTCGGCTGGCTTTATGGGCTTCTTGTGTGTGTGTGTGTGTGTGTGTGTGTCTTGGTGCGCTCCTACAAATCATCACGATATCGTATTGCTTTTGGCTCTATGTGCGACGAGCTGTCCAAGGCAAAGGCAAAGGCGGGGATATGGAGCCATCACGTCGCAGAAATGCTGCTCGCTACGGCTGACTCCAAATCCGACCGTGGACTCGCGTGGCGGAGTTTTCGTCCTCAGCTGTCTTGTCATCTCCGCATGCGTCTTCTTTGCGGTATCTTTCCTGCAAACGAATCTTGCTCCTGGCGAGCTCTCGCCTCCGCAGAATCGAGCGCTCCGGATTTGGACGGCCGGTTTGGTTCTGAATGGTGGAGACACGAATCAGTGTCCCTCCGCTGCAGCGGATCTGGGATTCAAGGAGAGCGTGCTCATTGGAGTGGCAGTGAGTACAGCGACGCTATCGTGCTTGGCCCGGCCTCCTTCCTGACTGACGCCGTAGCTTGTCGGCCTCCTGGCAGCAATTTGCAATGATGTGCGGTTCCATGATCACTGGCTGGTGGCGCCTCGTTCGATACCAAACCCGCAGACCCAGCATCGGGGAAGACTTCATCGTCCTTAATACACCGCAGCGAAAATCCTTCGGCAGGCCTCTCGAGTCTGAAAAGATGCAGAACAAGCTGACATTACACTATCTACCACATTACCGCCCACCTACCGGGGCACCACCGGGCAAGAAGACCAAGTTCAAGAAAGCAAGACAAAGAGAGCAAAGAAAAACAAGCATGCGCTGATAGTAGGTCTTACCCGAAGTACCTACGAACCGCTAGCGGGTTTATCGCAAGGCAAGAGAAGAAAGGGGCCTACGGCCCGTTGCAGGAGTCAGACCAGAGCAGTCACTTACTGTCCACCGCTGTTGCGGCCCGACAACCAGCTGAACATGGAGCCGGCAGCACGCGGAGTGGCCGGAGGAAAGGATTGCGGACCGCCTGCACGGTTGGAGTGCGTGGGTCTTGCGGACCCTACCGGTGGCCTGGCGACGGCGAGTTGGCGAAGACTCAAGTTGCTGGAGCCAACCATCGTGGCGGAGCGGAGAGAATTGCGGTCCACCGCCTCACCGGCGGTTGGCGAAGCCACCACGGAAGTCGAGGCATCGGCAGCGTCGCGGGCACGCAGACGGCTCGACCAGTTCGCATGGTTGGTGATTGCCCTGCGGAGCTTTGGTCGAAGCCTGGCGAGGAAGTGCCAGAGCTTCTGCTTGTCCGTATACGGATCGATATCGGCTTCAAGCGTCTCGAGGTAAGTCAAGAAGGCTGGCACGTCCTGTCCTTCCCTCTGCTTCGCCTCCGCGTATTTGACGTGGGCCTCTAAGGTCCTCGCCAGCGGCTCGTCGAGCAAGTCGAGGAGATACTGTATGAAGGATTCCCACGTCTTATCATTTCGCTCGATAGGATTTGCTCTCCACCACGCGTACCAGCGGTCCTTTGGCGTACCTGAAAGGAACTGCATGGCCCATAACACCTTATCCTTGTCGCTCTTGAATTGGCGCGGTGCTTGAGAGAATGCAATTTCACACGCTATCACCCAATTGGAAATGACTGCCGATGACGAAGAGCATGAGGCCCCGACACAGTCCACTTCTCGAGCACATCCGGATGCAATTACGACTATGCCGGAGGCAGGGGATGTCTCGACGCGTCACACGACTATAGATTGGTTCGATGGAGGTTATGAGGAAAAAGGCGAAGGAGAGGAAGAGGCAGACTCAGGTGGTTGATGCTGCTTGAGGATACAGATGTAAGAGTCTGTTTGAGTGATTTGCACCGGATCATGAGTACGATACCCTGCACTGTATCTGTGTGCCGAAGCTTTCTTCACTCATGCAAATGCTACCGCTGAGCACATTCCAATAACCCTTTGCAAGCTCCGCGGCGATGGCAGATATGTGTTACACCATTGCCTGTGCGGAAAGAAGCGCGTGCGGCTTTCGAAAAGGAAGCGGAAGGTCTCCCTACCGGAGCGCGTCAAGCCATGCCAACACAAACCGTTGCGCCATCTCTTTCTTCGGCATCGAGTCAGGGAAAGAGAGCTCAGCTATCCCTGAGCTTCTTGTATTCCTTGTGCGCCTTATCGATCTAGACCCATTATCAGTCCGAATGTCCCACTAACATTACTCTCATTCAGCGCACTCACGAGCTTTCCCATCTTCCACGCGAGACAGAAAGCATCGACAGCCAAGACCGTGAGTTTCTTCTGCTTGTCCTTCTTAGCCTTCTCTCTAGCTTTCTCGTCGTGGTGTCTGTCTTTCCTCAGGGGTCAGAACCATGTCTCGTACGTCTCAGACAAGAGAACGACCCAAAAAACATGAACAGCTAGGCGCGCTTTTCCTCACCTCCATTCCGCCGATCGCCATCACGACGCTTGCGCGCATGGCGCTCCATGTCGTCCTTCTTGTCGTTCGAGGGCGACTTTCTTCCCTTTCGGACTCGGCTGTTGTCCTTGTACCAGTCGTCCTCAGCGCGCTGCTTAGCAGCCGCCGCTTCTCTCCTCCGCTGCTTCTTGGCTCGACGCTCTGCTATGTCTGCTTCCGCCTCGCAGCGCTCGCAGTGTCGACCGGCGCGGAAGTACCAACCTTCATGCACTTTGCAGAACTCGTGGTGGTCGCCGTGGGGCGCTTGGTGGCTTTTGGTGGGCGAGGAACACCAGCAGTGGTGGCCGGGTTTCTCGTGGATGGAGGGCATGTTCCGGACGCGTGTTGGAAGTGAATGTGTCTGGGTCTCGGGTCAGGAGCGTGCTTCGGAGGCGTGGCTCGGGGGGAGAAACTGGTGGCACGCGTAGCGAAGAGTGTCTTGGAGATTGGGTCTCCGTGGGCGAAGAGCTGCATATATTTATCGACTTCGAGGTGACGCTAGAGATGACGCTAAAGCTGTTGCTAGGAGGAACAATGCTTTGTGCAGAAGGCAGTCGGCTTGACTGCGGGTATTTTAGTGTCACATGTCACGCTAGTGGAAAGCTTAAGTTATGTCACCTCTCTGGGTATATACTACTCGAGATATGCCTGCACATCAACAAAAGCAGTCTAAGGAGATCGAACTGGACATCTTCAAGACCAATAGCCATGGAATGGAGGCAGCAATGCCCCGTGAAGGTATCGAGATGGGAAGCCCTCGAGGTTTCCTCCTTAGTAGGGCGGTATCTCAAAGGGTCGACGAACAATGGGCAAGGCTTACAGGAGGGTGTTTCGGGACAGAACATCAATGAATCAAAGACGATAGAACAAAGTCTCACATAGCTCGGCTACATGGTTCAGCTAACGCTCCACGCTCATCGGCGGCACTTGCTCGAGTAGCCAAAAAAATTCCCAGACAAGAATAGCGCCAGCTTTCCTCAAGCTATTGGAACGACTCGCATTGCTCGTGACTGATCAAACATGTAGTATCCATGACTGTCAAAAGGCCCTGCTGTTACGCACCATGACCTAGAAAGGGGGCAGGAGTCGCCAGCAGCAGGAGAGGAAGGGGCGCAGAAGCTCGCCTAAGAGTAGAAATTCTTGCAGGAGTCAACTTTCTTCTTCTACTTGCCACTGTCTTGCATCTCGCGCTTCTCCTCTTGGCGCATCCTAGCGGAACTCTCGTACCAATCGTTGTCATCCTTCTCAGTGGCGGCCTTCGCTCTCATCTTCACCTTGCGCTCGATCTTCGCTTCGCGCTCGGCCTGATCGTCGCATTTCTCACACGGCTGGTCGATACGGAAGTAACACTGGGTGTGGATGAGACAGACCCTGTGGTGGCATCCATGTGGAGTGGGAACAGTGCGACGTCTAGTCGAGCAGTGAGAGTGGTGGCAAGTCCCCAGAATGTTAGGCATGCTAGGTTTCCAAACGTAGCTATGCCCATCCTCTATTTTGAAACACAGCAAAGCCTTGTCAACTCATATGCGTCGGTTCCAGGCCCAGTATGCCACACAGCAAACCACTGCAACGATTGGAAGGGCCTTCAACGCCATGCTTCCAACAGAATCCCAAGTAGGGTCCGGAAACCCGGCACTTTGTTCTTTCTCCTCGTTGTCCTCGTCATCATCCTCATCCTCATCCTCACCAGATTCGGGTTCAAGATTTGGCTCAGGATCTGGCTGCCATCTAGCGGTACCACCACAAGCTCGGGCGCCGTCGCCTTCAATATTAGTCGTCAAGTTCTCGATGTATGACTTTACCACCAGAGCCCAGAAAAAGTGGTCCCAAAGTCGAGAGGCGAAGACTGACTCGAACGCATTGAGTCCAAAGCTTTTCTGACGGAAGCACTCCAAGGCAAGCTGCCGGTGCTGACCGCGATAGTACTGTGCCAGGATCCGCACAAAACGTAGTCTGAGAACTCCATTGTCCTCCCACTCCTCTTTCAACTCGCTGTTGTCTTGAATGAAGATGGGGTATTCAAACTGGTTGTACTGTGGGCCAGTATAGTAATAGTCTCAGTCGATTGAACCTGACAGTTTCGGAGCTTCGGAGTCATCACCCTGAGTGAAGAGCATGCTCTGGCCGTCGTAGTCCCCATGAATTAGCCGAAAGGGAGCCGAAAGGATGAGATTTTCCTTTTCCTTGATGAAGATGCCGTGCAGAAGCTCGTCGACTTTGGGATAGTGGACTGCTACATCCTCTGGCACGTAGCTAGTATCGCTAACGAAGCTACGTGCATATTCCTCTGCAGAATCGAAGGCTCCATGGCGTGCGTCGCCATCCAGGTAACCCTTCCGTAGCACTGGACCGACCTCTCCTTTGATGTCGATGGAGCCAATCTTGTCGAACTTTAGATTCGAGAGTGCGGTCAGAGTCTCCGCGACCTGACCGATTACTTCAAGCTTGTGGCCCAGTGACAAGTTAGGCCAGAAGTCATAGAGGCTTGCGCCCGGCAGCTGCTCCATGAGCACGAACGAGGCCCCCATTGGATTGGTCGGATCTGCATGATCCTGCCATGGACTCCTTTCGACCATAGTCTTTGAGCCGCCAGACGATGCTGCTGGCAACAGCAGTCCACCTCAGACCAGCTCTATCTCGATTCTTTGCGCCAAGCAACAACGCAGTCTTTGCAGATTGCATCAGGTCGCGTCCTTGAAGAGTCGGCCTGCAGAACCAACTTCTCATCGCTTGGTTCCAAAATGATTGCTGTGTTGATCTGTGAAGTCCTCGATCCTTTTCCGTACGGCATTGCTTCCAGGGCCAGTCTATAATTTTCACCATTCGAAGTGCACACACTCCTGCAAGCCCATGACTCGCATCGCTGATAAAAACATCACATGCCAAATTTTGAGTTCCAGGGACCTCGGCCAATCGAACCACACCAGCAAACCCGGCGGCGAACTGCTGCACTCCAGCCGAAAGTCTGCCTCTCCGTCCTCTTAAAAGCTGCAGGGTAGAAACGCGACAGTTTGAAAGAGCGATGCTGAAGACTCGCAGCTCGCGTTGAGGCTCCCCTTGGACTCAAGGGTCATCTGTACGCCCAAATGAAGAATTTCATACACGGAGTCACAAGGACAGCCGACAAGCGCTTAGTCGTGGGAGAAGTTGGTGTGGGCGGAACGGAGTTGAAGCTCTCTATTCGCGAGCGGCGAGAGGTTGTGTAGAGCTAGCATCATCATGCAGATCAGTTCTTCTTCCAGAGGTCATTCGCAGGTAACGCAGGTGAAAGCATCGAGCTTATGAAACCGCTAAATAATGTGATAGATAAAGCTGAGATGTCCCGGCCTATAAGGATACGGATCAATCTAGGTAAGAACTGGATCGCGTGCTTTGTGGTTGTTTTTGACAGCGCATACTTGCATTGTCTGTTCGTGGCATTTTTGTCAAAGATCTGATAAAACCGGAAGAGGTATGGGGGCTGCCACCGCAGCTGCTTCTGCGGTGGTACACAGAAACAGAAATTGTTTTGCTTGCAAAGGTTAGTACCAGGCCCGATGTCAACGCTTGCCGTATACCTCGCGCTGACAGTCGTGGCAGAAAAGAGGATGAACGCCAACGTACCTCGTCATCGAGCTCACCATTCTCCAAAATCGTCGCTGAAAGTTCACTTCTTGCTCGACGACACTCATGAAGAGATCGAAACATCACCACCGACTTGCAACTGCGGCAATCTGTTCTGCTTTGGTGGCAGCCTTTGTGACTCCCGAGGATCTGGCACACTTGGGGCGGAATATGAGCCTGAGCCAACGTGGGTCACGGCGCTGATGGAGACGTGGTCGACTGGAAGTTGATCGTGGTCGTTGGGGGTGTGGAAGACCAGGCGGATTTGTGTTTTTGTACTGACGATACCCGATATCTCCTGAGATGGCATGTTCTTCAGGCTTTCGTTAAAGTCGCATGTACGGATGAAAGAGGATTCTGCATTTGATGGAAGATAGCGATAGGTTGTGCGCCCTTCGCCCATGCCATGCTACAGCTGGGTTGCTGCAGCTGCACAATCGGTCAAGGACCCTGGCAAACTGAAGCGGAGTCAACTGAACCAATATGCCACGTTTGAATTGTGACACTCAGTCATCTACCAATGTCTTGTTCCCGGTGCTCCTTTGACGTGTTCACGCTCAATATCGCTCGTCGTCCAGCCGCCGTAGAAGTCCCCCGGCTGGGGCTCCACCCTCTCGCCATCAACGTAGCACTCCCACGGCCCCGCGTAAAAGCTGAGATAGTCTTTGATATCTTTGAATCCCGGAGTTGGGCTCTCATACGTCCAGATCCTGCTCTTGACGACCTCACTTGGATTACTGGGGTTCGCGATATCGAAGTACGTCGCTCGACCTTTCCATTCGCAGAACGATGTGTTGCTATTCTTCGATAACGGTACTTTTATCGAAGACGGCGGGAGGTAGTAGGTTGGCGGATGGTAGGTCTCGAGAGCCCAATACGCGTCTTTGGTCTCCGCGATAGTCTGGCCTCCCCATTTCACCTCGAGATGTCGGGGCGTCTTGTCGCACGATGGCGGCCGCGGAAAGTTGCGTGGATTGAGCTTGGTACCTGTGGCTGAAGACATCATGCGTTTGAACATATGTCGAGGATGAGAAGGAAGTTCACGTTGGGGAGGAGAAGAAGATTGTAGGGTCAATGTTGTGCTAACATCGTCATCGATCAATGCCCTGGTGCTATTTCATGCCTGAGGCATGAAATATCCGACTCCTACTGCCGCCTCGCTGTCGACTGCACGTTGCACTTGTGCGGTACATCCTCCCATTTGTCAGCACTCGGATTTGGTTACAATCCCCGTTCACTCATCACTATTCCTCGTGTCATCGGGCCGGGCATACATGAAGCGCACCCGTCCCCAGGAAGACATGTCCAACCGCGCAGCAGCTGGGTTATCCTCGGCTGTCCATTTCCCTTCCGAAGTTCTCCCACAAGAACGACATTGAACTGACTTGAGACGATACCGTATTACCGTCTCATCTGGAAAACACATATCGCAACAATGTCGGAGCGTCTCTTTAAGCCCATGAAGCTGGGCCATGGCCAGCTCCAGCACCGAATCGTCATGGCACCTCTGACGCGTTTCCGAGCCGATGAACACAACAACCCCTCCGAGCATGCAAAGCTGTACTACGAACAACGTGCCTCCGTCCCTGGTACGCTGATCGTGACTGAAGCAGCTTTCATTTCTCCCCAAGCAGGCGGTTATCCGAGCATTCCCGGGATCTGGAGCGAAAGTCAAATCGCCGGTTGGAAGGCAATAGTCGACGCAGTCCACAGGAAAGGATCGACCATCTATCTCCAGCTCTGGGCTCTGGGTCGTGTGGCTCAAGAAAAGGTATTGAAGCAAGGCGGCTATCGCGTTCGGAGTGCGAGTGCGATCCCGGTTGCCGCGGAACAGACATCATCTGCCAGCGCAACGACCGTTCCTGATGAAATGACAGAGGAGGAAATCAAGAGCTTCGTGGAGGATTATGCTCAAGCTTCGCGGAATGCTATGAAAGCTGGTTTCGATGGCGTTGAGATCCATGGTAAGAGAATTCGAAATCACGGACTCCCTGGAGATGTGCTAACATGTGACAGGCGCGAACGGCTATCTCATCGATCAATTCTGGCAGGACGTGTCCAATCGACGTCAGGACAAATATGGCGGTAGCATCGAAAAGCGCGCTCGTTTCGGGGTGGAAGTCACGAAAGCCGTTATTGAAGCCGTGGGCAATGATCCCAAGAAAGTAGGCATGCGACTGTCGCCATGGGGCAACTTCCAAGGAATGGGCATGGAAGATCCCGTCCCACAGTTCAAGTATATCGTCGAAGAACTGCAGAAGCTTGACCTGGCATATCTCCATCTCATCGAAAGTCGCGTTTCTGGCTCTGCTGCAGATGGAGTCTACCGCTCTGCCGAGGAAGGAGGAACGCGAGAGCTTGATCCCTTCATCAAGGCTTGGGGAACGCAGTTGCCACTGATTCTTGCTGGAGGCTACACGCCCGAGAAGGCCAGAACGGTCGTTGCGGAGCAATACACGGACGACAACATCGCGATTGCGTTTGGGAGATACTTCATCAGCACCCCAGATCTACCTTTCAGGATCCAGCACGGTATCCCCTTGAACCCATGGGATAGACCGACATTCTATAAGCCGGGCCCTGGAGGATATACCGATTACCCGTTTAGCAAAGAATTCTTGGCCCAGGAGAGTAGGCTGTGAGGAGGTATATGATGTTCATACATTGAAGAAGTAGAGTTCTAGAAAAGCACTCAGCCGCTAAGCGAAGGAAATCCCCTTGGGCGTCTGCTTCTTCCCGGTTTATCGCTAATCAAGAAACCTAGGACAGGTATATGAGACCACCATCGCTCTGATCTACACGTGCGAAAGCTCTCTGGACCGTCCCAGCAAGTGCAGACCGGCCGCGATCTCCAAAGCTCGACGGTGGAATAATTGAAGAGTGTCCAGAGTATGGCGGGCAAGATCGCAACCTAAAACGTCGTCAGCAGCCTGCGCTTATCTTATGTGCTCAATGTTAGAAGGGTCGACTTACCCAACCACCCACATCCCACCCCGACGCCACCGGCCAAACAACTGCGACAACAACGGCCACCATCCACAGGAAATTCGCCACGACTAGGACTGACATCTTTACTCTTCGCCATTTCTCCACCTGTACATCTTCCGCTCTCTCTTCGTCTACATACCACGTGCGCCTCTCAAATCCACACCTTCTACATACTCGCGAGCTTTGTTCCTCTTCAGATGGCGATACACCCCAAATACTGCTACTGTGGATTCCCGGAGGAGCAATGGTTCCGTATCCATCGCTTGGGATCCGTCTCGCAGGCTGGATGAATTTCATACTCTTGCCCGTGGAAGAGCGAGGACGATTTCGGATTGGCGTTCCGCCTGCTGAAGGTGGTCGAAGGCTACGTGAACTCCTGTTTGTAAACGATCGAGGACGTACTTCTGGTCGCCTCCCTATTCCTAAAGTTGAAGAGGCACGTCGGCCGTGCACACTTCTGCCGGTCGAAGACCGCGGCCTTCGCTCTGTCTCTAGCCCGGGCGTTGTCGGAGCTTCTATTCCATGGCTTGAAAAGGTCGATATCGATGGAGCAAGCTCTTCGCCCAGTTGGTCTTCCGGTAAATAAAAATGTGATAGGGTAAGTGGTTGCCCGTCAGAGCTGGAGCCCAGGCTTCTGTTCTCATCGTCGCTGTCGCTGTCGTGATGGTCCTCAAGAAGATGCACCTCCGACATGCTCTGCTGCCTCAATGGGTTGCCGAAGTATGTTTCTGCGCTCTCAAGACGCAGTGAACGGCTTGTTGCTGGACCTGCTGTTTCAAGCGGAGAACTATCGAATTTCGTATCTTGTCTGCTTCGATGCTTGGCTTTGTTGGACTCGGACTCGCCTTCATTGCGAGTCCATTGCTCGACTTCCACGGTCATGGAGGGCTCAGGCTGCTCATGGACGTAAGGTCGAGTGGTGTCACATGTCTCCGCCGTGGGAGAGATGCCTTCGATGGGTGTCAGATCGAAATTGACCACGGCGGTAGCGGAGCTGGATCGCCTCCTGCGCAGTCGACTGCTGTTTGCGAAGTCTTTATCGAAGATATTTCCCGCAGCCGTGTCTGCGGCCGGTGAAAGGTCGTTCTCAGTAGCGACCGTCGGTCGGTTGGCCATTGGAGTTGCTGCTGAACTTCCGATATCTTGGTCAGTTGCAGAAGTCATGTCGAATAGCGTTGTTGGATTCTGGTGAAATCTGTTGTAGATGATCTTCTCGTTTGATTAGGGATTGCATAGGGAGTTCCAAATAGGATGATGAGGTGAAGAAGCTCGGAGTCAGAGTATGTATTTCCTTTATGGTCTGACGACATTTTGGACCCGGAGACCTGGTTATCACCGCTTAGTAGCTACACCTCACAGCCTCCTGCCATTTCTATGCAGTCTGCGCATCGTCTTGAACAAGACCCCGCTCTGCGATGGAAAACAGTTGAAGCCTTTGCGAAATTACGGAGTTGACGGAGCAGACGAGCGTTGGCCATGGTAGGCATCGGCTGTCGAGCAATTGCCAGTGCTGTCGTCGATCGATATGAGGACCGATCGCGGCCAGCGGTCGTTTGAATTCGCTTTGGTCCAGTGTTGTACCTTGGGAGATACCGTTTGGCGTACCCTACTTTCTGCAGTAGAGACGGCTCAATGCGCAACAAGTAGCGTATAGAGTACTTGCAGACAGAATAATATTCCCTTCGCGCACATCATGGTAGGGACAGAGCTTGCAGAGGTTCAGGAACAACCAGATCAGCAGCAGCGGCCGTCGAGGTGCCTTTCGATAACGTGCAAGGACGCTGTCCGACGAGACATCTTCGGTCAACCCATGGCGAAGGCCAAGCAGACCATACGCGGGAGCTCGTGGGAAGAACTTTCAGCGCCTTGGTTAGCGCCTGAGTTCGCTCTTCAATTGATTGTTCGGTATGTGCAACGGCGACGATGGTTTCCATGCTTGTGTTGCTCTCATGGCCTTGTCGAAAGATGATAGATCATGGAGCCTGAACGAGGCTAATGACCATCGATTATCAGCGTTCGAATTGGAAGTGAAGTGAAGAAGCTAAGGCTTGTTGCGTGGCTGGGGACTGTTCTGCTCCCCTGTGCGCTTGGTCCAATCGGCTCTGTTGCCAAGAGACCTGCAGCTTGTTCGGACCGTTGTGCGTGCTGCAGCTCGACGGCTAGAAATCGATAACAAAACGTCTCATTGTCGTGAGACTTTTTCAGAGAGGCTCACACTTCGCCATTGACTCACTCTTTCTCCGGAGACAACTTCACGCCCTTTACACCAAACCAATCGCTCGACAACACACAAGATCAAACACATCAAGATGGGGAAGGGCAAGGTTTGCTTGGCCTACTCAGGCGGTCTGGATACCAGCTGCATCCTCAAGTATCTCATGGTAAGTCCAACTGAGCCCCGCTACACAACATCGTACCAGCCTTCGAGAGATCGCACTTTCCATTCGGAGGGCGTAACTTGCTCCTGCAATCTCTTCCGACCCCAATGGCTGACAAACAAGTCAGGAGGAGGGATATGAAGTCATCTGCTTCATGGCCGACGTTGGCCAGGAGGAGGACTTCGCGGCTGCCAAGGAGAAGGCCTTGAAGATCGGAGCGACCAAGTGCTACATCGAGGATCTTCGCCGCGAGTTCATCGAAGAGCTCTGCTACCCGGCCATTGCCTGCAACGCCATCTACGAGAACGTCTATCTCCTCGGTACCTCACTCGCCCGCCCGGTCATCGCCCGCGCCCAAGTCGCAGTCGCCCAGAAGGAGGGCTGCTTCGCCGTCTCTCACGGCTGCACCGGCAAGGGCAACGACCAAGTCCGCTTCGAACTCGCCTTCTACGCCCTCCAGCCATCCATCAAGGTCATCGCACCATGGCGAGACCCGGTCTTCTACAACAAGTTCAAAGGCCGACAGGACCTGCTAGACTATGCCTCTGAGAAGGGTATCCCGGTCACCAGCACCAAGAGCAAGCCATGGAGTATGGATGAGAATTTGGCACACTGCAGCTACGAGGCGGGCATCCTCGAGGACCCCAACACCAGCCCACCAGAGGACATGTGGAAGCTCACCGCAGACCCACTGAAAGCCCCAGATACTCCTGATGACTTCACCGTCACTTTCAGCAAGGGTCTCCCTGTCAAGCTCGAGTACGAGGGCGGCAAGAAGACTGTCACTGACTCCGTCGACCTTTTCTTGACCGCCAATGCCATTGCTCGCAAGCACGGCGTTGGCCGTATTGACATCGTCGAGAACCGCTTCATCGGGCTGAAGTCCCGTGGCTGCTACGAGACTCCAGGCTTCACCATGCTCCGTGCCGCACACATCGATCTCGAGGGCCTGGTCATGGACCGCGAAGTCCGCGCTCTCCGCGATCAGTTCGTCACCTTCAACTACGCCAAGCTTCTGTACAACGGCCTCTACTTCTCGCCGGAGCGTGAGTTTCTCGAGGACAGCATCACTGCTTCTCAGAAGAAGGTCAACGGTAGTGTGCGATGCCGAGCTTTCAAGGGCATGTTCAGTGTCCTGGGACGCTGGTCGGACACGGAGAAGTTATATGATGAGAGCGAGTCCAGCATGGACGAGATTGGCGACTTTGAGCCCAGCGACACTACTGGCTTCATCAGCGTCAACGCCATCCGTCTGAAGAAGTATGGCAAGGCGAAGGAGGAGGCCGGCGACAGTCTGGTCAAGCACAATGTGGCCGCTTAAGCGCCTTTGCGTCGGGCGTGGTATTGGGAGTCTTGCTAGACGAGGATACCTTTAAATTCGAGCAAGCAACGACTGTAATGTGAGCGATTGACCTGTGACTACTATCAAAGTGACGATTTCCACTTCATCAAGAGCGTTCTGCATAAGAACGTTCAATCGCTTGTGATTGGACGAGGATGCACGGGAGCTAGCGGCAGTACGAAGCCTCGACAGATTTATCCCCTTCGTGACAATCCGACAAGGGGAAATCTGTCGAGCTGGCCGGGCGCGAGTCTCATCCTTCGTGTTGGAAAGTTTCCAGCGGTCACTCGCTCTGTCTCTGCAAAACAACGAGGCACGACGTTGGCGACGGCAACGAGGCGCCCATCTTCAATTGCTTCCTGACTACCCTGCTCTCCCACGCGTCTCTTGTGGAGCTGATGAGATTGATTGTAATTTCGAGACCACCACGAGAATGACGGACAGCACGAGGCCATTGAGATCAGGGATGCGCCTTCGATGCCGTCTCGTCTCAGTGCTCTCCGGGCGCGTAATCGAAAGGCACCGACGAGGTCACACTCCAGGAGACGCAGGCCGTGGCTGCGCATTCCGTTCTCTGAATAGCACGTCTGCCGGCGACGTTGTTCGCGATCCGCCCTCCAGGCTCACCGCAAATACTTCTCGTCTGCACTGGCATGATCTGAGTTCTGGCCTCGTTGCACCAGATCGCGCGCGTCTACAGAGACGTCCCACAGGCCCACCGTCAGCGGAGCCTCATCTTATTACTCGACCGAGATTACCACGCGGGTTCGTGTGAACATGTCTCTTCCTCGGCTTCAGCAAGCAACGAACAACGGAGAATTCGCAATACTGAGTTGGAAGACATCGACTTCTCTATCTGACCGCAGCATTTGCCGGCTTCAATGATGCGGTCAACGGTGACTCACAATTGAATGCAATCCTGAAACACAGAGAAGAGCTCTCGAACTGTTTCAGCAGCTCACTGTGGCTGCTTGTCTGCAGAGTCTTTCCTGCTTGTTCTTTCACCCCGGCGAATCAACGTCTCAGGACGCGCCAAGAATTCGCAGCGCGCGCTTCTAGCAGTACGGCGCTTGTCCAGCCTCCCGACTACATCTCCTAACAACACTGGAACTTCTGCAGAAGGAAGGCATTTCTTGCAGATACCGAGCCGGGACTCTGCTAAAGTGTTTCATCTTGCTAACCGCCGGACACAGCGTTTACCTATGGAACCCAAAGTTAGAACAGCCACTCGTTTACGCTGGATTCCATCACCGCCGAATAGCTGTCCGGGATGCTGTCTGTCTGGCCCGCCAGATGGCATTTTGTGAAACGTGGACCGAAGTCGTCTCAACAGTGCGAACCGTTTGGATGCTCGACTCCGACCCTCATGACCGCCTTGGGCCTGCCGTACATGCCAAAAAGAGTCCAAGCTAACCATTTAGTGGAAGCACGGATGTTCGCTGCACTGCTTCCAAGCACGTTTCATGTTGTACAATGACGCTACCTGTATCTGATATCCTGGCATGTTGTGACTCTATTGGGGATGCTACCCAGACGCGCATATAGAAACCTACTCGCCCGCGCTTCAGCTTTGTCCTTCGATCACAATCATCCACTGCTCCAACGGCAGTCTCGGTCAATCGGTCGAGCTCAACGAGTCTCTTTGCATCTTTTGCATTTTCCTTTCGTCATCATTGGAGCTGGTCTCCTGTCAAAATCAATTATTTTTTTTATTGTCTAATTACTCACACACGGCCGAAATACCCAGCTCCGGTAGCTACGATACAAGAGCAAAATGGATCTTCGACACGTCACGCCGCTTTCAGACGTCGACGTCAACGAATTCGAAGACTTTCACTGCCCTGGTGGCAGCGCGAGTACTAATGCCACCTACTTCCCTGATAGATGGTCCCCAGAGACGGTGATGACGGCGATCACCACACCTCCAAGGTCACCAATGATAATCAGAGAAAGCGGATCTCGACTACTACCCAAGCCTCGCGACCAAGACCAGGTCATGGAATCGGCTGCCAAATTTGCCCACCTCCACGGCCACGGTCGGACGGCTTCACTGCCTAACAATGTCTTTTCTTCCCAATTTGGCCCAGCCTTGCCTCACATGTCTGCGCGGCAAGGACGCTCTCCAAGCCCTCATGGAGGGGCACATGCCATTTCCTCAGCCTCGTCTCGAGCGGCGTCGCCATACGAGCACTTGAAGGCAGACGAGGCTGCACCCAGCCGGCCGTCGATCAGCAACATGAGATCAGTGTCTTCCTCACATATCTCGAGCGTGCGCGCTCATTCGCGCAATATCTCATCTTCCAGCATTGACGCGTCTCTTTTGAGCCGATACGGATATCCGACCTATCGCCAGAGCCCCACGCCACAACCAGTTGGCCCTAGCACTTCTTCCAGGTCCCGTACTCCCAGTGCAATGAGCCATCTTGCTCCCATTGCTATGCCAGGTGGTCAGGTCCAGAACTACCCAAACAATCGCCGTACTAGCAGCCCACCCGCAAACCCTTCGCGTCTGTCTATCGAGGTCGAGGCTCCGGCCGAACAAGACATGAGAACCTCGACTGTCCTCGAGTACCTCACTGGTCCGAATCCTACTCCTTCCCTCATTCAGCGAATCAACGACAGCAACAAGCTCCAGAACAGTCACTTCTGGTTCGATATCCGCAACCTTGGCGCCTGGTCTGATTTCAACGTCGACACCATTGCCTCTGTTCCAGGCCTCATGGAGCTTCTCAAGATTGACATATCTGTCAGTCTTCTGCCGACTCCAGCCAAGGCAAACCTCGCTCCAGAGACCCCGGCTCAGCTTGCAGACATCTGCGCTGTTCATCACGCCGTCAAGGTCAACGCCGCCCTTCGCGTCGCCCAAGGAGAGAAGCACATTGCAATGCGAACCCTCCGCACTGCCCCTGGCGCACGTCAACAGCCCGAATTCGTTGCAAATTACCAATCCGACGCCGAGAAGACCATCTTTGGCGACGGAAGAGGCAGAGTTGTCGGCATCGTCAAATCCTATGACCAATGGAATTCAGGGTACAGGAATGGCTCTCCTATCGACAAGATCCGCTACCTCGAACACCTGGCACATCTTCACCGCTTCATGCGCGAACATGGCACGAGATATGGCTTCATCATGACCGAGATCGAACTCGTGTGCGTCCGCATGGGTGGGCCTCCATCGGACACCAGCACCATTCCACTCTTCGGATACATGGAAATCGCGCCTCCCGTACAAATCTCTGCTTCCGGTGTCAACGAGAACGGAAGCCTCAGGATGACCGCGGGACTTGCTCTCTGGTATTTGCACATGTTGGCCAAGGAAGTGCCATTCCCGGGACAGTTCCATTGGAAGGTCGATGTAGGTGGACCTGCTGCTCTGACGAGACAGAGACATTTGCCACGGGATGACTGGATGCCGAAGGTCAATCTGCAGGACAAGAGGGTTGGGAAGAGGACGAGAGGGTGGGTTTGGCCGGATGAGCCGCTCCATAAGAGGGAGTGTGGGAGAGTTGGGAGAAGGCGGTAGGGAACTCCCGAGTTGGGGAGGAATGTTAATGGTGACTTGGTGTTTGAAAAAGTTATGACGAGTACACGGCCGATCTTGCGCGAGAAGAAAGAAGCATTTGCAGGCGTTTGATACCCCATTCCATTGAAACGAGCCAGCTACCAAGAGGGGGGAAAGAGCTGCTGTTGAGCGCATAGCCAAGGGCGTCTTGATAAGATCCTACAAGAAAGGGAAAAAGTAACCTATTCACACAATCCTCTCCCTGTCTTCCATCAATCAAACTGGGTTTCGTCGCCACACTCACAACTTCCCCTTCACCAGATTCCCAATCATCTGCGCCCCCGTAATGCGCGTCGTAGCCCACAAAGTAGGGAAATCCAACGTACTGCTGAACGTATCCGCATATCCAAACCCGAGCATCGGCGGAATCCAGCCACGCGCATACTCCAATGCAAAGCAGGAAGATTCCATCTTGTACTGCTTCACCTCGCCGCGCCGGAGATGGTGCACGGATCCGGCAGGGTAGATTTCCGCGCTGTAGGAGCCGGGTCCGGGTTTGTAGGCGAGCTGGGTTCCGGTGAGAATGTGGAAGTAGTCATCTGCGGTGTGGCGGCCGGTGTGGCCTTCTGTTCCGATGGCGGTGCCGAAGATGATGAGATATTCGGTTATGCTGGCGTGGATGATGTACATTGCGCCCATGGCGCCGCCGGCGTTGTTCTACAGGAGAGATCGTCAGCTGGGCGTCGATACGCTTTTTTTTAATTGTTTTCCTGTTGGGACTTACAAAGACCCATTCCTCCTCGATGTTAATGTAGGACTTGATCGCTTCATCACTGCGGAGATTGGCGACGATGTTGGCGACGATGGCTTCGGTGTTGTTTCCATGCTGATCAATTGCGCCCAAGGCAATCTTATGCAATTGGTCGGGGGTGAAGATGTAGAAGCTCTCGAGGTTTGATTCGAGATAGACGTATAGCCCATAGAGGAGCGCAATGGTCAGAACCAAAGTGGTGAGTCTATTATAGTCCATGATGGGACAAGAGTTGATGAGAATGCGCTCAAGAGCGTGATGAAAAATAAATGAAAGAACACGGCTGTCCAAACGCCGGGGAGTCGCTGTGCAGTGGTTGTGGTTGCTTGATGAAGGCCGCGTGCGAATTGGTGTTTTTAACCTTCCGAAAAGGGATCGGATCGTACGAGTAAGCAGCCATTGACCACCTTGTGGCCCAAGCTTGCGCATTGGAAAGCCGATATATACATGTCTGTTTCAAGCAGTCTGCATCAAGAAGACAGGATCTTAAGTCTGCGACTCCTGATAACGACGAGATATTTGCTATTTGTCCCCTCACAGTGGTGGATATTGCATGAGACAATTGGGCTGCGGAGGTGAGCAATGAAATAGCGAAGCCGAAGAGTTCATGGTTTACTACCATATTTCAACCGATTGACGCTTGGCTGCTGCTGTCGCTGCTTGATTGCTAGGTATCGTTTGAATGGATAAGACGAGCTTCCTGCTCTCCTCTCCTTGGTATCAATTCCTGCACCGAACTCCACGCTCCCATGCCCGCTGAATATAAGATCAATGCTGTATCGCTTGCTGCAAGGAAACCACCGACCCGATCACATGCAACAGCTCAATCATCCGCTGGAGTATCCAAATGGCCAAACGCGTCTCATATGAGAGCCTTCAGCTCGTCACACGTCGCACCCACAGCCCCTCCTCGCCGCCCTCCTTACGTCGTGTCCGTGCAATAGCGATGCCGATCTCGCGTTCTTCCAACCGGACTTCTTCCAGCGTCTTCCGCAGCTCGTCCAACTTCTTCTTAGCCTCCTTCATCTCCGCGAACGAGACATCGAGTGGGCTCGCACTCTCCACCTTGGCCAGCTCTGCAATGGCACGTTGAATGTTGCGTCTCTGGTGGATCTTGTCCTGCTCTTGGCGCTCGAGCTCTTCAAGGCGTGACATGGGCGTAACGGGAGTGAGGAGATCAGGTGGTGGTGGCAGCTTCTTGACTGAGCCTTGGCCGCTCTCGAGCGATGCGCGCGGGGTCGTGCTGAGCTTGGATTTGGTAGACTCGGGATTGCCTACAGCCTTGCGTGGGGGTGTCCAAATTTCTCTGTCCAGACGCTGAATGGGTCGATGGCGCGACAGAATCGATTGGACCGGCGGCGATTTGTACTTCGAAGGCACTTCAGGCGGCGGGCTCGGCGGCGGCGAGACAGGACGAGCTTGGTAAGTCATGTTGGCGTTGGTGTTGACGGTGCTCCAACTGAAGCGACTTGCAGGCAAGAGTTCGCCGGTTTGCTGCACGCTGTGTCGAGTGTCGGTTGAAGGTCGGTTGAGGCTTGGAGAAGGTGCTGCAGTCGTCCAATTGAAGTGGCTGATTGGGTTGCGATCAGTTGCTCGGCCCGCGAAGTCGATTGCTTCGGGTGACGTCGGGCTGTCATGCGTTGGTAAGTTCTCTGGCACAAGCGAGTGAAGGCCAGGCGCGGGCTTGCGCTTGATCGACTTGACGCCGGGATTCAGAGGTGTCTCGAATGGATTCACTGACGCAACTTTCAGACCGCGTGGAGTGTCTTGGGAGTTCGTGTCGTCGACTGAGACCGGAGAGACGGGATCCCAGTCCTCGTCCCATCCAAGTGGTGGACTGTACTCGTCAACATCTTCGTCGTCCAAAACCGAGACTGGAGAGGGCTCTCGGGAGCTTCTAGGCCCTGCTTTCGGGTATTTTCGAGGAGAGTACCGGGTCGCCTGAAATGCTCCGTCGTAGATATTCTTGCGAGGCTGATGGACTTCTGTTGTCCTGCCACGTTGGTCTATGTCTCCCTTCCCCGGAGCACCGTACTTCTTACCAGAAGTGTCGAGTCGCGAAGGCTTGTGAAGAATAGAACGGACCCGCTTGAGAATTGGCAAGCTCGACTGCCAAACTTGAGGTCCCTGATCCTGAATCTGCTGATTGGGGTGTGAACGGTACGATGGATGAGCCGACTTCTGTATTCGGAGAGGTGGTATGGAAGGCATGTCTGGGTGATCGAGCATAGGGCCGTCGTAGTCTTCCGAATAACTGGATGCTGTTGGAGCACGAGAAGCTGGAGTGTGTTGTTGTCGTCCCCGAGGAGGGTCTCTTTGGAGGGAAGACGAGGGCATGATCATGGCACTCGAGCTTGTGTTTGTGCAAGTGATCGATTAGTGTTCACGGTCTCACCGAACCGCACGTGCAGCCGTGGTCTCCAGCATCCGGGCACCGGGGTCGCTCAATGAAGGTTTAGTAGGAGATTGATTTGCCTGTGACGCGTGGCGTCGCAGTGTTGTGCTGGATTTTTGCTCGGTCACCACTCGAGTTGAGCGAGGAATGAGGAGCGTGATGGGCGTGAGGAAGGATAACAATCTTCCCTGTAGAATAAATGTGCGCTAGCCGTCATCAGGTTTGCACATTGGTTGGAGATATGCAAAGGACGGCGGTCGCCAACTTGTTTTACAGTCACAGCCGTGTCGGCGGATTGTTATAGACGCGTTTGGTGTGTTTCATCTTACAGCGTTTGAAGGGATCGGGATTGGGAGAAGATGATTCGCTCCCGTGGCCTGCCTTATAACTTCCCGGCAGCAGGGAGCGCTAGAGGCGGGCGGCAGGGAGGGAAAGGTGGCGCCATGCGTTTCGTAGCCGCTTACAACCTAACATCGCCCGTCCGACGCCGAGAGCTGTTGCCGACCTGCAACGACTAATAACAACCCACGACTTCATATCACACGACAGCAGGCTTCGCCGCATTCTAGCAACCATGGACGAAGGTCAGAGCTGTGTCTCAGGTTGCTACGCGCCTGCAACGTTCTCGGCTGACGGCCAGTAGCTTCCAATAATGCTTCCGGCGCTCCTCCAGCGACTCAAGTGTACGCAATGATCCGATTGTTCCCCTTACGCCGCCAGCGTGTAGACACATCGGAACGCTATCGCTCCCATTGTGGAACCCAGTGGTCGAGCTGGGCGCTTCAGCGATTCGACCAACATCATGAAATTCGAAAGCCCGAGAGAGATAGCGTTCCGACGTGTTGAGATGTTGTACCGAATGCCAGCAAACTGACACATCAGACAGGGCCACGATCGCCACGCCCATCAACCTCATCCTCCTCTCGCTCTTCATGATTCTGGTGTATATGCGCCTGAGACCCAACAAAACCGCCACGACCCTTCCCGCTGCTCCCCCACCAACAGTCTTCAAGGTCTTCACTCCTCCACAACTGCTCCCATTCAACGGCACAAACAGCATGCCCGTATACCTAGCAGTTCGAGGCAAGATCTTCGACGTGACTCCCGGCCGCAACTTCTACGGTCCCGGTGGACCTTACCAGAACTTTGCCGGCAGAGATGCTTCAAGAGGATTGGCTTGCGGAAGTTTTGATCTGGAGATGCTTACGGAGGATCTAAACGGTCCGCTGGATAAGTTGGAGGATCTGGGCGGTGAAGAGATGGAGGCGCTGAAGGGGTGGGAAGAGAGGTTCAATGAGAAGTATTTGGTGGTTGGCAAGCTGGTGCCGGTCGGTCACCCAGAGGCAGAGCCAGATGAGAAGGCGTCGTAGACTTGCGACTGCCTTTGATAGCCGCCACTGTGTCGATTCCTCTCTCTCACCCTGAAACTACGGACATGATACTAACGGCCAGAAATTGAACGACTCAACGGAGAAATGTCAGCATAGATGTCGTATGACAAGCATCGGAGTTCCAAGTACTACTTTCAAATGTCAATGTACTGGCTTATGCAGTCTTGGCCGTGACTAGCGACTCTGGTCGCATAGCGTACTTACGCTTAACTACGCGCCGATCTCACAGCTCGAGGAAGTGCCAAGTGTTCGTCGAGCATCACCGAGATGCCAACTCAATCCTGAGCAGCTGCGAATCCTCTCCTCCGCAGCCAGTCCAACACCGCCGTTTCAATCTCGTCTGGCACCTCGAGGGCTCCAGTGCCCACTCTTCAACTCCCTGCCCTCGACATCCTCCACCAGTCCAGCCTGCTTTACGACTTCAACGAGATCTCGGCATACTGCATCACCATCACATCCGATGAAGAGATACAGCTTCGTGACCTCCCCACCCTGCGTCTCTTTCGCAATCTTCCTTTTCGTCTCAAAATTGATATATTCTCAGCGGTAGCTCTATACCAGCAGCATGCATTCGTAAGACCGTTCTCTTTAACACAGTTGATTCATTCAAGCCGCAATCGAGGGCCTCGGGCGTATGGCTTCAGGGACACGTCGGTGCGGCCATTGCTGATTACTCGCGAATTGCTCCCGGAAGACAGAAGATAGTTTTCCTCCAGTCGTTGGAAGCGCCGTGCATGGCATGGCAGACACTTTGAGGGTTCTTGGTCATGATTTCTCCGGGTCCCTTAGGATCGGCGAAGAGCTCCCAGTAGGCATAGAGAGGGCAGCCGAAAGCCTTTTCGGTCATGCTGTTGGCGATGGCGAGGCCGAAGGGTTCGCTGCGAGCTGGTTGCAGAGCTACGTTGAAGGTGACGAGGCCTGCCATACGAGCGGAGTTGAAGAGGTAGAAGCGTGTGACGAAGTATGAGCCCTTTGAGTACGCTCTAGTAAGATGGCCCCAAACAGCTGGTATTACGATGATACTGACCAGTCGTGGCCCATGGGAATGATATTTTGCTCAATCTTCTCAGCCTGAATTACCTGCATGACATCTGCAACCATGGCGCCAATCTCGAAGTCTATCGGATCTGTCGGTCTGGAGCTGCCACCACAGACGAGCAGGTCCGGAATAATGAGGCGTTGTTTGGACTTCAAGATATGATCGACTATTTCTTTCCAGAGGTGGGCACTGTCTGGCCAGCCGTGGCAGAGGAGAATGGCCGGTTTCGCATCATCCGCTTTGGGTTGCGAAAAGTAATATGTATAGCGAAAGCCTCGCGAGGTGTCCAAGTGTTTCGGCTGGAGCTGATCCATGTTGCTAGTGCTTGAGAGTTGCCTCTTCAGCGTGAGATGGTGAGGAATTGCATACGTGTGCTAAGCGGCTTGTGTAATAATCGAGAGGTCAGAATGGGCTGTTATCGATTCGTGTATATGGTAAAACGTGCGGTACGTGCGTAAGCCCAGAAGGGCAACACAGCAAAGTTTCGAAATCGTTGTGCGAAACTTGCTGTCGACCTTGAGATCTGTGGTATTTTGCAAGGTGGGATCTTTCGGAAGGATATGAATTCGGGTCGCATCACCACTGTACCCGCTCACTGCTGGATTGTTGTGACGGAGCGCTTCAGCAGAGTTGGAGGGAACGCTAGCTTCGATTGCAGTGGTGGTCTTGTAACTGTGGAAAGGGGCGTGACTGCAAGTCTGAGGAAGGATACTTCAGGTTAGGTATATGTGGGAAACAGAGACTGCTCTGACATGCGCCTTCCCACTTCGACATCTTGCCTCACTACTCCGTGCGTGATCTCCTTTGCTGCCATCCAGCTATCCTTTCAGGTAGGAAAGTCGCCGCGCAGGCAACGTTGCCATCGCTGCCTGCGCTCGCAACCGTGCGGCAGGCTCGATGAGGTGAGGTTGGAGTGAAGTCATACCGCAAGGCTCTAGGACACCAGTCATTGCGTCTGTTCGCGAATGATCGACGTTGTGGTTGGGAAAGCGATCAGCTAGGCAACGGCCATTGAACTCTGATAAACAAGGTCTGACATCACCCATGCTTCTGGCCTTGAATGAGAATGAGGATACATGTAGTCAGGTAGCCGGTCACATCTTCGGTCATGAGATATTCCTCATGTCGACGCTCGTCCTCGGTCACGTATGTAGCCCGGGCCCCCTTGCATGTGACTCGGCTCGCGCTAAGAGCCTTCGGGGACGGCGGCAGGGATCCGTTAGTGCTTGCATATTCGGAACGCGGCGCGCGCGTGCAGGTGACGAGCCCCGAGTGTGTTGTCCCATCAGATCTCACACTTTCTTTTCTTCCGCAACAACAACACACACGTTGCGTTGCTCGCCCTCAGCAACGCAACGCATCGCAACACATCGCATCGCATCGCGCACGAGGTTGGTACACGCATTGCTCTGCTTCCGGTCATTTCTTCACATGTTTTTGCGTGCCTACTCTCTCTTCTGTCTTCACTTCTGTTACTACTAACAGCTACTGATCAACAACCTACGAGCGCTACTGCAGGTTCGCCCGCATCCCCGCAGGCGGCTGTGGTCGACAGGCTGGAACCCAGTCATCCGTTTGGCCACCGCATTAACATTTACTAGGGTGCCCGTTGCCATCATGTCCGACGGTGCGTCACCAGCTCCAGGCCTCCAAGAGGGAAAAGAGTCCGTCCATCCTCAGCAACCACCGCAACAACCTGCAGTCTCGCCATCGCCGCAACCAGATTCTCGCCGACAGGGTCGCGTCTTCGACATCGAGGTGTTTGATTGCGAGGGCATTGTCTGGAACACCGACCGCGACACCAACCGCACCGACAACCGCATCGACGACCGCCCAAAACTGATCCCACGCCGCCCAGTGGCTCGCCGTCGCGCCGTACAATTCAATCAACCTCCAATGTGAGTGAACTTTCGCAATCACGTCTCCTTTACATGAGACATTCACTGACCCGTCTCATCACCTTGTAGCGTCGGCGGCGGACCTCTCTCCTCACACCCACCATTTGCCGACATGGGAGAGCGCGAGATGCCAGGCGCATACCCGCCCGAGGAAGACACGTCCCACCACACGGCCGCCAACATGTCGTCCGAGTCCAATCGCTACACCACCGACAGCATGCGCTCGCCGGAGTCACCAGCGTCCACCCAGAACAACATTGCTGCGCCAAAGCAGCGCCCCGGCTCCTTCTTCCGCACCCTGTCCAGCAAGATGAGCCTGCAGAGCCTTCGCAGCCGCACCTCTTTCAGCAGCTCGCGCATGGATGTCAGCGGCCACAACACTTCCTACGGAGACAACGCCAGCACCATGCGCCCACAGACGCCCGGCGGCATAAGCATGATGTCGCAGGCTGGCTCCACGATGCCTCCACCGTCGACTCGCGGCGGAAAGGCGGACACTCTTCGCAAGAAGCGCAGCACGGGTTGGTTTGGTTCGAAGCGCAGCAACGACACTGGCATGGACGCCGTGATGGACGGCGATCAGAAGCCGGATGACCAGGTCCAGGCCCCGGTCCCCAAGCGCATGAAGCCATCGCCGTCTCTGCCCGTCTTGCCTGAATTCGAGTATAACGGTGACGGCAGCCTTGGTATCACGGATATGGACATCGACAAGTATTAGGCCTCAAGGGCATGTGCATGTGCATGACAGACAGAGACTCTGGCGTATTAGGGACTTGATTGGAAGGGGCGTTTGGGCTGTTCGAATAGTTGCTCCCCAGAAGATACCCAAGCGATGACGCTTTGCAATGGAATGTGATGGCTCTCTGCCACAGTTTACCGTCGAGATACCTCTTTTCGTCTCCTCGATTGAAAGCTTTGGTTTGACCTTTTCTCATTGAGCAATAGCGTCGCGTTGTTTCATTTTCTACTGAGCTGTTTAGCGCGGCGCAAGATGTCGCTCTCTTTCCCTGAGAAGAGGAAATCTTGGATGGCACCGTCTCAATTACGACTTCAAGATCCCTCCTTCCGTAGGCGTCTGATCCGCCGTTTAGAAGGCCTTTAGGCAGCACTGCCTTATGCTGCTCGGATGAAATAGCCGATCTGAGTGCATTCCTGCTGCCTTGCAGCGAGCACCACGGCTGACTCGTCAACCTCCTTCAATCTCTGCATCGTGGTCACGCTGCAGTCTCATAGGTTACCAGCAAGCAGCACGAAACCCCTGGAAAGGCAGATGGTATAAACTCTCTACTCCATATCTACAGATCAGTATGCTCATTATATATATACAGACGAAAGTTTTGTCGTCCCTTTGTACAAGATTTGCAATTCATTTCCTCGTCAGTGTTCATCACAGATCATGATTTACATGACTGCCTGGCTCATCCTTTCCGGTTGGAGATTGATTGGCATGGCTGGCACTGGCGGGATCTCGGTCGTGTCGAACGGGTCCTTCTCATCCTCGTCGTAGCCTGGCGTTGGTGGAATCGTGCTCAGCGTATGCGCCTGGAAGCTGTTGAACTTGTTTGCCTCGAAGTTGCTGAAGTTCGGTGGGTTGCTGGATGGCGATGGAATGTTGAAAGTGGCTGGCATGCTGGTCGGACAGCCGGCGCTGATACTGTTGCGAAGGTAGTTCGGAGTGCGATAGACCGGCATCGAGCCGCCGCTGATGGAACCTCTTGGAGCGCCTGCGCTGGCTACGCTGGAACTGCGGCTGGTCGGGCTGGATTGGAAAGCGTTGGAGATCCGGCGGAACATGTTGCTGCTGGCGCTCGAGATGCTGACGCTGCGTGGAGTTCCCTCGCCTTTGGTGTCATTGACGTCCAGCATGTAGAAGACGCCCTTCAAGCCCGCGTTTGCCGCGAGGACAGAGGCCTTGACTGTGTTCCAGCTGTCTTCGAGACGGATGAAGTCGTCCATCTTTTGGTCGAGCGTCTCGAGTTGCTTGGTCACGACCTCTGCACAGTCCGCAACGAGGGTGATACCCGTGATGTAGACGTTTGCCGCTTGGTCCTGCGCATGAGGAGGCTGCTGGTTGATGAGGGCCGTAGCAGAATTGGAGAGCTTATCGATGGCCATCTCCACCTTGTTTTTCTGCAAGGTGATATCCACGTATAGCTTCGATCTGTCTGCCTCCTTGTCCGTATCACGCATCGAATTCTTTAGGTTGTCGTAAACATTCTGAAACGCATCTTGATAGGTCAAGGCCAGAGCACCATTGAGGTTGTCCAGTGCAGCGAGAAGGGTGTCGGCCTCGTCACCCATGGTGGTCGTCAAGCAGGCGAAATGGTTCGTACCTTCGATCAGACCTGCCGCCTGCAGCGACTTGAAGAAGCCGCAATCTCCACTACGACCAGCGGCATGGAGATTGTGTCTGACAAGCGCAACGCGTTGCGTCCAGTGTAGCTGCTTGGCATTGACAGTGGCCATTCTTGGTTTCGAGTCTGATGGGATTTGTGATGAAGTCTAGATTACTCTTGCTCCGCGGAATATGTACAAAGATGGAGGAGAATCCGAACAATCTGATAGAAACGGAGGCGGAACGGGCAGAATGGGAGCACTCACACGAAGTATATCAGGTTTGTGGGATCCATTGTTACGGGAGGTGGTAATAGGAGGCTTGGACGTCAGACGGCGAGGCCGCAAAAGAGCTTTTGTCGAGTAGACCCGAATGTAGGGTCAGCTCGCGTCCCCTTGGCAAATATTTTATCTGTTCCACCGCAGGTTCCAGTTGCAAGCAGATGGTACCGAGGAATGTGTGTGGGAGCCAGGCAGTTGGGATTGCTGTTCTTTGTGAGGAAACTGTTCGCGGAAGGCGTTCACTCGAACATCGAACGTCAAGCAGGCCTACGCGGTGGGGAAGACAAAGCCGTTGCAGTTCGAGGACAGGCGTGCTTTGTATCTTGTCTTGCCTGCCAGGTAGACGTGACGTCGAGTACTAGCGTTACCCAGTATCACATGCGCAGATGTAGAATTTCGATCGAAGATCTGTCGATATTGACGTAGGGAGGATGAACATGTGAAATGAGGAATCAGATGTGAAGAAGACGCGTTGTACTTGGCCCGTGCGTTGGCGCTAAGCAACTTCCCCTGCTCTTACCCTTCACGAACATCACCTCCCTCTCCATTATCGACATCAAATTTGTCACTTCCAGCATCCTCGTCATCCACTTTCTTCCGTCCAGAATTTCCTGCAATGGCCGCATCCAGATCAGAAATCAAGCAATACACCGCGGAGTACTTCGTCGAAAGTGCTGGGACAAAATTCTCTTCAATGGGTCCGCTGCGGAGGTGCTGCTAATGTACTGGCATGACTGGGAAGACGACTGCTCACCAAAGGCCGTCGCAATGTAGGCGAGAGTCGTAGTGCGACCGCCATGCGCGAATCCAGAGAGGCAACCGGATATGCGTGCAAGCTCTTACCAGTCACGATGCGAAGCCGATGCACCCCTGATGCCTGTGAGAAGCAATTATCGGTCAAGCTATTCGGCTTTGACGAGGCCTTGAGAAGACGTTCTTACGCGTCAGACCGCGAGATCTTGTAGGCGGCCAGCGACCCCTTCAAGGCTTCATATGACAAGAAGCAGCAATTGTAGAACTGCGAATCTCGGTTGAAGCTTTGTGTATCTGACTGGACGTTTGCCAGTGTTCTTTGTCAGAGATCGAGCTTCATGTCCAAATTGGCGTGGTCTCCAAGATCTCACTGAGCAAAGGTTGGCGAACGCTTTGGTCACGCAAGGCCTAAGCAAGAAATCGCTTCACGCTCTTGGTGAGTGTAATACCGGGTCTCGCTCAGCTGCGGAAACGTGGAGGACATATCTCTTGGGTCCGGTCCAAATGGCGATGTCTACACGTACTCGGCACTTGTTCCTACGATATCGGCTTCTATTCTTGTAAGTACCACAAAGCGGCATTGTACTGCGTTCTTTGTTGCTGTTGGCTTTCAGTGCTTTGAGTGGGTTGCCTCGAGCGTTTCGTTGGGATATCAGCGAGAGATACTCCCCTGTAATGCCGACACGCTGCTGGACAGCAAAAGAGTAACCTCAACAAGAATCAAGTCCACAAAGCTGGCAGTGGGCCTGTACAGTATGACCTCCGAACATGCCTTGATGGTGACCGGCAATGACGAGGATTATTGCACTCGTTTCTGCTGTTCTGACTTCAACAGATTCAACGACGTCAAATTGACCCACCAGCCCAACCTTACGAACGAAACGATTACGCTTCTCGCCCCTGAAAACTTCCCATCTCACACCGACTACTCGATAGTACGGCCTTCATGCCAACTTGCCAGCCAGCTTCTCCAATCTGCTCCTCGCTTCCTGGTTACGATGACCGAAGGTGACCTTCATCTCTCCAAGGAGAGCGACAGTAAAGGCCGAAAAGTAAACTGGGCTGAGCTCGACGCGATGCGTGATAAAGATGGTAGACCGTATCTACCCAACTTCGCCAGATATCCTACACCACAGCACGATAGAGCCGAGGAGTCCTTTTTTACAAAGCGAGCCAGTTGGATTCTAGACCATCTCTCTGGGATGCTCGTGTTCGAGACACATCAGCCACTTCCATCCGGCGTACGTGGCATGACACAGAGACTACCTGGTCCCTTGGAGCCCGCACTTGCCAAAGCTTTCCCACGAGGCGTTCGAAGTCGCATTGCCGTGAGTAGAAAACTCTACGACGAGCTGTCGGATCGTACAAAGGCAGCGCAGGTACGGAATCGTCCATCTCGCTCGCTTCTCATCCTACAGTTTCAACTCGCTAAACTGCTGCTCCACGAGCTCGGACACGCTCTCAGCAACGCCGTGCAGGGGAACACCAGTTATGGCGAGAGCTTCCATCGAGACTGCGATTTGGCGGAAATGGGCTACGCGCTCGAGAATGCGGTGTTCGGTGGGGTTCTGGACATGAACACGACTCTCTGTGCAGCCAACCTTGATCTTTGCGTGAATGCTCGTCGAGAGTTGCCCCAGCTTATGTCTCAGGCAAACTTCGCTTTACACGCCTGGCCGGATGGTAAGACGCAGTACCATTATGAAAAACTTGGTAACCGACTCTTCAGGTCGAAACGAAAAATGCCTCCGGTCACCAAGGTACAGAGAGTCGACATGAAGTTCTTGACGGCCCTGTTCAGCGACGGATTTTGGTGTCAAGAGCATGTTTTCGAGCCCTTAGCTTTGCCAGTCAAAGGAACATGGTACGAGCAAATCGATAAGAACTCTTCAACAGAACATATTGAAGAGGTTGCCTGTGAAATCTCTGACCTAGCAGACGTGGAGTATCCGAAACGAGAACTACAAGAAATTGTCGCAAGGGAAATCGCTTCTGGAACCCGATCGCCTTTCCCCTCCAATTCTACTGCTATCTTTGAGCTTCCAGTACCTCTTTCTCCGTCACATCGAGCCATCGCGTACATGGCTAACAAGCCTCTTCCGACACTACCAATCAACAGAGTCGCTGCTCAGATGGATCTGCCGGGACCTACCTCGTACAAGATACTCGAACAAGACGGGAGTATCCAGGCTGGCCAGCTCCATGAGAGCATGAAGATCGTTCCTATTGCGGCTTTGCATCTAGAACGCGAGACAGGGTCGAAGCGCTCAACATGTAATTCACGTGATGATCGAGAGTCTTCATGTCGTAGGTTTGGTCGTTGGATCAGCATCAATTTCAGGAGATGAGATTGATGGCAGACATAGGTCCGAAATATCAGACAACAATTTGTATCATCATGGCTTTCCACTTCTTTTTGACGGTTGAATCTCTTCTTTGGACACAGTCTCTTCTAGTGTCCCAGTCGGGCAATGGGGCAACGGAGAGTTGCACAGTAGCCGATGAGCAGTTGGCACCATCGAGAAAGCCCTTTGAGAGACATGGAAGAACTGACTGGCTAACTCTCCAGCCAATACAGTTCTCAACATGGTATGTTGCTCGCATCACTGTTGGTAACATCCCTTCAGTCCTGTGTCGTTCTCTTCCAGAACGTCTCCGATATCTCAGTGACTTTCATGGTACCAGAGGGCTCAATAAATTACAATCAGTTGGTCAATTTCGGGAATGTCCTGCCAGGTGATTGATCTTATCCACAGGTAGGTGCATTCCTCAGGCGAGGTTGCCGACGTGTGGCGTACTCTCTAGCCAAAGGTCGCTGTTTACCGTATATAGTCTCCAAAATCTCAGCAATTACCGTGGAAATGAAGAGACAAATCGAGCAAAATCAGCCGGATCGCTTTTGGGGATTTCTTGCTTGCTGATGGTTCTAATGTGATTCAACCGTTCAGGCTGCTTGGTGCCATGGTGGAAGTCTTTGCATGACCAAAAGATATTCGAGTCCTCATTATCTCCAATATTTCGCAACTCATCATGGTACTGGGAAGTCACAATGAGCACAATCAACGGTTGTAATTGTCGGGATGTCCTGCATAAACGCTTCCTGCCTATTTCAGATCCACGCTAGCGCTAGCGCGGATCACCTGCACTAAAATTCGCTTCACAACTGCAGCTCTTCCACACCAAAACATCAACCAACATGTCGGCCAAGGGCAAAGAGCGAGCGCTATCGCCAGCGAAGGGCGAAGCGCCACACGTCTCCACGCGCCAGTGGATCAAGTGGGAGGGCGAACAGAGCAGCGAACCCACCAACACCCTCGTCGTCACCTCTGCCGGAAACCGCTTCGTCGACATTCGCGTGAAGAAATACGACCCAAACAGTGGCGTCCACGATTTCCCAGGTCAGAATGCATCTACCAACTCGTACTCACACGCAAACGCTGATCTATCTCATCAGGTATCCAAGGTTTGCACCAATTGGATTGGGCATTCGCAGGCACATCTTCGTCGGAACGCAAGCAAGGCGAACATTTCCAGACGCACTCGAAATGGTTCCACTGGATCGACTCCAATTCCGCGCACCCAGACGAATTCAAGGACGAAGGCACCATGATTCCCGATTCTTCTGGCAGAGTGCTCGAGCACGGCACGATGATCCATCCGGTCAAGGGCGAAATGACACCATACACAGAGTGCTGGTTGGATGCGCCACTGAAGAAGACAGCCGAGCAAGATCAAGGAATCTGGAACGCTGTCCTGGTGTTGGACGAACCTGAAAAGATGCGCAGAGGCATGGTTATTCGAGTAGGGCAGGTATGCCAGGGCATTTTACGCGAGGGAGCAAGGTTCACGGTGGAGCAATGGACGTGGGCCGTCGAAGGAGGATGGAAGAGGTTGACTCGCATGGGCGATGACTTCCTCCCGTGCGGCATGGCAATGGATCCGGAGAGATTGGGTAAGACCGTCACCTTCAAACACCCCGAGGGACCAGACAAAGATCATGTCTGGGAGGTAAAGGAGCGCAAATTCTACTGAGCAGCAGAGCTCGTGTGGATACTCCAGTCACGCATGATGAGCGCGAGGGCATGAATAGCTACGCAATAGCATCGAGCAGGTCAATCAACAGACATTGTTTGACGAAATACACTCGGATCCGTTCTATGTTGACAATCTCCACGCTACGAACAGCTCCGAGATCCACATTCAGACATGTTTCAAAATCGGCTTCAGCGTAAGGCTCAGCCACGTGCACTCAACCCGAACTTCAGCATTCTGTCTGAGTCCATGTTCCCATCAACTCTGAATGCGGTTCAGCAGCATGGTATCCCCAAACAACTTCTGCGGTCAAGGCAATTTTGTTCAATTCAACGGCCCTCAGCGTGTCGTGGTTTGGAAAGTGACCCTTCATGGAGCTGCCTGAGGCAGGATCTTGCTGATGAAGAGGACAGGTCCAAGGCCTCCAGAAATGTCCTTGCTGGTAGAATAGAGGTCCCTGGAAAGGATACGAAAGACTTTCCGCGGAACCTTGACAACTGTCTTTCATCGCAAAGATGGCATCAGTACCTGATCATTCGATTCTAGCTCTTCTCAATCTGTCCCTTGTGGTCTATATTCCCCATCTCTTGGTGCCCACATCACCCGGATCGAAGTGCGGCCGGTACATTTCAACATCATCAATGATATCAAACAGCCCATCGACCTTCGTCCTCAGCTCTTCCGTCGCGCTGTCCGCTCCGAGGATGGGGTGCTTCGCGGCACGTACTCGAAAGAGCAACTTGAGAACCTCGAATTCAACAGCCGATGCCCTGTTCCTTGCCGTGACGGGGTTCTTGATAAGCATTCGTGTTGCAAACTGAGAACGTGTAAGAGCAGCTTGACCCACTTGCGTTATAGAAGCTTCTCAAACTTGAATTTGCCTGCGGAATCATTATCCGGTTCCATTCGAAAACGTACCCGTGCCGCGCTCTTTTCATCAGAGATGCCATTGAACTCCCCGTTATATCGATGCTCCAATGCCGCGATAAGCAGCTGGGTAGGTGAACGGAAGGCTCGTCGGTCAAAGAGACCTAGCATGATCTCGATGAGAACCACCAGGCAGCCGCAGATGGTGACTGCCACTCCGAGGTACGCAGTCCGCGAAGACATTCCATACGCCCAAACATATATCTGTGCCTCGCGCTGTAACAGGGGGTGCTCCGGATCTTCCGTAGTTGGTGGCGTTGCGGTCTGAGTACTGTTGTATTCGATCATGCTCAACGTCTGCAAAACCGGAATGAGACCCACGCCATTCAGGTAATCTCTCAGGCTCCAAATCGGGTCCAAAGTATTTCTGGTCTTGTAGAGCTTGGCGAAGTTGTCAAAGAGCTTCTGAGCCCGCGCTGGCGCCGCTCGTGTTGCGTCAACAATGCCATTGAAATCTGCTGACCATGCGGCTAGAGTCCAAGCTGGGTCAACAGGGACGGAAACCAGAGGAAACATTTCATTGGTGAAGTTCAGCGTCGTGATGGAGGACCAAAGTGGATTCGAAACCCAAGACGGATCGAGGGTATAGTCTGCAAAAGATCGAAAAGCAACAAAGTCGATTGCTAGATGAGTATTGTTCGCAAACCCTGGATCGTCTGAGGGGTTCCAATCGAATTGGACAGTGGTCACATTCTCGGAACGTGGCTTGAGAAATGGGTCAGAGGTTCCGGTCCTCCAGAAGGCATCCCAATCACATTCGCCTCGGTCGGTACCTACTTGAAGGCTGTAGTCGAGACACTTCGCTGAGAAGCCAGCGGATGTCAATGTTGAAGGCAAGTTCCCATTGGGTAAAAAAGCGGCGTATGGCGTGAAAAAAATGTTGAATTGTAGGTATGGTCCAAAGTGGTCAATGTCCTTGTTCCACTTGCGATCAATGCTGAAATTGGCAGTCTTGTATCCAGACCAACCTGTCCCGAGCGGAATGCATCTTGTATAGTTCCCCTCTTTTGCTGCAGCACACGTTCCCCAGCATCTTGGCGTGTTAGTAAGGTTGTAATTCCTGTAGCACCTGACGGATCTGTTCGTGTCAAGCAAGACCGTAAAATGCTTCTCGGTATTGTAGCCCATCCAAGTGTGGACAATTCCACCAAGAACCGGCCCTCGCCGGTGGATGTAGGTCTGAACAGTATTGTTGTACGGCACGAACGAATCAAAAGTAGCCGTATCCGGGAGCTCATTACGGGCATGGCCTTTGGACAGCCACTGTACCCACTTCAAGTCTGAGCTTAGTTGCTGGAGCACTTGTCGGTTGGGTGTCCAGATGACGTACTCAACGTTGCCCTGTGGTGTCGGAACGATGGTACTGTTGTATCTGAATGAGACCAAGTCTTGCGCACTCACGATTGCCGTGTCCGTGCTTGTGGTGGTGAAAGAGCTTTCAACCCAGGAGTCTAAGTAGTTCGGTGTTCGGCTTGCGCATGAGTAGTGTCTATCCGTGAAGTTTCCAGGAGTGCATGGAAATGCATCTTGGCGCGCAAAGCCGCCGATGCTGGGAGGATTGTTCGACTTCCAATTGTCGAATGTCGAGTTTCCAAAAGCTTTTGTTGGCTGCCACTGGAGCGATGGCAGAACCAGAACGGCGACACTGGGGCCCATCAAATTGCACAAGATGCACAGGAAGATGGTGATCGCTATGAAGACCCAGATTCGTTTTCTAGCCTTTCTTGCGCTCGCTCTTCTCCCTGGCATTCGTCGAAGGGTCGACCACAAGGCAGAATCGAGCAAGCTAGCCAGCTCAGCGAATTCGCTTGGTCGGGTGAGGTATCCGACCGGAATGCCACTTGGTCTGTCTGCCAGCTTCACCGTAACCATGTACACCAGCCAAGTAGTGATCAGTATGAACCAGACCTCCAAAGCCTTTGCGGCGAGTTGTAGAGCACCAAGCAGGTTGTGTGATTCCCTATCATTCTTCGCCGTCAACTGTGTAGCTTCTTTGGAGCCTCCAATGTAAATCTCGGGATAACATCGCCCTCCAGGACACCAGGCACTTGCACCTATAATGCGTCCCTTGATATTTAAAACGAGCAGCACAGTTATCGGCACTGTCCACAAGAGTGCGAATGCTTGGGGAAGGACGACCCGCAGGAACGGCAGCTTCTCCGGAGCCTGATGGAGTGTTTCCGGCTTCAGAGGCTCGGTGTCTGATTCAACATCCCTACTGCTATGGACAGTTGTGCCACTGAAGTGTGTACCTGGAGTATCTGGGCTTCGATGAGCTTCGTTCAGTCGAGTAAGCTCTGTGTCCTGAGAAATGTCATCCGGCAGCGCGTCGTTGCGAGAGTGAAGTGAGGCCATACTCTTGAGCGCTGAGCAGCTGCTTTTGATGAGCCCAGTATTAAAGATAGATCAGCCGCAGGAAGGCCGACGAGATGCAGAAAAGCTTGACAATGATATTGTTGATGTAGAATCGCAAGCCTTGTTTGATCAGGTTGATGGCGTTATAGTAGGGCCGCCCTAGCAGAGCCTCTTGTGTAACTGCCGGAAGCCATCCCACCATCAATAAGCAAAGCCCCAAGCTGGTATATGAGCTGATCTGTCGCTTCGCCGTGTTTGGCCCCCAATCTACAGCCTCATGGGCTTGGCGCAGGAGCTGATGCGAAGCAGACGACCTTGATACTTCTGTGATTGGCCACATTGCGCCCCGAAATGCAGCCTGTCGCGCTATTGAGGAACACCTCTGCATGATTAGAATTCCAACCTGTGCCACCTACACTCAAGCAGCCTGAAGAATCGCCCGCCTCGGCAGCTTTCTAAATCGCGTGCTAGCTCCGATTGTCATCCTAGGCATGCTATGAACATGTGAGTAGCGTCTTGCAGCCCCATACGGGAACCCATGGCCAGAAAAGCGCAGGATTCGCTCGTTGTCTTGGGCTAGGTAGGGTTCGAACGGGGAATCCGACAGTAGAAGGCATAACGAACGTTGGAAAGGTCCATGTCATCGGTCATACTGTGAGTTCGGTCTTTCAATTATCTTTTCAATCTCGGTTCCGGATGCACATGCGTTCTACTTCGCCTCGTCCATCGCAGAGCGACGCGGTGAGAGGACGCGCCAGTCGACAGGTTTCCTGCGCACCAGGCGGCATCATACCGGTAGAGGTCGCATTCGACCCATGTTGAGATCGTAGGGCTTAAAGTAAGCGCGAGGCTGTTCGTGGCCAGCTGCCTCTCTCGCTGGTAGAATGAAGTGTTCACTTAAGAATGAAACGGAGAAAGTGAAGTGAGCAGACACGAAGTCTCGGGCAAGGGTCTCCTTGCTCCAGCCGCACGTGATCTTAACTTTGGCAACACCTCAGCAACTTCTAATGAACGCGATCTCCAAACGATAACTCAACTTCGCCAAACATAACGAGCTCACACCCAAGTCATCGTCGAGAATTGATTGTGCCGGGCCGACAAAGCTATCGCCGAATCAGACTCTCGACCCTCGAACTCGAAAAGAGACGACTAAGATGTCGTACGGCTACCAACCACCTCCCAACCAGCAATACTCGGCTCAGAACAATCTCAACTTCTATCAGTCCTCGTTTCCACAGCAGCCAGTATCAGGTCAAAGCACACCGTTTCAAGCAGCATACGGCGGGGGAACACAGAGCCAGGCATACGCAGCATCAGGCGCATACGGAGGAGCATCTGCGAATTATGGATTTGGCTCGTTTGCAGGCCAGCCCGGCGTGAGTGGGCAGATGGGCACAGGCTCAGAAGGACTGAGGACTGGCATACTGGCTGCATTTGGAACAGAGGGATACCCAGGCGAGCCACCGTTGCTTGAAGAGCTAGGCGTCAACTTCCAACACATTCAGACGAAGGTACATTCTTGAAGTCGCACGGGCATGTTCGTGCATTGCACATACTAATACGGGCGCAAAATCAGACACTCACAGTTTTGAATCCCATGGCACGGATAGACAATCACATCATGGACGACGCGGACCTAGCAGGACCCTTCCTCTTCTGCGCCTTATTCGGAACCTTCCTCCTATTGGTATGTTGTTCCACACCCAACAAGCGTTCAAATAGCTGATGTGCTCGCAGTCTGGAAAATTATGGTTCGGATACGTATGCGGCCTTGCTGCTCTTGGTGCCTTCGCTCTGCACTTCGTCTTCAGCTTGATGTCACCACCACTCTCCCAGGAAGAGTCAAGCGCCGCTTCAAGCTCTCACAGCGCCTACCACGGATCCTCGCATTTCTCCTCGACGCTTACATTGGGCAGATCAAGCTCCGTTCTGGGATACTGCTTGCTTCCGCTTGTCTTCGCGAGCCTTCTGGGAGTCGTGCTGCCACTCGACACCTTCATCGGATACTGCGTTGTCACCCTGGCCATTGGTTGGTGCACTTACTCGAGCTCCGCGATGTTCACCGTGGTAGGCCGCATGACGAACATGAGAGGTCTTGTGGCGTATCCGTTGGCTTTGTTCTACGTTGGATTCGGCATCATGGCTGTCTTCTCCAGCCGTGGAACTGGTAGAATTGACGCCATGACCAAGACTGGCGCAGCTTGAGCGGTGTTAAGAAGGGAGATCTCATACTACTTTCAGAGACTACATTCTTGAGGCCCCTAGAGCGTCAGACTGCTGGAACGCGATATTCCGATTTCATCCTCTGGACACAACGCTCAGCCATACTGAGTATCAAGCTGCCTGGTGACCAAAGGCTATTCGTTACCATTGAGGCATCTCGCTCCTTGGTTGCATACATCTCTTCCTGCACCACCAAGCTTCGCCAGATCCGACCTTCAATACTTCTCAACAATGTCGCAACGAATGCCTCTGCGAAATCCACGCTGCCTCGTGCAACGATATAGGCAGTGTTGCATTCAGGTCACGAGTCGGATAGGGTCTGCCTCTGTGTCTTCGGAGAAGAGCGATAGGGAACAGGCTGAGCACGGGAGACGCGTGCGGCCATTGCAGAGTCTCGCTTTCCAGGTACCCGTGCCTTTGGAGCTGTAGCGCAAATCAATCGGCCTAGCAGTACAGATGGCGTCAAGTGCAAGACGAAATGTGCCAGCCAGCTTCTCCCCTTCATTCCGTCAACGTTTCGATCTCATCGGCTTTATCATGATCAGTTCATTCGCCTTTCTGTCGTTGATGCTGATACATAGCCTGAAGGCAAGGGCCCCAGCACTCGGAAGTCCCCAGTTGGGTTTGTTCCTTCCCTCGACACTCACACTCGTTTCTCTTTAGCTCGACATGCGCGTTTGTGCTCTGACTGTTTTCGAGATCAATATCCCCGAACTTTGAGCCATTGCAAGGCAAGCAGGCCGGAGCCTTCACTTGGAAACACGTGCGTAGCAACATGCGACTTTGTCTTCACTTGCCATCGCTCTCTCTTTCGGTGTCCACCTCTTCCACCCCGGCGTACCATCGCCTTGCATCCAACATACTGCCTTGCCCATACAGAACAGCCGTCCACAACCATTGCAGACCGGTAGTCGAGCTTTCGGTTGCGAAGTCGAAGAAGCCGTCGAGCTTTCATCGGCTTCGTAGCCTGTTTCATTTCCGCTCTGCGCAGGGGATGAAGCAGACGCCGCTCCTGTACAGCAAAGCTGTGAAGAACCTGTAGCCTGGTTTTCTGAGGCAGGCTTGAAAATCGCGGCCTTCTCCCTTCCACCTTGAATGCTTATTATCCTCGGCGTACCCGCTCTCGCCACTTGTGGTGTGTAGATGGCTGTAGTAAGCCTCTTCCCGGAGTGCTGAGTTCCTCCAGTTCCCGTTCGAGGGCGGTATATTACTGTAGTAGCGGCAGTGGGTCTTTCCTTTCCTTCAGCTTCATCAGCTGCTTCGGATGCCATGTAAGGGTCGGAGCTGTCCTGTTAGTAATCGAGGAGCCAGCTCCTATATCTATTCCAGGTACTTGTCGCACGTGGTCTAACAAGCGCTGGTAGGTTTTGGCGCGATCGCTGCAAAGGAAGGATGGAGGTCCAGTCGTTGGAATCTTGCAAACTATTGCGAATGCCGATGCCGTTGTCCTCGTCACGATTCTACATACCTATACAGAGTCGAGTGTTACAGTTTGTCAGGTAGGTGTCCCATGCACCAGAACGCCACGCTTCTCACGCAATGCGATGCAATGCCACGCCATGCTCCATCTGATCATTACGCTGGAGCCAGTCCGTCGTAGGAAATTAGTAGCCCACACATCTTGTCTCATTCAATTCACCTCTTCTGTCTTGCCAGTTCCTCTCTCACACTGGCTCCGCTTGCGCGCCACCAGACATCAGAACCCCATCTGAGCATCCTCTCGCATGCTGCGGTCGGTCCATCGACCGCAGGGCGTACATCGAGATAGAACACAGGCTCGCCTGTAGGCTCTGGAGGCCCAGAGTAGTAATCGATCACATATCGCACTTCCTGCGTCTTGCCACTGGGTCCGTGCCGCTGCACAAACCAGTCGTGACGGTCGAAAGGTGGGTTGTCTGGAAACGCTGCGGGATATACGCGCGCCATAAAAGAAAGCATTCGCGCCTTGGGAGTCGGCTCATTCGGTCGTCCTTGGAATCGCAAGAGCTTTGGCTCTGATTCCTCTTCGCCTCTTGTCCGTCGTAAGGCTTCCAGTGCTTGGAGCTGTGCAAAGCCTTCTTCACCTCGTGCGCACTTCTCCCAACCCTTCCAGAGACCTTGTCCAAACCGCGCTTCCCAGCCTTTGATCTCTTCCCATGCTCCTTCATTCAGGAAGTTGTGCACGGCAACCATGCTTTCCACATGTTCGGCTGGCGTGTCCGTGTATCCTTTGCGCAGCATCGCGTTGTACATCTGCTGTGGCGAAGGATATTCCCAAGTTCCTTCTCCATCGCCACGAGGTATTGTTGAAGCTTCGCGCTGCAGTGGTAGATTGATGCTCTGGTTGCTGGATTCGCGCTTATTCGAGATGCTCTCGGGCATATAGTTGAGCGGGTTCAGCTTCGATATATATGAAGGCGACGCGCTGGAAGACGATGAGGGTGGGTCGTGTTTGACGGGGCATGCGCTCGGTCGTTCCAATGTCGAAGATGTTGGGGCTGGCGGAGCGAGCGTGGATGTGGTCTTGTTGTGCATAGGACATGATGGCTAACGGCATGTCAGTATAACTCCCGTATAACGGAATCATTGGTATACACACTGGAGGTTGCGCATCCGATCTCGCTGGTATCGGATGAGGGGCTGATGGTGGTGATGTTGTTGTCGAGTCCGCCCAGAACCAGCCCATGTTTGCGTAGTTAGGATCGCCTGGCGAATGTGATTCAGGTATTCGATTGACCGTTGATATGAGATTGGTGACGGAGGCAACAGAAGAAAATGCTGTCACACTATGAGAACGCGAAGCGTATGACGCTTGGACCGTCTTACCAAAGAGCTGCCGACACGCCAGCAAGGGTCTCTCGGCCCGTGAAAGCCAATCTCTCTCCCGATCTCTTCCGAGTGAACGTCTCTTCAATACATATCTCGCATCCTACTTTCCACGACGGCTCTGGAATCTACAAGTTGTACCTACACGCGCTCGCGGAGAAGGGTTTACGGTATGAGGCAGATCTAGCGGTAAACAATCCGTCAGCAGAAGAAGGTGTCAGACCGTCTTCAGTTGGCATATTTCCGGACCAGATACCGCAAATGCCACTGCGCTCCTCACCGACCATGCCCGGAGCAGCAGAGCAGAAGCAGAAACAGCAGGTCCGCAAATCCGGGCAGCAAAAAGAAGAAGACTATAATCCGCCGAAGGCGGGTCAGTCTTCAGAAGGTAACGTCACGTCGCGTCCGGTACGCTACGTACGGAAATTGAATGTTTTCAAGCCGCCAAAAGCTCCCTCACTCGCGGAAAATTTGCTCATTATCTCGGGATTCAATGGAATGACCCGCTACGTCTTCTGCCTCACTTTGTTCAATTCCTGAACGATCCACGACGCTTCCCGGCGAAGCGTGTCCACCAGCTTGGGCAGTGATTCCACCGTCATGGGCACATGTCCCTCGACACGTCCATTGATATCCTTCCAATCCTCGAGAGCCTCAATCGCTCTCGCATTATGCCTTGTCAATGGCAACCAAGCACTCTTGAATTCCTCCACAATGTTCTTCACGTCTGTGTGCTTTTCTATCATACTACGCCCCGGGTAATCCCTGAAATAAACGTACTGTGCCAGGCATTCTTCGACAGCACGATTCCTGTAGCCAATCCGTTTCAGCTTGTCCATGCGGACACCACAAACAGCCGTTGCATGCTTTGTGACAGCTTGCAATCGCCAGTATAGTCGTGCTGATTCGAAGAGCAGTTTGTCGTTCAAGTACAAGACTTCGTTCATGGCTAAGAGGAGAGTCTCGTCTTGCATGTGGATCTTCTGAAGTGGAGTGGTGATGCTTTTGAGGAAGTTCGACAAAGAGTTCTTGCTGCGGGCCAAGTAGCGCGTGGAGATCTCACCATCACTAGGGGTTCGAAGACCTGACAGCAAGGTTTCCGCGCTCTGCTGTGTGGTATTGAGCCAAGTGATGAGCTCGTTGTCGAGACGGATGCTTGCTTCTATCAGATTCCTGAGGGAGATCTCGCGAATGTTATGGGCGTGCTCGAGAGCATCCTTGAAGTCAAAATACCGGAGCGCCGGTATTCCAGAGTCGTGAAGACGTCCCGTCCACTCTGTGAATGCGGACTCCACCAAGTTGTTGAAGCTTTCGCTGACAAGATTCGTATAGACAGTGCTCGGCAGCTGGGGATTGCCAACTCTAAGATGGTTGTTCATCGCATGCAGAACTGGGCCGTAATGTGACGCCCCAATAGGATGGGTGACGATCGATGCTGCATCGTACTCCGAAGGCAACGTAATTCCAGAAGAGCCCGTAAACGCCTCGAGGAACGTTTTGAACCGGGCGGTACTGCCACGACTGCCCATATTCTTTAGACTTTCTTGTACAAGCTCAGCTTGCTCTGACAGCGTATCAAAATGGTCAGCGAAGTTTTCATAGACCTCTTTCATGTGCGCAAATGCCATAAGCCCATCATTGATGAGTGCTGGCATTGCGCCGCGATCGACGACCATACTCGAGCGCAGCAGCTTCTCGTTCTTGAAGTTACATTCGGCGAATGCCCCCTCCTTGGTCTGGAACAACGGAGGCTTCTCATTCTGACACGCGTGTTCGCACTCATCGTAGACATTGTCGAGCCGCAAAGAGAAGACAGAGAAGTCCCTTGTCAGGCGATGTACCAAGTTAGCGATTTCGTCCGCTGCCTCTTGAGTCTCTCTAGCATCGTTCTTCTGCCGAATAAGATAAGACTGCCACTTTGGAAACCATCTGTTCGCCGTGTCGAGATTGTAGAATGGCAAAAAGACGGCCATTTTCTTCTGCCAATTTGGAGACTTGTCGATCTGCTTCCAGGCTTGTACTGTCTCCTCAGAAACTTGTCGCACAAGTCGGAAATCGCTGATGTGCTTCTGGAGGATCAACGTATTCATGTACGCCGTACTCTTCTGTTCGATTTCTCGAGACAGCTGCTTCAGCTGCCGCCCTTGTTCTACCAGGTCGGTGAATTCGAGGCCCCTAAGCTCAGGCTCGTCTCCTGACACGACCCAATTCTCGTTGAAGCTGTCCAAGTTGTCGACCAGATACTCTATCTCAGCGTTGACTTTGATGATAATTTCGCCATCGTACTTTCCAACACTAGCCGGGTTGCTAGTGAAGCCTTCGATGGCATCCTTCACATAGTCGTTGTACATCTTCAGTCCTAGAGGATCGACAGGAATTCCAAGAGTCTCTCCTTCAATTTCAGTTTGCACGTTCCAAACATTTCGCGAAAGCCACTGATTGATGCTGAGTATTCCATAGACGAAGACAGAAAAGAGGACGGCTATCCGAAGAAACGTGGACCAAGAGATGTGTAGTCTATTGGTAAGTGGAGTCGGTGCCATCTTGCTCCGCTTGGCAGAAACTTTCTCAAGGAGGGCTTCCGGGAGCAGTGGTCTGTCAGGCTCCCATCGTCCGCGAGTTGACGACTTCGAAGAGCCTAGCAAGTGGGCTGAATCCGAGCCCTTCGATCTGCTATGCCGGCTCCAAAGCCCTTTGACCGGCGACGTCAGAGAATCCGTGCCATAGGTTGGCTTGCAATCTCGCGGTCTCGTCGTAAATGGTTCTTCAAAGCTATCATCATCATCCTCGTCTTCGATATCTTGCTGCACCACAGGCGACTTAAGCGAAGGGATTACATCTTCCTCATCGAGCCAATGCACAGCGCGCGGCTGTCGACTCCTTGTGAACCATGAATTCGGTGATCTCAGCTCCTTGTCTCCTGACGGTTCTCTCTTAAGCTCCCCAAGCTTCTTGTGTAGTTTATTGCGCTGAACCCACTTGTCGCTACGAGCCAATCCGAAGCATTCCTTTGCAGATGGCAGGCGTCTCCGTGGCTTCAGGAGCGGATGGCGCCGTTCTTCGTATTCATTGTCCGCCATGTTATATAGACTGCTGACGACTGTCTCGTGCGCTGATCAAGGAAGAGTGCGCCATGGTAGGTCCAGGTATGCTAGGGATCGCCAAAGCGATTGACCTACCCCCTTTGCGGTTGCTACGGCCTTCTTTGTCCTCAGCGTTGTTGTTCATTGTGGCCGGATGCGGAGCCATTGCTACAAGTTGTACGTCGAAGGAATTTCTTCGACCCTAAAGCCAATGCTTGATGTCGGTAACAAAGAGCATTCCTGCTTTCCCAGGGCGCTGGTCAGATTGCCCAGGACACCAGCAAGCTTGTCAGCTGTTCCAAACAGCGACCTCATAAAAGGACTGAAACCGGTTGAACACGTCGCGCATTTTGGCAAGACACCAACGTATCGTCGCGTGCGCGACGAGTGGATCGATGTCACAAGAAAAATCTGATAAGATTGTTGCTTTGATCTTATCAGATCATGCAGCTTCCACAAGATGCGAAACGGTTGGCTGCAACCCATGTCAACGCCCGTCAAAACCACGGCAGATCCACAGTACCTTGCATCACACTGCGGCCTCTTCTCGATCATTCTAAATACGACGGCGAAATCGGACGGAAAAGCTGCGAAGAACGCGTTGTCGTTCGTTAGGGCGAGCGGCATGTGAAGATCTGCGAGGCTGCTTAGAATGGGTCCAGGGCTAATGTTTCTGGTTTTTGTCTTTTGTTTGTTTCTTCGCCTTTCATTCTCTATCGTCAACGTTGTAACAGATAAAATGTCCGCGTCAAAGGCTATGTCACAAGCCTACCGAACAATTGACCAACAACTCCAGCGCCACATTGTCCGGAGCCGACGCAACTTTGTGACGCCCACATCCCGTGCTCTTCCTTGGAGTCGCGACCAGGCCCAATATGGCTCTGAGAGATCTGCTTTCGGATCCGCAGTCGCGGGCGGAGTAATAGGAGGCGGCGTCGTATTTGCGGGTTGGTACTTGTGGTACAACTATTCTGGAGCACGAGCTGCTGTCAATACGAAAGAGCAAGTAAAGAGCTATATCGACGCGGGTGCCGAGCAGTTCAAAGTTCACTTTCGCGAGATCACGCCAGGCCCGACAGATGAAGTGATCCGATCGCTTCGAGAAGTCGCAGAGAAGTATTCGGCTTGGATACCGGGTGGCCGCGAGTTTGTTGACAAGTCGTTTGAAGACATGGAAAAGATTCGCGAGAGCCATGAGACCGAGGTGAACGAGATCGTGAGGGACGCGTATGAAGAGCTGAGAGATGTAGCAAAGAGGAACGGCACAAGCCTTGAGACTGTCAACGCCACCTGGTATATTCTGTCTCGACGGCTTGAGGAGCTATCCTCCTTGGCGGGAGATGTGGCAGAGCAGGTCTTTACCAGCCATCCGGAGTTGCGAGAGAAGCTGGACAGCTCTTTCGAAGAACTTCGCCAACTTGGCGATCGACTGGGCCCTGGAGCGAAAAGGGAGGTCGATGAAACCTTTAGTCAGATCGCGAACATGGTCAAACAGGGGGTCAATGAAGACACAGGCGACCGGGTCAACAGACTAGTGCAGGAGAAGGCGCGACAGATCAAGGCGCGCAACGAGCTAGCATGGGCACGATCGTGGGAGCAGATGCAGGTTCTGCTCGAGCGGAACCCCCATGTCAAGAAGATCGCGGACGATAACATCGAGACGCTGAAGCAAGGCAGAGCCAAGCAGGTAGCCGAGAAGATCAAGCAAGCTGTTTGGAGTGGGCACACAGGCGAACTCGAGCGGTACATTAAGGATCTCTCGAAGAGGTCGCAGCAGTACTCCAGCGGGTGCCTCTCGAATTGGCTCAACCGACTGCCAAATGGATCCAAGATCTTGCCGCAGCTACAGAAGCTGAAAGAGGCCTCCGACACTAGAATCTCGGAGGCTGAGCGGCTGGCCAAGGGGACTCTCGACGACATTTCGCAGCTGCTCGAACAGAGAGGCCAGCAGGCAGAGAGGTTGCTCCATTCTCATCCGAGAGATCCGAGCGGGTCAAGCACTCTGTGGTCGTGAAGACGTGTGGTTCTTTGAAAGCAATTCGAGCGTTTTGGGCGTCGTGGAGCAGCGTGTATATCTTTCAGACATTCACACATGTCCAACATGTGAGTCCTTTCACTCTTGTGGTATCAATCGACACGTCGCTGTGCTCTTCTCCCTCCCGGTGTCCACCTTTCAAGTGACAATATCTCCTCCGAGTTATTGCCGAGGATCTGTCGCATGCCATTTGGGAGATGGGCCGAGTCGTGCTCTTTCTGTGCAGCGAGGCGAAGCGAACGGTCAGATGGTTGTTCCAATTGAGAGAGGTAGATGTGGAAGAGGAGAAAGAAGGGAGGAGGGATTTGCTTCTAAAAGAGGGAATAGAAGCAACACCTTCTACGGGAGCGGGTCGGGATGTGGCAGGATGCAGGGGCCAGCGGGAGCAATTGCCGCCCATCCTTCCGCGCAGTGGAGAGACGTCACGCCTTCGACGGTCGGCCAGGTACATGTACTCCATCCCACTCCCCAAAGTACTACAAGTGCACAAACATCATGCGGTATCCGTACAGATGAGCACCAATGGAGGAAACCACTCAGCTCACGCGCCCAACGCCGGCTGAAGAGGCCGAGCAGCAGCCTGTCCATGTGCTCGACTCGGGAGCACCAATCCCAGCTCCCCCGCCCTCGAGCTCCGCCCTCTCTGAGCCCCCGGAAAGTGGTGATAAGGACACGCGACCAGGCGCGCCAGAAGAGACTATCTCGGGCTTGGAGTTGCTGGAGAACACTCGTCCTCTGGAGCAAGCCGAAAATGCTGTAAATTCGGTCAATGCCAACGCGACCGGTGCGGCGAGTACGAGCATTGCGGGCTGGGAAGCGGCAAAGGACCAAGTTGCCCACGGCACGGCGCCTACAATTAATCCTCCAATGCCAGCAGCTCGAGGAATCAGTACGCCTAGACGAGGTCGTCCGCCGAAGCGAGCCGGTGTTGGCAGTGTCGCCGGGGGAGGTCACGACCCCAGTGCTGTGAAAACAGAAGACGGAGTGTCGCAAAGCACACCTGGGTCGTCGGGACGCGGTCGGGGAAGAGGGAGAGGTGGAGGTCGTCCGAGAGGAAGAGCTCGCGGTTCTACTGCGAGAGGAGGCAAGCGGAAACGTGAAGACGACGATGATGGAGCTTCCGACTCCAGCGACGAGGTCACTCCAATCGCCACAATGACCAAGTCTGGTCGATCAATCCAGAAACCAACGAGCTTTGTCCCGCCTCCTCAATCTCCTACGACCACACATAAGCGGAAGCGTCCATATAATCGGAGGAATCCGGAATCAGCAGTCTGCAGGGCATGTTTGCGTGGCAATAGTCCTGCCAGCAACATGATTGTATTCTGCGATGGATGTAACACGCCGTATCACCGTTGGTGCCACCATCCGCCTATCGATCAGGCCGTGATAGATGAGACCGACAAGGAGTGGTTCTGTCACGAATGCGAGAGTGAAAGAGTCGTACCCGTACCAGTCGCAGAAGTGGAAAGATTTGTGAGCGCTGAAGGAGCTTCTGCTGATGAGGTAAGAGAACTGCCAATTTCATATTCCACACGCGAAGAGTATACTAAAAACAACAGCGTCAGGCATATTTCTCCACGTTGCCACCGGGAATGCTCATCACACTCCTGACCAAAGCCACCACACTGAAACCGGACCTACCTCTTTTCCCACCCAAATTCAAAGCCCAACTCCAACAGACCGCTTCGGCGTCGACAAACGGCCATGCATCATCATCAATGGCTCCACCAGCGCCGCCTCCTCACCACGGCATCTCGAGGCCGCCACCAGACGAGGAAGAATACGACGAAGACGTCCACCCTCCAAACTACCCACGCCCTGGCCAAGGCCTGCTGAGCACCTTGCCTCCCGAGCAAGAAGATCTGCAATGGCTGGTGGAAAACGACGACAAACATGGAGTGTTCACGCACATCTATCAGGATGATAAGACGATCCAGAAGGCCGTTGCGACTGGCAGCGTGGGCGACGTGGCTGGAACCTGAAAGAAAGAGACGACTATTGACCATATGAGCGTGCATTTAATACGGTGTGGGAACTTCGGCGATGGGTTTTTTTTTCGATGTAATGTGTATTTTTGATTCTGGCTTGCGCTTGCCTAGGTGGGAAAAGGCATCATCTGGGGACCGCGGACTGTGTGTCTGCTGATTTTTAATGTTCATGTATATTACGATCATGTAGTGTCGAGAAGATGATACTACCAGTGATATTTGCCTCGATTTCTGCGGAGCTTCGGCACCAAGGGCTCAGCATTCATATCTACGCCTCTTCTGCGTGAGATTTACTTTCACTATGCATGCAGCCTGAGTCTCCCTCCGCTGACTCTGAAGAAAAAAAAAAGCAGCGAGCAAATACCCCTTCCCATCATGTAGCTCAACCGCCTCACGCCCCGCGACCATCCGTCTTATCATACCCAACCTCCACCCGTCCCTTTACACAACCCCAAAACTCCTCAATAACCCCCTCCTGTCCCTCCCCAGCCCTAACACCCATATACCGCCTCTGATCCACCTCGGGCGCCCAATCCCCCCGGTGACACCCCACCATCCTGCCCCCGGCCTCTTCCAAAACCACCCACCCGGCACACACATCCCACGCCCAACATCCGCTCTCCCAGTACACGTCGAGAAACCCCGCCGCCAAACCGCAGAGATTCAGTGCCGCGGACCCGAGAGAGCGGAGGCCGTGGACCATGGCGCCGCCGGTTTCTTGGGAAGCGCAGAGGGCGGAAAAGGTGGCGGTTTTGACGCGGTAGTCGTTGCCTGAGCGGTCGGAACCCCATTCTGCTGCGACGAGGCAGTGGCTGAGGTCTTGGAAGGGCTCGATGGGGCGGCGGAGGGGGAGTGGGACCCGATTGTGTTGGGGGTCTGTGAGGTGGGAGCCTTGGCCTTTGATGCCGGTGTAGAGCTGTTGCGTGAAGGGGTTGTAGATCACCTGAAAAAAACATTTCATCAGTAATCTAGAACCTTTCACTGCGCAGTTTCTCGAGACAGAGGGAGGGTATACCCACCCCAACAACCGGCCTCCTCCCCACCGCCAACCCCAGACTAACACAAACATACGGATTCCCATGCACGAAATTCGTCGTCCCATCGATCGGATCCACAATAAAAGTCGCCTTCTCGCTCAGAAAATCCCCATCCTTGTACGTCTCCTCGCCCATGAATTCGAAATCCGGAAATTTGCTTCGGAGTGTCGTGGAGACCATTTTCTCGACCGCTTGATCCGTCTCCGTGACGAGATCGGCACTGTTCTTTTTCGTTCCGTGGGCCGAGACGGCAGGCTTCGCGGTGGTGATCATTTCGCCCGCTTGGTAGGCAATCTGTTTGAGAAGAGGGGGGTTTTTTTTAGCTAGCTACTTTTTTGCTGTTTTCCTTGGTGGTGGAGAGGTAGGTAGCATTTGCACATGCATGCTTTTGGATGCAAAGCCTGACGTACCTCGACGAGGAAGTCATGGACTTCCTGGAGGTTGACTGCACTCATCCTGAAGACTTGGGACTGCGGCCTTCTATCTTCAATGTATGCTGATGTTGAAAGCTGTTGTTGGGCTTCAACGCGAGTTTTTGAACTGACGTCGGTGAGAGCTCAACTAGAGGAGAGGTACATGACTAAGCCACCAAATGCCGAAGCTAGGTGGCCTCCCCAATCATTCACTCAATCGAGAGAGAAGAACCACGTGAGGTGACACGTGCAACGCTGCTTACCTGAACCACAGGAAAGTAGACAAGAAGGTCATTAGACAATGCTTCCAACAAATGCTCGCTTTTTCGTCAACTGACCTCCTACATCCGGAATAAGCTAAATAGAGAGAAATCCAAGAAGCGAAGCTGCGAGGCTCAGGGTATCCGAACATTCCAAGCGATCTAGATTCTCATTGCAAGCCGCCCAATTTCGTTAATTCATAGCAATCGTTTCCTTTTGCGGTCATCCGGTCCACCCTCGTCCTCTCCCTCGCGCTCAGCGGTGTCGGCCGGGTTGAGCAGGGAGTGAACATTGCTTGCCATACTACTGCGTCTCGTGGCTGATCCGGGGGCTTCTAGCCCCTTGAAAGGGAAACGAGCGCCGGGTAACTGCCAGCCAGAATCGTTGCTGTTTGCATAGCTGCCTCCAAAGCTGTTGGTGAAGGTAGGCGGAGCGGGGTCGTGCGGTGCAGGCGATTGACCCCTGGAGCCACCATGAGTTGCACGTGGCAGTTCGTATTGAGCTAGAGCGTCTCTTATCTGCTGGTCACCAGGGTTCGCTGGAGCACGAGGGGAAGAGGGCCAAGCGGACGATGATTGACCAGAAGCATAGGGAGAAGTGCCCTGCTGGTGCTGGGGCTGTGGAGGCAGTCCGCCCTCCCAGCCTTCCAGGCGAATGTCTGCAGACGTATGACGTCGCGGAAGACTGGAAGGGGGAGAAGTCATATTTGCGAGTGGGTGCTGCGGTTGCGGCTGCTGAGGTGGAGGAGCTTGTGTGGAATAAGCAGGCCGCGAAGGCGAATACGCGCCACTTCCAGTACTAATGGAGCCGTAGCGACGAGGAGAAGCCTGGAGGTAAGCTGGTACCGGAGCGCGCACGCCAGGAGGTCGTGAAAGACCAGGGAGGCCTTGCAAAGAAGGTCGCCGAGATTCATCAAACGGACGCTGGCGTGGCGACATGGACATGGCTGGCTCCATCGGGCCATTGTTGGGCTGGAAGAACGACGGCCGGTGTGCGAATAGAGGGTCGCGGGGCTCCTCGGCAGAGCGAAGTACATCAATCTGTCGACTGATGTCCTGGCGCATGGCATCGAGGTCGCGATGGATCGGATTGTTGTGGTCTGGAACCATTGTGAGCAGGTGGGAGGAGAGATCGCTGCTCCATTGATGGCAACGGTTCAGCCCTTCCAACAGTATGTGGCACTTGGCACTCATGGCCGAGTACGCTTCTTCGGTGCGTAACAGCCGGGAATGGATGTCGTGGTAATTCCACTCCAACGCATTGAGACGTGCCTCTACAGAACCAGGCTCCGGGACGGGCTCCATTGGGGTTCCCGGCGGCTGAGGAGTAGGGAGTTTTGGGGCACTGGAGAAAGAGTCGCGGTGGATGAGAGCATGTCTCGAGGCTCTCCTCTTGATCTCTCGTAGGCCAACGAGGTCACCACGCTTGAAGTTGCCGGCACCATGTTTGAATTCCCAGAGTGGAGAATCTGGCGAACCCGTGTGGAAGACGTCGCTTACTGTTCGACGACTCAGCAACTGCACGCAGGACCTTTGACATGATACACACCTTTGTGAAATCCATACATGTTTAATTGCCGTACGAAGGAAGAAATATTGGTATGCTTGAAATATTGTCTAACCAGATTAGCCCCAAGGAAGTCCGCGTGGAATAAGCTTTCATGAACTCACGCTAAGACCTTGGAGAATTCGGAGGATGGCGACATGACGAAGCTTTCATTGGTGCTGGACCACGAGATCAGATGTTGGATGCTCTGGTCCTCAAGCATGCTGGTCTGAAGTCAGCAACGTTGAGGTTGGTGTGGGAAACGGCGCGCGATGAAATGCGTACTTGTAGAGCTTGTGAATGAAGGCAGTCTGGACGACCTTGGGCTGTTGCGCTGCAGCGGCGGCTCCCACGGGGTGAGAGGATGACCCATTAGAGGAATCATTTTGACCATCGCGCTGCTGCTGCTGCTGCTGCTGCTGCTGCTGCTGCTGCTGCTGCTCTCCTCGTTCTCCATTGGGACTGGTCGTAGCCGGTGGCCCCATGGAGGACGGTTGTGAGTGACTGACGTCCATTGGCTCCCCTCGTCCAGGGACGGTAGCGGAAGGTAGGATGGGTAGTTGCTTGTGCAAGCTCGGTTTGAAGTCGCGATTGTCACCAGCGAAGGGATCTCTCCTCAAGGGGTGCCCGACCGATGCCATTGAAAGCAAGCCAAGCGTTGTCGCAGCCGGGGACTGGGGAGAAGGCCGAGGTTCCCTTTATCGCGAGCGATGCAGCACGAAGTGCGCGGTATGGTATAGAAGACGAAAGACTTGGCGTGTGTGTTCTTTTGAAGTCGTGATCGAGCTCTTGTGGGACCGTTTGCGTGCACCCTGTTTAGTTCGCGAGCCTGGCCCAGCGCGGAAATCACTCCATGGCTGATGCCCCAAAAGCAGCCCGTCCCCGAGGAATGTCTGAGTCGGCGTGGAAATTTTCTGCGGCCACGGCAAGGCTCCGATGGAGGTCTCGGAGGGGCGAAGGACGAGTCGTGGCAGGCTGTACACGGGCGGGAGAAGGCGATGGGAGCGCTTATGGGGTGTGGATGGAGGGAGAAGAAGAGGCGGCCGGTGCGGGTATAGAATACGGCACGGATATGGCGATTGGGGATAGGGAGAGTGGGAAACAATGCAGCGGTAGAGAATGGTAAGGCGCGCCTTGTGCGGCGACGGGCGTGTGTCGAGGGTGTAGACGCGATGCAATGCGAATGCGGTGGTGCAGAGGGTAGTGGTAGAGTGCACAGTGAGTGAGTGGTAGGGCGTGGAGGAGAAAGGGCCGGGAGTGTTTGAGGTCGAGATCGACAAAGGAGAGCGGCCAGGGTTTTCGCCCCGACGGGAGCAGGCAGGGCCCGCCCGAGTCAATTGAGGTGCAGCTGGAAGGGATAAGGTACTGTGGTACTGTAGCCGAGTGGGAGGCTCGCTGGCTGTCCACCACTCACGGGACGGTCCATGCTGCCGGGTCCCTCGCGTGCTACCACATGAACCAACCCATTCGGATCGGAGCACCGCTCGACCTGTACAGCTATACCGCGTCTTGGCACGTCGGAGGGTCGCGACTCGCATCATCTCGTTGCCCTGATTGGGGTGAGGACTCGGGAAGACGGGAGAAGATCGTTCTGCTGTGGAAAGTGTGGAAGGAGCCACGAAAGTGGAAAGAGCCACGAAAGTGGAAAGAGCAATGGGCACCGAGATCACCTCGCCCTTCGTGCCTTCCTCCATTGAAGCCGTGAGCCAGCACCACCCACCATCGGCCCGCAAGAGACTGCAGGTGCGGCGCGGGGACATCAACAAACGACAGCAGCGGCGACCGTCACCTACCTTCCTTCCATTACTTTACCACCCGACATGCCGACCGGCGCACCACCCATCACCATCTAAGGTACCATCTACCTTGACGCGTCCCCATCTTCGCCATGAGCGACATCACCGGCTTGCTCGCCAGCCTCTCCGAGGCCGAGCGAACGAATGCGTAAGTTGCTGGCGACGCCAGGTAGGTGCCATCTCAATCACTCACTTTCTCCTATTTGTCAGGTTCCGAGCTTTGGCCCAACACCTGAATAAGAGCGAGCGCATCTCTCTCTCCGCCATGTTGTCGGAAAGGGACGACTTCGTTGCGATTTTGCCCTCGGAATTGACCGCCAACATACTCAGCCATCTGCCCCCTACCTCTGCCTGGGTCTTGCAGGTAGTCTGCAAGCGCTGGCAAAAGGTATTGTCCTCCGACGACAACCAGAGAGCAGCTCTCCGCCAGTGGGCAACGCATCATCCCGCGGACAGCGCGTCGATTCCATTACCCGACGAGAGCATTGAGATCAGAATCCAGCATTACCAAGCCATGCGGCTAGGCAAGCCCTTTTCCACCTACACCGTGCAAGACTCAACTCTTGTCCGGCCGGAGCATCACGGAGATCGCTTCCAACCGCCCAGCCCCAGCCTTAGCCAGGAAGGAAGGACATTTGCGCTCAAAGGAAAACGCCTGGCATACATCGCCTCCAGTGGGAGCAAGGTGGTTGTCCACGACCTCGTGTCCGACGACATCCACTCCTTCCGAGATGAAGCTCGACACTCCATCCACGGTCTGACACTCACGAGCAGCGCTATTGCCTTCACCACCTTCACAGGCAAGCTCTACACCAAGGTATGTGACAAGAGGGGAAACGCGCGCGTTGATTTCTTTTCGACCGATCATCGTACTGACGGGTGTAGGACCTTATCAGCCACGAGAGCCAGCTGCGACGCGTCAAATTACCTTCGTCCAGCGTTCACGCATTCAACGGGGATGGAGCTTTCATCGTCCTAATCCTCCTGGCCAACAGCGATGCCTTCACAATGCTTATCTACGACACCACCACGGGAGAAACGTGGTCGCATGACCTGCCATTGTTGTTTCCACGTCCATCTCGCAGATACAGCATCGTCGAGCGAGCAGCGTCGACTTCTCCTCCGGAGTCTGAGGACGAATATCCGTTCATTTGGTCGATGCCACATGCTATCTTGGTGGATTCGGAGACCAAGTCTGTCGACATATTCCAACAGCCACAGCGCGAGATCAAAAGCAACATGCCAATAGCCGTGGGCCATCGGAGAGTGAACTTTTCTGGCGAGGTAGTTACCAGCTCACTTGCGGTTGTTGAAGGTAAGCACCGGAAACGAGGAACGGAGTGATGACATGCTGATCAAAAGGATGTAAAGATAGCGAGGGCATGCGATTGTTAGATCGCCTAGGCGACTTGCACCCCACGGGGAAAAACGGGGAATATGTCTTTCGCTCCAAGATTGTGACCCTCGGCCCGAACGATCACTTTGTCTTCGCCTTCCAGTCTGAAGAAGCTGCCTTGACAATTCACCCAGTCTTGGATAGCAAGGGCCTTGGCGCGACGACCGAGTGCGTGCCTTACGATTGGGGCTTATCGTACAGCTCGCATGCAGTGTGGAAAGACGTTGAGCTCTTCGCACACTACGGCGGTCAAATACATTTCTGCACCAAGCATACCGAAGGATGCAAACACAACAAAGGATGCAAGAGCGGTACCGAGTTCTACCGCCGTCGAGGCAGCCTAGATATCCGGGACGCTACACGAGCTTCAGATGTGCCGATACGTCAGGGCCACGGCTTTTCCATCGCCGTCAACGATACATTCCTTGTGGCCATGCAGCAGAGCGACGAGAGGCAGATGATGGAGAATCACAACATAGTGGTCTTCTGCTTCAATCCTGCACTGGAGTGGGTTGGAACCCGACAGCAGAATGCATGAATGACCTTCCGCCGAGACCAGCAATGACGGTGCGTTTGCGCAGAAGATGGACACATCGAGAGATTCGAGACAGTGAACCGCGGAGATCAGATGTCAGGAAAGGATGAGACACCGGAGGATATGCAGGGCAAGAGCTGTGAGAGAGATCAAAGCGTGAGTGCGGATCCACTACGAAAGTGTAGATAAATTCGTCATTTCCCCCCTTCGTTCGAACCATCAAGAGCTGATGGTTTTCGAGGGCAACATGGGGGGCCGATTTGACATTAGCACGCTTTTTGGACTGAAGCATGTTCAACTCACCCGCGTGCTAGCTACATAGTACCACAGTACAGTACGACGGATTCTACGAGCACCACTTGCCATGTGCACTGCATGTACTCATAGCGCTCTGTACTCCGCCCTGCTCAAGCGAAAGCTGAGCAGGCCGTCTGCCAGCAGGTTTCCCGCCCTCCAGGTGAACGCTCAATGACGTAACATCCCTAGGTGCTCGTGATACAAATAACCTATGCAACCCGCCCGACCCTGCCCTGCGGGCGAGCGGTGGGATTGAACAACGAAGGACCTTGTCAGGCGCTGCGGGATTGAATCATAACAGGAACACCACGGCCGCGGAACTACTACTTCTACCTACCTGTACGAAAGCCCCAACCTCCCCCTTTTTCTCTTCTGGACAGTTGATACTGATACGCAACGTCTGTTTCGATCATGGTAGTCAACGCACTCTGGGGCTTTTTCCAAAGCAGTTGGTGGAGCGATATGGGCGAGACGATGAAGGGTGCCTGGAAGGGGCAGGGAGGTGAGTTTAGGCTCCATTATTCAGCATCCCATCATCCCCATCATCCCTCTCCATCCCATCACACGTCTCTAGATCGCGCCGCATGTGGAATTCCGAAACAGGCACACTGACGTTTGGTTCTGTTTCCTCCTCTCAGCGGGACTGCAGGGCGCTTCGACGGCGGTGGGGAATTTCGCGGCGGAGACGGTCCAGTCCAAGGGACAGAAAGCGGCGGATGCGGCGAATGCGAGTCTGACGGAGATGGCGAATGGTGAGTTGAGTGGTGTCCGGATACCTTGTATCGGCGTGGGTGGGGGGGGGTTTTTTTTGGCTGATCCGGTTCGTTCTCTGCAGGCAATAAGAGGACGGCTCCGACCATCGGGGGAACGAGTATCGATGCGGGTTCGCAGGCTGTCAATCAGCAGACGGGTTCTGCCGATCACCTGGGGATGGCATTGAAGAAGTGAAGGCGTCCTTCGCGAGGACTCGAGCAACAGACTGGCGTTCGGGCAGCATATCGCACAGAGCAAGATTTAGCAGAGCATTTCATCATGGAGAGGGCATGGTTTTGTACAACCGGCATATCTACACCAGCCGTTTCCTTTTCCCTCTCACCTGTGCGCCCATTCCGCCTTTTTCTTCTGTGCGAAAGAGCTCATACCGATCTTCTGATCTTCACTTCCGAAGAGTCCGTGGAAGACCCTCCTCTCGAATTCCACGCCTTCTCTGATGCCTAGGTCTTGGCTCTTGTTGACCACCTCTTTGCAAGCCTTCACAGCAATCCTCGAGTAAGAAGCAATCTGCTCCGCGGTGTCCAGTGCTCCATCGACACATTGCTCTGGCGTCTCAAACACCCTCGCAGCAAGCCCCCACTCGCCAGCATCCTTCCCACTGAAATTCTTGCCCGTCAGAATCAACTCCATAGCTCTACTCTTCCCGATCGCCCTCGTCAACCTCTGACTCCCCCCAGCACCTGGGATAATCCCCAACTTGATCTCTGGCTGTCCGAAATTGGCCTTCTCGCTGCAATAGAGAATATCGCACATCATGGCCAGTTCGCAGCCGCCTCCGAGAGCATGGCCGTTGACGGCGCTGATGACGGGTTTCTTAATCGTGTTGGGAATTTCGCTCCAGTTTTCGATGAAATCGGAACCGTACGCGTCGGCAAATTCTTTCGTAGCCATTTCCTTGATATCGGCGCCGGCAGCGAAGGCTTTGTGGGAGCCGGTGAGCACCATGGCGCCGATCGAGGAATCGGTATCGAAGGCTTTCATGGCGGTGTTGAGCTCGAGTATGAGGGGTGTGAAGAGGGCGTTGAGGGCTTTGGGCCGGTTGAGCTCGACTGTAGAAGACTTAGATGAGGGTCGTCAAGGCGTCCCTGGGCTCGTTTGTGTGGCATACCCAATCCAACGCCTGCTCGGGGCGTGGAGACTTTGATGTATTCATAGCTGTTCTCTGTCGCCGAGGAGTAGCGAGCTCGTAATGGGACGATGAACTTGCCAAATTGCGTGGCAGCCGGTCTCACTCGTGATGCCAGCATCGTTGTGAGTCCTTATGTGAGCGTTGTGGTTGCTTATATCGATGTTGTGGATGTTTGGAAGGATGTGTTTTGTCTTGGGAGAAAGCTCCAATGGCTCTGACAGTCCCCGCTAGTGGCAGATCAGCCGAGGGACGCAGTGGAGCACGTGAAAGAAGGCGCAGGGAGGCATGAGGCTGAAATAAGGTTCAATGTGGCGGCAACTGTTCCCAACGTGGCTTGCCTGCCGCGACGCTTCAGGGACTTCGGGAGGAAAGACACGAGTCCGTCTGTGATCCATTGTCAGGATACAAGGTCTCCTTCACTTGCCCGCCAACCACATCGCAATCTTCAACACCACCTCGAAGACTGTCGATTCCGCTCTCCTGAACGTGCCATCGATCTACACTCTGCGCGTCGTCCATCCGTCAATTTCTACCGCGCAGCACCTCCAACATGGACGCACCCGAGCCTGATACGCCCTTTGCGGCGGTCTCTGCTCAGACATCCAAGGTCCAGCAGGTATGAGAAAGTGCTCGTCTATAGCACATTGCAATTGCGCAGAGAGCTTCGTCTGCTGATGCCTTGATAGATGTACCAGGCCTACCTCGACAAATCCACACCCTACATCACGTATCGATGGATAGGCACCGGCGTGCTCTTCTTCCTCTTTGCGATGCGCATAATCTTCGCACGGGGCTGGTATATCGGTATGCTGAAGAGTCTCCAAGGCGTAGGAGAAGCGAGCTGATGAAATCAAACAGTCGCCTACGCCCTAGGCATCTACCTCCTCAACCTCTTCCTCGCCTTCATCTCGCCGAAATTCGACCCCTCGCTGGAGCAAGATACGGACATGGAAGATGGCGTACCGGCAGGACAATCTTCGCTTCCAACGAAGAACGACCAAGAGTTCAAGCCATTTGTGCGGAGACTGCCCGAGTTCAAGTTCTGGCACTCGGCGACAAGGGCCGTCGCGCTGTCGTTCTTGTGCAGCTGGAGCGAGATCTTCAACCTGCCAGTGTTCTGGCCAGTGTTGGTGGTATACTGGTTGATTTTGGTGTTCTTGACGATGCGGCGGCAGATTCATAGCATGATCAAGTACAGGTGGGTCTCCAAGAATATCGAACCGAGGAACTGGGAACCAGGACGAGGCTAATACAGGACAGATACGTGCCGTGGGACTTCGGGAAGACCAAGTACGCCGCCAAATGAGCTCTCACTGGTCGTCCGGCGCGTCGCGTGCCTCGACGAACTTCTTGTACTACAACACTTGCCTGCATTGTCACAGCGTAGCGAGCGTGTACATCACCAATACGATACGATTCACAGAACAAGATTTACAAGTGAGACGAGTCGCGTGGGTCGTCTGTCTCTAGTCTGCAGCTCTCAATCCTGGCTCGACGCCTCGATCTCCCCAGAGTCCATAGGTACCGCATCTTTGCCAGCGGACAGCGTGTGAGACAAGCTACGACGACTCCTGTGCCGTACACCGAATCAGGCCGTTCAAGGCGTAAATCATGTATATGAAAGCTCGCAGTACGTTCAAATCACGTATGCTGGAGATGTTAATCCGTTTTGCGACCACGCTATCCCGTCCACGTCGCTGTCGCGCCTCCTACAACCTCTTCCCCGCCGTCTCTGATCGCTCGGCTCGTTTTCGGCGCAAGATGAAGGTCACGCTCGCGGCTCGCGTGATCGCAATGTGTTGTCGGGTGTGCTTGTCAAACGTTTTCCACCAATTGTGCTGATCTTAAAGTCTTGATTGACTATTCTACGGGGGACGAGGGCAATGCTGGGTGAGATTGTTAGAAGCCTACCCTCTCGTTGGACAGTGTAAACATGGACGACGTGGCAGTGTCCTTCTTCCCTGGACATGGCAATACCCTTCCGACCTTCGGCGAGAGGTGCCTGCCTCATCAACCTATTGCCGTAGAGCCGCACATCGCAGTATTAGCCGTATATGTACCTCGGAGGCAGAGAAGCACTGCCCGGACTCCCTTACAGAGAGGTGAAGTCAGACACGCTTTGAAGTGAAAGATGATGATTGGCGGGAAGATGCGACCAAAGCGCCGACCAACGAAAGGTGGTGTGGCCTCCCACGCGCTCCGTAAGACGCAGGGGCAGGGCATAATCGAGCTCTGGTGCTGAATTGCTCTTGACCCCGGGCGGACTTCAGTCATGGCACTTGGCACTTGGGGTTTTGAGGGCGCTGCTGGTTGGAAGGATGGTGGACATGTGGAACGTTGATTGGTGAACGTGTCCTCTTTGACATGCACATTTTGGCGTGGCCGGTCCCGTCTTCTCGCCCGCATTGATTAGAGTACTGGGCTGCATTCGTGTCGTGCATTCGACCATGCCAACATGCCCACGGCGGGGTTCAATCTGCTCTGACTTCGGCAGAATTGCGTATGCGCAGTATGGCTCGCGGCTCACGCATCGCAACGCTACCTTACAGCGCACGTCTCGCATGGGGACGGCGGCTTCGGCCATCGTGTTGAGTCGCTCTTGTACCCTCTGGAGCTTCGCCTGCACCCGGACCTCTCCATTGCATGTGAGGTGAAGCACCCTCGCCTGCTTTACCGCCTCGATTGAGTTGCGTCTCTCTCTCCCCTCCATCAGCCTTCATATACCTGCCTGCAGCTCTCCGACATTTTTTCCCTCACTCCTCTCCCCTCTCTCGTGCTCTTTGTCCCCTCTCACTCCCGCGAGCTCAACACTCGCCCACCTCTCGCCCACCATGCCTTCCCTCCTCTCCTCCGTCAACGACTACCTCGCCGACCCGGCTCACCAGCTGAGTCTGGCCTCCATCTGTGGGATCGTCTTCATCCTCGCCTGGTTTCTCGTCTTCTTCACTGAGTTCTCGGCTCTGAAGAAAGCTTACGGTGGGCTCTACCAGCTTGGTACCTTCGCCTACACCTGCTTCTTGAAGCCTCACACTGGAGATGGCACTGGAAACCAGCAAGATGCTCTCGAGAGCTTCTACAAGTCCCAAGCCAACATCTACGATGCTACTCGCACGCGCCTGCTCCAGGGAAGAGAAGATATGTTGGCTCTTGTAGCCGCTCAGGTCAAATACAGACGCGAGACTGGCCAGATCTCCCAGAAGCCAATCTGGGTGGATGTTGGAGGTGGTACAGGCTGGAACATCGAACAGATGGGCCAGTACATGGATGTGCCTTCGTTCTTCCACGCCATCTACTTGGTCGACTTGAGCTCTTCTCTCTGTGAAGTCGCCCGTAAGCGATTTGAGCGATTGGGCTGGAAGAACGTTTATGTCATCTGTGAGGATGCCCGGACTTTCCGTCTCGCAGACTACGAAGCTGGCGTTGAAGAGGACAGGCGCGACTTCAGCATTGGACGTTCTGCATATGAGGAGGATGCACGTGACAGTGTTGGCGCAGACGTCCTCACCATGTCCTACAGTCTGAGCATGATTCCTGAGTTCCATCCGGCCATCGACAGTGTTGCCAACCTCCTAGCTCCCAATGGAATCGTTGGTGTTGTCGACTTCTACGTTCAGAACCAGATAGAGTTTGCTGGCCGTAACTATACTGGTGGCAGCATCAACAGGCACTGCATGTGGATCAGCCGCGTGTTCTGGAGGACTTGGTTCGAACTCGACCGAGTCAACCTGGAGTCGGCGAGACGCGACTACATCGAGTACAAGTTTGGTACCATTCTTAGCACCAACCGCAGGTGCCATCTCATGGGTTTCCGCATTCCATACTACATCTTTGTGGGCTGCACCAGAACCACGATCAACCCTATGCGCCAGTTGGCTGCTGTGGACGCTGCTGTGACGGAGAGCCCGTTCATCAAGGCACTTGACATCCACGCTCAGAATCTGACTCCTCGCCGAGCTCGCAGGAGCTCCAGCGCCGAGAGGCGAAGCAAGGCGTACGATACCGCAGTGGTCAACTTGGCAGCTAGCTTGCCTCTCCCAGCTGCCTACTACCAGAACAACAAGAACCGCATCTACTACGACGACACCCTTCAAAAGCACCGCCAATTCAACGATGAGTACATCTACGCTTTCACCTGGGAAGACTCTCGCATGGATTCTCGCCTCCTGAAGATTGGCTCCGACGACGTTATCCTCGCAATCACCAGCGCTGGCGACAACATTCTCAGCTACGCTCTGGAGCGTCCGAAGCGAATCCACGCCGTTGATCTCAACCCGGCACAGAACCATCTTCTCGAACTGAAGGTTGCCGCTTTCCGTGGCCTGGGATATGCAGACCTCTGGAAGCTGTTTGGAGACGGCAAGCACGAGGACTTCCACGGCTTACTCGTCAACAAGCTCTCTCCTCATCTCTCTTCGCAAGCTTTCGACTACTGGCTCCACGTCGGCCCAAGCACTTTCAGCCCTAGCGGCAAAGGTCTCTACGCTACTGGTGGCAGCAGACATGCCCTGCAACTCGTTTCCTGGCTCGGAAGCCTCCTCGGCATCCGCAACGATATGAAGCGTCTCTCCGAAGCGCAGACTCTCGCGGAGCAGCGGGAGATCTGGACGAAGCGAGTACGAAAGGTATTGCTTTCTCAACTTCTAGCTTACTTCGTTGTTGGCTCCGAGCGATTCTTGTGGAAAGCGCTTGGTGTGCCCGGAGAGCAGAGAGCGATGATCGAGGAGGACTTCAAGCTTCGTCTGGAACGAGGTGCGAAATCTGACCCGACCGTTACGGGTGAGAAGAGCGGTTCCGGCGATGCTGGTGAGGTTGGAGCCTTGAAGAGCGGACAGGCAATCTGGACCTACGGCGTGGAGACGCTGGATCCTGTTGCTCGAGAGACGCTTTTGAGCGAGGACAACCACTATTACCTGCTGTGTCTACTTGGTAAGAACGAATTCTCGATGCTTCAAATCCCATTGACTTACTGACATTTTTTGTTTGCAGGCCACTACACCCAACGCTGCCACCCAGCCTACCTCACCCCGAAAGCCCACCTAAAACTCTCTCCCTCCACCCCAGCCAACAACAACGAATCGCCCCTCGATAACCTCCGCATCCACACCGACGAGCTCTCCGAAGTCTTCGCACGCATGCAACCCGAAGCCCTCACCATCGCCGTCCTGATGGACTCGATGGACTGGTTCACACCCGGCGGTCCCGAAGCTCCAGCACAATGCAAAGCTGTCAACCGAGCTCTCAAGCTCGGAGGAAGAGTCCTGATAAGAAGTGCGGGCTTGAACCCGTGGTACATGAAGGTCTTTGAGGAGATGGGATTCAGCCCCAAGAGAGTCGCGGCTAGGATTCCGCCAGGCACCTGCACGGATCGGGTGAATATGTATGCTTCTACCTGGATTTGTACGAAGGTGCAGAGTTTGCCGTTGGAGGAGTAGAGGGAGGATCGAGGAGGCCTGATGAGAAGGAGAAAAGCGTCGGTGTGGAAGTATACCCAATATTTTGAATACCTTGGTTGCATGCATGCATGATGATGGATAGATGAAAAGATCAAAGATAAGTAACCCCAAAAAAGATTTGAAAAAGTTTGGAAAATGCTGTCGGTGTCAACTCACCTTGTCACTACTGTTCCCTCATCCTATCTCGGCAGGCAGCTCACTCAGCTGCTCTCAAATTCTCCAATGTCTGCCCTGTCTCCAAAATGCTTCTCAGCAACTCTGCAGATCCCCATCCCGGCCCTGCAGCCGCCATGACCGTCAGACTCGCTTGATCTTGCCTTCCAGGTCGTCCTGGTGCATTCATGTTCGGCTTCGTGATGCCATTGTAATGTGGTATATCGTGTTCATGGTTGAGGCGCAGAATGACGGGGATGGACTATTATTCCTTCTCCTCTTTTGTTGGAATGGGGGCATGACTGTTACGGCCGCTTCGGGATCGGAGAGGAATTCTTCTAGTAGTGAATCGTTGGAGCCGAGGGAGTCGATGTGGGTGATGAGATCGGGGAGAGCATGGCACACTTTGACGCCCGGACTTCCTCGGCCTCGGATGGGTTTGGCTACGATTGGTAGAGTCAAAGAGTGTTGCGATAGGAGGGAAGGGAGATCTTGGCTATTTGGCCCCACGCAAGCTTTCGATGTTGTGAAAGTTCCTGGTGGACGGAGGAAATTGTTGACGACATTCTTGTCATCGTGGGCTTCTTCGAGTCGATGCGGCTGGCCTGTGATGTGGATGCCGGGGGCATATCGACTGAGTCGCGTGGGTGTCTGGAGTGAGTGAGTGGTTCGCGAATAAGATTGTATTGGCCCAGAGATGTGTTGCTCCAGGTCCAACTGCTGACAAGATGCCCTCTTAGGTATTTCGGAAGCACCTGCCTTCGTGTTTTGACGGGTCAGGGTTGTGGGTTGGAATTACGGTGGGGATGCTGCATTGTTCGCGGAGGACATAGGCGATGCCTGCTCCGGGGTCTTGGTAACCTGAAGCACCTAGTAAGTGTCGTGGACTGGGCATGAGACTAGCGATGAGAATATATATCCGGTGGGTCTGCGTATGTCGCTGATGATGGGAGGCTTGATGGAAAATTGCTACTCGCGTAGCTGTGAACGAATAGCAATGTGACGGATTCCGATGTAATATCCTCGAACAAACACGTCTTGACGACGCGATTCTTCTCGCGAACAGGAAAAACATAGGTTCCTATTTTCGCCGACGTTGAGACTGTGAAACATTGTCAGTGAAGATGAAGATCACGCTTCAGTCCATGTTGTCGGAGTCGGTTGCTCTCTACACAGGTCGGTCTTTCGCACGTGACGAACGTCTTCCTCGACCGGAGTTCGCCCAACAGATGGTGTGATTTTGTCATTTGGACAGCTTCGTTCTCGTCACCAACTCCTAAGGTCCTTGCTCTCGGCAGTCGCGTACTCTTGCATCGCCTTACCAACGTTTTCGGACATGTCGAGCCTGCACAGAACAGCTTTTTGGCCATCGGTTGATTAGGCGATTGTGAACGCTTGCTCCAGCTTTCATTGCCTTTGCCCGGGGACACGATTTATATCTCTCCAGCGAGGCCCTCGGTCTGATGATCTTGATCTTCCTGTGACCAAGGCCGCAGGTCCATCCCACAGGGTCGATTGATAGATGTTATTCGTCTTGCGGCCTCTGCCATTGCGCCGAACAGAGTTTCCCCATTCATTTGCTTTCACTCCTTCTGGCCTCCGCCCATAAAGACTTGCAACAAGAGGAAAAGGGCAATGGCCCACCAGTATCTGTGACAGATTAGCTCGGGCTGTACCCAAAGGGTATCTTATGATATGCTTACTTCTGCAAGAACGACTTCTCAGGCTCTTTGTCCTCAACTGAACCATCTTCGCTGACGACCACAGGCTTGTTCAGGTGAGGCACCGGCCCTGGCCTGATCTTCACCACCTCCACTGATAATCCATCCTTCGTGCTTGCACCCTTTCCTTGACTCACTCCATCCGCTGCCTTGAAGCCCACATGATAGAGCTCGCCATCAGGCCGCACGTGCAGCTGAAGCTTCTTGGACTTTTCCGGCGCCAAGTTGGACGCGGCCGTAGCGACGCCGGACCACTTTCCAGTGGGGTGATAGAACCCGACGCGTACAATGTCGTCTGCGCTTGGTATTGAGGGTGTGGTGAAGCTCTTGACGGAGGCGTTGTTGGCGGTGAACGAGACCTTCGCGAGGGTCTGCGGTTTTGAGGCGGATAGAGGCCATGCGAAGACGTCGATGCTCCGTTCGTTGGCGGCTGCGGCGAGGGCGAAGAAGAAGGTCAGCGCCAGACTGATCAGGGCGCGTGAGTGCATCTCGACGGCCGTTATCGCGTATCTGTGCTGGACGAGCGCGTTGGAGCTCGATCTGTATCGGTATACTCGGGAAGAAAGTGAAGATGTACTGTTTCCTGCTCGGGGCGTCGTCCGCAGAGCTTTGACCTGTCGATCCTCCCGGGGGAGCTGTTGACCGTCACTTCCGCTTGGAATTTCGTTTCAACGCGTGGGTTTGATCAGCAGAAAGGGCTGAAACGAGGGAAGATGAGCTTCCAGTGGAGGAGCGGGATGGTATACGTGGATGTGTGTCCGTCCTCCACTCCCTGAATTTAGCCAATGCCTCCGGACTCTCGCTCCCCGCATACCCACCGTGACATCAGTCCCGACTGCAGACACCAGACAGGGTCCAGTGGTCTTGATGATTTTCACAATCGGTGAGCTCCTGCTTTCTTCTTCGCCGCCTGCTGCTCAACAAAACCCTTCTCCCTTAATTTCTCCTACTTCTGCCTCTCTCCACCCTCTTCTCCCTCACTTCAGCTATCATTGCGTTGGCTGGTTCCGATTGAGATCCAGCTTCCTTCATCACCACTAATCCTCGACTTCCGGAGCTCTCAAGCTGTCGAGAAACACCTTCGGAAACACACCACGCAAGGCGTCCGTGAGCAGCGACTCGAATCACCAACTTCTTAGTCCACCATGGCGTCCTCGAGCACGAGCTCGATGCCATACCGCACGCCCTCGCGGCAGCAATCGAGACAGATGTCCGTCGACCCGCGTGAGGAGCTCGTCCCCGAGAAGAACCACTACATCGGAATCGATGTGGGTACCGGTAGCGCTCGAGCATGTATAATGAACGACAAGGGCGACATCGTCGGTCTGGCTAGCGAGAACATTGGCCTCTGGCAGCCAGAGACCGGCTACTACGTCAGTTCGCCTGTTCCGCGTAGTTCACTTAGACATGAGAGCTGATGAGACCTCAGGAGCAATCCACCACCAACATCTGGCGATGCATCAGCACCTCTGTGCAGCGTGCCATGTCCCAGCACAACATCGACCCAAGCTCCATTCGCGGAATTGGTTTTGATGCCACATGCTCCCTCGCTGTATTCCGCGAAGACACCGACGAGCCTCAGGCTGTGACCGGACCCAAGTTCGACAACCACGACGGCAACGACCGCAATGTTATTCTGTGGCTAGACCACAGACCCGTCGAGGAGACGAAGAAGATCAACGCCACCAACCACAACCTGCTGAGATATGTTGGAGGACAGATGAGCATTGAGATGGAGATTCCAAAGGTTCTCTGGCTCAAGAACAACATGCCGAAGGAGGTGTTTGAGAAGTGCAAGTTTTACGACTTGACGGACGCTCTCACCCACATTGCAACCGGTAGCGAGACCCGAAGCTTCTGCAGTGTTGTGTGCAAGCAGGGCTACGTTCCAGTCGGTGTGGATGGCAGTGTGAAGGGCTGGCAGGAGGACTTCTTGACCGACATCGGCTTGCCAGAGCTCTGCGAGGACAACTTCAAGCGTATGGGAGGCGTCAACGGGGTGGTACAACCTTCAATTTGCTTTTGTTCACTTGGATAGCACGCTGACCGCTGTTTAGAACGGACGTTACCTCACAGCTGGTGAGCTGATTGGAACACTCTCCGAGAAGGCTGCAACCGATCTTGGTCTGCCAGCTGGCATCGCCATTGGCAGCGGAGTCATCGATGCATACGCCGGATGGATTGGTACGGTTGGTGCCAAGGTCAACCTCACTGGCAACACTATCGACGCAGGCGCTCCCAAGAACGATGTTTCTCAAGCCTTCTCTCGCCTCGCTGCAGTTGCAGGTACCTCGACCTGCCACCTGGCTATGTCCAAGGGTCCAGTGTTTGTCAACGGTGTCTGGGGACCGTACCGAGACGTGCTCATCCCGGATTACTGGTTGGCAGAAGGTGGCCAGTCTGCCACCGGTGAGCTGCTGAAGCACGTCGTGGAGACTCATCCGGCTTTCCAGGAGGCCATGTCGCTCGCCGAGTCCTTCAACGCGAACATCTACGACTACCTCAACGAGCATCTCGCCGAGATGCAGACCAAGATCGGTGCTCCCGCCATATCCTACCTCGGTCGTCACTTCTTCTTCTACGGTGACCTTTTCGGCAACCGCTCGCCTGTTGCAGACCCCGACATGAAGGGATCCGTGATCGGTCTCTCGAGTGACAAGACCATGGACGGTTTGGCGCTCTACTACTACGCGACGATGGAGTTCATCGCGCTGCAGACCCACCAGATCATCGAGCAGATGAACAAGTCCGGTCATGTCATCAGCAGCATCTTCATGTCCGGCTCTCAGTGCCAGAACCCAGTGCTCATGTCTCTGATGGCCACTGCTTGCGACATGCCAGTCCTCATCCCTCGATACGTCCACGCAGCTGTTGTCCACGGAGCAGCTATGCTTGGTGCTAAGGCTGCTAGTACCGACAAGGAGGGCAAGAGCGAGCCGTTGTGGGACATCATGGACCGCATGAGCAAGCCTGGCAAGGCTATCTACCCGAACAAGGACGAGGGCGAGAAGAAGCTGTTGCAGGCCAAGTACAAGGTGTTCCTCGAGCAGTGCGAGCAGCAGAGGACATACCGCAAGAACATCGACGAGGCCATCTCTGACTGGAAACGATGAACGAGTGGCAGTGTAGATGGTTTCGATCAAAAGCTTGGTTTGGAATAGACATAGAAGGTCCACCAGCTTGTCCGTAATAAGAGAAGGGCGGCTGCACGCATATGGCATGTCTGTAACGCAGTAACGAACAAACTTGATGCATGCACACACTTCGCGTGACTTTTATAACTGCTGCCTAAACAGTAAGGTAGTCTTTGAGTGTCGTGAAGGGATGCGGTGCTTGCTTACTTGCATTGAGATTCGATTCCTTTCCAGCAAACTTACGTTGTCAATATCTCGTTTGTTCACCGCTGGACAGTATCTGGTATACCAATAAACCCTTCGATGCAAATTGATCCACACATATATAATTTACTTCCCAAGCTGCGAATGTCACAAATAATGTTGTCCAATGGCGCTGTATCCCGACTCCGTCATTCAAAAAATACAAATGGTATGAAGCATTGAGGCATTCCCGAAGTGGAAGAACCTCTGTACCTGCGTCTCATGCTCGTCGATACTGTGACCGAGCCACAGTGTAGCGGAGATGCCTGGATCATGATTTGCAGCTTTTATGGAAGAACACTTGGAGGTCTAAGGAGGGAATTGGAAAGAGGCTTGTGTGAGATTTATAAGTCTTGCAAATAAGTCCTTTGGACCTGCCTGCCTTTTTTGCTTGCTTGTGCTTGTATTGTATTAAATTGTATCGTTTGCCTTCCATGAGACTATAGATTTCTCTGCTTGCGACCGTTCTTTTTGGTAATACAACAGCAATGTGTATTCCTCGATTCTGGGAATTTGGATATGGTGGATGGGGCTGCGGAGGAAACTGCTGGCATTCACTTTATCGTTCTCCTCCTCCTCCTCCTCCTCATAGCCTACCGCCAGGACAGCCCATCTCCTCAACAGTCCACCTCGACTACGCCACCTCTAAAGGCCAAACTCCTTTCCCGTCAAACATAACCAATAGCTGGGCGTCCGATTCGCCGCGCCTCCTCTTGACCAAAATCGCTGGCGAGCACCACAAGATCCTCCACGGACCACCAAAGTTTAAGACGCGTTGCATTCCCAGCCAACCTGTCTCGGATATTTCGGCGGTCCACTGAGTGACGGCGTGAATGAAGATCGTCTGTTTCTCAAGATCTTCACGCCAGCGAACGCAAAAATCGAAACCAACGCGACTGCGATGGAAGCAGTGTCAAGAGCACAACTACAGAGGGGTGACCTGTGGAAGAGCCCAGCGCAGATCGTAGAGCAATACGGCTAGTCACGTATTGATCCCACCAGATCTACTCGGGGTAAACCATTTTTCGCGTGACCCCTCCATCGACGACCATTTCTGCTCCAGTCACAAAGTCGCTTTCTGCCAGGTATTCCACGGCCTTGAGGATATCTTCAACTTTGCCCACTCGCCCTGTCAGATGCCACTGTTGGTCCTCTGGAGTAAGGCCCTCCTCCCAGGTCTGTCCCTTTTCATCGGCATCTTTGCACTCGTTCGCCACATTGATCCAGCCTGGGAGGATGGTGTTGACGCGAACAGACTGAGGCGCCAAGCTGACTGCCATACTCTGTGTCAAACCGAGCAGTCCACCTTTCGAAGCAGAGTATGGCTCGTTATTCGGCTCACTCATGAAAGCCCTGGTCGAAGACATATGGATGATGCATCCGCCGTGCTCGCGTGAGCCTTGCTTCTGCAGGAGAGGCAGACAGCTCTGGCTCATCAGCATTGGCCCGGTGAGATTGGTCTCAATGGACGCGTTCCAGGCCTCCAAAGATAATTCCGAGAGATGAGACGCGCCGACGCCACTCGTGTTTGCGGCATTGTTGACAAGAACGTCCAGATGGCCCGCGAACAGTGTCCTGGCAGTCTCTGCTGCATTACGAATTTCTGCTGGCTGTCGGAGGTTGCATTCGACCGTGTCGAAGTCTTTCCCGCGTTGGTGTTGCTGCGCGAGCTCTGAGGATATGTGCGTCAGCTCTTCGGTGTTGTTGTCCACCAGAAGGACTCGATTGCCTTTGGCGAGGAGTAGTCTACTGAGGCCTCGGCCGATGCCACGGCCGGCTCCGGTGATGAGGAAGTTCTTAGGAGCCGTCATGCTTCTCGTTGTGCCAAATGTTGTTAGGACATTGACATTACGATTCATAATTTCTCCCGAGGCTTTGGTGCCGGCAGTAGTGATGTCAGCGGTCCGGGTGCTGAATGCGGCCCGGATGGTTCCTGACGCGTCCACACGTCTTCCATCAAGATCGGATCCTCAAGATATTCCTGATCCGGAGGTCAATAGCCTTGCTATCGTCAAGGCTAACATAAAGACACCTTGTGTGCCCACATAAATTGCCACTTGGAGTTCGCTATTGGAGCACAAGTCCATCCGGGAGCCTGCTCTTTCCATCACTCGAAGTGCAGTATCCTCGCGGCAAGAACAGGGAACAAGACCGAGGATCAGACTCCAGTGGTTGCATTGAAGTAGGAAGCCATGCGTTCAACGGTGGACTGGCTGCTTCGCGGGACGATTGACACGGCGCAGGTGTTCAACTAGCTTCCCCTACATGCAAATCAGGGGACCACAAACGCGCCACACCATGAGCAGTAGCAGAGGGAGCACGAACGTAATGTACTGAGGATCTTCTCGCTCGAGGCCATTGGACCTGTTGAGATCAGTCAAAAAGTACAAGACGAAGAGTGCTTTCCCTCACAATCGCCGTCGGTCTGGCGTGACTGGGTCTCTCGCAGCAGGTCCACGCACACTGTGCCAACAACGTCGCCGTACACCATCCAACTGTACGGACAATGTCCGCCAATATATGTGCGTGCATTGTGCAACATCGAACCTGTCGCGAGACTGACCTTCTTTCACAGCCTATTTCATCGTTGCTGTCCCCAAAGCGGCCGTTTTTGATGCTATCAAAGCAGCTCAGCCTACCCAGAATCTTCGCCTCTTGGACGCGCCAATGCAAATCGCTGTCCCCTTCAGTATGTTCCGCTAGCATGCACCCGGTAACAGGTCTTGTCGGCAATTCCGTCGATATACGGATGCTGGCCCTCCAGATTTATGAGCCATTGCTAGGTGGTGGTGGCGAGGGCCGTACGTGGGCCAAGGTGGTAGCAACGCACCGCTCCAAGTTGCCCTAAGCAATCACATCGCCGGCGAAATTGGTCTCGCGCCAAACAGTCCGGCCCCAGCGGTCGCCTCCTACCTCTTGTTTGTTTGCAGGGAATCCAGTTCGCCTCGGCGAATTCCTTCCACAGGCAGCAGCGTATATGTCTGATGCAGGTGGTGGTCTCACAGCTGAGTGCAAGTGGGCTCTTGTGCCGAATCCAGTATCAGGACCAGGCGTGTGTTCCGAGGCGGAGGATCTGCTCTCCAAGGCCACCGCTTCTTCCAAATATACTCGAAAGAATTTCGAGAACATCATCAACCAGCCGCTCCTCGTTCCCTGAGGCATGTGCGCGCGAATTGCCTACTACTTCAACAACGCTACCGCGCTGCCGGCACGAAGGAATGGGCAGGTCAGCTTGGGACCAGCGGTCGATGGCACAGGTGCGACTCAAGGCAAGCCTGTGCAAGCCAGTCCGGATGGAAGTGGTGACAACATACACGAATGTCGACGGGTATGCTGCGTGCGCGCAGAATATTGGAAACAATCCGAAGAACTGCGATTCGGCGTCTGTGTACACAAGTCCAAGGACGCTGCCATAGCTGTATCGCTGGAGGCAGCCAACGAAGTAGTTACGAAGTGGGCACTTCAAGAGTGGACATTGGCTTCAGAGCTCCGGGCCCTTTGGCAAGATAAGGTAGCGATTCGCATTTCCTAGCCATCAGGTGAGCTTCCCACGATCGCGTAATCAAGCCCTTCGATACTCCCTTGGCAAGCTTGCCACCGGCCTGAGTATCTTGTTGATGACAGTCTGTGCACTACACGCAGCCCGCACCAACGTAGATAGCTCGTTACAGAGTGAAAACCATTCCGAAAGCGCGTATATCTGCGCGTATCTACGGGTGGGCCGCACGAGTGGAGCGAAGGATGGATGCTATGAGACATAGGACACGGACCATCCAATCAATTATTTCCGCAACGGTAGATATGTACCGCGTTGTGGGGACCGTACTGCTGCCGCGGATCAGTCGCCCTTACCGAAGGCGGATAGTAATAAGAATAAGCACGGGCATTGGAGAGCTAAGGCCGGCGCCCACCACGTGGTTGCGTATCTGCTCCGGAGGCAGCGAAGGCACTCACAGTACTACGTGTGAGAGCCTTGGCAAGCAAAAAGGAGGTTGTTCACGGATGTTCTCTCTGCGGGTTTGATGAGATGTGTCTTTGTGTTCTGTTCCCACCGCCCAGCTGCTAAGAAGGTTACTACTTCAGCTAAGTCGTTGTAGTCTCTTGGCAGCAGGCGCCATGCATCTCAGGTACTAATTTTGCGATAAGCCTTGTGACAAGCCACGTCGTAGTCAAGCAATCTGGAGAACTTGGAAGCGTTCGGAGCGTCCAAGTGGGTTCGGTACGCCAATGGCTGTGGCATCGAACAGTTGCAGTCCTCTCAGCTTCCTACCGGCCGAATACCACATCGGAAACAATTCGGATACAAGCACACTGCTATTATCACCCCACATTACAGCTGCCCGTGCGGCGAGGGAGGAAGGTAATGGGCTGCTCGGAGGCAAAATCGGGAGGTGCAGATTGTTGTCTGGAAAGTGAAAGGGCGAATTGAGCCGAATGCCGGGGGGTTTGGAGGGAGACCGGGCGGGGCGGGGCGAGGCCGTGGAATCGAGTCGGGAATCTTTCGAGCGTATCAAGCTCGCACGCAGTCAAGTCCGGAGGATGCTGTGATGGGTCGACCCTGACTTGCCTGACTACGACCCTGATGCTTGACTACCAGAGCATGATACTCGCAGCTGTGAAGGCACTCGACCGGAGTCCAGAGCACTACAGTACAACACAACACGGCGAATGCTCCAGTGAGCCAGACCCTAGCGGACTCAATGTCAAGGTCCGATCCCGACTGAGTCGGTAACCAGTAGATACTCCCAAGAGACGCGACGGGGCAAGCACGCGGGACGCAGGCCATGATGAGCATCCGATGCCAGGCACTCCGCTCGGGACCATCTTGCTCTTCGCGACGGGAACTTGAAGGACGCCGTCTGGCCGTCACGGTGGCAGTCCAATCCTCCCGCTCCGCACTTGAACATAATAATGTAACCGGACCGATTAAAATAGCACGCCGTGCCGACTCTTCGGTGTGTGCGGGTCTGGTGATAAGGTAAGAGAGAGAGCCGACGCGCCCATCACGTGTGCATCCCGTGATTGGCTAGAATTCACCCCTATTCCGCACTTGGGATGCTAATTCGGTTCGAGATGGTCTAACACCACCACTCACCAGCCACCAACACGCGCCCTTTCGAAGCCTCTCGGTGGCTACTCTCCATGACATAGGCTACACTCAGCCCCGTCGCCGGATACATTTTGCTGTATTCGGCTCTACTGTACCATTGATTCAAGAAGGACCCTGAGCTGTGAAACAAGCCGATTAGCAGGGGATACCGTCTGCTACTGTAACTACTGCGCAACCTCCTTGATCATGTGGAGAAGCAGGCATCATGGACAAAACGTCTGGCAGCGGGCTTGGCCGGGCTAAGCACTCTTCAGGGCTGAGCTTGGTGACGCTCTCCAGACTTGGTCGTCTTGGGGTGTGATTGGGAATACAGGATCTTGGAGCAAGCCCAGCAGCAGCTTCGCGAAAATCTCCCTTTAAGCATTATGCCACGACCGATGTCCTTCCGGGGGGGAGAATCGACCGTTTTTCCACCTCCCCATCGTGCCAGAGCAGCAAAAGACAGGAGGAGCCACTACGGCCGCTACGGCCTCCCAACGCCAGACAGTGATCTCCAACGGCTCTTTTCCTCTTGCGCAGCCCGCATGTTTCTGATTAGCTCGATGATTGACCACTAAGCTACTACACGTGAACACAGAGCCGCGTTGCACCAGGGCACACCGGCTAACCTCGTGCCTATCCGAACCATGAATGGCAAAACAGACCGCGGTGACTTTCTCACCGTGAAGCAGGATCCTACACCACTGCCTTGTGGCACAATCACGGTATGGAACAATCCACCGCCACTGGAGTCCGCGCTGGAACGACGTCGGACCATGGACTTGTATGGTCGACGAGAGGGTATATAGAGGACGTCCTGAACGCCTCTCTGATGAAGAAGCCAGACAAGCAACAACAGCAACTTCCAAAGCATCCAACAAACCAACTCAACAACTTTCCAACTCCACACAACAACAACAACAACTTTCCAACTCCACCCACCAACAACAACAACCACCACCGACAAAATGAAGGTCACTGCCATCATCAGCGCTCTTTTCGTCGCCGTGTAAGCTCCCATCCCCATCTTCCTCATCCCGATACATGTACTTATCCTCCCATCACAGCGCTCTTGCGAGGAAGCACCACCACTGCCAATGCTGCGTCGGCGACGCTATCGACTCCGGTATCAGCTTATCTGCCTGCAACACATGGGTTCAAGAGCACAGCAACAGCCACTGGGACGGCGGTGCCTGCACTGACCGAGGCCACGGACGTGAGCATTCTCCAACCATCTTACAACCAAACGGATCTCGCTGACACATTGGCTTCGCAGGTGGTATCGACGGCGGTGATTGGGAGCAGATGTGCCGCATCGCGGCTAGCAACGCCAAGTTGGACAACTGGGGCAGCTACCGTGGATGCTGCTAGACAGCTCGCGCTGGTCGAGCTATCACGGGAATATGATGAATTCCTTAGGTCTTTCATTTGGGGTCGGGAGGGTTCGGGTACACAGCTGGCGGGATGGGATGGGATGGGATGGGATGAGACGTGAGATGATAGAATGAGAGGGCTTTCATAGTGTTGGGTATATCTTCTTCACTTGCTTCTGGTCCAAAGCCTACAAGGCAGCTCTTTTCTTGTGTAGACATGTGCGGCCTAGTAATTGGTGGCTTTGCGCTCCAGGTGTCGATCCGGAGTGAGATCAATTGCTCCAGCTCGTGGCATTTATCCATCACATCGATACGCAGGGGACATGGAACGTGCAAGGGAGTCGCATCTTTGGCGGTTGATAGGACAAGCCAAGACTGGTATCGCTTGCAAGCGAGAGGATTGAGAAAGACTTGTTCGGATTCATACCTGCAGATTGGATAGCCGTAAAGCTACTATACACGACGAAAGTACGCGACATACCCTCAAAAGCAATACAGGCTTTTCGATCGCCACTTCCTCCATTCGTATCCAGTCCATGGTAGCCCATACGCCCCGTGCTTTTGTTCCCTTCAAACAGCCCATGCCTTTAAATTCAAAGCTTGTCGCACGTGTCGATATGCCGCCTCATGCTCAAGGCCTGTCGAGCTTCTTCCAAATAGACTCGGGGTTCCCGTTGAAATGCTTCTCGTGCTACGAAGCCTTCGACGCGGTACGAGCAGAGCGACGTGGCTCGCCCGTCTCGGTGGCGGCCTTCTTAGGCTCGCGCTTCTTCGTCTCCTTCTTGGGCGCGCCGTTGGCGTTCTTCGCCGGCCGGCCCTTCTTCTTGGGAGCAGCAGCTTCGCCGTTCGCCTTGGGCTCATCAGTCTTTGCCTTCTTGGCGTCTTTGGCGTCTTCGCCAGCGTCGTCCTCGGCCTCGGCCTTGCGCTTGTCGCCAGTGTCGGCCTCGCCGTTCTCCTTCTTCTCGCCCACTTGCTTCTCCTTGCCCTGGTCTTCCTTGTGCTTGTCGCCGGCTTGCTCGACATCCACTTCGCTAGCCTTCTTGACCACGTCGTGGCCCTCGCGGTCGATCTTCACAGCAGGGTTCTCTGGACCGTCGGCCTCCTTGGAGACGACATTGTTGTTCTTGGTCTCCATCTCGACCTTGCCATGCTCCTTCACCTCAGAGACAGTGCCGCCAGGACGACTGCCGGACCATTGCCAGGAGACTGCGCGCGTAACGACATGTTAGCCTCGAAGATGGGATTGAAGCTTATGAAACGATTGATAGCGATGGCGTTATTTCGTTTCAAAGCGCATGGGGACAGCGAGAGTGGATGACTAAGCCAGACTCGAGGACCTTATGCGACACAGGGCTGGCGTGATGCGACAAGCTCGCCAGCGACGGCGAGGTCAAGTGTTTGTGGTCGCCGATGCATGGGGAAGCTGAAGGACGGGTACGCGATCGGGGCCAGAACGGTAGCATACCTTGGTCTCCCTCCTTGGGTTGATTGTCTGCCATTGTGTCCTGGGAGGGCTGCGGAAGAGGTGTGTCTGGGCGCAAATGCTCTGTACTGCTGTTCTCTGGCGGCGCAGAGGCCTGGATAGTAGCAATGGCGTCGCGGAGGGTCGGTGCAGGCGATGGGATGGGTTGTGGATGAGGATTGGGTTGGGGAAGAGGTGAGGTGGAGGAAGGAGGAGGAAGAGGTGCGGTGGTGTTAAGTTGGAGCTCGGGTCCTGAGTGGAAGCAGCGAGTCTGGGGACTGGGATGGGAGCGCTCGAGTAAGGTAGTGTGGTAGCGAGGAGAGGCTGGGCCGGGGTAGCCGTGACGTTGCCTAGCCTCGCGCTAGCACATATGTAGCGTCGATCCTGCGTGTCCAACCTTCCATCACTTCTGTGCTTCCTTCTCTCCTTTCCATCCACCTCAGCACATCGTCGGCGACATCGACATATCATATATGAGGCGATATACGAGGGGCGATACACGTGAGGCGACAGACACACGAGAGACGGCTGCTGCCGACTCCACCGTGCGGGACGAGAATAACGCGTCCTCACGTGTCTCTCACTGAACCCCTTGCTTGCCTTTGCTGCCACATCTCCGGCAGTTGCTATATGACAACCAGCTATAGCTTGCTAACGTACCTGTTCTCTCACTGTCTGGCCTCAGAACCGACTTCACGCAGGCCGACCGACCGACGCGTCTCGGGACAGCTTCATCACGCGTGGCACGAGAAGAATACACCCCTACACTTCCCCTTTGATCTTCGATCGGACATCGATATCCTCGACCGCTTCTGTTCCGACGTCTTTGGCTGCAGCAGTGCCGGCGGCGGATCCGGACTTGAGCTCCTCGGCATCCTGAACACGTCAGCGAGCTGTACTGGCCGCTTTTACACCGCCAATGAAATACTTACGCCGAACATTGCAGCAACTTCTTCCAGCGGCACGCCCCGTGTGTCCGGGAAGCTCGCAGAGTCAGTACATCGACGACTCCTGAGAAGGAGGAAGCGACTTACCAAACCCAAATGCCGATACATATCAAACATCCAGGAATAACGTATGCCAGAAAGTACTGCGCGTCCCATCAGCTACCAGACACAAGCGCACCGCAGGAAGAAGGCCATACTCACTTTCCAGCTAGCGTTTGCGATTCCTGTCGGCGCAGACTGTAGCCAGATAATGTTCATCAAGCAGATTCCAGCCACTCCAAGATTCATTCCCTTCGCCCGCAAGTGTGTTGGGAACAGCTCGCCAAGGTAAGCAAACTGTACGCCGTCCAGTCCTCCCTCGTAGAACACAACGTATATGTACAAGAACGCGATGATCGCCTGCAATGCGGTCTGGTTGTCGCTGGGTACGAAGTTGGCAATCAGAGCTGCTACGATGATCAGGCACACCATGCATCCACCGAGAGCGCCGGCGATGAGCTTTGGACGGGGCATCCGATCGACGATAAAGCAGCCTAGCACTCCAACACCCCACGCTAATGTTATCCAGCCGCCTTCCAGCAGTAGTTGACGCTCAGTCGGGTATCCGAGCGTGGCGTACAGTGTGGGTTGGTAGTTATTGATCACGAGAATGCCTAAGTACTCTTAGCATTATGCGACCAAGATTCGTGGTCTTGTACGTCTCACCGGAGAACTGAATCCCCATTGTCGTCCCCAAGGCCAACAGGCTCCTCTTCCGATACGACTTCTTTCTGAACATCGACACATAGTCACTCGGCAATCCCTTATCGATCTCCAGCTGGTTCGATATCTGCTCCAATTCTATCTGCGCCTCCTCCGCTGTATGCAGCCTCTCCAGAATCCGCTTTGCTTCTTCTCCTCTCCCTTTCAAGATCAGCCATCTTGGAGACTCTGGCAAGAACGGCAGCATGCCGAGCACCGCTAGCGGGAAAGTGGCTTGCAATGCGAATATGATCCTCCAGTTGGTCGGGTTCTTGCAAAAGAACAGCCCGTATCCCGTCCAGATCACAACCATGTATCCGAGTAAGAGCGCGGCTCCGTGGATGGCCACTAGCATTCCGCGGTTGAGCGGAGGCACGGTCTCGGTCATGTAGATGGGCACGGCAGACAAGATCATAAAAGTACCCGCACCCGCAAAAAATCTCCAAACGATCAACTCTCCAACATTCGTCGTTCCGGCCAGTAAAGCTGCCGTTATCACAAGGATCACAGCAGGAACTGCGATTGCTACGCGTCGTCCGTATTTATCTGCGAAGTAGGAAACCAGGAAGACACCGAGGAAGCCTCCCGCCTGGAAGAGACCGTTGAAAGTCGCTTGGAGAGCTGTTCCGTCTGCGCGCGTGGTGAGGGAGAAATAGGAGAGGAATTCGGGGAGGGCGAGGACGGGTGCTATGGCGCTGGAAGCGTATCCATAGGACATGCTGCCGAAAGAGACGGAAAGGATGATGAGGAAGTTGTAGGCGTTGAATTGCCTTGCCCCGGAAGTGTAGCGGGAGACCATCTTGGCGCGCAATCGCAAAAGTCTGAAGAGTAGAGGGTATATATATTGGTGTCTCGAGGTTTAGATTCCGACTGACCTGTTATAAGAGAAATTCAGACAGATCCAGCTGTCGCCTTGCATAGACGATGATTGTACGCGCGAGCAAGAGTGACTTCCTATACCTGCGTTTTGAGAATCCTCTTCTCCATTACAAATGAGTGTCTGATGGCGAGTCGCGCGACAGAGAGGGATTGAGGAGGTGACAATGGTGATACCCTCGGTCTGTGCGAGTGGGGATTGCCAACTACAGCCGACCGACTTTGGCCCGCACATTCACTTGCTTCCACGCTAAGGCTTCCATCGGAGGAGTATCCCAGGGAATGAAAATTAAACGGCTTTGGAAGCCAGGCTGCAGAGGCTCGCGAAATGCTGATACTGCCTGGAGCGGTGCAGGAGACATCAAGCGACGACGCATCTCACTGCTGTCCGTCCGAGTTTGCTCAACACTCCAAACTTGCTACTAGGTAATCGCAAGCACCAAAAGAAAAAAAGAAAAATTGTCACCACAAATCGATTCGGCCTTTATGGCACTAAACGACGTTGATACACTCAGATTCTCTAGATTGATTCCCCCTGCGGCAAAAGTCATTCCTATGCTCAGCTGAATAACCCTCGACGTTGGCACAGAGAACCGCTACTTTGTTGAAATCATGGCCGTCGCACTTCCATAAGTCGCTCGTTGCTCATCGGGAGCCTTCCATCCCCGCTAGCTCGCCTTCGAGAAATTGAGAAAACTCCATCAAAGAGGCTTTGAGCCACTCCGTCTCGATGTTGAGGCGGAGCTTGCTGCGACACGACCAACGCCTCATTTGGAAACATAGTGATGGCGTCCCCTGCGTGTTGGACAGATCCGGATAACGATCTCGAGCTTCCATGTTCATCAAAGGAATTTCCTCCAGGCGGGAGAGGCCCTTCCTCGACGGGGTCAGTTGGCAAGGGGACCTACTAGCGCAGAACTTTGCGGCAAGGAATGGAGAGAATTTAGAAGGTTGGCAGAACTCATTTTCTCCGCGAGGAGCTGTTCTTTCAATTATCTGCTTCAATGCACAACCTCGAAACTGCTTGTTCTTCTTTTTCTGAAGCCAACCTCGTCCAGACTCTTGCATCAAACAGCCGGCGAAACACAGGGCCAAGCGGCTTCACCCTCCTCCCTCCCCTCTTAATATTCGTCATAACCACCGTCTTCAGATTCGTAGCTGCCAAAGTCACCACCTCCCACCATGCCATATTCGTCCTCAGCTACCTGATCCGTCAACATGGCTTTCCTGAAGTCGACTTCGGCATCTCCGTCCTCATCGGCTTCTGGATTCTGGTCGAGACCGCTCCAAGGGTCTTCGTCTGCCCCGACATCTTCTTCGACATCGTCATCTTGGTCGTCGGCAGTCGCCCCTGGGCTGGCAGTACTCTCGACCTCTGCCTGAGCTGCCTCACTTGGAGCCGGGGTAGCACTTTGCTCTCTACCCGGCGCTGGCGTCACACCGACACTCGAGGACCCGCTTCCGTCAGGTGTTGTGCTGCCGGCACGAGATGGTGTCTGACGTCCATAGATGCGCTGCAACGCGCTGAAGTCGACGTGAGCTGATTTCTGAGGTCTGTGCTTCTCCAACATCGCCAGAGTTGCATCAGCAGGACTCTCAATTGGCGTGGAGCTCTCCGTCAATACAGATCCATCACCCATCTTGCCCCGCTTCTTGCGTTTGCCGCCCTTCTCTCCCTTCTTGCTCTTGCGCCCTCTGCCATTCGGATTCGTAGCTTTCGCGACCTCAGCAAGCATTTCCTTCTCAGCCTGCTTACGTAGCCAATCCTCGTTGTGCGCAACCCAGATTTTTTCCTTGATGGCTACTTCATGTGGTTTCAGCAAGCAGTGTTCAATCTCCGGATCGTTTTCAAACTCCAATGCGAGGTCATCAGTGTCGGTATTCCAATAATCCATCCCCGCTGCCTCCCGCTTCTCTTTGAGCCTGCCTGCTTCCAATTCTTGCTGCTCCCTGGAAAGGGCTTGCGCTCGCTCGAGCGCTTCTTCGAGGGCCTTCTCTTCTGCCTCCTTCTTTTCATTTTCTACTTCTCCCCGGTTCTCTTCGACTTCGCCATCCTGAAGTGCCTTCTCAATCTCCAATTCAAGATAGTCCTCAACATCAAGCTCTTCTTGGGAGATGTCAATCTCCGGAGGCCTATCTTCCTTGGGAGGGCGACCGCGCTTGCGTGGTACGGGTGCTTCAATTTCAGGGGAGTCAACTCGTGGGGGTAGCGCTGGAATAGCAAAGCCGTCTTCATCAAAGCGTGGTCCAAGGCGTCCATTATGCTGTGATGCAGTGGGTGAAGGGTCAACTGTCCATGGGCGCTTCTGTGAAGAACCATTTATAATCTCCTGAATGGGCGCTGGCGAAGCATCGAGCGATCCTCGAGCATCGTCCTCATTCTGTCTCTTGCGCTTCGTGGACTCTTGCGTAGCTGGTTCAGAAGGCACATTGTCATTTGAAGAGGACACCTCTTCGGTCCTCTGTCGCTTGTGGGACGGATCATCCTGGACTGCATCATCATCCGACGGACCTAGTGATTCAGCTTTCCGTTTGCCCGTGGACTGCGAACTAGCTTGCTCTGAGAATTGTTCTGTGGGTCCAAGTTGTGATGAAGGCTGTGTGGTCGGCGGCGTTGGCACTGGCCCCGTCGTGTCAGAAAGTGTTGGGTCAGCTTGTGTCTGGCGTTGGATGCCCCTTGGATCCGTAGCTCCGATGACTGGTTCCAAAGACGAAAGCCTGGAAGACGCAGCAGAAGCATCATCGGGGATATTTATCACCGGTGGCTGCGATTGGCGCTCCTGAGACTCGTGAAGCTGTTCCTGTGCGCGCATATGATCTGCTCGACGTTGTCGCCGCTTCTCCATGATTTCTTCTCTCTGGTTACTGAGATACAGCGAAGGCGGATCATGTTGATGCTTGATCTTGTTGGCATATTGTCGGAACATGTCGACCGAAAGCCCAGCACTCCTTGTTCGACGAAATTCTTCGACTCGCTTGGCAATGGTGACATCTGCAACTTTGGAGACGTAGACCACTTCCCGAACACTGCGTTGGAAGTTGTTCATGCGGGCAGCGAGGATGATGCAGGCGCCGCACAAGCCAGCTGGGTTACGACCGGCAACGATCCAGTCTCGGTTCATTCGTCGGATGATCTTGAGGGCATCTTCGGCAACTATTTTCGTCTTATCTGCGAACTGCAGCTTGTCGCAATACTTCTTGATCAAAGGCTCCAACTCTTGGAGGTGCTGGTGGCCGACGTTGTCGCCGGTGAGATACAACTCCTTGCACATTTCTCTGTACACCTCTCCGATTCTAAAGACGTTGATCTTGAGAAGTTCGGCGATGTCCATCAGTAATATCCGGTTGTCCTTTTGACGACGGCAAGCCGCATAGAGGCAAGCACCTGCGACTTCATCGGTCTTCCGACCGGCCGAAAAGTTGATGCCTGCAGCAAGACCCCAGATCTGCTCGGCTTGAATCTGGATGAATTCCTCGATACCAAGTTTTGGACACAGACCCGAAAGGATACGCCGACCCTGGTTTTGAATGTCTGCTGCAGTATTCCTCTCGCCACCGCCAATCTTGCGCATGACGGGCGCTCCGCCCATGGTTTTCGCGTGGCGTGCGTTTTCAGCTACCATGCCACCCTGAACAGTCGCTCGCCCACCGGCATCCTCATTGAATTGGACTTCGGCAACAATCAGTGTGCGGTCTGCTTCAGTGAAGCAGTTCTGGCAGACCAGCGCGTCGCCCACCAGCTCCAAGTTTTCGGCATTGCAATTGGGACACTTGGGCTTCTCGGGCTGTGCAGACTTGGCCGTCTTAGGCGGTCCTGGTTGGCGCTTTGGGGGGTTCTTGAGGCCTTGAAGCCGCGGTCGACGGACCGGGTTCGGCATCGTGGCTTCAGAATCGTATTCTTGTTCTTATCATGTATTGCAAATATTGGTCACGTGAAGTGTAGTTGCCATGTAAGCCGACCGAGGCTCTCCGTCGCTCAAGAAATCAATAAGGCAAGACGGAGACTGTGTTCTGGTTCCAATATGGGCGTTGTCGTGTTGACGGATTAAAGGCGCGCCAGGTTCGAGGTGTTGTTGCGAGTGTAGTGAGCAAGAAGTTGGAAGAGAAATTGAGTCAGGTGGTGGGGGCTCCGGCCGCCGGAAGTAGCCGCCGCACTTGTGGCCGAGTTGGTAGGTTGGTTTGGCAACTGCCACCAGCGACAGCGCACGGGCCGAAGCTCTCTCTCTCTCGCGGGGTCGAGTCTTGTCGGAGTGAACGAACGACTTTCGAATCTGCCTGCGCCGTCGTTCAATCTGGATGTGGTGCCGTGCATCGGTAGAATGGAAAGGGAGTCCGAAATTGAAGCTGTAGGAGGGCTCAATCGGAACAATGAAATTTCGTTTTCTCCATTGTCGAGCGTCTGTCCCAATGAACGCGACACGCACCGCCAGCAAAACTGACGATACAGAATTTACGACGCAATTAGCATGTATTTTCGAGACATGCAGAAAGCGTCTCACGATTGGGAAGCAGGGAAGGACGTGGTTCGTTCTTCTGCGCACGAGCTACTCTCCTCTCACAAGACGGTTGGTTCAAGCCACTCGCCGAAGAAACCGTGCCCGAGCCGAGACGGCCATTCATCACACGTGGACGAGATGCGAATTGAAAGCAACGCTTCATTCGGGAAAGTGTCTGCATCCACATGCCGACGTCGATCCATGTGAAAGTGCTGTGAGTGGACACTGACTATGCAGCGCACTGTGCACGGCTGTTCCTGACTGCCTGCGTCATATGTTCTGGGCTGGCCTACCTTACCTTAGTCACAATTGGTGATTCAATTTTGGCTTCCAAGCTCCGAATTTCAGAACAGTCACCGCCTCATCCTCTGACACGCGCCATCTCTCGGACCACTTCGCTGACCACTCCCCCAACACGACTGCGGACTACTCGCCTTCCTGTCACTACACTCCTCAGCAACTGAGCGGAAGTCAGCCATATATCGAGGCCTCGCCATTGAGAGAAACTGCCCGGCGACAGCTTTCAACCCTCTTTTAACCTACCAACTTTTCAGATCTCACCACGAAAGCCATGGCTTTGGACGAACAGCAACCGCAATCGCTTGCCGACGACGTCCGCGGTATGCAAGCCCCATCGCGCCATGTCATCGGTCGTACTGACTCTACTATTACCAGTCTTGGGATACGATCCCCTCATCCCACCGCAGCTCCTCACATCCGAAATTCCCGCGCCGCCCACTTCGACTCCCACCGTTCTGAAGGCTCGCAAGGAAGCCGTCGAGATCATCAAGCAGCGCGATGACCGTCTCCTCGTCATGGTCGGTCCTTGCTCTCTGCACGATCCCGAGACCGCCGTCGAATACTGCTCTCGCCTTGTGCAGCTCGCCGACAAGCTGAAGGACGACCTATGTATTATCATGCGCGCTTACCTCGAGAAGCCACGAACCACGGTCGGCTGGAAGGGTCTGATCAACGACCCGGACATTGATGAGAGCTACAAGATCAACAAGGGCTTGAGAGTGAGCAGGAAGCTGTTTTGCGACTTGACTGGTCAGGGCATGCCAATTGCTAGCGAAATGCTGGACACCATCTCGCCTCAGTTCCTTTCGGATCTTATTTCGCTGGGTGCGATCGGTGCAAGGACAACAGAGTCGCAGCTTCACCGTGAGCTTGCTAGCGGTCTCTCGTTCCCCATGGGCTTCAAGAACGGCACGGACGGAAGCCTGACAGTAGCTGTAGATGCGATTGGCGCGGCGGCTGCCAAGCACCACTTCATGGGTGTAACGAAGCAGGGTCTCGCGGCGATCACAAGAACGGCAGGCAACCCTGACTGCTTCGTCATTCTTAGAGGTGGCACGAAGGGCACAAACTTTGACCGCGAGAGCGTCAAGGCGACAAGGGCGGCTTTGAAGAAAAAGGGATTCCCAGAGGTCATGATGATCGATTGCTCGCATGGTAAGCGCTTCTCTCAGGGAATACTCGCGAAGTCTGAGACTCCTCGAAAGCCCCCCACGAAGATGATCCTGGACGCTGTGTGATTGTTCAGCTGACTTGCGCAGGTAATTCTCTCAAGGACCACCGCAATCAACCCAAAGTGGCGCAAACCATTGGCGACCAGCTTCGCGAGGGCGAGACTGGAATTGTGGGCGTCATGATCGAATCCAACATCAATGAGGGCAATCAGAAGGTCCCCGCAGAAGGCGGCCTAGCTTCCCTCCAGAAGGGAGTCTCCATAACTGACGCCTGCATCAACTGGGACACCACGATCGAGGTCCTCGAGCAATTGGCGGATGCTGTCCGCACCAGGCGACAATTGAAGAAGGCTAACGGCGCGAACGGTCACAACGGCGTACACTAGGAAGGCACGATGAAGCAGAGACAGTCTCTCCGAAAGTGGCTTTTCGGATAGGACGAAAGGCCAAGCGTTGTCAAGGTAGCAACGCGAGCCGAGAAAAGTATGCGGGCGTTACGAGGCGTACGAATCAGAATGGGCGGAGAAGGTGAGGAGTACGAGGCACAAAATTTCCCTTTGGTGCGTTCTTCTTTCGGCAGCTCTATACCTTTCATACGCATGCGAATTTGGCAACCATCTCAAGGTTCCCACGCAGGGCTGTGCTACCCGAGCGGCTTCTTGGTAAGAGTTCGTTCCATGGCGTGGGGATGATTCCAAGAATGCCGCTTCTATTGGGTATCTTTGAGGACATAAACAGCATGATCGCGTCGCACCAGTGTCCATCACACGCCTCTTGCATCAGCGCCCTGTCCGCCCAGTCAGCCTCCTGCGGCCTGCGCTCGTGATATCATAGGCTTCCGATCCTCGTACACATCTCCTATCGCGTCTCTCTCTTCATCCCTGGTCTCCTCCCTGCCATCATACAGGCAAGTCCTTATGCGCCCTTTCATCCGCTCCCGCCTTATCCCCGGCCACACTCAACGCCTTCGCCAAATAAGGACCCACCACCGGAATATTATACGCAAAGCCGGCTATTGTCTTGAAGAACTCTCCAAACAGGATGAACATGCCATAACATTGGACCACAAATCCTACAAATGGCCAGCGGAGCAGGATGAGGAGGATTCCGAACCAGAAAGCGAGGGATCCGCGCCATTTCTGGCGGCGGGCGAAGAAGGTGAAGGTGCGATTGGGGCCGAGGAGTAGGGTTATGCCGACGAGGAAGAGGATGTCGCCCATTGCTAGGAGGGCGCGGTCGAAGAGGAGGATGAGGCCGAAGAGGAGGAAGAAGCCGCCTGTGAGGGAGGGAGGGAGGTGTTAGAGGAGGGGATTCGCACAGGATGGAAGATAAGATGTACTGGCTACGTACCGCCGGTACAGAAAGCTACGCCAATCTCTGTGCATGTCGTTAGTCCTACGATTCGTTCGTTCTGGTTGTCTCCGAGGAGCGATACGTACTCTGACTATCCGAGAGCCAGTAGGTAGGCATTTCGGCGAAGGTCTCTCAGTTGTGACCGAGTCGTGTCTGAGGTTCCAATGGTTTCGTGAGCTCGTTAGGGTGGATGGTGATGAGAGATGGAGAAGTCGACGGTCGCGCTTGACAGCATCTAATGCGGCTGCCTTCTTCGACAAGAGATGCAAAAAGGTGGCCTTGCCGCACTCTCCCTTTTCTACATACGCCAAAATCCAGACGGGAGGTCCAGTTCGCCGAGAGACGTGTTCCTCCGCGTGGTGAAAGAAGGTTGCATCCGCTGCAGGGATTGTAAAAGCTTATTTCGCGCATGGTATGAGCTTCCCCTCGGTTTCCAGACGTCGCCAATGGCATTGCATCGATAGGAAGAACATCAATCAGCGTGCACATCACGGCTCTTGGTCACAGCCTGTCACGGAATGGATTCGAATCAGAGAGATGCAGCGCAAGGTTCTCAGGCTTCGGTCAGAGTTCTGGAGCTCTACGAATTAGCAGAGACCATTCTACTATATCTTCCACTGCAGGACCTTCTGCTGGCGAACAGAGTCTGCAAGACATGGCACGACGTGATGGAAAGATCCGACAAGATCAACAAAGTGCTATTCAAGCAGCCTATGGACGACCGTAGGATCTCATATCCGCACGAGACTTTCAAGCTTGCACCTGGGATGACGCAGCCGAGCTGGCGAACAAAAGACACTCCCGATTCCGGAGTCGCATATCCGGCCATCAACCCTTTCATAGCCAAGAGCATCCGCGAGGGGCCATATTATGGTACAAGTATCCATAGTTTCCTTGTCAAGGTCTGTCCACGGGACGGGCAGGCCTGCGCTACGCTGCGATGGGGCGATGGCGGGTCTTGGGCAACGATGCTGCTCACTCAGCCGCCTGCAAAGAAATTGTTCTACCAGTGTCGAGCCAGCCGGATGTGGTCACCGAATTACATTCTAGGTACTTTCTCGGCGGATTCAATTTGGCCACCTGACTCTCGCAGAGGTGTGGAATTGGGAGAGATTGCTGAGAGCTTGAAGACACACATGGGAAAGTGTCCTGAGTGTCCGAATGACTTGCCAAAGATGACGACATGTTTCCACGGGGTTCGGCATACACAGGCTGTGCAGGCTTCGATTACGACGGGCTGGGAGATGCTAGCTCTGCTTGAGTGGAGGACTTGAGGTGGCAAGGCGTCGACCCGCAAATTGTTCTGAACATTGCTGAGCCCTCCGAGATAAGGCCTCCAGCAACGATGTATCATTCCTGTGATATGACAAAATTACATGAAATGGAGCTTCAAGGTCACAAAGTAGTACGACCGAGAATATGATGCTATCAGTATTTGCACTCAGAATTTACCGGATTGGCCGAGAACGAAAGATCGACAATTACACTTTCTGATCAATTGATTATCTCCAAAGATACGAGTCTGAGATTTGGATCCGGCAGCCTTCACCATGCCCACCTCAATGCGTGGCGCAGGTCTGCTTGAGTCAACCAGTGTTGAATACTGTGTTTTCGACCGAGTCAGAGATCTATCTGGCATTGTGAGAGAGCAAGCACCGTTCACTGACGTTAGCACAATCCACTTTCCATAGTTCCCAGATCCTGGAGTGTGCTTCACCGAACCCCACAGAACGCACATAGTTTCGACTTTCTTAGCACTTCACAAAGACTCCGCAAGCCAACAATTTTCAAGAAGCATAATGAAGAGCATGACCGCCATCAGCTTCCTGCTTTGCGCTGTCATGGTGTACGCTACGCCTGATCCGAATGATCCAGCGAGTAGATACCACGGCATCCATGGAGTTATTCCAGGGTAAGTCGTTGTTGAATCTCGCTGGCCTTTCCCTTTTTGACTTGTAGCGAAACTGATCTACTCCTGCTCGAAAGACATAACGCAGCCGCGCAGCAAGGCCTTCAAGCCAGGGAGGAGCACGACCAAGCCGCAGGGCGCGCAAAACATGAATTAGAGAAGTAAAAGATTCGCCAGGACGGACCATAGTCATGACAAGTTAGCAGCGCTTTGCCATGGGCATTGTTGGAGCACTTTCCTAGGGTTCATGACTTTTACCTGTATCGGCTTCACTGTGACCTCCAGGTATTGTAGAGATATGAAGGCTTTATTTCTGATGTTCGTTCGTTTCCTCAAAATGCGCCTTTCGGTAATGTGACTTGCTCTCGGATTTGGGCGATCCTTCAACTTTACAAAAGAGACCTCTCGCTCCAAAAGCCTCTAGTATTTCCTCCTTCCCATCGTATCCTCATGCTTATCTCCTTCTCTCCAACCATGGCTCTGGCATCTAAGCTTTATAGTGCCTTCCCAGTCCTCTCCGCCTCCAACTCCCTCTCCGCATTTTGATAATACTTCGCCGTATCGACACCATGATGGCTGTGGTGCACGAAGTTGAACCACGGCATCACATGCAGAAAAACACCCGAGTATCTGCTCTGCCTGCTCGCCGCTCCCTGCATATATTCTGTCAGAGTACTCGCTCCATACAACGGCAATCCCTTCTTGACCCTATCCGTCATCTCGCGCATGTCCTTGTCGATCTCGCGTCTGTTCTCGCTGAAGCCGTAGAATCTGTTCTGGGAGCGAGAGTATAAGAGCAAGAAGCCTGCAATTGCGGAGATCCCGCCAGAGAGGCGCATGGTTTGTGCGAAGCCTTTGCGGCCGACTTCGGAAGGAGAGATCTGTTCCCACCAGAGCATGAGGGCGGGTCCGGAGGCGGCGAAGAGGGTACCGGCGAGGTAGTCGCTTGGGCGGGCATATTTGATGACGCGGGTGAAGTGAGGGTCAGAGTCGATTAGCTGGAGAGGAGACAGGTTAGTAGGTCGTAGGCTGTGGGCATTTGGAGTGCTCTTCGTACGGGATAGTCTGAGTCGAGCTGCTTGGCCGGGACGGCAGGTTGGGAGGTCCTGCCCAGCTCGGGGCCTTCGGTAACGGAGATGGTCTCGGGTCGACGCTGTTGCTCGGCCATTGTGCTGTGCGTGGGCGCGCAATGGCTGCTGGCTGCTGGAGACGAGGGAGTCTAGAGGTGAGGTGCTGCGATGCGATGCTGGTCACCTCCGCTCCTCCAGTGGCTTGCGACCGAGCTTGGACCTCAATTCCTCATCAATATTTGACTGTCACTTTCATGCGCTCAGAAAAGTTGACGCCGTACACGTCGGCCTCGGAAAGTTGTCGCATTTACATCTATCGTCCAAATCGCGCCTGGTGGAGTCGTTGGAGAGGTAAAATGGCGCGACCGAGCATCAGCGACCTTACCGGCGACCACGATCTTGCTCGAATAGCGCGCGAAACATGGCTGGCGACGCCGAATCCGCCCAAAGTGCTGCCAGCAACAGTCGGCAAGCTCTGGAAGCTCGTTGAAGACGACCAGTTCGGTACCTTCTCCCTACTACTCCTGGAACAACTCCAAGCGCTCGAGCGATACCTATGGCCTGGCTACACGTCAGAAGCCTCAAATCAGCACGTGCTATTACTTGCTCTGCTTGTAAACACCAAGCGACAAGAACGTCTACCCATATGGCCATATTTCGCGAATAGCCCAGATGAATTTTCGGATCTCTTTAGGAGAATAGTTCATCTGAGCGTGGATCAGTCTCTTTCGACTACCCTGCGGACATACCTGCTCACCTTTGTCGTCGCCGCATACCAGAGCCTGGATCATGGGATCGTACGAAAAGAATGCGCTCCGTTGGTTTCGATAGGAATATGGCACAATCTACATAGCGACGTGGCGAGGGAGAAGCAGCTCGCGAAGGGCACGCAATTGCAAAAAGCATGGAGGGCGGCGCGCAAGAAGATGGACAATGCAGATGCTGCTGGACAGGCGAGGCTCAGATTTGAGAGGAGCTGGCTTCGTTCTCTGGTCCTCGATTTCTTCGACAAGATATACGATGCGGGAGTAGATGTGGACACGAAACAGGAGAACGTGCTGTATTGCGAGCGATTCCTGGAATTGCTCTGCGACCTACAGAGCCAGTTGCCGACCAGGAGATATGTCAATACTCTCCTTCGCGACATGAACATCTTTGCGGCAGTTTCACTGTCGCCGCTGTTCCAGGATGAGGAGTGCTTGAGAGAAATGTACAATCTGTTAGTGCATTATACTCACTTCCCCATTGACGACCAGACGGGGCAGCAGCTCAGCAGACAAGACTATGAGGAGGCTCAGAATGCTGTTATTTCGCGATTGCAAAAGGTTGCACTCAAGCTCCAACCGGAGAAGCTGAAGATCCTGGTTCTCGCCAATTTCGGCGCATTGTCACAGCGAGAGGAAATTGTGGGCCATCTGGAGGGTCTCACAGATGCTGAGCTGCTCGCGCTGTGTCAGGAAATGGGACTGCGGACCACCGAGTACCCCGAGAAGTCGCTTTTAGTCCGGGATCGCGCATTTCTGATTGAGATTCTTGCATCAGGAGTTGAGAAGACAATCTACTACACGGAGCGGCTACGTCCCATGCGGATCTTGCCGACCGAGGAGACCCTCTATGATCCAGCAGTCTTAAGGATTGACGAGGAGGACCGATCTAGGCCTCTCCCGATTCCGAAACTGAACCTGCAATATCTCACCGTTGGCGATTTCCTCTGGCGCTCATTCATTCTCTATCGACACGAGGCACTCTATGGACTACGCACGCATCTCGAAGACACGATAAAGCGCATTCAACCTCGACGCGGCGGCAACATGACACGCTTTGACGGCTTCTCGAAGATGGCCATGCCTATTGCCAAGCCTGCAATCATTGATACTGTAATGCCTAGGGTTGGTGAATCTATCCCAGCGGAGGTCAAGGCGGAGATCATCCTCGATGTGAGCCGCTTGCAACCAAACGTTAGAAGAGAATGGGAGAGCTTGAGACCAGACGATACTGTCTACCTCCTTGCTTTGCATCCGGATGATCCTTCCATGAAGCTCATCAACGGTGGCAGCAAGCACACACCAGCGGAGACAATGGGGCTGAAGTCGATCAGATGTGCAGAGGTCATCAGTGTTCTTGATGAGAATAGCAGAGTGCTGCGATATAATCAGGACGCACAAGATCACATTGACGGAATTGCACGTCCAAGACAGCGACGCCTACTGCTGAGGTTGGATGCCGCGGCTTATAGGACTGACAAAGAGCGCGCAGACGCAAAAAAGGGTGATGTCTACGACAACATCAATCTTGTTGTACGACGGCGGCAACGCGAGAACAACTTTACGCCCATGCTCGAGAGCATCAAGCAACTCGCCCTGTCAGATGCTCCATTGCCAGCTTGGTTTGAAGAAGTGTTCCTTGGTATTGGCGACCCAGCCTCTGCGTCTTATAAACGCCTATCAAAGCGGCTCAAGAGTGTGGACTACCGGGACACGTTTCTTGACTGGCAACATCTGATCGAGTCCTTTCCTGGCAAGACCCTAGAGCCAGACCCAGCGATGGAAGGTATCTTCCCTCCGCCGTATGTGCTTGAGACGGTGGAGTCGAAGGCTGCACCACCACCTGCACCAACGAAGGGCAAGAAGAGGAGACGAGATCAGCCTGATGGTCCAGATCCTGCACTCACTGGTGAGACTTTCAAAGTGTCGACCTATAAACCTCCCCATAGCGGACCCTACCTTTCAGACGCCCCAAGGACGAACCACGTCCGTTTCACGCCAACGCAAATTGATGCGGTCACTGGCGGTACTCAACCGGGCTTGACGGTTATCGTCGGCCCTCCAGGAACTGGCAAGACAGACGTTGCGACACAGATAATCAACAACATCTATCACGACTTTCCCCAGCAGCGCACACTGTTGATTGCCCACTCGAATCAGGCCTTAAATCAACTATTTCAGAAGATCGCCGCCCTTGACATAGATGAGCGGCATCTTCTGCGTCTGGGCCACGGTGAAGAGGACCTCGCGACTGACGCAAATTATTCGAAGGCTGGCCGCGTTGAGTCTTTTCTCGAACGTGGCGGCTACTATCTCGCAGAAGTTCAGCGACTCGCAGATAGCATAGGCGCTCCAGGCGCACATGGCAACAGCTGCGAGACCGCGGAGTACTTCGACCAGGTGCACATCCAGCCCAGATGGAAGCAATATTGGTCGATTCTCAAGGCAGAAGAAGCTGGAGCTCAAGAAATCATAGCAGAGTTTCCATTCCACGCGTTCTTCGCCAATGCACCGCAGCCGCTCTTTCCACCAGAACTACCCAAGGCACAGCTCATTGAGATTGCCCAGGGCTGTGAGCGTCACATTCGGCGTATGTTTGATGAGCTCGCAGACATTCGACCATTCGAAATCCTGCGCGCTCAGCGAGACAAGTCGAATTATCTCCTCGTCAAAGAGGCCCGGATCGTTGCGATGACTTCCACCCATGCGGCTATCCGACGGCAGGAAATCGCAGCCCTTGGTTTCCGTTACGACAACGTGGTCATGGAGGAAGCAGCGCAAATAACCGAGATCGAGAACGTCATACCATTCATGCTGCAAAATCCTCGCATCGAAGACGGAAAGCCGCCCGAGTCACGACTGCAGCGCATTGTGCTGGTCGGAGATCACCTCCAGAACTCACCCGTGATTCAGAACAACAGCCTGAAGTCCTATGCCAACCTTGAGCAATCCCTCTTCCAACGTCTGACTCGCCTTGGAGTTCCGCACATCATTCTCGACGCCCAGGGTCGCTCGAGGCCTTCCCTCGCAGCGCTATATAAATGGCGCTATCCGACTCTCAGCAACCTCACTTTCACCTCGACTGCGCCCGAATTTGTCGCCGCCAACGCTGGTTTCAGATTCGAATACCAATTCATCAATGTCGACTCGTACAAGAATCAAGGAGAGTCCGAGCCTTCGCCGCACTTTATTCAGAATCTGGGAGAAGCGGAATATGCTGTCGCGCTATATCAGTACATGCGCCTCCTAGGCTACCCAGCTGAGAAGATCAGTATACTGACAGCGTACGCGGGCCAGAGAGCGCTGTTAAGAGATGTCCTGCAACATCGCTGTAAAGCCAACAGGCTCTTCGGTATGCCTGGCTGGGTTGGCACCATTGATAAGTACCAGGGCGAGCAGAACGATTACATTATCTTGTCACTTGTGAGAACGAAGACTCCTGGCTACTTGAGGGACCTGCGCCGACTTACAGTGGCACTTTCCCGAGCGCGGCTGGGACTGTACATCATTGGCAAGAAAGAAGTCTTTGAAAGCTCCCTTGAGCTTCGCGAAGCCTTTGGGCCTCTTTTTGAGCGGTCGACGAAACTCAGTCTGATCATCAACGAGATGTACCCTACTGACCGCCCTGTCGATGCGAGAGTGAATGAAGATGGTGTCGCCGAGATGGAAGGCGTTGAACATCTGGGAAAGTATGTTTTCCAGATGACGCAGGCGAAGGTGAAGGCTTTGAAAGAGGGCGGTGGTAGCTTACCGCCACCAGCGCAACCGCAAAGGGTTGAGGATGACCAAGATGAGGATGATAAAGAGGCCGCGGAAGAGGACGTAGAAGCGGATGATGTACAGGCATGGACTGGAGGGAATAAGGCCCTCTGAAGGCACAAGCAGGCTTAACATATGGATGCCCGTAGTCTAGACCCAAGGAAGACCCCAGTTCTGACTCCTTCCTCATCGGGAAGCGGCGTCGGCCGGAACTCTATCGATGTGAAGTTCCCCTTCGACATTTTTGCAGATGTCTTGCAAGCTCCTTCTTCTGCACCTTTACTTCAGATAACAGCAATGACGGACAGCGCATTATGAACTAAAGGAGCCTCCGGGTGCCTGGCGAAGATAAGCTCCAAGACAACAGGTTCACATCCCCAGCCGGTTTTCACCTCTCATTGGGTACCTTGCAACCAATCCCAAAAGCTTCGGCACGGGGCAAGACACTTGAACCATGTGCCCTATCCAATGGAGTAGGGATTTTACAGGAAAGTGGCTGGTGGCTCACACCCTCATTCGATCAAGGTCGCTATGACAGTCCAGATCTGAGAATGGACCGTGAGACATTACCAAGCGTGTGCTGCGCTGGCTGAAGTATAGCAGACTCTTATGGCTCTACTGCAATATGACATGACGCCGATGGCTATGATGCGTTGGTCTAATGCGGGCATATCGTGCGGATGATATGTAAGTGTCTCCGCCTGCGGTGTTGTTCTGAAGACATGCGTTGGCAACACTCGCCTTGTGTGGGAGAAAGAATGCTTGAGGTTGACGACTTGAGGACTGCCAGGAGAGAGCAGTATGTTGCAGCAATCGTTCTCCATCGTTGTATTTCGGACTGATCAATAAGAATAGCATAATCGACCATCGGATAGTTACCTTGCGCGTTGGCATAGATCAAATGCGAGACTTTGCGGTCCATGAAGCCATTCTACGAGAGCATTCGCCCTTTTTCAGGACAGCGCTGGACCAAAAATGGAGAGAGGGACGTTCGAAGCATATTGACTTGCCACGCGATGATGGGGATGTTGTTGGAGCATATTTGGACTGGCTGTATTTCAAGAAAATCGCTTGCAAGCCCATCTCCCCTCCAGAACTACCTCTCGATGACGGAGAATACCACTTTCTCGCACGGCTATATGCTTTCGGCGAAAAGATCCAGGCGGATGCTTTCTGTGACGACATCATTGACGCGATGGCCTTCAAGACAGATGATGTCGCAGACGATGGGACGAGAACGTTCCCGAGTCATACCGCGATCATGGCTCTGTACGACGGCACACCAACCAGTTCGCCTGCGAGACGCTTCGTGGTGGAGATGTACGTAACATTTGGTGCAGAGCACTGGGTTCCGGACGAGTCCGAGTACAACCATCCGGATTTTGTGATGGATCTGGTACACGCATTCTTGAAAAGGAATCACACCGGGTCGATACATCGGCAGCAGAATTACCTGCGACGGCATCAATGGCACAAGCATGCTCGAAGCCAAGAGCTTTTGCGGCCTGCGAGCTCGACGGAGACGACACTCGCGGAGGAGACGGAATGAGGAGATCCTTCAATTTCGTCCAAAGATACCCGCAATCACAGATTTCCGCGGGATTCGGATCAAGGCCCAGGCTTTCCTAGTGCACTCGAATGTATGCTCGTGTCGGTGATGTGATAATGCGTGCAGAAATCGCAATTGCACTCGGCTTGCAGCTTGCCGACAAAGAGTTGTTCATCTGCTGGTAGGAATTCCTGTCCTAGTCTGATCACAACGTGGAAGCCCGAGACACCCATGGCGATAATGGTCCAGCGGTTCCGTGGATGAGCATGGCATACGCCACGGCGGGAACGCCGGGCGCCGAATGGGGCAGCGCGATCCGTGAAGGATGTTGGTATCATCGTCCCGCATGTGAAATTTATTGGCGCATCTTTGCTCCCCGCGACCAGGTCACACAACAGCAGAGGCAGACGCCACTGTGCCATTAACGTGAATCAGGCCGCTCAACCCCTGCAGACGGGCACCTGTACAGATTGCATGCATGTGCACCTTCGTACATTGTTGCACAGAAGTATGTGTCTGCCCGATGCATGCGCTCGTGCGACTGAGAAAGGAGCGTGGGGGCTCTTATGCGGAGAGATCATGAGCCTTCTCCGGTGATGGTATAGCACTGGACTCCACTGCAGCCAACTACAATGAGGCGGTGGGCATCGGTCCCGAATACTCGGGTACCAGAGGAACTGATACCTGGTAATAACAGAGCTATGGGAGTTCGTTGAGAAGAGTGTGGAGCGGACTCGTATTCGAAGCTGTCTCGCACACCGACAGCATGTCTCTCGTTACCACATGCCTCCCATACTTTGCATAGCCTCCTCATCGTCAGCAAAGTCATCCATGCCGTTCTCGGGGCGCGAGTGAGTCCTATGCGCGTCTTCGGCAGGGGCTTTCGGCCGCGCACCGGATTCGGCCTGCTCGGCCATCAGGGCGTCCAGCTCATCCTCGTCTGGTCCTTGCTCGAGAGTTGGCTCCTTTCTGCTCGGGGTTTTGCTCACGGCTGGCCTAGTGTGTTCCGCCATGAGCGCATTGAGCTCGTCCTCATCCTCGTCCATGTCTTCTTCTTCAAACGGTCCTCGATGCTTCGACTGTGGCTTCTCGGCTTGCTTGACGCTCTCGTCGCCGTTCTCAGCAAGCATTGCATCGAGCTCGTCATCCTCGGGCGCCCAAATTGTACCGGCCTGTTCCCTGCTGTTTGCATTCGTAGGCTCGCCAGTGGCCTCACCGGAGGACGATGCCTCTCGTTCCTCCCGTGATCTCTCCCCGTCTTCATTCGCGCCCGACACCTCCACATCGGGCGTAAGTTCTTTTCTATACGGTTTGGTGTCGTCAAGCCATGATCGCCTCATGACTTGCATGCGTTTGCTGTGGCCCACCTTCTCAACTATTGTAAGCGCATCTCGAAACTTGGCTCGGGGATATAGGTCGTCCAGCCAGAGCTGGTAAGTGTTGAGCAGACGGGAAATGTCTGTAAATTCGTGGCCTTTACCGCGGAATTTCAGACGCGTTTTGGTGATTCTGCGTAGCTTTGGAATGCCTGCGTCTGAAAGGAGCCTGCAGTCGCGTCAGAGGTCTGATTTGCTGGAACGATAGAGGAATCATACCGGTTCTCGTCGAGCTTAGGGATAGGATTGCGCTTCTTCTTCACCTGCACTTCTTGGTCCTCATCGAGTGGTGGCCCCGCTGTGGCTCCGTTGTTGTTGTTGTCTTGGTTGTCATTCCCGACTGGCAGATCACGCAAGAAATCCTCCACTGCGTCGTCATAGTCGAGTAGTCGGTCGAGATCATCTGGTGGACCTGAGCCTGCTTGCGGATCCGGCGATACAGCTGAAGGCATCTTGTCGTGGGCCTTCGTTAGTCTACACGTAAGAGGTATCTTGGTCGATGCGATACATGTAGAGACCTGCACGCGTCAGGAACGTGGAAGACGCGAGGTAGTCGCGCTAAAGACGGCCCGCAACCTTATTATCATGATCCCGAGGTTACTTTCTGAGCTTCTTCCTCACACATCAACCACTAAGCAGCTTTTTGATCGATCGGTTTACAGCATTCAGCAAACGGCGCACCGTCTTGAACTTGCTCGTGTCACTTGATCCATCACAAACCATTCGCACTGACGGACCGAACGATCCACAAATCGCGCTTTGCCGACTGAAAAAGTCCGTGTCACCTGCTCCTACATTTCTGGCCGATGCGCACGACCAGACTGACACCGCTACCATGGCTGCTACCACGGCCGCTGAGCTACAATCGGTGGTGGATATCGGAGCAAAGTTACGGGCTATTCTCGCCCATGCACGGAGTCTTAAGCAGGAAACAACAGTCGACCCTGTCCTACCTACTGCTGAGCTTAGTGCAGACATCGAAGCGCTTCACCAAAGCGCGAGTGTGGACCACGACCAGAGCTATCGATTTTCTGCTGTCGAAACCGCCGCAAGAGAGATATTCTATTCTCTCATCACTTCGGTTTCCATAGAAGATCCAGCGTTTGTTGACATTTGGAACTTTCTGGACATTCTTCAGGTGTGCGGCGATTCGGACCAGTGTGACGGTACATTGGTTTGCTATCTGCTGGAAGAGTTACTGGACAGTCAGACCACGGAAGGATGCCGTACGGTCTTCGACTACCTAGACTCAAGGCGAGAGAGATTGGCACAGAAAGATTTCCACAAGAAGAATCTGATCTTTCTTCGCTCATGCAATGAGTTGTTGCGGAGATTGAGCCGGGCTGAGGATGCCATCTTCTGTGGTCGCGTCTTCTTCTTCTTGTTCCAAACATTTCCTCTTGGTGATAAGAGCTCAGTCAATCTTCGAGGCGAATTCCACACGGAAAACACCACCAAGTTCGATGCATCTGAGGCGCAAATAGCAGATGGCGGAGATATGCACATGGATGTTGACTCGGAGCCTAAGCCAGATACTCCGGCAGGGCAAGAACACACCACACATCCGTCAACCCCTACGAAAGCAGGAAGCAAGCCAGCTGCTGGCAAAGGAACCGGCAAAAGGTCAGCTGAAGAGGAAATACTGTCCACCAGTGATCTATACCCTATCTTCTGGAGGTTGCAACATGACTTCTCAGAGCCGACCAGATTGTTCGACCCATCAAGTTTCGATGCGTTCAAGAAAGGTCTAGGCCATACCATCACAAAGTTCAAGAAGACGCCCACAGTCGTGCAAACCAAGGCTGGCGAAGACGATAAACGTAGTACCAAAGGCGACATGGATGAAAATGGCGTTACGGGCAACGGCGAAGACCACCTTCTCGACAACTACAATCCCAAATACCTCACAAGCCGAGATCTATTCGAGCTGGAGCTTAGTGATCTGGCTTTCCAACGACACATCCTCGTCCAGGCCCTGATCTTGATAGACTTCCTCCTCTCTTTGACGGAGAAGGCGAAGAAGCGACTCGCGCAGAAGGCCTCGGCCAACAACAAGTCCTTGCTGTATCCTTTCACTCTTAGCGACGACGACACGAAATGGGCAATAGCCAACAAAAAAGCCATCAACGATTACTTGTCTGCAACAGGGGACGGCAAACAGTACACTCGTGTCGTAGAGACTGTTCTTGCTCGGGATAAGAATTGGGTGCGTTGGAAGATTGAAAGCTGTCCCTCGATCGTACGCGGCCCTCTTTCAACGCAGGATGCGCTCGCAGCCATGAAGGGAGCACGCGATGCCACTCGACCTCGTCGGATTCCAGACAAGCCTAATTTCGCAATGGATCTCAGCTTTCTGGATGAATGTGGGAATGGCGGGCTCGAAGCTTTGAAACATCCTTCCCGTTTCGCTGTCCCTACCATTGATCAGCTCGTGAGAAGTGTTGCCAATGACAAGCTGGATCTCGATATGGCCGTCGACGACGAAGAGAAGAGCAGCCTCGAAAATGCCATCGCCAACAGCAAATGGCGTGCTCTGAGGCAAGCGCGCAATTCGGACCTGGGCATGTTGGAAAAGGTGGAAAGCAGCAAAGATTTAGAAGACATGCTGGAAGTTCGGGAGGAAGATGCGGATGCGGAGGTCATTGAACAGAGCGGTGATGATACTGCTCCAGAAGTCACAATTACGGCAGAAACGCCAGCGGCAGATGCTCCTCAGTCATTGCCGAAAGCCACTGAGGAGGACAGAGTGATGGAAGGCTCAGAAACAAGCTGATCGGCGCAACGTGTAAGAGCAACTGCTGCATGCGCACTTCTGCGGCTGTGGACACCGGGCCGACGTTCGGAATGACCTTTCTTGTTGATGTCGAATGGCGACCAGCTGGGCAGCGCGTTACATACCTGGAAGCTCAAACCTAGCGTTTGAGCAAGCATGAGGGTGCCCTGGTACCGAATCCGCTTGTACGCTCGTAGCAACGCCAACAGTGAAGTATTTACCAGCCGGCTCTTCGCCCTGTGCAACCTGGACCATTTGAAATTGTCCCGAAGGTCTGCAAGTACGCCAATTGCGTCTCGACTACTCGTTCGATGTCGTGAGATCTGCCCTCGCTAAGATCTGGAAAGAGTAAAGTCACGCGCACGGTAAAGCGAGCATCTGTACACACCGTTGGCGACAGGATGAAAATTTGCAAGACAAGACTATGCCGGCTTAACATCCCCATGGCCCGGGAGTTGGGTTCGACAGCTGTCTTCGAGACGAACTTGGCGGCTGTGACAGCAGCTGGACCAATCTTGGCAGTCTACAGCGCCACTCGTGATGATCGACCCAATCGACCCAAGCGACGTTGTCATCCTCTCTGGGTCCTCCGGATCCGGGGACCGTGATCACGCTCGTGATGCTGCTGGTGACGATGGGTTGAGCGTGCGGAGAGATGCCCAAGAGCCCAGTCACAAGTTGCGACTTCAGGACATGCTTTATTTAGGTTCATGTGCGGGTCGTTCGAACCTGGATGTTGACGCGGTGGTGGGAATATAGGCTCAAGAGCCGACAACCTTTTTCAGTGGTGACTACACCTCTCAAAGCCTTCTCTTCGCTTAGATGCTGTGGCACTGCAGCAATAGTGAGGCTTCCTCGCCGCGGAGGAGGGATGTGCAATCGACAAATAGACGCATATGCTCGAGCAACTCGATTGAGCAATTGTCAATACGATACGGGTTACATCCATCCATGCCTTCTGTTCCTGTGCGTGGATCTCAGCTCGTCTGGACTTGCCAGCGAAAGCCATGTAGTCTTTGTCCAGGATTTGGCTGCGACCTCACCCGTTGGAGCATTTCGTTCTCGTATACGCTCACTTCAGCGCATGAGTTCACCATGCTTTATCGCGGTGGAGCCATGCCCAATGTCAAGTTCCGACGACGCGAATCGCGACGGACCAAGTGTGCTAATGACAATGCCCTCCCTAGCAGAGACAAAGCATCGCAGAGGAAGTTGGGTTATAAGTTGAGCGCCGTTGCGGCTAGAGCGGGTTAGAGTTTGGGGATTGGCCGAGCTGAGTTATGTCACAGATGTCGTGCATGCGATCTTCACTCGCTTCGCTTAGAAGTCACTCACAGAGCGACGGAAAGTGCATGTAAGGTAGATGGTATGCAATAAGGCGATTGTTCTGGAAGACCGAATCGCTGTTCTACTGGCGCAAGGGAGCCGTGTGAGGTCGCGCAACCCTTGCAAGTATCGAAGATTCCGGAAAAGCTTGGTGTTGCCTGCCAACTAAGACTTCTGTTCGTCGGGCTCCGATCGATAGCGGGATTCTCTTTATTATTGAGAATCTGATGGAGCGGTTCATTGGGCTCGCTGATCAATCTGAGATAGAGTCACCAAATCTTGATTGCAACCCCATACCACAGATACCACACCACACAGTGCACACTGCTCGAGGTAGCTGTGGTCGGGTGTCGCCACGAGGCCCGAGCGACGGGAGCTAAGCCGCGGATAAGGGTTGAGGTCCGTCCCGGAGCGGGCCTTCCGCTCACGACGGGACTCGGGACGGGACCCATCAAAACTCTCGGATATGGACCTCTTGCCGACGCCAATGTCGTCCCCGTCGATTCTCACATGTCTTGCGGCTCGCGCAGAGGCGACGGTCATCTTCCACATTGCCTGTATAGCCGCTTCGGCGGTTGAGGCAATGTCGCCGTCGACTGCAGCGCTGCGCGCATGCGTGGGAAAGGCCGCGGTTCGAGACCTCGCCGGATCCGCACACGCACACGGCCCATGTTTCATCTACCAAGCGACGTATCCCTGATGGGCATCAAACGACCACCTTTGCACCTCAAATTTCCGTCCGTCGTCATCGACAGCTGCTGCTGCAGTAGACGGCCAAGCCATTCACGCCATTGGCGCCGTAGTGCTGGCGCGTACGGAACCGGATCAGGCGTGCACGGTGGCTCTACGGTAAAAGGTATGTGTTGGGCAGAGCCGTCCCACGCAAGCGAGCAGACGTCAAACGATAGACGTCTGAGGTCGACGGCCACTGTATCACCAACTTCACGCGAGCCGGCGCTCGTACTGGTAATAACCAACTCGTGCTCGACTGCTGTCGGGGAGCGACTGCATCGAATGGCAGTGGCGGATGGCGCTTTCTTCCACACGTGAGCGCCATGTGCGGCCTTGGCAGTGGCAGGCACACGGCAGCAGCGACGACGACGACGCACAGTCCGCTGGTTGTTATGGATGTGTGTGGGCGTCGAGAGCGTCCGTCCCAACTCTCTCTGTATCTAATAGTGGGGATCATTCCAGCAACCATCGGCTTCGGCTCAGACGTCAAGCGTCAGCTCGCACTCTGTCCCTTCCCGGCTGATGATCGCGTTCGCCAGCTGTGCACGCCTTCGCTCGGCAGATGTGCCCTCATCATGGTCGCGCAGGATGGCCCGCCGCCAAAACTCTCAACACCTCCCTCCCGCTTCAGGGAACTGCAGACTTCCAGTCCGGTCCCCACCGCTGGCGTCTGCGCAACAATTGCTTCTCCGGAGGCCTCTGCGCCCATCTTCTCTGCGGTGCAAATGAACCCCAATATCGCTGCCCGTCAGACGAAATGATGCACCGGCTCGATCCGTGGCCCCAGCAAGCCCCCCGATCTGGGCCTGCCTGAGATTTCACAGGAAGATGCTCCGAGAAAGGAGAAACGGCCAACTGTCCACCGTTGTGTGGATCATGCCGCGTGTGTCGCGGCTACTGTCTACTGCTACGTACTGCCGTTTTGCTACCAGGCTCCATCACGGCGTGTGCCAACAGTCTTGATCGTCAGTCAGCCGTTGAGTGCATGCATGTGGCAACTCTGCATCCTTCTCATGGAAGTAGTGGTGGGATGATGGAGCCAGCGCTCGTGACCTCGCCAGAGTGGAGGGCAGTAGCGGCATGATGAACATCTTGCTGCGGCCTAAGAGACGGCGGCAGCAACCTCGAAGCCCTGTGTTTCTCAGGTGCAGCAGCGATCGTCTGCAGGAGCGCGTCGCCACAGGTACACAGGTGGGCGACTAGCCCCCGCAGGAGCAGGCGCCCATGCCAGAAGCTCCTACAACCCTACTAGCTGAACCGGGCTTCAACAGCTATCTCGCAGCCAACCACACAAGGTGAGCGTGCAGTCCGGCAGGGTAGTTGGCCATGGGTGGACACCCGGCTCCATCGGGGGGGGTCAAACTCGTGTCTAGCCTTGTGAGAGGGGTATGGGCTCCGCCTACGCTTGCGAGTGCGCGCTTGTTAGATCGCTTGAGCAGTCGAGGATCTTCTTGGGAAGATGGCGGACATGTTCTCGATTACGGTTAGGGACCTTCTCTTGGTTCTGTACTCACGGGATCGGTGCCTGCCGACACAGGCAGCCTGCCATTCGTTGAATGCCTGGGATTTGACTACCTGATACTTGCATACAACAGCACACCGTCTCCGGATATCAAGATTAAGGAACGTGCCACAAGCTCGCGGGTTCCGCTCTTCCTTCGTCACCGACCAAACCGCAATCAAGTCTTCATCTACTTGCTTCAGCAGAATCCGACAGAAGGGAACTGGATCATCTGTCTTCGATATCATTGCACACCCTTCCGACCTTGGGTGGAGGCCTCCCCGTCACGACCTTGCGAGCGCACTACCAATAGCTCAGACACACTACCCTGCACAATCGTCTCGAGCCTCGAATGCCGTCCATTGGTTCCACCCTGTTACAAGAGCATTGCATCTCGGAAGCAAACCAATACCTGGCACTCCCTGAGCGGTAAACCACCACAAGCAACAACAGCCGCCCTGAGTGACCTACCCAGTCTCTGCGACTTTCGACTGCACCGGAGGAGTTTTGCTTACCACAGGACGCTCTACTCTCGCGGAAAGGGTCGGCGGCCCGTCCACTCGTTGAAAACTCCAGGCACGTCCCTTGCTGAACGTAGTGCCTTTTGGTACTTCACTTGGTCAAGACATCTTTACCTTCACATCACAATTGCTGAACGGAGTCGGCCTGAGGTCGGAGCGGCTAGACCTGCCGTAGGAAGCGATCAATCGACGGAGAGCAAGCGAGCGGTCACCTGGAGCACAGCTAACGGACCGCTTCATTCGGTCGAGTTCCTCGTCAGACTGGATAGACCGTCGAGTTGTCACATTCGACAATACTCCTGGTCTTTTAACCGAACTTCTCTCTGACGCAAGACCACACCGAGCGCAGTTGCATCGATAGTACGTCAGACCCAGTTCCTCAGAACGGCGCTGTGATCTAATCATAACAGGCAGCGTCCCGTGTGCGAGCGACTAGAATCAAATGGTGACCGAAAAGTACGCGGCACCATTGTCTCCGCCGAATTCTCCGCGTATGTCGGACGCAACGGCGAGGGCACACGACTATTACAGCCAGCATGGACCGACAGCATCACATTACACGACAAGTACCAGCTCTGAACATGGCCAGACATCGTATGAGAGTACCCATCATTACTCTTACTACGAGCCGCGACCGGCGCTCCGCTCATACAAGAGCTTCTCTCAGCCGACTGGTCGGTGGGCTTATGATCATCCAAACCAGAGCACGGTGACTGACCTTACCGACCAACGTACGTCGCAAAGTGTCCATCGCCAAGCCGAGCAGCAAGTGCATCCCGGGGACTCAGGTCCAGAGAGCCCAGTGGATCGATTGACTCCACGGTCTCCAACAAACTCCAAAGAGCAGCACGACGACGACGAACTGATCGATTTCGGTGGTGACGATCAAGATGAAGACGCGGACAAGCCGCCCATGACCGCAGAGGAGATTAGAAGACAGAAGCGAAAGATGAAGAGATTCAGGTTCGTCACGTCGTAAAACGGTACGAATGGGGCGGCAGCGCTAACGTGTCCTAGGCTCACGCACAACCAGACGCGGTTCCTGATGAGCGAGTTTGCACGGCAAGCACATCCAGATGCTGCTCACCGGGAGCGCCTGGCGCGAGAAATTCCGGGTCTCAGTGCCAGGCAAGTCCAGGTCTGGTTCCAGAACCGGTTGGTTGCGCCTCTCATCTTGCTACGCTACAACTATACTAACCATACACTCAAAGACGAGCAAAACTGAAACGATTAACGACTGACGACCGGGAACGAGTGATGAGATCGAGAGCTCTGCCCCCGGACTTTGACACGACGCAGGCCCTACACTCGCCCTTTGGCGCCCAACACTCCGCCATGGGCGCTCCGGTCTCAGCTTTGGGATCGTATTCCGCGTACGGAGAGAATGTGATTCGGCCCTTGACACTCGACACCTTGCGACGAGTCCCCGATTACGAGCACTACGGTCATCAACAATACGCTGCCCCTTCAGGAGTGAGTCCAGCACTGGGCGCATTCGCTTTCACCCCTCCACAGTCGGCAACAGACCACTTGTCGCCGGGGTCAACCGCCAGTGGAATGTCCCCGTTCGTTCTACAGCACCAGGGCTCCTTTGATCCTTCGAGAAGGCCCCCGGCTGGATTGGCTGGGTCTGGTCCAACTTCGTATGCTCCACAATCGTCTATGCCACGATTGCCTCTGCATGATCGATTTGTGCGAACAACGGGCGAGCCAACCGGCTCACCGCTTCGAACGAGTGTTTCTTACTCAGCGTTAAGTTCAGGCGGCACGCAGCAGCCACACCATCTTGAACGCGCAGCCTCCTTCTCCGAGCATTCGCAATATTCCCAACAGCGGCCGCAGCTCCATCGGAACGTGAGCAATTCGAGTTTGAGTGAGCAGACTCCCTACGGCCTTGGGTTCTCCTGTCAGTCCACGCAAAGCAGCTCATTCGAGGATGTTGACACTGACCTTGTCGTAGACACCTCCTCCACCGGCTATCCTCCAAGTGAGCAACAGCAGCAAACTTCAGTTGCGAGCGGTGCGCAGCAAGCGACCGAAGACAAGCAATACAGGAGGTCGGGACTTCCGTCGGCCACGTACGACCAGTACGCGCCATCAACATTCAACACGACACAGTCATCGCATTATCCCGCTTATGCGGCACACTATCCTTCGCAAAATTTCCCGGGTGCGTACCGAACGTCCACCGATCCCCAAGCACAACAGCAAGCCGAATCTTCGACGAGCTATCAGCCACTGCCGGCAGGACACCAGCCCTATATGCATTATGGAGGCTCGAATGGAAACCAGGTAACCGACAGCCATGCAAACGAGCCAGCCGTTTCGATTCCACCATCGTACTGAAGAGGTGGGAATGATCTTGGCCCAAACACTCTGCCAGATCGTTACGAGCGGTTACGGCTACGCGACAATCGCGACGCGGCAGACTTCCAGGTGTAATGGCCATGTACAACCGTGGCCGAGCTTCCCCTACGATGACCATGGAAAAGCGGCATGAGGGGGATGGACGGAGTCTCTTATTCATCATCAAGGACCGGCTTCTTCTACTTTGGAGTATTGCGAATTGGGACAGGGAAGGCGACGACGAATTTCTGGTTTCTTCACAACGTCCACAACGTGCACAGACCTTGTAGACTGTACAAAGGCACATACTTCCCTCGCGGCTGTACAGCGCCTCCTTGCCCAGCGATACAGACTTCTCCCTCCTTGACGGCTTCTTTTTCCTCGGCTTCCACGCTTTCGACTTGGCTTCCGAAGCATCCGTTCACCATCTCACTTGCTGGGCAATGTGTTTCCCATATACCTCCGACCATGCGCGCTGCTTTGGACAGTCGCGTCGCTAGCGACCCGCGCATCTTTCTGCTCGGCGATCCCCCCAACTTCATCATCTTCCAGCTTTTTTCTCCTCCACGCCAGCTATACAGCTTCTCTGGGGTTCCACGTCTATTTGGGTGGGAGGGAGGGAGGGAGGGGCGACAGGGGCGACAGGGGCGACAGGGGCGACAGGGGAAGGGAGGGATCGGGTAAATAGTGTGTGGAATTAGTACTAAATATGCTTATGAAGTTCCAGTTCCCAAGCCTCACTCCTCAATAATCATCGCTCGCAGGAAACTTCGATCGGGATAAACTCCTGCTGTTCTCTTGGTGAGGGGAGGAGACTTCGCGCCAACTGGTGACAACGGCCTACCTGTCGTTTTACCTCCCTCGCCCCCCTCCCCGCCTTGCCCGGCTTTTTTCGCCTTGGCAGAGTCCACATGAAGCGTTTCATCAAGTCTGGTGGGAACTAGGTACTACAGTAGTAGTAGTACTCTGGCGAAGCGAAGCGAAGCGAAGGGGAACGGAAAGAGAAGACGGAACGTTTCCCCCCCTTTTTTTTTCTTTTTTCTTTTTCTTTTTTTTTTCTCTCTTCTCTTCCTCGTTGGGGTCAACATTTGATTCAATTTGCTGGCTATATCTATCATATCATATCATTACCGACAAAAAAATTTTTTTTTTTGGTTTTTTTTTTTTTTTTTTTTTTTACTTTCGCCTCTTCTCTCTCTCTCCCTCGCAAGCTTGTCGTTCTGGGTGGGCGATGAAAACTTACTTTCGGGGGGGGCGTCGCGGATATATATCTTTCTTCTTCTCCTTCCGCGAAAGAAGCTCGTACCTCTTTTTTCTTTTTTTTTTTTCTTTCTTCTTACTGACTGGCGGACTAGAGCCGTACGTATCATAATCTACGGGGGGGGAAAGGACGTTGCATGATGATGATGATGATGATGATGAGTGGGTGATGATGAGTGAGTGAGTGGGAGGAAAGCTCACAATATCAGATTGTCTATAGTCATGTGTCTCTTTTTTTTTTCTTTTTTTTTTTTTTTTTTGGATATTTTGTAGGTTTTGGATACCTTAGTGTTGTTGTTTGAGAGATGTTTCAGGTCGGCAAAAAGAAAAAGAAGAAAAAAAAAACCAAGATTGTGGATGGTGCTATTAGTAAAAAAAAAGCCCCGAATTCCATCTGTGCATGGTAGCCGCAACGGTCCGGATTGGGGTCATAGCTCCGTCCGGTGGGTGGTGGGTGTGTGTGTGTTGGATGTTTTTATTATTATACGAACGAGACTCGGCGGTTTCGGTTGGACGGACGGGAGGCTTTTTGTCTTGAGGAGACCGTACGTGCGCGGGTCCGTAGTCACCTTTTTCCTTTCCATCTTTCAGCTTCCATCTTCCATTTTGATAGACGCTACGCTGTTGTCTGTTGTCTGTCGTTGTTTCACGGTGCACCTTTTTTGCTTGCTTCGGGGTCTATGAGACGAGAAGAGAAGAGAAGGGAAGGGAAGGGAAAGCTATGCTCTGAGATGTATAGGCGAAGGGCAATGGAGATGGAGAGGTTCTTTGGGAGGATGACTTATCGGGTACAACGTCGAGCATTATTGAAGGAGCTGGGGAGATGATGGGCGAGCAAGAGAGGGTTGAGGACGGTGACGTTGGCGAGGACACGTGAGATGCGTCTGGAGCCATGTTCCATCCGTTTGCTGACTTTGTCAGAGCGGTCAGACTCTGTCGACGGAAGGATTGGTCTGAGCGACTCATATCAGGAGAGGAGACCACTCTTCGGACACAGAAGGACCTTCTTGTGCTTTCTTCTAGCTGGTTCCCGGACAGGCAACGGCCCATCCTTCGAAGATGCGCACGTGGAGGCGAGGAAGGGCTTGAGGTTGTGATTCATGCTTGACTGCAGGAGCAGAAGAAGTGTCGAATGTGGACGACTGGACCATCTCACGCACTCGGGGTTCGCTGACATGGGACTTGTTGCGAGATGCGCCATCCAGCGGCGTTCGTGCTATAGGTCTGTCGGTAGAAGAGGTGAGGCGCAATCTGCGCGAGTCAGACGTGGTTGGGCGCAAATGATAAGGCATCAAGCAGCGGTTTCACCACGAATCTCTGGACGAGGCTCGCATGGCAGGCCCAGAGTCAGCTCGGGGCTTTCTCCGATGGATGAGCCTCATGGTGGTCTGCTTCTCGCTGATTCCCGAAAAGTCTTGAGAGGGGACCGATCATCACGTGCATTGTCAGAATTGCGGCGAAAGAATCAGGTATTCGCTCCGAGGTGATGAAGGAAAGCCGGCAGCACGTGCTCAGCAGGAGCGGGAAGCGGCAAGCTTTCTTCTAGTGCGGCGAGGGAAGGCGGACCGGAAGCCACCGCTCGGCAGCGAAGAGAGGCGGTTTCACGTCCCGATGGCCTGTGCACACGGCGCGGTGTGGGAAAGGGTTGATGAATTTGGTGACTTGTGGAAGAGGTACACATTCTTGTGCATGTCTCCTGCTGCAGCCTCCGCGTACGTTCATCAGAGCTGGCGGACGGAGGGGGAGGGGAAGAAGGCTGCGCATCATCCAGAGGTACTCCTGCAGCTCGCCCTGGATAGCCGTCGGCCCATACGGATGGTTGAGAGGCGAGAGCTCTCCTGCTGCTGCTGCTGCTGCTCTGCCTTCTGGGGCGCGGAGCTTTCTCCTCTCCCAGCCGCGATCGTTTGCCTCCAACCCTCTCCCGTCCGGTGAGTGAGTGAGTGAGTGAGTGAGTGCAAGCCAGCAAGGCTCTGGTGGTGCAGAATTGCTCAGCCAGTACACAGTACAGCACTGCCGCCGGTGACTCGCGAGACTGCAAGATCGTTCGCCGGGCGTTGCAGATGGCACGAGAGGGCGTGGCGATGCCGTTTGACACGCCGCATTTACAAGTGGCGCATGCTGCGTGCCGATGCAGCTCAGCCGGGACGGTCCAATCGGGCAAGGAGTCAAGGCATCGTCATGCACGAAAGCGTTCCCTGGGCGTTCGTTGTCAGAGGTTGAGTCATTATTATTGCACATTTGCATGTGGATGTGCGGAGGAGGTGGCAGGCGAAGGGATGATGATGAGTGAAGCAGCCGTCTGCCATGTCGACGGTGAAGTGTGATGGGTGAATTGGCTCCAAGGTGAAGAGGACCTTTAGTAAACCCCCGGTACATGGGGCGCGACGAAGGAAGGCAGTCGGCGATAAGGAGGGCGTACAGGCGGAGGCGCGGGTTATGATGGTCTGTTGCGTGGGCCAACAAAGAGACGGCCTGATTACTACTGCGGAGAGGAGAGCTCGATACAGTACATAGCTGTATGATGATGCCTCGATGAGAACGAACGAGACGGAAGATGGGATAGCCTAGCCTAGCCTAGCCGAGCCGCGCGCAGAGGTTGCATGCATACATGTGATAGTATTGCCAGAATAATACGCCGCCGTGAAAGGGACGGGAAATAGTTGAAGAATAATTTCCATCTGATTGATTTTCTTGGCGGAAGTGCCCATCTCACTCCAGTGCTGAGCAGCACAGCGGACAGCGGGTGGTGGGTCCAAGCGTTCCAAAATTTTGTACCTTCTGCCGCCGCCTCTCTCCCTCTCCCTCTCCCTCTCCCTCTCTTCGTCTGTCAGTCTCATCTCCGGACAACACCACCCCATCCAAGACAAGACGAGCCCCCATCTCGTCTTCCCCGCGTGTATCTGGTCTCCCAACGACAGATATCACTGCCAAATTCCCATTTCTCGCGTCCGCCGCAGATCTGGTTGATCCCTCCCTCGCCGGCACAGCGCTGACTTGGCCGTGCACACCTGCGCTGCAGTCTGAGGACAGGACATCCGCACCTCGTCCGCTTGCTAGAAAATTTCACCACATCCGCTGCATACTTGACTGTCTGCCAGCGCCAATCCAATCCCCTCTCCGCTCCACCCAAGGCACCGCTATCCTCATCTAATACCAACTTGAAGCCATCACCCCGGATTCGACATCCCACTCCCGCCTTTCCCATCCATCGCGACGCGCACACGACACCTCAATTTTCCCACGCCCTTCTCATCACCACGCTCACCACCGCGCAAACCCCAACCGATTGTCTCATGACCAGCGCCGTCTCCAGCACGCCCAACCCGGTCGACGCCTCGAGCAACCCATCCGCGCCCACCCTCGCCTCCAGTACGTCCTCGCCGTTGTCAGGAGCTGTGCCGGCACAGCATCCTGTGAGGTCGTACGCCACAGCTACCAAGACGGCGACTCCACCAACTTCGGCTGGAGCCTCCGCGCCCGCCCAAAATGCAAAGCCCGCTGCAGACAACCACATGAACGGTCCCGCGGCGCAAGGAGGCTCTCAGCCCGCACACACAAACGGTATGAACGGCGACCACTCCCGGAAGCCCTCGGTCGTCATCAACGCTTCCGGTGCAACTGGCCAGTATCCCAACGGAGGTCCTGTCCAGAACGGCAGCACCAGGCCCGCCATCAGCTTCGGCTCCATGAATGCATCTGGTCCCGAGTCCCACGCCAATGCGCCCTTTCACCAGCAGAGCGCCTCCTTGACCGCTTCGCGTGGTGAGAATCCACGCGTGACTTCGCCAGCACATTCACCATCGCCCATCCCACAACCCGCGGCCAGCGGCGGTCGCCCGCCCTCTTCCATCAGTGCACCAAATAACACCGGTCTTGCTTTTGGCAGTCTCCCCGCAGACACGGAAATGGTACAACCAACATCTCCCGACCCCACACCATTTCGCCCCCTACTCCCACTGACACACCCACAGATGCGCGGACAGCACCCACAAGGCAACATGGGACCGATTCCCATGCACGAGCGACGCACGTCTTCACACTCGATGCAGGGCGAGCAGGGCATGCCTCGACAGAACTTCCCCCAGGGAGGCGCGGGTCGAGGACGTGGCTTCCCACCCCAGCCGCAGTTCATGGGATCGCCAGCTCAGGGTAATAGGATGCCATACCAGTCCGCGCCCAACATGCGGCCACAGTTCCAGCCACAGGGAGGTGCTCCAGGCTCTCCCTTCCGCCAACCCGCGCGTGCCAGCCCGAGTCCCATGCATGCACAACCACACATCCCGCAAGGTCATCCGATGCACTACCCCGGATACCCACAGCATCTCGGACCTCAGCAACAACAAGTAAAGCCCCCTTTTCTTCATTCTGCAATCTTGCCCCTTTCGCGCTCTGCTTCCGCGGGCTCTCTCCGCCCTGTCAGCTTCTCCAGCGACGCGAAGGACAGCCCACTACAGCAGGGCGCTTCGCTCTCGAAAGAGACTGAATCCCCACTCCTTGCACCTACTTGTATTGCTATCACGACCCCATCTCTAACCAGACGATCTTCACAACAGGCCATGTATGGTGGCATGCCATACTACGATCCCTCCCAGGGTTACCACGCGCCCTATTATGGCTACCCGGGCTACCAGCCCAATCCGCAGAGCCCTCGGCCGCAGTTCCCAAGTCCATACCAAGGCCCTCCAGGCGCTGCCATGCAGCCGCCCTACCACCCTCCCGGCACGCCTAGCATGGCCCGCACAGCATCTCAGGCCTCTGACCGTCCCCCTTCGAGCATGGGTCATCCCCAGACTCCCGCTCAGAATGCTCCCGCACCCTCCCACACACCTGTCTCCAACCACCAGCAGCAGCCTTCACAGGGGTCAAGTAATTTCGTGCGGCCTGTAAAGAAGAATGCTATCAAGATCACCGACGCGCAGGGCAATGCCGTCGACTTCAAGAAGCCCACCACGCCTGCCCCTCCAGCTCAGCCACAGACCCCTGTCATCGTATCGACTCCGAATGCACCCACTCCACCACCCCGCGCTCCCAGCAACCAGCATGTCCGCACGGAGAGCAAGAGCGCCAAGTCTGCCGAGGAGACCAAGAACGAGTTCGCCGAGCAGATGAAGCGTCAAATCGCAGAGCGCCAGCAGCAGGAAGCCGAGGCTGCCAAGGCCAAGGATCCCAAGACGGATGTCGATGCTGAGGCGAACAAGGTGAAGGAGGCGAACGAGGCCGAGGCTCGGGCTACTCAGGAGCGCGCCGACAAGGAAGAAGCTGCGCAGCAAGAGATCAAGAAGGCTACGGCTGAAGCTGAGGAAGCCGCTGCGAAAGCTGCCAACGATAAGAAAGCTGCCGATGAGGCTGCTGCGGCGAAGAAGGCAACGGAGGACGACGAAGAAGAAGAAGAAGCCAAGAAGAAGCGTGAGGCTCAAGAAGAGGAGGAGCGCATCGAGCGCGAGATTGCAGAGATGGAGGCCCGGGAGCGCGAAGAAGAAGAGCGCGAGCGGGCATATCAAGAGAAGAGGGCCAAGGAGAAGGCCGAAGCTGCTGCAAAGGAGGCAGAGCGTGCCAAGAACACCGACGAAGAGCTCAAGAAGCAGGAGCGGGAAGCCGAGGCACGCGAAGAAGCTCGTGCGCGTGAGCGTGAGCGTGAGCAGCAGCAGCAGCAGGGCAAGTCCAGCAATGAGCCCGATGAGGAGGCCAAGTCGCTGTTCGCTTCCCTCAAGAAGCCAGCTCTTGGACCTGGCGCCTCTGCGACCGCCAGCGGATCTGACACACCGGCTTCTGGTGCTTCAGAGCAAGCTGGCGAGTCGGACAGCGCTTCTGCTGCTCAGCCCGCCGCTGCTGCACAGGCACGTGCTGCTGGTGCCCAGAGGCCCAAGCCAGCTCACCTCAAGCTTGAGACCAACAAGAATGTCGAGCGTGCCGAACCTACTCCCGGGATGCAGGCACTCAAGTCTTCCCGCTTCCTCGACCTCAAGGAGGAAGCCAAGTACCCAGAGGGCTTCAAGTCTCCTAACCCCGCCCTCAACCAGGCATCTCAGCGCAAGGGTCGTGCCTACGACAAGGACTTCTTGCTCCAGTTCCAGAGCGTCTTCAAGGAGAAGCCGTCGGTTGACTGGGACCAGAAGGTCAAGGACACACTCGGCCCAGGCGACGAGCCCGGCTCTGCGCGTCCTGCGTCCGCACGCACTCCTTCCGGGATGGGAGCGAGACAGGGCTCACGTGGGGGTCAGAACTTTGGCGCCATGGGTGGTGCGATGGGTCAATTCGGCGGCCCAATGGGTGGCGTCTCTCGTGCTCCCGTACCTTCTGGCACCACCTCTGAGGAGCGATTCCGTATGTCGCAGCAGATGGGTGCACCTCCTCGTCCCGGTATGCCGATGGCCCGTGGGCCAAGCAATCTGGGCATGGGTGCTCCCGGCGTCGGCATGAGCCGCACCAACAGCATGCAAATGCCCATGTCCGGCACACCGCGACAAGCCAGCGCACGCGGCAAAGGTGGCAGCAAACGCGACGACCGTCAACAGAGCAAGCGACAAGAGCACGAGATGGCCTCCAAGATGCCGCTCACGGCGAATGCGGACATCGCGCCCCTCGAGAAGTCCACGAGTGGCTGGAAGGCGACTTCCATTGGACAACCACAGATGGCCGGTCCTGCGCCGGGTGGTGAGGGTAACATGGCCCCTGACTTGGTCCAGCGTAAGGTCAAGGCCGCCCTCAACAAGATGACGCCCGAGAAGTTCGACAAGATCTCTGACCAGATCCTCGAGATCGCCGCGCAGTCGAAGAACGAGTCCGATGGCCGAACACTACGACAAGTCATCCAGCTCACGTTCGAGAAGGCCTGTGACGAAGCACACTGGGCTGGCATGTACGCCAAATTCTGCCACAAGATGCTCACGGCCATGAGCTCTGAGATCCGCGACGAGACCATCAAGGACAAGAACGGCAACCCCGTGGTGGGAGGCGCGCTCTTCCGCAAGTACCTCCTCAACCGCTGTCAGGAAGAGTTCGAGCGTGGTTGGCAGGTCAATCTGCCTGACAAGCCCGAGGGCGAGACGCAGGAAGCCGCTCTGCTGACCGACGAGTACTACGTCGCTGCCGCTGCCAAGCGTCGTGGTCTCGGTCTCATCCAGTTCATCGGACAGCTCTACAAGCTCCGCATGCTGACCCTCCGCATCATGCACGAGTGTGTCATGCGTCTCCTCAACTTCGAAGGTGACCCAGACGAGGCCGCCGTGGAGAACTTGACCACTCTGCTGAAGGCTGTCGGTGCCTCCATGGAGGAGGAGGAGCAAGGACGAGGCCTCATGAACACATACTTCCAGCGTATCGAGGAAGTCCTCCTTAAGAGCGAGGCGCTTCCAAGCCGACCGCGGTTTATGATCATGGACTTGGTTGATCTGCGGAGGGCTGGCTGGAAGGGCAAGGATGACGCCAAGGGTCCCAAGACTATCCAGCAGATTCACGAGGAGGCTGAAGCTGCTCACGCGAAGGCCGAGGCAGAGCGACAGCGTACCCAGCGTGGTGGGGGTCCGGGTGGTCGACCACCGCCAGGCCGAGGCGACGCTCGCAACTTCTCTGGCCACGTACCACCACCCGTTGACTACAACCGCACCAACGTCAACATGGACGATCTGCGGAAGCTCCAGCAGCGTGGCAGCAATCGACCAGCTGGTGGCTCACTTGGCCCAGGTGGCGGTCTCGGTCCATCCATGATGGGCACTGGCCGTACCAGCAGCAGACGCGGCAATCTTGGTCCTGGCTCTAACGGCACCTCGAGAACCAACACACCTCCGGTAGAGGGAAAGAAGGATGAGCCAAGCACTGCACAGAATGCATTCAGGTAAGCACACCTCCCCGTCTCAATGTTTGGACACCAGAAACTGACCACCTCACAGCGCCCTTGCATCTCTCGACCCATCCGGCGAACAACCCGAAGACGCGCAATCGCAGCAATCCGAAGCAGCCTCGCCGCCAGCTGCCCGGAAGGAGGCCGGAGCGGCGGACGAATCTTAACGCAACGAGATACCCCTTTTTGCAACTTCATGGCTGTATAACATATCAACCTTCGGATACCCATCGTCTTCTAATCTGCATCATCATCGGGTAGCAATGGGATAGAGGGATTCTTTGCATGAGTACGCGAGTGCGTTCTGAGCACTGTCTTTGTCTCAAAAGTCTGCACAGTAAAACGGCGGTCATGGATTATTTTGGGTGACTGCCATCCTTCAAAACAGGCGACGGCGTTTCACGGCGGGGCTAGACTTGAGGCCGTGTGCCTTTTACACGGGATGCGATGCGATGCGATGCGATGCGATGCGATGCGATGCGATACTGATTTTCTGTCCTGCTTTTCTGCTGTTTACTCTCGCGTTTGATTCTGGAGAGGGCGCGTGCCTTGCTGCAGCCGGCGGTTCTCTAGCTCTCACGAGCGGCTCTGCTGGCTGAGGATGGTACCGTTGCTTACTGCGGGCGGACGATTGGGATCATGGGTGGCTTTGTGGTAGAAAGCTGCCCTCAACGACCTTTTCTGATGTTTTGACGGCTCTCCACGACGCGACGAGTGTTATCTTTCTATGACGGGGCAAAGGAGAGAAGGTGGGACGAAGGGGGGAGAGGGATGTTTTTCGTATGAGACACTACTTTGGTGCGGATGAGTGTACATACTGAGGTTCTAATTTCTTGAAACTGTTCAAAAAAAAAAAAAAAAATCTTGGCTTCCCCTTGTTCGTTCTCTCGTTGATCCTTGATGACCCGCGTGATGCACTTAATAATAATCAGGGCCAACTGCCGCCGCTCCAGCCACGCACGTGACCCTCCGCAGATCTGCAGCGGACTTCACCTCGAGATCTCTCTCCGTCGACTTACTCCCAACAAACAACGCAAAAAAAAAAAAAATGTCGCAACGTTGCTTACCTTTTGTTCGATCGGTATGGGAGTCCTTCCGAGCGAATTCCGGCTTGGAGCCCAGGTAAATATAAAATCCACGGCGTTTTCCCCTCGATTATGGATCAATGTTCTCTCTCCTGTTATTAACGCGATCCTTACTGATCGGGCACCGGGGACAGGCTACTCGACGGTGTACGTTTTTCACGCAATCATTCCGCAGCACACGAAAAGTGTCTTTTCTTTTCTTTTTGACTGAAACCATACGAATCCCTCCAGCTCCGCGTCACGGCCGCACGACCTGGGATTGTCAATTTCGAGTTGGAGATTCAGAAGGAACATACGGTAGGTTTGCGCCCCCTATCATGCATGAATGGAAGAAGGACCCAGCTCTGAGATTTTTTTTCTTCTTCTAAATCCTTTGTTTTTTGATATACAGAACCGGCTTCAGATTCTCCACGGCGGGACGATCGCGTCCATGGTCGACCTCGGGGGCTCGCTGGCCGTGGCGTCGCGGGGGCTGTTCGCCACGGGCGTGAGTACGGATCTCAACGTCACGTATCTCAATTCCGGCGGCAAGGTCGGGGAGAGGATCCGGGCGGAGGTGGTTTGTGATAAGTGTGAGTGTTCTTCCGATATATGGAGGAGGGGGGGGTGCGTTTTCGTTCCGTGCTGATATGTTGAATTTTTTTTTTTGGGGGGGGACAGTCGGCAAGACGTTGGCGTACACGAGCATCAAGTTCCTGAACGACAAGGATGAATTGGTGGCGAGGGGCAGTCATACGAAGTATATCTCGTTCGCGTGGAAGGATCCGAATAATATCGTGGAGGAGCTGAGTCCGAGGGGGGAATAAGGATGAAGAATGAAGAAAAGGGGAAACAAAGATTCCGAAGTGAGGTGGTCTTCGACAATGCTATTTGAGGGGGGATTTCTCACAAACGTTTCTCTGTGTGTGTGTACATACATACATCTTGCATCGCGCAGACAAGTGTGGACGTGCAAATCTCCTTCCTGACCTGATCTGCTTCTGTGTCAACAAATCTTTCGTCTGGTTGGCAAGTGTCATTCCTGCGTCCTGTTGTCCCACGTCTCTGCAGATTCAGATGCCAATTCTCCAAGCGGTAGTACTTGCGCCAGCGTGCGGCGTGATGCTGTCCCCCTCCCCTACTTCGCCTGATCCCCATCGCCACGCTTCTTGTACCACTTCTCGCGTTCCAAAAAGTAGTTCCCGACTTTCGGCTGCGGGCACCTCACCAGCAGACTATACGTCAGCTCGACGAGGAACTCACGCGGATACGCGTCCGCGTCGCGACTGAACGTAGCATGTCCGGATTCAGACGCCACATCGACGAAGAAGCGCCGGATCGGCGACGCAGGCGGCGTGCCCGCGTAGATGATGCGCAGCGTCTCGTACGTGAAGAGCACGGGGGTACCCGCCAAGACGGGCTCCTCGCAGCGCTGCGCGAACGACGCCAGCACGCGGTTGCAGCACGCGTCGTCCTGGATCTTCTCGGCGAAGACGTACAGCTGCGCCAGCAGGCGGTAGTGGCGCGGCAGCTCGGCCTGCGTCAGGCCGATATTGGAGTGGGACGGGAGCGCTGCGAAGTAGATCCATTCGAGGTAGGCGGCGACCACCTCGGGGATGTCCTCGGGCAGTTCGAGCTGGCGGGACTGCGCTTCTTGCCATTTGCGGTCGAAGGCGGCGTGGAAGAAGGCGGATTTCTGCTGGATCCAGGCCGCGTGCACGTAGAAGGTCTGTTGCGCGTCCGGTGGGCCGACGATGATTGTGAGGGGAGCGCTCGAGAATCTGTGGGGAGACGAATTAGCCGTTGGATCAGGTCGTCGCGTCCTTGGGGGTTTGGTTTTTGGAATCATACCTCGACTTCTTCTCCGTCCCATCTCCTTCCGCCATGGTTGTCGCGCTGCCTTCGTGTACTGGAAAGCAGGGGTGTTGTTGTTGTTGTTGTTGTTGTGAGGAGAGAAAGTTGCGTAAGCGAACGAGCGAAGCAGCAGCTGGATTTAAGCACAGACGGGGCGCGTGAGTAGCGGGCCGCTGCCGCTTTCACATGTCAACGCGGGAGGACGTGACCATCGCCCAAAAGCATATTCAAGTGAGGACTTGGTGGGGACAGTCTCTCAATTCGATATACATGCTTATTTTCATAACGCTCTTCACCAACACTTAAAGACCCGGAATGTCCAAGAAGTCGGAGATGCCATTTGTGAGATTCCTCAAGGCATTCGCGCCGCCGGCGAGATCCACCAAGGCATCCGCGTACGAGTCTTGAAGCACAGCTGGAATCACTAGTCAGCCTAACACCTAGACGCGTCGCGTCGACGATCGGAAGCGAAAAAACTCACTCATGCCCTCTGCAGCACGATCCGGGTTCGCTGCGTACAGCTCGACGATGTACTCGCCCAACGACATCAACGTGATCGGAACCGCGCTCGGTCTCCAGCCGAGGTCGGAAGGCAGCTTCTGTTTCTCAAACAAGGACCTCACGTACGAGATCTCAGCGCTGTTGGTGACGGGTGAGCTCATAGTCTGGACATAGAGACCGGTCTCTCCAGACGAGAGGATGAACTGCATAGGTCCGTAAAGACATTGAGGGTTGGTGTCGGTGCACACTTGGACGCGATGGTAGCGAGCCTTGGCGGCGGTGGGAGTCGTGGTCGACGTCTCGCCGTTGAAGTACGACAGGGTACCGTTCCAGACCGTCTGGTTGAAATCATACCAATTGCCGAAGAAGTGGTCTTGTCGACTCAGGGAGACGTCATGTTCGATGGGGAAGTTATGCAGGTCGAGGTTGTCGAGGTCGAAGGCGCCGAGGGCTGGGTCTGGGGAGGAGAGAAGGCCGACTGCTCCAATGACAGCCATGAAGTCTGCGCCCATGTTCAAGCCCGCGGCGCCGCCCTCGATCAGGTGCGGGATTGTCATGTTCTTGCCGTTACGGTGGAGGAAGCTGTAGTGCGAAGGGTCAGGCGAGATGGCAAGGACACGAAGAGGCTCACGCACCCATGATTGGCAAGTGTATTGAGTCCTGGACAAGGCGATCTCACTGGCAGCTTCTATTAGCTTAGATCTCTCAGCCCTCTGAGAGAAAAAAACGAACCGTCATCCTCGCCCGGAGGCTGGTAGTCTGCGAAACGAGGATCCGTCGCAGGAGCTGGGCCTGAGCAGGATGTCAGTGGCAAATCCAATCTTCACAACACCCGAAACTGCCCACCGAGTCCTGCGAGGAACGCTGGGATATCCGACTGTGCCTGGACCGCGACCACGAGCGCGCTGAGCGATACTACAATCTTCATCTTGACACCTTTAACAATCTTACAACCAGAGAGGTCAGGAGCACTGGAAAGCGAACCCTCCCAAGGGAGCGATGTCAAGCCGCACGACACTACATATAAAGGCGCCAGGGACAGGCTACGTCGTCACAACAAGCAGAGCCCCTCGACCCTCGGTCTTGACGATCTGGCGTATATCATCGCATCGCATCGTCGCACATCATCTGCCAAGCTTCACTGCCCATAGGACAGATGGGCCTGGTGCAGCGGGACGCGTGAAGTCAAATCGTGAAGCCGAGGTCGCATACTGTGTACCGCCCCAGAGAGCAGGAGATCGTCGTCGTTCACGGTACGTAACTTGTGCATGCTGCCGGAGATGCGTCCGGTCAAGTTGCATATTTTATTTTCCTCTGGGGAGTAGTATCCGGGAGATGGTACCTTATGGCTCTGTCATACTGTCAGTTCTCGCGACGAGAAGCCAGATTTGGCTCGTATGCTGTGTTAGAGTAGTCTCAGTCCATATAGGGCTCCGTTTGCAGGACTTCTATATCATGGATGGCATTCAGAAGGGTTACAAGAGGTAGTTTAGGGCTTGAGGTGTTGTTCACAGACCCGAGAAGGCGATCGGATTGCCTATGGAGGAGACTTGATGTTCAGGTCCAAGATTCGGTGCCAATCAAATATTGGTGAGTGCCAATTAAACATTGGTCGAGTCGATGAGGAGACACAACCCGTGAAAGCAGGCATGGAGATATCTTTGGAAGGAATACGATTAATACCTTATTCCAATTTCCTTGGAGATGCAGCATTCCATATACTATTTGCATCCACTATGTGCGCTATACGCTCTGTACCGATATTCCCGCTGTATCTGATATCTCTATGCATCTGGTGATTTAGTTCGGTTCGGCCGTTACAAGGAAAGGACATCCCTTTCAGCATTCCTCCAGGCAAAAAGCACATGGCGCCGTCCGTACTCCGTCCAAACTGCCAGCACTCACGGCTTCGTAGCAGACTTCTTCAGCCTCCCCCTCAGTTTTCTAAAAGCCCCCTCGTCCTGCGCAGCAGCACTAACGCCCTCCTTCACGACCCTTCTCCGATCAGCCCTTCGACTCTCCACCAACCCCTGACTCACACCCCCAAATCCACCTCTCCGTCGGAAGCAAATCTCCATCAACGCGTTGATATCCAACATGCTCCTGGGAATAGTCTGCACGACCTGGAAAATCTCCATAGGATCGCTGACATTCAGTATGGCCTGTTCGCCATGTTTGAAGATGGAGAGGGCGATGCGGAAGAGAGTCTTGGAGCCTTCAAAGAAGAGACAATCCCAGACTCGGAGCACGCTTTCGATGGGTAGTGTGCCGACGAAGAGGGACATGAACCAGGCGGTAGTTGCGAGCGATACGGTTGGGAGACGAAGCGCACCGGCGCCACCGACTCCACTTACGAGACCACCGACACCGCCCATGCCGCCTTTGTCGTCGAGACGATTCCAGATGGCAGGTGAGGTATCCTTGATGCAGGACATGAGGACCGCAATGTCAATGTTAGCGCCCTCGAGAGCGATACCGTGCGTTCCGGGCAGGTGCTGGGTCGTGACAACATTGAGAAGCACAAAAGCTTTCTCCTCATCCTCGTCGAGAAAGAGCAGAAGAAGTCCAGCAATGAAGTTGAGGGATTGACAGTAGCCGATCTGAGGATTGTGGACGGCAAAAGCTTGTAGTAAACGCCGCAGAGCTCTGAGAATGGGCGTCTCTGGTTCCTTGGTTTTCCGCTTATTCTTGCTTCTGCTTTCGCGCGAGTTTTCCTTGTCACCACCAATCCCACCGCCCGCGTCGGCCTGCGCATCCAGCGTTGTCGTTGGGTCCGGTTTGAATCGGATGTTGTCGGGAAAGGTCCGGTTGAGATCTCGTTCAATATGCTCTCGGTCGTTGTCCGACAACTCCCCGTTCTCGACCTTCTCCAAGAGGTCCCGGTAAAGACACGGCTCCTTCTTCAACAGACCAGGCCCGCCTGCATACCAGAACCATGCGGCACCTCGGAACTCAGGTGGTATCCCCTTACGGACATAGCGCTTGATCTTCTCGCTTTTGGGAGGAAATCGAATGGGTGGACAGGTGTGGAGGCCATATGAGCGCATCAAGGCGTGCCATTTCTTCGACCGGCGTTCGATGTGCTTGCTGTAAGATGCGTTCCATGCATCGTACTGATCGACTGTAATGTATTGAGACGCCTTCTTGAAGCCGTACCTGTCACGCGACACCGTGGGCGTCCCCGTGGCCGGTCTCTCTTGCTGATTCGGCTTAGCAGGAGGAGTAGTTTCTGGCGCAATTGATGTTCGTGCACTTGGGCTTGGACTGACTCCGGAGCGTGCAGATTTGGGCACTCCAAGAATAAGAATGCTTGCACTCTGGCTCCTTCGATGTGCTGCATTAGGACGTTTCGCTTTCGTCGGCGTGGATGGCTCAGAATCAAGTGTCGGCTGAGGTCTAGGTTGTGAGAGGGATCGTTCCGGACGTTCCATTTGCAATGACCTCAAGGAGTGAGCGTCTGGAGTCAACCTTCCCCGATCGACATTGCGGGTCTCAATGCCTGGTCTGCTCAGACTAGCATCAAAGGATCGTAGAGATCGCACATCCATGCTTCCTTTTGCACTCCCTGGTCCACTTTCAAAGCCATTCTCGTACATCCCAATGGCGTCTTCAACACTCATATCCACATCTGACAAGCCACCCTCATCCCAGTCCTCACGCCTAACTTTTACAAAGCTCCCATTAGGTGAACTCCGCCCACTGATGCTCGTCTGTGTTGTATTTATACTGCTTGCTGGCCCTATACTCGAATGACTCGTCAACGCGCTGCGAAACGATTTCCTAATCTCCTCGGGAGCCGTTGCGATACTCGGGCGTGTGCTGGGTGAATCGGGTGTCAATCTTCCGTTTAAGTCTGTATTGCGCTTGTTCGTCATCCGATGCCGCATACCACGCAATCCATCTCCTACACTTCTCGAGTTCTTCAGAGCATGCCCTCTCTTCCTAGGTGCCGCAGGTGAAGTCTGCGGGCTCGCTTGGTACGGGAATGGCGGACTTGACGGCGGGCGGCTTGCGTTGACGTTGGCGTCGGCGTCTCTCTCCGTCCGTACCGGCTCCCTCTCCGCATACTGCAGGAGCGTCTGCTGCTGGTGTTCCAGCACTCCCAGGGCTGGTCGAAACGGCCTCTTGGCTTCTCTGCCGGCGAATGCGTGCTCGTCACTGGCGGTGATGTTCTCCAGCTGAGGCAGCGGCGGCTGCACCGGGGTGGGATTGAATCCTCTGACTCGGGAGTGGTCGTGCGTTGGCGCAAACAACGGCTTGGACACCGAGCCCATTCCGTATTGCAGTCTGCTGTGCGCCGACGCCTTTCGCAGTGGAAGGTGTGGCTCCGGGGCTGGCAGATCTCGTGGGCTCTGTACCGTCGGCCGTCCCCGCGGGCCTCCCCGCCTCATGGGCCGTGACCTGAGCGGCAGGACCTGGGCGGACTCGTTCATGGCCTCGCGGATGGCCTCGGCGACGGAGAGGTGGTGCTCGGGCTCCCATCCGCGGGTCTGCTCCGCGATGTGCATAGTGCGGGCGGTGATATTATAGCCGCCGGGGAGCTTGGCTGTTTTGGAAAGACCGTGAGACGGCCAGCTCGATGCGCTCTGCAGCAACCCACCAGCCTATTGCTTGCAGTGCGACGTGGCACGAGCGGTGATGTCAACGCCAACCATGTCGCTCAATCTCTCGACGGTTTCGCAAACAGGTGTTATGGCTGGACCTTAGTCATGTTCCACCCGCCTCCCAGCTATCCCAGTCGATCCGAGATTGCTATAGCTTCTCGTGTTGCCGATGACTTTGGCGCGCTGCAATTCGATGGCGGCACCGGGATGCTTGCTGGGCGCCGAGAGTATACAATAATACAGTAGGAGAGCAGCTGGCGTCGATTTGTTTTGATAGCCTGTTATGCTCTACATAAGGTAGGGTCGTCTTCTCGGGTTGTTATGATCGAGTTTCTTGGTTGGGCTCGTTTCACATTGACCTGTCGACGGAAGCTGCCGTCTAGCTTGCTCTCTTCAATTCACTCCAGATCTACCTGCTCCCCGGATCATGCTGCATCTCGAGAAGGTATGTACATGTATGTATGGGGGATTCCGATGGAGATGATCGGAGACACACCCGATATCCTTGCCAACGTTTCGATCAGAAACCAGAGACTCGCATTCCATTCCGTGTGACTCCACCGTTGCGGAAAGTTCGCCGCAGGACGGGCGGCCCGTGGTTGTTTTGCTGGTGAGCGGCCGTTGATGAACCCGATCGACCCCTCGGCGCGTGTGACGCAGGGGCCTGCCGGCTTCCACTCTCGACTCTAATGCACGCTGCACGTGAGCTCGAGATCGGTGGCATGGCATGGCATGGCATGGCATGGCATGAGGGCAGTGGAATTGGAAGCAAGGAGGCAGAACAAGCGAGTGACGCGATAAGCGAGTACTTCTTCCTTTGTTCATTGGAAACTTCACCTCCTGGATGGCCGGTCACCTTACCACCAGCCTATGCAACACGACTCCGGGAACTGCAAATAGTGGGGAGATACGAGAATGCCATGTGCAATCAGCCTCTACCAGAGCTCCGAACGCCTGACGCTTATGCCCGTGCCGCGACGAGGTATATACCCCCCCTCAGTCGCCCTCTCCATGCAGTATCACTCATACGCCGTATTTTACGCTGTCGTTCCATATTAAACCCAACCAAACGACCGTGTGCTCTTCCCGGTCAACCTGTACGTGGCCCCGATTGCTCAGCCTGCTTGCCTGCCTATTTGGCATATTTCTGCACCCAGTCTCTGGCGATCTTGTCGAACTCCGCGCGGTTGTTCTTGAACTGCTCAGCAATGCCCAACTCCACTGCGTCGTCCGGCTGTGGTGCCGCGAGAACGGCGCGGACCAGCGCGAGCACGTCCACGATCTTGTTCGGCGGCTTCCACTCTTCGGGCTTGAGCATGCCCAAGCACATGCTGCCCTTCTCATCGTTGGTGACGTTTGGGTGGTAGATCTTGGTGCGGAACGAGAGGACTGGAGGCTTGAAAGGGTATTCCTTTGGCAGGGTGACTTGGATGTTGAATTTGCCGTTCTAATAACGCACTCGAATCAGCCCCAGATCAATCGAGGACAGTGTAGTATGGCATGGACCTACTGCGTATGTGGACTCGGGCGGGCCCTCCATCACCACGTCCCATATGTTCATGTCATCTTGTTTGGCGTTGATGGTGCAGCCTGCCGGGGCGTTGGACGCAACCTCACCCAGCTCCTAGGCAGAGTCAGTGGCTGGGTTTCGCCACGTGGTGTGTTGTTGCTTACCTTCATGATCCGCTTGTTGGCCATACTTGCTGATGCGTTCGAGCTTGTGTCGGTCGTTGGTGCGGGGTGAAGATGAGGGAGTGCAGAAGAAGCTTCGCCGAAGAAGGGACAGGATAGTCAATGAGCCGCAAAGGTGAGAGTGGACGTTCGCGTGTGTGCGAGTTGAAGTCGATGCAAGTTGGAAGGGAGTTGTTTCAGAGACGAAGGCAGAAGGCAAGTTGAAGTCCCTCGCAGGTGAAGGTTCTCGCTGGACGGCCTCAGGCAATAAGGACGGTTGCTGATCCCTGCGCCCTCTGCTGGCTGATGGTAAGGTAGGCAGCCGCTCATGCCATGCCATGGAGAGCAAATCAATTCGTTGAATCAATTCGCTGAATGTTTCAAGGACCAGCTTGCTCTCGTCGACGTCGACGTCGAATGCGTACATCCTAGCCCATCCCAACACTGGCCCCAATCGGGGTGAGAGTACAGTATGCTCCCAGAGACCTCCGAACATGCACAGTACCTTATTAGTAGTGACTACTGATGCTCTCACAGGCCGCGGCCGCGTTGCCCCGCGCGACATAGCCTCCGGGAGATGCCCAGCCAGGCACAGGGCTTGGCGCGTATCTATATAAGATGCTGTCCCTCCGCCCTTCTGATGCTCTTGCTTCTTGCTGGGTACCGCTGCAGACAAGATCACGAGCGCGCACCTTCAACGTCTTGAAGCGTCGTGTCTCGCCCCATGCACCGCGCGTCAGACCTCTAACCCTCAACGCTCATTAAATCCGCCTCGACCCATCACTCGTTTGGGAAAGACACCGAATCCGATCGCTCGCCAACATCCCTCTCACCATGTTCAAGCGCTCTTTCGTCACCCCGAAAGATCGCGCGGGCAAGACGAGAAAGATTGGCAAGCGCTCCTTTCGCGATGATGCCAAGCAGAGGTTGCGCGACCAGCTCAACAGCGCCGTCAGTCCCGACACGTCGCCCTCCGTGGGCGCCTGTTCTCCCAAGCTCAACTCGGCCATCATCACGATCGCCGTTGGCAAGGACCAGCGCCTGTTCGCCGCGCACGAGGATGTCTTGGCTCGCTCACCTGCTCTGGCAGAGATGGGTCGATCTCACTTCTTCGACACCCCTGGCCAGCGCCTCATCACTCTCCCGGACGAGGAGCCGGAGATCTTCAGCGCCGTCCTCGAGTTCCTCTACAAGGGCGACTACTTTCCGCGCCTGTTGCACGACCGCAAGCGCAACACGTGGTCGCTCGAGGACGACCAAGATCCGACAATCACCACCTCCATGTCTCCTCGCATGGACAACGACTCTACCAAGAAATTTGTCGGCTTGAATGAGTCCGCTTCCGTCTATCACCACGGCGTGGGTGACTACATCCTTCGGGACACGGTCATCTACTGCACTGCCCTGAAACTCCAACTGCCAGAGCTGCAGCGCCTCGCTCTTCGTAAGCAGGGCCTGCAATCCGGCATTGACGTGGCCACCGTCCTTCGCAGTGCACGCTTCGCATATGCGAACACGCCCATCAGCGACTCACGCCTCCGCGCCCACTACCTCGCACTCATCATCCGCAGCCGCAAGACCTTCAAGCGCAGCGGCACAATGCAAATGGAGATGGAGAAGGGCGGCACACAGATGTTCTTTGACCTGTTCGTCGCCATGTGCAATCACATTGACGACGTTGTCGAGATTGGGCAAGTCTCGCCTTCTCATATTTCACGTCGCTGATATCTGCCATGCTTGTTTTAGGTGCTCGCGTGTTTCGTAAGGGGGCGGTGTGTGCTCTCGTCGTCGTGCTCTCGAACCTCACGGCCCCGGGCCAGCTACAGAAGAATTGCTAATGTGTAGTTTCTGCTGATAGCAATGGCCGCTCTCCACAACCCGACAAGTGATTGTCATGGCACTCACACGAACGAGTCAATGCAGCTCGGAGCAAGAGAAGAACATTTCAAGAATGGACCCACTCCCCTCTTTCTAAAAACCCGACCAAAATTGCCTGTTCGACGATCAACTGACTATCCAAGATTGCCAGGGAATCGCTTCATCGCTCCGAGCTAGCTTGATAGCTCTCCCCTCACACCGGCGCAGGGATATTACGCTTCTCATCAGCATGGAACATTCGTTACGCACGTCTTTCGGATCTTTCGGACCGTATCATCGAATTGTAGCAGGGTAATTCTTTGGGATGGAATGTCAAGAATGCTGGCGTGATCAGGACCCGTTGTGTTTTTGAATTTTGCTGAAGGGAACAAGAAGGAGCTCCAACTGTTGTCGCTTGTGATTGTCTGTTGCTTTTGATTGGACTGCTTGTGGGCATCCACCCACCAGCCTTCCACGGAGCGACTGCCTTCGCCTCCTTCCCCATTTTCTATTTGTGTTTTGTTTTGTTGGAATATCTCTACTTCACAGACTGCTCAAGTTCCGTCGCCGGCTTTTGGGGACAGCTAGACTGTCTATCACTGCTCGACGACGAAGTGCGCTGGATGCGCAAGGAGAATCTAAATTGGCACGACGCTGGTTTGGAGAGATTGCGGGATGGGGAATGTGTGATGAGATTGTAGTGCGTAGGTAGATCGGGTATACGAGACGTCGGCCACAAAGCTCTTGTCTTTCGCTCCGAATCCATCATGAGAGACTCGGTCTGTAGTCGGCTAGGACGTATGCAACTGGGGAGGCGAAAAGAATGCCTCCGTGGACGCGTGGGGAGAATGAAGGGACACTCATCATAGAGGAAGGGTATCTCGACGGACGATATGGCCGGCTTTCTTCCGTCCAGCTCGCTGGAGTCTCAGGTTCGACGATGACATCGGAGACGAATGATCTCAAAGAAGCCGTAGCAGTTCGATGGGTACATGTATTCATTAATTAAGGGAAGTGAAGCACCAGCACCAAGACATTTGGCAACTTGTCCATGATTTGAGGCCGTCTCCACAGCTCCTCCCTCCCGTCGAGTAGTGAGCAAGTCCAGCTTCCTCCACTCCCACTACAACAACATCCTCTACATCTATCTGTCCGTAATGAGCTGACCCGACAATGCAGCCCATTCAGAATGCCTCTCGCGGGGTGTCCAGGTACCACCATCAGCCGACCATTACTCAGGACCCCATGATGCAGTGTTCCTGACCGCTCCGCAGGAAACACCTCGGCTCTCGGTGGTTGAACCAAGCATACCGCTCACGAGGACAGTCGCAGTACCAAGACACCTCCAAAACACCGCTCTCAACATCGGCTCCACTCAGAGACGCGAGCTTCGAATCGAAGTCGGGCAGGCTCAGCCAGGATGCACCCAAGGAGAGGAGCGTTCATCCGCCCAAGGCGTTTCGGTCAACTGCTCAGCCGGACTACATCCTGAATCCGAGGTTTCGATCAGTAGGTCTCCAAGTCGTGATTATGTGATGCATGAGGGGTTGAACGACCGTAGCATCCGATTCCGAGGTTCGACGGCGAGGGCGTGCCGCCTCTGTCGCTGCTGGTCGAAAATGGAGAGCTCAAGTTCTATGATGAGGCTGAGAATCAATCGACCAGGGTGTATGTCATGTCAGTCGTATCGCCTGCTTTAGCTGACGCGGAATAGATCAGGGCGATGGCTAAGGTAGACAACACTCACCGAGTCTCGCGTCGAGACACATGGTTCTGACTTGGCAGGGACAACTGCTCCTGCTCGCAATGCCGAAACATCGATACTGCTCAACGTCAGATCAACGTGCTCAAGGTTGGCGAAGTCGTCAACCCGTGCAATGCTCGCTCGTTTACGCTATCTCGACAGGGCGATCTCAACACCAAGATCACGAATTACGACATTCGCGGCGACCATGTTACAGTCACTTGTAAAAATTCCGCATCCCCTTAAGTCAGAAGTGACCAAACTAACCTGCGTCAAGTCGGCGATGGTCACCGAAGTCGATATCCTACTGAGGCGATAGCGAAACGAAGAGGCCACAGAATGACTAAAAGCCGCTATGGAATCACGCCGTGCGTGCTGTGGTGCTTGTTGTCGCACATGAACTAAACAGTCACCAGATTATCGATATGGATGGCCGACATTGCATCCTCCCCACCCTCGGTTCCATACTCAGACATGGTCCATAAGGCCGGAATGGGAGCATTATTACATAAGATCGTAAGCTGAGATGGAGTCGCTTCCAAATCCTACACTTCCATTGACAACTGCAGCGTACATGGGGCTTCTGCTTCGTTGACGACATGCCAGCTACACCCGAAGCAACCGAAGCACTCCTCGAATCCATCGGACCAATACGCGTCACACATTACGGCGGCTTCTACGACTTCACCTCCGACCTATCCTCTAAAGATACAGCCTACACCAGTGAAGCTCTCGAGCCACACACCGACAACACCTACTTCACCGAGCCTGCAGGCATTCAAGCATTACATATGCTCTCCCACACCGATGGCTCAGGAGGCGAGAGCTCCCTGGTGGATGGCTTCGGCGCAGCCGTACAGCTCTACGTCGAAGACCGCGAAGCATACTTGACCCTTAGCGACACCGGCGTCTACACGCACGCAAGCGGAAACGAAGGCATCAGCATCCAACCGTCACAGCCCTTTCCGACTCTCTCCCACGATCCGGAGCACCACTTCCTCACGCAAGTCCGCTGGAACAATGCCGATCGCGCCGGAGTTGCCACTGACTTTGCTTCCATCGATACCTGGTACGACGCCGCCGCGCGATTCGACAAGATCCTCAGCGACCAGAAGAATCAATACTGGTTCCAGCTCAAGCCGGGGCAGACGTTACTCTTCGACAACTGGAGAGTTCTGCATGGGCGAACGGCTTTTACTGGCAAGCGACGGATGTGTGGAGGTTATATCAACCGGGACGATTTCATTTCGAAGTACCGTATGACAAGCATGACCGCGGACGACATGAACTTTTCAACCGTCACGGGATAAGAGTGAAGAGGAAGCCACTTGAGAACCAGGAAAAGAGGGAAGGAGAAAATTGATGACAAGTTTGTCTGGAATCATTTCGTTTCATTTCATTTCATATGCATTTCATTTCCATCGCGTCGTAACATCATCAGGGGGGGGGGTATCTTCGCTTTCCCTTATGTGCAGATTTCCCAGAAAGCGGGAAGAAGAAAAGGATATCGTAACGAACCGACCGTCACGACTTTCCAATGCCAGGTCTTGCCTGTAGCGAAGAAGAATAGAAGAAGAAGAAGAAGAAGGCAAGTCCTGCCTTTTTGCAAAAAGCGCCTGCCAGCCCTCTTTAAACCACGACTGGCCATCCGCTGGAGAAGTCCAGCTTGTTCCAACCAAAGAAAAACTGGCTGTAGTCGTACGACACGCTCGGGTTGACGTAGTGATAGTACACCACGGGCGAATTCTGCTGGGGATCGAACATGACGCCTTGGCCACCGGGGGCATAGACATCATCATGGCTGCCCAGGACGAGGGTGCCGCCGTTCTGCGTCAGGCAATCCCTGCCCGCTTGGTCGACGAAACCGCCATTCGGAGAGGAAGACCTGCAGACCAGAATCTTATACTCGTCCCCGGGAGCTGGGAGATTCGGAGGCACGTTGCAGCACTCCCCGGAGGAGAAGAAGAGGTAGTAGTATTCGTCCCATTGGAACTGGTAGCTTCCCTCCATGTAGGCTGGCGAGGAAGTGTTTTGCGCCAGATGGGTGGTTCCGCCCGCGACGGTGAGGGGTGGGTTTGCCATGGGGACCTGGAAGATGTTCTGCCAGAAGGAGCCGAAGGACAGGTAGGGCGTGGAGTCGGCGGAGTGCTGGAAGAGATTGGGGTCGATGCGGTTGTAGGCGGTATTGGCGGGGATGCCGATGGAGCCGTGGTCGGTCCAGCTGCGGGAGTCCATGGTTTTGGAGGTGGCGACGCCAATGTCCGACGTCTCGGAGCCGATCTTGCTGACGGCGTAGTAGAGGTAATATGTGCCTTGGACATTGAAGACGTCGGGAGCCTAGAAGAATCCATCACGTGTTAGCCGCGGCGATCAGATCAGATGAATGCCCGTGATTGACGAGGATGGCTCTCACCCAGAGGTCATCCCTGCCCGGGAGCTGGATACTGGAGCCGTTGGGCAGGGCGGCGCCCTGGTTGGTCCAGGGGCCGGAGAGGCTGGGCGCCGTCGCGATGCGGATGAGATTGTTGGTCACGAAGCGGTAGTAGGTCTTGGTGTCGGCGCGGTAGACGACGCTCGGGTCGTGGACATCGCCCTGGCAGGCGCCGCTGCACGCGCCGACGGCGGGGATGCGCTTGACGAGCGGCGAGGCGGTTGTGAGGATGGAAAAGGAAACGAAGAAGCCGATGAGGGCGACTTGAAAGAGTAAGAGTGGCACCATGGCTGTGCTGTGATGATGGCGGCGGGGGTTGGTGTGAGGAGGTGTTGAGGTTGTTGAGGTTGTTGTCGAAGGAAGGAGGGAGGGAGGGAAACCCGGAAGATATATACGCGTGATGTCTTAGGTCTGACCTCTGACCGTCCGTCCGAGAATGCAAGTCGAAGTCGAAGGACGCGGGCGGTGGTGGTGTGTATATGAAAAAGGGTCTGGCCAGGGAAGGTGGATGGGGACAAGGCAATGGCAAGGGGAATGGCGGGTAAGGTGGAAGGTCTTTATAGTAGTCGACCGCGCCGGACCACCACCACGACGACACACACACACACACAAAAGCCAACGGGGGGAAATTCTCCAGACCAAAGAGCTTAATCAAGCCGACTCTGTGCGAGGGTGCCAGGTGGTCATGATGACTGTGACTTGCCTGTTTGTAAGGGGCGGTGGGATGGAGATGTAAAGAGTTTGGCATAAAAGTTAGGGAGCCACATGACTCCTCCTCCCCAGCGACGTGCTCAGGAGGGCATCATCACTCTTGATGAAGAAGGAAGGAGTCTTGGCCGAGGAGTGAAGTGGAGTAGAGTAGTGGTTCGGATGGACGGCGGCGGCAAGCACATGTGCGGCGAAGGGGGCAATCCCTTGGCTCGGTTTATTGGATGGAAGGGGGAAAAAAGGGTGAAAGGGTGGAAAGTCCCAAGAGCACTGCACTGCACTAATGAGAGGGTCGGATGTTGCTCCCTTGAAACACGCGACCAGGACTTCACAGATGTGCAGGTCTCCGAGCGAAAGGTCCACGGGCTCGCCCGCGCCACTCGGGTTCGTCGAGCTGCTGTCCGTCTGTCTCCACTGGGATGGGATGGGATGGGACAGGTTCGAGTTGTCGGGCGTTCTTCTGCAGGCATGGAGAATTGCAGCATGGCCCATGACGCTCGACAGAGGAGGGCACGTGGATGGTGGAAGGGGAAGGGGAAGTGGAAGCGTAATAAGGAAAGCGTAGGAAAGGCGTAGCCGGCCAGGCGTAGCAGGGTTGGGGCGCGTACAGCGCATGTGTGCATGTGTCTGTGGGTCAGGAGGCCGGCAGATCTGGACAGGACAAGAAGTGTGAAGTGAAGTACAGTAGCTGCATGACATGAGGTAGCATAGCCACATAGCCATGATGAATGTATCCAGTAAGAAATGTCCGGTGCCATAGCACTAGTAGGCAAGTACTGTAGGCTGTCTCCAGCACTGCGGGGTCTCCACTTCCCGCCATGTCACACCCCAGCAGCATCCGACTCGAGTCTTGGGAACATATACATGATCATGACATGGTTTCCGCGGCCGACATCGACCGTGATGGAGTGGCTGATGATGAAGGCAAGAAGGCAAGAAGGTAATCAATCCATCTTCCGAAGCCAGCCGCCTCGCTCTGCTCCGGTCGACCTCACCTCCCTCGGCCTCCTCCTCCAGCATTGCTCTTTTTCTGCCAACAAAGGAGGGAGGTGGATGACGTGGGTTGTTGTTGACCACAGTGTGACGATGGTCTTCACGCTGCGTGACAAGACCAGACCAGACCAGACCAGACCAGCACCAACTTCCTCCCTGCACCCTGCGTCTGCGTCTGCGTCCTGCGCCCTGCGCCCTGCGTCTGCACCCTGCCAAGCGTGCCCCGAGCCGGCTGCTGCGGAACAATTAGCCATGCCATGCCATGCAGACGCGATGCCGTGCAACCACAGCCCGAGCAGCAAGCAGCGCACAGTACAGTGTGATCGGATGTGAGGCGGAGACGATGCCGTTTGGAACCAGTCGCGCGTGTCAGCAAAATTGGGTCGGTGTCGGGCGTTCAAACAGCACTGCAGCTATAGGGTAATCAGAATAAGGCCAGCCCAGCCCCTCAGCCCCTCTCTCTGGCCCTCTCTCGCCCAGATATAATAATAACCTGTAACATGTTGGAGGTAGTTCGTCTACCTGCCGCGCCCGCGAATTGAATAAGAAGCAACAGCACATTGGCTGGGACGGACTCCTCGGGCTCCGGGCTCGCTGCAACAACGAGGATTCCTGAAGCGCTCGGCACGCAGTAGCTAGTCTGCTGTGTTGCGCGCTTCCTGCCGCATGGAGTCTTTTTTTTCCGTATTTTCCTTTCCTTCTCCCGGCTTTGGGTTCACACGGCCTGGACGCGTCTTTCTGACGTGGCAGCCTTTCAGAAGACAACACAACACCACAGCACCGGCCTGTTTCTTCTCGGAGCCAGGCTTGCCGATGTGATGTTCCCGTGAGTTTGATGTCATTCCACAGCTCTGCTGCTGCTGCTGCTGCTACTGCTGCTGCTCATAGAGAAGCATTCGAGCAGACGACGGCATCCAGGTCCTGTGGCAGTCCAAGATTCTGTTCGGCCTCATCAACCAGAACTCTGCCGGATATGCGGACGGCGGAGGCGGTCCAACACAAAGTCTAGATGCATGCGCGAGCCCAGCAACAACGTTCCGATCATGACTGTGCGATGATCGAATTTGACTCTCCGGACACGTGCGGAAAGATGAAGTATCCGGGCCGTGAATAATGCGTGTACGACGCCAGAAAAGGTGGCAATCAATACTGTAGCGTGGGGTGCAAAGCTGTGTTCCCTCTTTTGGATGCCCTGAGGCATTCCAACACCCCCCCGTCTGCTCTGATTTCGGATCCATGGCCTCAATCAACACTATAGATAGACAGGGAGACTTCATCAAGCCCAGACAAGCGACATTGAAACTGCTTGCGCTCTTCACAGATTCCAGACCAAGTCGTCTCGCAGAGTGTTTCGACGGGCAACCGTTCTCGTCCCCGTCCTTCTGCACCACCAGACACATCACTCCAAACATCATCACCCGCTCTCAAACACCATCTCTGTTGCACCCACGAGAATTCTCCCCCTAGAGATCCTCTATGAAATCTCCGAACGAAACTTGTTCTCTCGGAGTAAAAGAGGTTTCGGAGGTGGCAGCGCGGAAATGAAAAAAAGTGTCAATTATGGGACGGTATGAGCTCGACTCCGTAGAAGCAAGCCAGTCAATTCGACATTCTCGTAGATTGTCTTCCGGGAGGAAAAATATGCCCTCGGTGTCACACCCTTACCGCGACTCGTTCGAGACTTGGATAATAAGCATGATACGGCCCCCCATTTCAATCGTCCGGAGAAAACGACGGCAAAGAGCTAAAGAAAAAATTCTTGACTTTATGATCGGAAGACCCTGATCGTGAGGGTGCATCAGGATGGGTGTGGAGTGGAACCTCACGGGCGAGACATGATGTTCGGTAGGTATGCTAGGTAGGTATGTTACCAGAAACGTGCATCCCCACTTTTCGCATTTCGATGCTCCTCTATGTTGGAGACACACACCACACCAAGAACGAAAACAAGAAAAGAAGAGCCCTCGGAGGCCTCGTCTCAAATTTCACCTCTTCCTCTGACTAGCAGCTAGATACATCTTCTGCAGCATCCGAAATCTCTCCAGTCGGTCCTTGCTCTGGTCTCCCGACAAAGCCGAAATTCGATCCGGATGCCATGTTTTATACGCTCCTCGGTGGGATTTTCACACCGAAAGGCACGAAACATCCTCTCCATCTCGCAAGAGCAAGTCTTCAGAGCTCGCTATGCGCTGCTGCATGTTCAACAAGGTTGTGTTCGAGCATGAGCATGGCAGCTGCGAGCGCTTTAAGGTGGGGCCGAGAAGGGAAACTTTCCGAGTGCCCTGTCGAGTGAATCCGATGTCCCGGAAAGCATGCTCGCACCGCTGCTGCTGCTGCTGCTGCTGCTGCTGCTGCTGCCAAGGCAGATGGATCCGCGGAAGGAATGGCAACTGTAGGTACCGTCGGAGAATTGGTGGCAGGCGGAGGAGTGTAGGAGTTCCGACCCTCAAAGTCAGATTTCCATCTCCTTTCATTCGTTGGGTTTTCCGAGCCTCTTCATAGGTCATGTGTCCTACGCCGTCTCGCATCCCCTTTGCTTTGCTTGGGCGCGGCGCGCTGCTTTGCCTTGTTCTGCTTCGAGGTGCTGACTCGGGTGGAATCCTGGCTTGCCTTGTTGCGCGCGTCTGATTTCTTCCTCCGAGTCTCGACGATCTTCGTCCTCGATGCTCATGCTTGCCGTTTTGTCGTTGTGGTGGGTTCCGTTTGCTTGCTGAGAGGTTTGCTGGTGAGGAGCATTGTTTTGATGGCTTCATAGCAAGAAAGGACGCGGCGGAAGGTGAGATTGGCGCGTTCGGAAAGGGGCGAGTGACACTGAAAGAGAATGGTTGATGACTTGTAGGGAGCCACTTCACTTCACCTCCATCACAGTCATGGTGCGGTCAATGGCTCGAATCCGTTATTCTTCTCCATGAGACTCATGCTCATGTTGGCGAGTCCGTGTTAAGGGCGCCGTGAGGTGGAAATTCATCTTCACTGTAATGCTGGAAGACCTCGTCTCTCATCAGCGTTCTCGGCGCTCGTCGTCCCGTGAACAGCTCGAACTGCGCGAATGCCTGCTCGGGTAGCATGTCCAGACCGTCCATGAGGATCCAGCCTTTGCGCCCTTCGCTGTGGATCTGACGAACGAGAGGTGTCACGATTGGCATGTACGCGAGCTCGACGACAACACCGCCCGTCCTGCTACTGAGCCAGTCGTTGGGTAGCGTAAAGTTCGTTGGGGTCCCGTCGGTTGTCTGCGTTGGAATACAACTGACAATCATGGTCGGATGGCGCATGTTGCCGGGCCACTGGCTGTCGAAGGATTCCAGGGCGACCACAAAGGTATTTGCTGCATTCGACGGCGACAATTCGGCTATGCCATTCCTCTGGATCAGATGGTTGTAATGTGTGGCGAGCTCTTCGGCATTGCCCTTCGTCCGATTGCACACAAAGATGTTCTGCACGCCCAGCGAGATCATGGCATAGATGGCGGCTCGAGCCATACCGCCGGCGCCACATACGAGACCCGTAGTGTGCGGACGAACGGTATTTGCGGGAGATAGACCTCTGCGGATGCATGCTCGGATACCAATCCAGTCTGTGTTGTCCCCATAGAGGGCCTTGACGGTACCCGTACGGTTGCGCTCCCGAAATATGCCAACTTCACTCGAGATGGACTTGATTACGTTGTCGTCTCTTAATGGTATGACGGTATTGAGCGCCCCGATAGCCTTTGCGTGAGGGCTCAGAAGATCCATCATGGGCAGAGCCCGTGTCTTGAAGGGCTGGACTATTGCCGCACCTCCGAAGTCGGTTTCTCTGACTAGCGCAGCAAAGTCGTCAAGAGTCGAGGCAGAGTGTGTTCGATAGGTATGTGGCATGCCGCAGGCTTCGTAGGCGGAGTTGTGCATCGCCGGCGAGAGGGAGAAGCTGACATTCGCTCCGTAGATGAAGAACCGCATAGGTTCGTGGACAAAGCTTGCGAAGAGTGCCTCGTTCCGTTCCTTGGCCGTGACAAGCGGTACAGCATCGTCGAGGAATGCGCTCGGACTCAGATTCGGTGGCGCAACGGGAGTCAAAATGTTGTTGAAGCACATCGATGTCCTCCCTTGTCTGCCTGTGCAATAGGCGATCAACCCTGGGCCTTTGCCACCATACAGAGTTTGAATCTTTTGCTGGAAGGCCTGGATTGCGAAGTTGTCTGCGAGTGTCCCATCCGGCATCGTGATCTGAACAAGATCACAGCCCAGACTGTGTGCTCTCCGGTAAATTTCAAGACACTGCTGGCTCTGCCAACCGTCAAAGAGACGACCCGGTGCCGTATATTGTCCGATCACCTTAGTACGGCCTTTTGTCATCAACAGATGCTTCAACTGAGAGTCCTCCAGGGTCAGGTCGAAAGCACAAAACTCTGGTCCAAGACGAAGGCAGTATTCGAGCAAATCTACTTTGGTGACTTTCGCGGACGTCGTGGCTGCAGTATCCTCCGCTGGAAACATCGCAATGGGCAAGATTGTAGAGCGTCGAAGGACGGCAAATGCTTCACTAATGATGTTGAAGCAGCTGTGCTTGCCAAGGTTGCACGTCTCGCCGTTTCGTGAGCTCGAACCGACTTGGAGGTGGATGGCATCTACGCCATTCTGCGCCTGATCGAGATCCATCTTGCGGGACACGACGTCTTGGGCGGAGATTGTCACTGCTGAGGTGAACTCGAGTTTGTCGACGCTGATCTGCGAGAGTGGATATGCTGATTGGTGAGACCGGCCACGGTCGTGGTCGCCTATCGCGTTTCTGAGGAGCTTGAGGAAGTCATGCTCGGTCCTTTTCAGAGTGAGGTATGCGCCAGTTGTGCTCCGGCTGTAGGGTAATCTGCTGCCATCGTCGGTGGACGTCGGGCTCCTGTCCAGCTTCTCGGAGGCATTGAAGAACTCGAAATTGGAACACTCGCGCAGCAAGGCCTCGCTAGCACGGATCAAGTCTCGAATTCTTTCCTCGGACCAGACCCTAATGTAGCTCTGAATACCAGCTACATCTCGAGTGACATAGATGACGGGGTGCGATTGGGCATAGTTCTGTATCAACTTGGCGCCGTCACTCTCGAGGTCAGCGAAGCTACACACAATCACGCAGTTCTTGCTGTGGGCTTCCAAGAGCTGCTTCAAGACTTCGCAATGCTTTCGATGATACTCTGAAGTTCCCCGGGCTTTCCGATACGCCGTCCTGTTGGAGCCTGCTAATTCGCAGAAGGCCCGATCGGACTCGATGACACGACGTGTGTATGCCGACGCAGCGAGGAAGCCTAACGAGCTTTTCCCAACGCCGCGCACACCGATCAACAAGACGGACGCATCGGAGGTGAAGGACACCTTCCTGGGCTTTGAATCAAGGCCACCGATGTTGGAGTGGGTCCCGTTTGGTGGAGTCGGGGTAGCGCTGGACTGTCGAGATGGGGCAATCTGCTGCAGTGTTTCCTTGGAGTTCGGCCTTGGGTGAGATGTCGTTTCGAGAAGACCATGCATCTCAAGGAACGTCCGCTTGACGCCTGCGTGCAGAGCAGCCATGATAGAAGTTCGATCAATCGGGAGCCGCCGTCATGAGGGAGCTTGCAGTGTAGGTGTTGAGAAGGAGCGCATCGAGTGTTGTAGCTCCGATACCGTTCATGCGGCCTGGAATATCTTATCCGCTCTCGAGAGACCGGGTGTGAGAAGTCAGACGATTTGGGCAGTGCGTGTCACCCAAGGTCGGTCACGGGAGTTCGTAGACCCCATTCTGGCCTCTGGGCACATGGAATCGCGTTACAACGCGTGATTATCGATGACTTGATTGATGCGATGGTGTTGGCATCCTGGTTCGAGAGGCGGCACTACCGGCTATGACCTTTTCCCCGCCGCGAATCGGACCGGCTCCCGCGCGGGTCCGGGGATGGCGATTGCCGTACCGCGATGTATGATGTATGGAGGTGCAGACGAGACATACCATATCCATATCCATCTTGGCATCTCCCTTTCCACTGCCAACGTCCATCTCTCGCGCCTCTGCATCACCATTGAACCGTCGACAGGCTTGGACAGCGGCTTGTCCATGGCAGCCGAAGATGCGCTGTCATGAACCACCCTCCTCGCACCACGCCTTCTTCCGCAGGAGACCAGGACAACAACTCGTCCGGCGGAAAGCGAACCCTCGATAGTACCGGATCATCCAAGAAGTCGGATCGATCCAAACGCTTTCGAGTCTCACGAGCATGTGATCAGTGTCGTGCAGGCAGGGAGCGGTGCGATGGAGCACAGCCCAGCTGTCAGACGTGTGAGACTCAAGACCGACCTTGCACGTACCATGAACCGCCCAAGAAACGCGGAATTCAGCCCAACTACATCCGCACGCTGGAATTGACCTTGGCCTGGCTGTTCAAGACTCTTCCGGAGGGCGAGAAGAGGCTTTCTGAGCTCCTCCCCAGCCCAGACGACTCCGCTCATCGCCTGATCGCGTTCAAGGATGTCGCGGACGCAGAGGCCCTCCATCAGCTCTGGAGAAATGGCATTGTTTGCAGGCAAATCGACCAGCTGCTCTCTGGAGCCGAGATTGAGACACCCACACTGCGTGCGGAGGATTCGGGCAGACCGGGCACCCAGAACGGGGTTGCCTACCAGTCGCCTCCACTATCCGCTCAATCTGAGTCTGGTGTGCCGCGCTACGAAGCGGGAGAAGTCAGGAACCACGCACTTGTCATCGAACAGTCTGCTGGAGACATCTATAGAGAGGCACATCCAGGCAGTGGACTTCTTAAGCTCCCTGAAAATGCATGGGCGCTGCTGGAAGAGTATTTCGCCTTCACTCACACGTGGCTGCCCATCACGGAAAAGCACGACATCCTACGGCTGATGTACACTTATCCGGAGCACGGCTTGTTGCGAGAATCTGCACAAGGCTCCGAACATGCAGAGTTATGGAGTATCATGGCGTATGCCACGTCACGTGCGCAGAAGGACCAATCGAGCAGCGCATTTCATTCATGCCAAGATATCGCCAAGTCGTTGATTCCACGCGACCAGAGAGCACAGCTAGGGCATGCCAAAGCTCTCCTGATCCTCAGCCTTATTAGCATGTCCAACGAAGCCTGGGTGGCTGCGTGGTTGACCGTCGGTTCCGCGGTTCGACTACTAACGCATCTGTTTCCTGGCAACGCGCCCTCGGAACCCGCTCTCGCGCAGTCTCGAGCCAAACACGCGTACCTAGCCGCATATCTGCTAGAGAGTGTCGTCGCCTCCCATACCAATGCTCTCTTGCACTTGCGAACGAGTGGTGTCCGAGATATCGGGCTCTTGGTTGAGGACGGCATGGAGGAGTGGTCACCGTGGCATGACCCCAGTGCTCATGCCGGACCATCCGCGACCAAGTCACCGGCTCGGTCCATCAGCAGTTTCAACGAGCTCGTCAGAATCGCTCTGCGCAGTCAAAATGATCTCGAGGACAGCTCTCCAAGAACGGGCGGACCAAGGGAGCTAGACGTCATTGTGGAATTGCTACGAAACGCAGCGTCGGGGAAAGGCAGGTTGCATCCATCATTCGTGATTTCCAAATTTCGGCAGTCTGCTGGTACAAACGGCTCGGATTCTGGAAGAGCAAGAGCACATGACGCCGAGACACCTGCTCTATTCCATGCCCGCACAAACTCATCGCAGGCCGATTTCTGGGCCAATCCAAACGCCGGAAACTCCAACCCCCTGCTGGACCAACAATATCCGTTCATGACCATTCCAATTGAGGGTTCGGAATCTCTGCCAGGCAGCACGCCCGCCCAACAAGGCTCGGGCACGAACATGAACACGAATATGTGGGCAGCGGGGGAGAGCACTCAGCTTGGGCTGCAGAACATGCCATCGTTCGCGACGGAGAACGCTGGCGAGACAGCAGGGCCGGGTGCGGATATATTCGAGGAGCTGGCGATGCTCGAGCGCACGGAATCCAGCCAGAACCCAAAGTTCATGCAGAATCTGGGCTTTGGGCCGGATCTGGATCTCGCCGAGTTCTTTGGCGCCGACTATCAGCCTTCCGATCCACTGCTTGCTTATATGCAGCCGAATTCCTTCGGTGACATTTCTCAGTCTCATGGAGGCGCCAATAAAGATGCCGGTTGAGGATCGAAGGAATGTACGGATTTCTACTTCCTCAAGACGAGTTGAATACTCGTCTCGACCAATTATTCGCGCCACGAGTGTCAACAACACGTGGGCACGGTGGGTCTTCTACGCAGAGGCCGATCATGGCATCAGCAGAGGCGCTCTGCTTGCGACGACGGCAATCCAGATAGTCGACAGATGGGCATGTGCGTTCAGGGCGTGATGGTGCCGCAAGCGCCACAATTTGCCGTATTGAAAGGCGCGCGCCTTCAATGCAAAGTGCTCACGAGATGTTTCAGCCAAACAGCTTGCATCAACATGTACATCCTCTAAAAGCTGTACGGGTATCATCGCTATCCCTACAAGTCCGTAAATCCATGCAGCGCCGCCCATGCTATCCATCTCTATCTCTATCTCTATCTCTATCTCTATCTCTATCTCTATCTCTATCTCTATCTCTATCTCTATACTGTATGCGAAGTTTCCCCAATGCGTCGCTATAGCTGAGCTCGCGGCGCCTGCTCCAGAGGAGAAGCAGCTTCAATCTTCCTCGGCACACTGGCAACACCGAAATCTCTCTCGATCTTCTCGAACGACTCTGTCGCTCTCCGAGCGTGCTCTTCCGGCACGCTTGCTGCGGGATCCACCAGGCTGCGGTTGAAAAGCTCTGCGCTGACGGGGCCTTTATACCCCAGATCCACCAGGATGGCCTTCAAGATGGCCTTGACGGGAAGGTAAGCGCCACGCTCGTGCTCGCCGTAGAAGAGTCGACAGTTCCTGCTCCAGCTCATCCGAGCGCACTGGTCCGGAGCATAGAACTCATGTCCCGGCACCAGCGGGGCAGAGAGCCGTTCGGCGTCGACGACTTGCACGAACGCCAACTTTTCGACATTGATGGTGCGTACCATTCGAGCTATGGAGGCCGCCATTTCTGCTTCGGCATTCGGGTTCTTCCCCCCGGGAGCGGTGGGGTCGGCGTAGACTCTGCCGGCGATGTTGTACGTATCCAGACAGAGTTTGAAATTGGGCCGGTTGACTCGCTGGACGATCTCGTACGTGGCCTCCCAGGTATCGATGTGTGTGCCCCAACACAGCGCTTCGTAGGCCAGTTCGATCCCGTGGGGCAGCGCGAGATCGGCAATCTCCTGCATGTCGGCGGTGATGAGGTCGTAGTCGCCCGAGACTTCCTCCTCGGGGAGATAGGTCGACGGGATGCCGATGAGGTGTGTGCCCAAGATCGGAGCGAGTTGGAGCCACAGCCGGAAGTCCTGCACGCGCTCCGCGTGGCGGGCGCGGTCGCGGAGCCCGTCGTAGTGCGTGAAGGGTTGCAGGCAGATGATGGCAATGTCGCGTTGGTCGCACATGGAACGGATGAGGTGGGCGGCGGCGATGTGGTTGGCGGGGGTCGCGCCGCCGGGGAGGTCTTGGGCGACGTAGAGCATGTCTTCGTAGAAGAGTTCGATGTCCAGGCCGTGGCGGGCGGCTTGGTCGAGTTTGGAGGGCAGGTCGTGCACCCAGGCTCGTCCGAGGGAGTGCGAGCAGATGGCTGGTCGAGGCATGACTCTGTGAATGCTAGGATGTGGCTGGCTGGTGGAGGAAGCAAAGTATTATCTATCTCTCTTCCTTCTTCCCTCTTAATTCTTTCTCGGGGGATGGGGAGGGGGCCCTTTTGATATAAGAGGGAATGGAATGAGATGGCAATGGAAATAGAAATCGAAAGGGGAAAGCGATGCAGCCCCACGACGAAGAGGCAAGATGGAAGTTAGTTGTTGCACATATGGCGCGCGGGAGCGCATGCAGTGCGACAGGGCGTAGTGTAGTGTAAGGATGTGGGATGTGATGCCTGTCGCCCTATCGATTTGAGACCCACGTATTTTTGGGTGAGGGAAGAGCACTCTTGCATCTCATTACCACACCACGCGAGGCGTGTGAAGAAATCTCTCGCCTCCCATCATCAGGTGAGAGTGAGTTAGGCAGAGGTGACGTCCGTCCAGCGGAAGAAAGGTGGATGGATGGAAGAAGATTCCTCCTCCTCCTCCTCCTCCTCCTCCCGGGCAAAGATTCATCCGTGGAGGGAAACCTGGAAGAGATCGATCCCCTCCGATTGTGTGGAGATTTGAAGTGCCCTCCCCGGCTTAATCTGGACGTCGCCCGGGTGGGAGATGCTTCTGCATTCCGCACGTGCAAATGCCTCTGTCTCAGTGCGGTGCGGTGCGACGCGAGATAGATAGATAGATAGATAGATAGATAGATAGATAGATAGATAGATAGGAGCACGAGCATGTTGTGTGCATCCGCGATACGAGTGTGGAAGAAGATTGATTCCGACGCTCATTTTACGCCCGAAGAACCGGAAGAATGCGCTCGTGTCCGACGGGGGAATTGATAGCCGCAGTACAGGCAGAGACATCACAAGCGCCAAAGGCGAGGCCTCGCTCCAGATCGTTATCGTAGGAAGCGGCTTCATCGGGCCACGACACGCAGAGACGGAGCGTACAGCGGAATCCCGAAGCCCGTCTCCTCTGCCTGTTGCCTGGTAGATCCGAGCCCAGACGCTCCAAACGGTAGCCGACGAATTCCATGTGCCGCTACTCAGTAGGAGCGTGTGACACATGCTAGAAGCACACTCTAGTACTACCATCCATCCCGACGCAGCAATCGTGTGTACACCAACCCCAAACCCATACCCACGTCCCCGTAAGCCTCTCCCCATCGCCGTCTCCTGGCCACCGCGAGGAAATGCGGGATACATCTCCTCGTCAAGCCACCATAGATAGATAGACGTTTCAGCCCTTCCATCTTCGCCGCCACCAGAACCGCCCTTGCCTCCCCTATCGCCGTCTCCGGTCTCTGGACAACAATAGAAACCTCCCACCTACTCTACCCCTTCTCCCGGCACGCCACCCCTGATGATCGGCATAGCGGTAGTGACTCCTCTCGCATCTTTTAGCTCCAAAGGGCAATCTGATGAGTGTGTTTGGGAGTTATGACGCCGGAGCGGTATGGTATGATGGGGAGAGGAGGTAGGTCGAGGTTACGGACGCTCCTTCGTACGGAGTGAGCAATATGTAGATAGATGTTGGAAATGAAAATGAAAATCCCTTTGATGAGGCAAGTCAGGAACTTCAAAGGAAGTTTTGAAAGGTAGAGATGCACCGGAGAGGATGGATGGATTGCGAGCTCTTGAGTGATTGATCGTCGGTGATGCCGTCAAGACTTGAGAGCCATGGAGACTGGAGACTGGAAGGGGGCGACGGCAATTGACATCGCGAGCCTTTGTGTGGAAGCGTCTGATACGTACATTTCCCTCTGCGAGAGCGCACTGCTCCATCGACAGGTCGTCATATCTATATACACAGGCAACAAAATTCCGGGGCAAAAAAAGTTCATTCATCGCTCATACGTAGAATCGATTGATTTCTCTGATCGAAACATTGTTTTCCCTGTCGCACGGAGGGGGGTTTCTTTTTCTTAAACATCACTATCCCTCGCATTCGTCTGCTCGACATGTTCCGTCTTCTCCTTGGCAATGGACAAACCCGCGCCCTCGGCATCGTGTCGGAAGTCCGCATCCCGCTGCTGATCCTGCTGGATGATGATCTGGTTCGCCTTGCGCACGGGCTTGATCTCGAACAGGCGGTCCATGTCCTCGAGGGGGATGGATTTGGTCTCGGGGACGAGGAACCAGACGAAGACGATGGAGACGATCATCATGGAGGCGAAGAAGAAGAAGACCCCGCTGCCGCTGGGGCCCATGTTGAGGAACATTTCGGGCGTGAAGCGGCTGATGATGAAGTTCCAGAACCAGTTGTTGGCGGACGCGCTGGCTTGGCCGAGGCCGCGCGTGTTCATGTCGAACATTTCCGAGTTGATGACCCACGGCGTGCCGTTCCAGGTGGGGGTGTAGAAGGCCGTCCAGAGGTACTGCGATTGCATTGTCAGCGGATGGATGGTGGGAGGGGTGTGATGGGAAGGAAGACTCACGAAGAAGAACATGGCCGCAATACCGCCACTGCTGAGTGAGGTGGTCTTGTGGACCGCGACGTTCTGGGTGTAGATGTAGCCTCCGATGATCCACATGCAGACCGAGCCGCCCGCGGCACCGAGTATCAACAAGTTCCGCCGGCCAAGGTTGTCAATGAGGAAGAACATCCAGACAAGCGTCGTGACGGTCTTTACCACGCCGAAGATACCAGTGGTCAGGAAGCTCGAGTTCGTTCCCGTAACACCAATAGCCTTGAAGACGGTCGGAGAGTAGTAGTTGATGGCATTGATACCGGCGCCGTTCTGCCACATGAAGAGCAGACCACCCAGGACGAAACGCCATTGGACCTTTCGGCTGCGGCGAACGGCAACAAATGGCTTCCAGAAGCCTTCACCGATGGTCGCCGCTTGTTGCTCCAGCGCGTGGTCGAGCATGGCAACTTCTTCAACCATGTAAATGTCTCCGCTCTTCAGCTGTCGGATCCAGCAAAGGTTCCTCAATGCCTCTTCACGTCGGTGCTTGCTCAACAACCATCTTGGAGACTCTCGAATCCAAGTGGCGCCGATGAGGAGGAGACCGGCCGGGATGAGTTGTACAGCAAAGGGAATGAGCCACTGCTTATGGCTAGGCGCCATGGTCTCGCTCACGCCATAGTTGATCCTTGTGTAAAAGGTCAGCAGGTGTTTTGTGAGACAGTGAAGTTTTGGGGGTATTAATGTACTTACCAGAAGCCAACAAGGCCACCGATTTGCCATCCCAGCTCGTAGATACCAACGATTCGACCTCGAATAGCTGGTGGAGCAATCTCGGAGATGTAGATGGGAGTGATCATGGAACAGCCACCCACGCCGACACCAGCCAGTACTCGTCCCGCATAGATGAGATCTTGACCACAATCAGCTTCGTCTATATCAATGTGTAAGTGTCTTCTTTCTCACCAAGTCCTCTCTCCCCATTGGCACCCAACATCAGGCCAGCAGCCAGTATGAAGACCAACGAGTAGATGACCAGACTCCATTTCCGCCCCAGGTAGAAGGTCGTCGGGTAGGCGAAGAAGCAGCCAAAGAAGGCACCTGCTTGGTAGATGGAGACGATATTGGCCTTGACAAGAGCCAGGTGGGAAGTCGTCATCTTCTCGAACGCGAACTCGTTGGTGAAGGAGGGCAGGGCCAATGTCGTGCCAATGAAGGCAGAGTCGTAGCCGATCATACATGACGCGAAACTGGCCACTGCCGCGCACACGTACACTCTCCAGTTGTATACCGCCTTGGGTGTGGGCCGGTCTTCGACCAGCGTCAGGAAACCTCCCATTCTGAAGTCTTTTTTATTTCTGTCTCTCTCTCTCTCTCTCTCTCGCGCTTGTTCCTGGTCGAGGGCTGTCGTCCAGTTCTGTTCCAACGTGCAATCACTCAGGCACGAGGTCGGTGAAGGCTCTGTTCTGCCAAGATGACTCGAAGTCTGCACATACACTAGTTAGTTGACGAGCATCGTGGCCTCTCTGACGGAGTATAACGACAATATATGTTTTTCTCCTCTGCCCGCCAAACAAAACAAGCAACGGAAACCCCGTGGGGAACTTCTCCGGAACAGACGAGTGGATGTGTTGCGCGAGAAGACCTCATCCATCCACACCAGTCCGCCGCCCGCCAAAGGGTAATCTGCCAAAAAGCTGTGGCCTTCCTCTCTCCGCGCGCGCCCCCCAGATCTGCGGGAAGAGAATTCTCGCGCGGCGTTTTCCCATGTCACTTACTCCACCTGTGACTCCACGAGGAGGAGCAGCACCAGACCGTAGACGGCAATGCTCCACACTGGGACCACATGGGTGACATGCAAGCCACGCCGGATTGTGCGGTCCGTGTGACGGCCATTGTTTTAGTGAGAAGGCGGCGGAGACGACCAGGATCTGGATCCTAAGGTACTCATCCGCCGTGCCGTCAGAAGCCGGGGGATCAAATCTCTTCCCTCCGCACGGGATCCGGACCGAAGACATACTCCACCGCGCAGTAATACTTTTGCCATTATTGGGTCGTCGTCAGCCACCCGGTGGAAGTCATTGGATTTTATTCTGGGGATTGAATGAATGTTTCAACGCTGATGAAAGAAAGCTGACGAGAGTCGAGAGAACTGGAGAATATACCATTTTGCTTTCCGAATCCGTTCCGTCTTGGCATCCGAGAGGTCAACATCCTGGAGACTGCTGCCACTGCGGAGCTATCCCAAACTCTGGTGTGAGAAAGAGAGCAGACTCGATAGCTGCGAATCTTTCGATAAGGAAGGACTTTCAATTCCCACGGGACTTGGAAGAGACATTTGCACCAGTCGCGAGCAAAGGACTGGGCAGAATTTCAACTTCCATCTTGAAAGACCTTCCCGATAGAGAACCAACATAGAGAGAGAGGGACAAGCGTCTGGCTGGAATCGTTTGATACTGGGTCCAAGAAATCCTGTCCAAAGCTCAGACCATCGCCACCAAGACTTCTCTCCAATATAACAACTCATCATCGCAATGGAAACGGTAACCGTCCGCGACGACACCGTCAACGTCCCACCTCCCATCCTCAATCTCGAACGGCATGGCTTTCTCTTCGGCTATCCGATTAAACACTCCCTCTCCCCCCTCCTCCATTCCACCGTCTTCAAGAATCTCGGCCTTCCATGGAGCCTCTCCCTCCTAGAATCGACAGACATGGCTCTGTTCCTCCACCTCCTCAAAGATCAGAGACTCTACGGTCAGCACTCCACCATTTCAGGTCTTCTATCGTATTTCATTCTTACTGACTCTCCCTCGCACAGGCTCCGCAGTCACAATGCCGCATAAAATCGCCATCATCCCCTACCTCGACGGCCTGACGGACGAAGGCCGAGCCGTCGGAGCCGTCAACACCATCTTTCGCCAGGGAGAGAAATTCATCGGCACGAATACCGACACCTTCGGCGTCCGGGAGGCTTTTTACCAGAACATTCCCAATCCGGATCAGGTCTTCCACGGTCGACCGGGTCTGGTGATTGGAGGCGGAGGCGCTGCACGTTCCGCTGTCTACGCCCTGGTGAAATTCATGGGCTGCAAGAAAGTCTACCTGAATAACCGTGATCCGGCCGAAGTAGAAGCCGTCATGGCTTGGTGTAAATCGCAAGGGTATGGGGATGGGTTGGTGTATGTGAGGACAGCGGAGGAAGCGAAAGCGTTAGAAGAAGGCCCAGGAGCGATTGTGGCCTGTGTGCCGAATTATCCGCCCGTAACAGAAGCGGAGAAAGAAGCGAGGAGGGTGACGGAAGTCTTGTTGAGTAAACCTCACAAGGGCGCGTTCTTGGAGATGTGTTATCATCCTACGCCATTTACTGAGTTGGGGGGTTTGGCGGAGAAGGCTGGATGGCAGGTGATTCTGGGGACAGAGGCGATGATTTACCAAGGCCTAAAGCAGCAGGCCATCTGGCATGGACGCAGTTTGGAGGAGCTGCCGGTGCAAGAGGTCAAAGACGTTATTGCGAAGGAGCTCGATAAGGCGCGACTGTAGCGAGCCGATTCCCTATGCATTATCTTAGCGAGCGTCGGGTATGCAACTGCCGCTAGAAATTCATGAACACCTCAAGAGATGCAGTGAGCTGCTCACACATTCTCTATACCTCTCTATCCCTGTTCGATACCCTTTCATGGAGTAACTTCCACGATGCTGGAAATCAAATGCCCGGACGTGAGTAGTCCAGCGTCTCGACCCGTCTCCAGACTTGTCGTACGGTACGTTCCTGACTTTGGCGCCCAGTCTCCGTTGGCGAATCCCCAGCCGGACGGATCGCAAGGTAAAGTCGACTGCCAAGGTGCGCCTCTGGAACGATGTTCTGGTCCGAGGGTGGATTCGCCGTCGTTACCAGGCCGCCACTCTCCTTCAGGATGCAGATGCCCGCGGCTACATCCCATTCCCAACAGCCGCCTTCCCACCAGATGTCAAAGCTTCCCATAGCCACGTAGCATAAATCCAGCGTGGCCGAGCCGAGGCTGCGGACACCGTGGACATGGCCGCCTTTCCCTTGACGCCCGCCTGTTTCGGAGGCCAGATTGAGGAAGCTATCGACTTTGCGGTGGAGGTTGCCCTGCGGAGTATCCCTTCGGTCTTTGCCCCACTAGTTGGTGTCAGCACGGCGGTTTTGATGTGTTGGACTTCCAATGCATCTGTACACGTGCAAGCCTACCTCGCAGGAGAGAACGCAGCCCTTGGGCGCCGACTCGGGCATTGGCGGGACGGGGGACCGATCGAGCGGCAGTTGTGTAGTCTCGTTCAGGAATGCTCCTTTCCCACGGCATGCAGTGAATCTGCTCAGCATCGAGAACTTTTAGTCAGCGAAATGCGATTTTCATCCGTGTCGACACGCTCGGTCATAAAACTTACAGCTGCCGTAGGAAAGGAGCGTTGACCGCACCGAGGACGGGCTCTCCATCCAGGATGAATGCTATGGATACGCAGTAGAACGGACAGAGGTGAATGAAGTTTACAGTTCCTAGGTAATGCCCTTGATCAGCTCTTTCTGCTTCGTATCGTACGGTCGGGTATCATTACGACGCTCACCATCAAGAGGATCGACGCACCATGCCGGTCCTGATTTGGGGATCAGATACTCCTTGGAGCCGTTCTTGCCATAAGATTCCTCGCCAACGAATCTATTCCAGAGGTTAGTAATTCCATGGGAGTGCCTCAACTCTGATCGATTGGAAATAGCAAGAAACCGTCTAGAAGGTTAGTGACTAAGCGGTGGAACGTACAGGTGGGCGGGATATCGCGATTGGACGCTCTTGCGAATGAAAGCCTCGACATCTTGAGATTGAACATGGTATCAGCCGCTCTGGCCCAGGACAAGGATGCGGCATGATGGCATCGGACGCGGTTGTGGAAAGCCGGTGGAATTTGAAAAGCTGAGTCGAATGGCAGGACAGGACAGGGCCGGGCGCCAAGGTGAGTTGGTAGTCTTCTCGAAGTCTTCGATGCAGATGAGAGGATGATCAAAGGGCTCGTGGTAGGTGCATAAGCTTACGGGCAGGGCAAGAGGATTGCTAGCGGATTTTGAGAAGAAGGGCTGCGAGGTGGAAGATCGTCAGAGATGCAGGAGAGAGACATACCTTCGTCTGTCTGCGTCACCAGATCGACAGCGGATTCCTTCTCGACAACGTGGCCTGCGCCGGCGTTCACCGACGAGCCCGGCCTCCCGACACGAGCCTCGGCGGCGTCTAGGAGCATCTGGCCGGCATCTTTGGCCAGCTGGACGGTGAAGGCGTGCAGCTCATCCAGGTCAATTCCTTCATCATGGAGAGAGTGACTCGCATTAGACATTGTGAAGGCGGAAAAGCTGATCTGCAATACCAGAGTGCTGCTTTTGGCGGTGAGAGTCTGAGACGATTGATGGCCGAGCAGAGCAGTGGCAGTTGTTACCCGACAGCGACAGCGACAGCGACAGCGACAGCGACAGCAATCTGGAAGAGGAAGAGAGACGGATGTCGTTGCGATCGCGTCTCCCGGTTGTCCACACTGCACTCAAGTTGGCCGCTCGATATCATGTGATATGGGCGCCCCACAATTCTCATGTAGGATTCGTGCACCAGGGCAGCGCCACCTTAGGGCTAGTCCTTTGGGCCGCATTAACATTCTTCCGATGCTGACTCTCCGGTTCCTATCTCCCACTCCAACACCAACAGGACACATCTAGTGCATGCACGTTATGTCCCTTTGCCCGCTCCTCCATCATCCTGCATCGCGTGCGACGATGATGAGCCAGTGCCGCTGTTCGGATCCCGCAGGATTCGATGCAAAACCATGTGGCGCCCTCACCGACCGCCGCCAGTCGAAAATAACCGGTGCCCATCATATCCCGTGCCCACTAAGCTCAGCGTGGCATGCGCTCGTGGTATCTTCAACAGCGCAAAGCATTCTAGAGCTGAGCAAATTTTGACTTTGGAGCTGCGACTCGAAAGGGAATCGCGCTGCATGTAAACTCCAGACTACCTTACCATCATGCTTGGGGCGGTGCGTGTGCTGCCGGGTAGTATTCCATGATTGAAAACTGAGCGGTTCGCATCAGGACATTTCAAAACGAAGAAGCATATGAATATCACTGACAAGCCGCGAGTCAACCTCTCGCATCCATCATCAGCATCACCGTGCTAGCTTCATCAACGACCAACCATCCAAGCCTTGTACACAGATTTGTACAAAGACTATCAAGCACCGTCAGCTCTTGGCCGTACATTCGTGCACATAGTATTTGCCTTGGCTTGCAGCTATGCTCGAATTCGTACACATGAGCGGTGCCTTTGGCAGCCAGGATCACGACACCCGCAGGAAGGTACGCTCGCAAGCCATGCGCGACTTCAGGTGAGCCTCTCCTCCATTGCTCCGACACTGCTGGTCTATGCTGACCGCACGCCCTTCCAGACGGAGACAGCGAGAAGAGCGTCAAGGAACCGCGTCAAAGGAATCGAAATCCTCATCCAAGAAGCGTCTTTCGACCGCGCGCAACAGTGGTAGTGCAAGTCCAGCGTGGCTAGGATGGGAACGCGCCCACTCGACCGGGTCAGATTCGACTCAATTCTCCTCGCGGAGACCATCCGACCGTGCCGCCAGTCCGCGATCGGTCTCTCTCCATTCACAGATGGAGGGAGAAAGCGTTTTCCAAGCCGAGTCGACGCCCCGATCGTTTGGATCTCCCTACGACTTTTCCCATTTCGACATCTTGGAGCCATGGCAGTACGGCCTAGAACCGGCGACATCTCACATAGCACCCGAGCTCCTCTGTTGGCCACCAGGTTCGCCACGCGACATGTCGCCAATGTTGCTACAAGAACCACCGGCCTGGGCAATGGCAGAGACTGAAGACCTTTTCGACAGTCCCACGCAGATGTCCCAAATGCTGGGTCTCTGCCGGAGTTGCGCGTCAGTCATCGACACTCATAACTCGCGTGGAGATACCCCCGGAGTTTCATTGGCTTCGTCCGGGTGTCGAAACGGATATTGTCGGGAGAGTCCTTGGCCAAGCTTGGGACAAGAACAGATGTGCGATGATGTTAGCGGCATGCTGTCTAGCTTCGGTTGGTCACCTTGACGCAGGACAGCCGGATCAACCCGGCGCAATCACGAGCTGTATAAGTCAAAGGTATTGACCGAGATCAGCAAGCGAATGAGGACGTCTGAAGCGGCAACCTCGGACGAAACTTGGGGTGCTCTGAGCTGTGTCGTCTCGTTTGAAGTAAGTATTGAGACTTGCGCCTGTCGATAAAGTACTGACATGTCTGCAGATATCGAGAGGTAGCGGAGAGGCTGTGACGCATCTACGAGGCCCGAAGAGCATCGTCAATCTTTGAGGCGATTTGGGCCGTCTGCAGTCGGATGGCGTGTGCATGATGCTGTAGGCACTGGATCTTCAACATACTACACCATCTACCGAGAACCTTGCCAGCCTTCCGACGCTGATCCAGTGCACTGGCGATGTTCTTGGGAAGGAGTGGCTTCAGACCCACGACCGCGACCGCGTAGAACGATACCGCAACCACTTAGAGGAGTTCGAAAGACAACGCTGTCGAGATCAACCAACCGCTCCAGAAGCTCGACATTTAGGCCGCTGTGCTTTCCAGCTCACGTGCATCCTCTTCAACCCGATCGTCAACAAGATTCCACATCGCCACACGAGCAACCAGCTGCGCGTTGAAAAAGCTGTACGATGCTGTGCGAAGGGTGAAGAACAGCCAGGTGTTCCATATCTGCGCCTGCTTGTCCTCCTCTCAGCAGCCATCAACATCTTCTATCAGAGCATTAAAAGCTTTGTCAAGACAGAACTGGTGCGGAGTATCTACCAGATGGGCAGTTGCGAATGACGTCGGACTGAAGCGGTCATTCTGCGCTTCCTGGACGTCCACAAGGTGCTGAAGCGATCAGATCATCTCTCGACTCCGCCACATGAGTTGACATCCTTTCAGTCGCCAACCGACACTTTGAATCCTGCGATTTTCTCCCGCGAGGATTGTTCTGCGACTCTGCGTGGCAAGCGACCAGTTCTCCCCAGGCATCTGAGCGAATGCACTTTGCCGACCTCACGGGCATCGCTTTCGCGACAGAAACTCAGAAAATAAATGTATGGGCATCGAAGCCCATCCTGCTCGCACAAACTTGTCAGTCCGTTGAGCAGTTCTGCTCGCGTCTCACCTGTGAAAGTTGAATCTCCGACAGACCAGTCTATCCTGCCGCGTTTCCCACCACAACACAGTTCATTCTCTACAGTTTGGCACCGGTTTTTTCCGTATGCCTGTATTCGTAATGCCAATCACTTCGTGCCAGATCCGCACGAACCTGGTAGTTTTCCTCGGCGTCTTCCACAATCTGCATGTCCACATCGACCATGGCCATGCCCTCAGCAGAACTGCCGAGGCGCGTCAGAGCGCCAGCATAGGGCACGCAGATCTGCGAGAGGCCTGCATAGCCTTTGCCGGGAGGACCACCGGCATTGGCGAAGACAATAGCTGCTCATTCCGGGTCAGAGACATGCCGGCCGGCAGTGCATGTAAACTGTGAGTGGAGGGTAGTACATACCACAAGTATTCTCAAAACACCTCGCCGTTAGCATACTATCCAAAAACAAGCCTTCGGCCCCGGGATTGATCGCGAGCCCGGCAGGGGAGCAATCGGATAATGTCCAGAAAGTCGGGATGATGATCATCTTGGCTCCCTTGGAGATCATTTCGCGGAAGGCTTCTGGGAATGCCAAGTCCCAGCAGATGAGGATTCCGACCTTGCCCAGTGGGGTGTCGAAGACGGGATGTTCATCGTCGGAGCTGGAGGTGAGGTGGAGTCGCTCGATGGGGCCCCACAGGTTCTTTTTCACGTATTTCCCGGCGATGGAGCCGTCGGGGGTGATGAAGTAGGCGACGTTCAGAAGGCGTTCGGAAGCGGTGCCTTCGTCGTGGAGTTCGACGATCCTGTGGTGATGGCATGTACCATGTAAGCCCACGAGATACATCCAGTAGCGTGGTATTGCTGGAGCTACTCACGTCCCGGGGACAATACAGATGCTACATTCCCTGGCCAAGGCGATATACTTGTCCAAGTACGTCTTCCAATGTCGACACGCATCTTTGAATTTCGCGTCGTGAGGCAGCCAGTTCAGGAGGTGGTACTCGGGCAGGACGGCAAGTTCGGCGCCCTGTGTGGCTGCGGACCGAATAAAGTCTGCGGCGACGTTAAAGTTGCGCTCCATTGCCATCGGCTACAACGTCGACGCGTCCCATTGTTAGCAAACTCTTGTGTGAATCGCAGACGTGCCCAGGGGACCGAAGAGGAGGTTTACTTTTGGCCACATCTGTATGACGGCGACGCGATAGACTGGCGCCATTATCGCGGATGGGAGAGAGCCTTTTGTCCTTAACTCGGGTCGCAGTATCTCCGTATGATCTCGGAAGTCGGTTGGTCGGTGTTTGCGTTATTGCTTGCTGCCGCCCGGAAGTCGGATGTGGATGTCGGTTTGGAATGATAGACTCGTCGTGTCGGCGTGAGCTGAGCTGGAGATCTTCATTGTCCGCGACGTGGAGGAGCTCCGCTGAGTACTGTGGATTCCAGCGTGTCTCCGCCGGGAGACACAGCCGAGCTTGATACACACGTGACCTCTCCGCCCCGTGCCCCGTGACGACAGTGGGGGATGCCCTCAGCCACAGTCAGCCTTGCCTGAGCCACAGGTGTACACTGTGGTACACCTCATCCAAATCTCCTATCCGACTTCTTCTCCTGATGATTCTCTCTACACCACGCGCGACTATGATACCGTGGCCACCACTGCGACTCCCGAATCATGCAAGATCTGTAACATTGAAGCTGCGGAATCAGGAACCGTCCTGGTGTACTGCTCACCAATCTGTGACCACGGAGTACCGCTTGCTGGAGAAAAGACTATACATCTTCGCCATCCTCTGCCATGCGGACAAGCAAACGGGTGCCGTCTTGCCCAACGGCCCAGTTATGAGAGCTGACGTCGGTCGTAGGAATCGGCATCCTATCACACCGCTCACTCATCCACTTCTCCTTCAATGCGTTTGTACAGTGACCGCATTCAGGTAATACGCGCTGGTGATCCCTTTTAGATGCGATTCAGAATACTCGTCGTCGGGCCAAGCGGCACACCAGCGCGATGCACATCGATAGGGATGTATCTTCACATGACACTCTCCTACTTCCGACCGTCTGACCTCTCTTTCTTCCGCATCGGCTCTCACATTCCACAGTCGTAATACACCAAAGAGGATCTTTCCTCGCGCCATTCGCTCTCTTCGAGACCTTGCATCCGCTTGGTACTCGCGTCTGTTATTCGCGACCACTACATCTATTCACTTCGCCATGAAGCCATTCCTGGCATCTATGCCCCTTGTGGCCTTCTGGGCCAGCCAAGCCTTCGCAGCTGCCTTCCCTACGACAACGGATCTGGAGCCTCGCGATACCGCGGATGTAGCTTGCGAAAACGGACCTTTAAGCCGCGCGTGTTGGAGTGACGGCTATTCCATCGCCACCGACTTCGACCGGAATTCCCATCTACAGGCAAGACTGTCAGCTACAACCTGGAGATCACTAACGGAACATGCAACCCAGATGGTACGTCAAAGCGAAGGGCGGAAGCGTTGTGTTCATGTCGGAGACATCTGCTTACCCCATGCGCCTCACTCTAGGCCACGCCGAGCGGTTGTGCTTCCTGATCAACGGCGTGTATCCTGGACCGACAATCAGGGCCAACTGGGGTGATTACCTTGTCATCAACGTCACAAACAGCATGCAGGACAACGGCACATCGATACACTGGCACAGTGTCCGTCAATACCACACTCCTGGAGCCGACGGAGTGGGCGGTCTTACGCGATTGCGCCCAGGTACTTCGCGCGTCCACGCATTCAACGTCACCCAATTCGGCACATCATGGGTAAGTTCCGTTGACAGTGCAAACCACATAACTTGTGCTAAGATTCCTCCAGTACCACGCACACTACAGCTCTCAGTATGGTGACGGCGACGTCGGCACTATAATCTTTGATGGGCCAGCCTCCGGCAACTACGATGAGGACCTAGGGGTGTACACGTTGAGCGAGTGGTACTACCAAACTGCATTCCAGATCAATGCTCTCACGAACGTAAACCTGCAGAACAAGGCACCGCCGCCAAATGCTGACAACATGTACGCAATTTTCTACGTGACATCACCTAATGGACGCGGCTAACCGTACCTAGGCTCATCAACGGCACAAACAAGGATGCGGATGGAAACGGGAACTACGGTCAGGTCACCGTGGAGAGCGACAAGAAGTACCGCCTGCGTCTTGTCAACATTAATGTCGACAATTACATTCAGGTCTCCTTGGACAACCACCCGTTCGAGGTCATTGCCGCCGACTTCGTCCCTATCCAGCCCTTCTCCGCCGAGTGGCTGATTATGGGCATTGGCTAACGCTATGATGTTATCATCACTACCAACCAGACCGCCGGTAACTACTGGTTCCGCAGCAACGTCTCGTCGGACTGCCAGAGCGGCAGCAACTTCTACGGCCGTGCCATCTGGTCGTACTCGAACGTGACCTCGAGCACACCACAAAGCACCGCGTAAGTGCCACAGAGCACAATACGAAAACACGATCAACTGACATCTTGCAGCTTCACTGAGCCCACCACCTGCGACCCATCAGGACCATTGACACCCTACTGGGATCAATCTGTCCCCAGCAGCGAATTCGAATCTCAACTCAACAACATGGGCGTCAACCTGACTCAAGCCGTCGTTGTCGCCGACACCTCCGCCATCGTAGTCTGGAGTCTCAACGCCTCCATCGCCGTTAGCTGGCAAAACTCTACCCTATCCTACGTCATGAACGGCAACACGTCCTACCCCAAGGAGCTCGATCTCGTCGAGACAACAGCCGTAGGCGGGTGGAACTACTGGCTCCTCCAGCAAGCGACCGATAACCCCTCCCTCCCTCATCCTATCCATTTACACAGGCCTGACTTCTTCGTCCTCGGCTACGGAAGCAGTGCCCACAACAGCAGCACCGCCAATCTCAACTTCGACAACCCGACCCGACGAGACACCGCTTCCATCCCCGGCGGCGGCGGCTGGCTCGCTGTGGCGTTCCAATCCAACAATGCCGGTTCCTGGCTCATGCACTGCTATATTACCTGGCATGTGAGCGAAGATCTCGGCATGCAGTTTCTGGAATCTCCCGACTAGATGGTACTGCCTGATGAGGATGATTACAACGACCAGTGCAACGGCTGGAAGTCTTACGATGAGAACGCTTATTACAAACAGATGGATTCGGGGCTGTAAAGGAATGGATTCTTTTTGTCGCTTCGGTTGGTTGGTTTGATTGGATCGCTAGCGTTGGAGTCTCGGACTAGTACAAGGAACAGTTGTATGGCATTTGGGAGGAATCCGCGGCACATGCTTGTCCGGCTTAGAATTAAGTCTCTTCTATGACTTCTTTATAGGTTTAAATATAGAATATTAATTGTTCCCAATTTCTCCTATCTAATAAGTAATAAAAGTTATCCCCTTCTCCGAGGCTTTGTTCCCGTAGGTAGCTCTATATCCTTCGCTACCCGATAATAGACCCCTAGGGCCGCTAACTAGAAAGGCGTCCCCTACCTACTATGAGACCCGTATAGACTACCTATAAACACGTCTCTAAAGGATCCAATCTTATTATATTAGTTATTATTATATTTTCGCGTTCTACTTCTACTATTCATTTCTATAGACTAGTAAGTAAAGATATAGGTAATGTCTATACGTATGTACATACCTAAATAAGTCGGAAGTACCTATCTAAGCCTCTTATAGGCTAGTCTTTACGAGATAGAACTTCTCTTTCTTTCGTGCTCGTTCTTGCAATTCATTAGCACGCCAGTGAAATTTTGATAGACCTGCCTGCCTAGCCTTCCTGGTCCGAATGAGGTTAGCGCCTAATCCTCAACCTCACTTCCTCCCCTCTATATGGTACTAGCAACTTCCTCCATCCCTTCGAATGGATCGCTTCCTTCACTTCAAGCACGTCGCGGGATCGAGGATTTATGCTTGTTACAACCCAGCTGGACCACAGGAGCGTGCCTTGCCGCCTCTTCCGATCAATGGCACGGACTAACAGCAAGCTGCGTATAAGCCGACAGATTCCAGGTTTGGTCACGCAGGTGCTGCAACCTACGCGACACTCGCCATGAAAGATGGAGCAAGAAAGCTGAAGCGGCCTCAGCGCCTCCGCCGGAGACCGGTTGAAGACCTGAAACGCACCATTTCCTGAATGCGGCGCGGAAGTCCAAATGGCTACCGATCAGGTCTGCTGATCTCATTCGAAAGCTTGTTGATATTTCACGACATGATGAGATCTTCTCCGAAGCAAGCTTGGCGCGGGATGTGCAAGCTTCCAGAGATCATCAAGTGCAGCATCTCTAACCATGGAGAGTCCAGCGTAACAGTCAAATGGGTGGCGCAGCAGTGGTGTTAGCCCTCAATGTGTACCGTTCGATTTGCGAACTCGCTATAGTACGCAGATCTCCGCTCCTGGTCTATTCGTGGCGGAGAATCGAGAACCATCTTCTAGAGCGCCCTCTTTTGGTTTGTTGAAGCGCCGCGTCACAGCAAGGTGTATGCTCTCTTGCGGTTCATAAAGACGGTTGAGTTTTCTCTTTCCAGTATGCGCGAAAAGACCTTCGCCAATCAATGCACCGGGACCGGAGCCAGCTTCCCATGGCAAAATTACAGTGCATGATCGAGGGGATGTTTGTTCGAAGCTGGGGTGCAGTGAAGAATGTTTTCTCGGTTCCTCCCCAATAAGTCAAGTGGCTTCTACGATAGTCAGGACATGTCGCCAATCACGGGAATAGTGCTGCAGTGCACTTGGCCTGACCTCCTAGGCAAGCTAGCACGGTCATTCCCGCCGTCATGCAATAGCTTGCTCTAACATCTACCTAGCGTTCCCAATATCCAGCAGCAAACAGTCGACGGTGTCAAGCAGCTTTACGGCATGTTCGACGATTTGGGTGCGTTCCTGGCTGCATACTCAATTGCATTCGGCGGTGACGCTATCTCTGGCACGTGGAGTATTGGAGGACGGCTTCCGGCGAATCTTGTCACGGGCCTTGCCGGCGTGCTATAATGCGATGGATACTCCCACAACCACTACGAGGGCGATACGTCCATTGCTCGCTGCGACAGTTACACGAACAACAGCGATAGGCACTTCTCCAGTGTTCAGCGTTACGTCTACGCTTTCGCTTCTGGTATCAAGGAGGCTCGGTACACCATGGACACCACGTCGAAGCTATACGCCAAGAACACGCATCGTTCGGTCATGCAAAACCAGTCCTACTTTGCGCATCTCTTCTCAACCACTTTGTTCAGCCCTCCGGCTTATAATTTTGTCATTGCGTTCGTAACTAACCCCACCGGGCGCGTCTCAAGAAGCCACAACAGCGCTAGGGTCGACAAATGAGCAAACATACCGCATAGTAGCCTGGCGGTTATCTTGACGGAAAACAGGTATGACGAGATGTAATGCTGTCCATGCACCACGCCATCTAACACGGTTTTAGCTTAGCACCTTTTTCGGCCAGTCTGGAACCTATCCCAAATTCGTATGGGAGAAGAGCCAAGAGATGATCCCCGACGTACGACTGGCACACAGATGATGTTGATCGCGCCGTGCTGATAAAATTGCAGAATTGTCCCGACGCCTATCCACGGACCGATGCTCCGTTGCTGGTGTCTTCAGCAATCTCACCCTGGATTTCTTGGCTTACCCAGACTCATTCCGATTTGGAGTTGACGTAAATGGGGTGTGCACTCGGTTACGTCGCACTTGATCTTTCTGGCATGGCGATCGATGTTCGCATACTTTGCGAGAGTGTCGACGTCTGTACTTCCGCTTTGCAGCCTCACGGCGGACTCCACTGCTTCCATCCCGCCCTGACATTGTCGCTGCTTGTCAGTGCTGCTTGTAAGTTGTGTTTCGGGGGTCTGGAAGTACGATTATCAGGCTAAGGCAACTCCGCCCAGAGGGTCTCGGTACCCATTGTGGAAAGATCCGCCTGTACACCGCTGAACGTAATCCTGTGTCCACAATCATATCACATGTAACGGCCCACACCAACAGCTTGGCATCACATGCTTACATAGCTCGGACAGGCAGTTTCGGCTCTCTGGTCAATAGAATGATCTCGAAGTCGGCTCACTTAGCGGAGAGACATGAGTGACAGCCCCTGAACTTGGGAGTCGCCGACGAGCTCGGGCCGGCTAGGCGCGACACGACTTGGGAAAGTCTAAGCGACTTGACCATCCATTTCTGGCCAAGTGTGCAAGCGGACCCCCCAGATCCACAGAGGGTGCATCCGCTAGTTTCCGAATCGATCACGCCAATCGACGAGGCCCCTGATCTCGCTGCTCTCTGCTCTCTGCTCTCTGCTCTCTGCTCTTTGCTGTCTGCTGAAGCCCACCGCGTACGCAGACTCAATGCTCCTCAGCTGCTGCCATCATCATTGCATCCGAACTCAGAGATGATCGGTCACGGTCGGTCTGCATGCAGAGAGCGGGCATGCAACTCCAGCTATGACAGTTATCCAATACCTTATCTGCGGCAGAGCTTTTCGCCAGCCGTGGAAAATGATTCTTCCCAGCTCACTCCAGCGACAGCAACATCTGGAAACGTATCTTGCCATTAATCTCCACTAACACTCACTCCACTTTAGCAGCGACCTCCAGAGTGCTGCCCTCCCACTTAACCACCATGGCACGACCAAAGTCCATCCTGCTCGTCAGCGGACCAAACCTGAACCTCCTTGGAACTCGAGAACCGCACTTATACGGTAGCACAACACTGAACGACGTCGTCACATCCGCATCAAAGCAAGCCGAAGACCTCGGCATCCAGCTCTATCACTTCCAATCCAACCACGAAGGCGCCATCATCGACCGCATTCAAGAGGCACGCGGCAACGTCGACTTTGTAATTATCAACCCCGGCGCTCTTACACACACAAGCGTAGGACTGCGAGATGCCCTGCTAGGATGCGATCTACCCTTCATCGAACTACACGTTACGAATGTCCATGCCCGTGAACCGTGGAGGAACCACAGCTATCTCTCCGACAAGGCAGTGGGAGTAATATGCGGCCTGGGAGTCTATGGATATAGAGCAGCCGTTGACTTCGTTGCTCAGCGGTTGCAGGGCGATTCGAAGCTGTAGCAGAAAGAGCAAGCTCATCGGAGCAATATGCGTGGAACAGCCTTGACTCCAGCTTGACTCTGAGACACCGGATCGGACGGGCCAAGCGGATATACTCTCGGGCAAGGCGGTCGTGTCATGGCAGCCACGCGAGCAGGAACTCGAGCTTCTCTCCACATCTCTGCCCGCAGAGCCATCTCCCGAAGCAACATCCGCGGATGTGGACACTGTGGGGTACTGTCGGTACATCTTCCAGTACAATGGCGGGGTTGATTCCGTCCTCCAGCACTCACAAAAAGAGCTTTACTAAGAACCGGTCACCGGGTGGACGCGTCGACCCTACAAAACGAATAACATGCTCAATGCAAAGCTACCTTCACCAACATCCTCCCTCACTTCTCTCATATTCGAACCCCAAGAATGGATCCATCCGAAGTCAAAGTCCCTCCACTCAAAGACCTCACAATCGACAACATAACCGACAACGTCAAGCTCATCAATTCTCAATGTCCCAATCCTCGCTTGAAATACGTCCTTGAACGAATCGTTCAGCATCTCCATGATTTCGCCAGGGAAACAAGACTTTCCCATGAGGAATGGATGACAGGTCTCCTCTTCCTCACCAGCGTGGGTCAGATCTGTACGGATGTTCGACAGGTATGTTTCTCCACCAATCTTTCCTTTCTGCAGACGCATTGCTCATAACGTACCGCTAGGAGTTCATCCTGCTCTCCGACGTCCTCGGCCTCTCCCTCCTCGTCGATTCCATCTCCCACCCCAAACCTCCCTCTTCAACAGAAGGCACAGTCCTCGGCCCTTTCCATTCCCACGAAGCCCAACAATCCCCCAACGGCTCCCTCATCTCCCACGACCCCGAAGGACAACCCTGCCTCGTGACATGTACCATCCGCTCGTCCACCTCCCACAAACCCATCCCGGGCGTAAAAATCGACATCTGGGAAACGGACAGCAAAGGCTTCTACGATGTCCAATACGCCGGACGAGAAGGCCCCGATCAGCGAGCCGTCATGTACTCCGACGACGAGGGCAACTTCTGGTTCAAGGCCATCGTCCCCGTGCCATACCCCATCCCCTCCGACGGTCCCGTGGGCAAGTTGTTGACGCAACTCAAACGCCATTGTTATAGACCAAGCCACATGCATTTCATGTTTGAGAAACCGGGCTATGATCATCTCATCACGTAAATCTCGCCCCCCCTCTTCCACTCCCTCACCCGAATTCTTGCCCTTTCCCTCCCAAAAGCTGACACACAAATCTTTGCTGCTCAGGGCATTGTATTTGCGAGGCGACCCGTACGAAACCTCCGACGCGGTCTTCGGCGTCAAAGAATCCCTCCTCGTCGACCTGGGAACCGTCTCCCCCGAACAAGCAACCCAATACGGCGTCGCAGAAGGGACAAAACTCTTGAGCTACGATTTCGTATTGGTCACGGAAGAAGAATCGCGACAACTTCGTGAGAAAAATGCCATGGACGCCATGAAGAAATTGGGAAGGAATATGAAATTGTGGAATGGATTGCCAGTACCAGATGTGGATTGAGTTTGAACAAGTTCATAGAGTGAACGGAGAACTCGAATCATAGAAAGTACATACTTTTCATTCAAGCAGGGACTCTCCGTCCCCGGATGAGCAAACTGCGCTACGTACGCCGTGCTAGAGTTCCGGGTATTACTAGTACACTCAACACATCGCTTTCTTTCGTAACTCGTTCACATGCGCCGATTGCTGTCTGTGCGTCTCTGGCGCCTGTTCAGTAGAAGTCGTCGTCTTGTTCTTCCGAGGCCACATGCAATGTGCAGAAGCGGTCAAGGTATCCTTTTCCATATCCATCGTGATTGCCATCTCGATTCCAACATCTCCTCGTCATGTGGATGTCGGCGTATCGCTTACAACTCCTTCTTGGCACTGTCGGTGGCCTTCTTGTAGGCAGAGCTTGCGGAGCTGGCTGCGCTGGAAGCGCTCTTACCAGCCTGCGACGAGGCGGAGACGGCGGACTTGGAGGCGGCGACGGAAGACTTGGAGGCCTCAATGCTGGCAGTGGAGGAAGCAGAGCTGAGGCTCTTCTGGGCCTCGGCAGAAGCCACGCCGAACTGGTTGGCAATCAGGTCGTAGTATTGACGGAATTGACCGTAGGCCTCGTTGGTCTGTTGAGCGAACCAGTTGCCAGCGCTGGAAGTGGCGGCACCGTAGGCGGAAGAAGCAGAGGACTTGGAGTTGCCAGTGAGCTGAGCGGAGTGTTTACGAGCGAGTGCGACAAGCTCGTTGCGCTTGCTGCCTTGTGGGACCTTAACACCATTCTTGTCGAGCCACTCCTTGATGTCGCTGTCACCCCACTTCTCGATCATCTGGTCGGTCAGAGACTGCTGGGCATGGGCAGCGGAGGCGGTAGCAGAAGCCATGCCAGCAGCGGCACGGTCGGAGGCGACTTTAGCGTTACGGCGAATAGAGGCGATGAGGCTGTCACGGTTGCTGGGCTGTGGGACAGGGACGCCGCGCTCGTCGAGCCAGGCCTTGAGCTCAGAGTCGGACCACTGCGACCAAAGCCAGTTACCCGGGTAGGAGGCAGTCTCTCCGGCCTTGTTCGCGATGGACTGGTAGTTCGAGCGAGCGGTGGAGAGGAGCGAGTCGCGAGTGCGTGGAGATGGGTTGGGGATGCCGTGGTAGTCGAGGAAGGCCTTGAGCTGAGACTCAGTCCAGCTGCGGAGATGTTAGCAAACGCTCTGTGAAGACGGCGATAGTGACTTACGTGTTGAAGACCCAACTCTGGACGCTGGAATAGGCGTCGTTGGCCTGGTCGGCACTCTCATGCCAGTAGCTCTGGACCTGTTGAATCAAGCTGTCCTTGTTCTTCTCGGTGCCCTTCTTGACCTCCTTACCCTTGGAGGAGAGATAGCTCTGCAGCTGGTTGGTATCCCACGAGTTGTAGGGCTTCGCGATGTTGTTCTCCCAGTTGCTCTTGACGAGGTTCTCCAAGTCTTTGCGGTCTGCGGCGGCAGGATAGGGGATGTCGTGGTCGGAGAGCCAGCGCTCGAGCTCGGTTTCGTGCCACTTGTTGTACGCTGTACGGCCTCGCGTTAGTCAGTCTGACGTCGGATGATAATGATGCTGGGGTGTCGCAATGGTGCTGTTGATGCCAAACAAAAAGGACGGTAAACAGCGGAATGCTAGAAATTGCTCTTCGCACTTTCTCGCGAAACCCATCTGGGCGCAACAGAGGAGCTCGATATCGCTCATCATGATAGCCGGCGTGGAGTGTGCTGCTGGCGCTGCTGCAACTGGTGCTGGTGAAATGGGAACAGATGTACTTACCGGCTCTACCAAGCCAGTCGCCCGCAACGGACTGAGTCGCGAGGGCGACGACCGCCAAAGAGGCGAAGGACAACTTCATGATGATGGAAGGGTCAGGACAGCGTGCTCAGGTGGTGTGATGTGGTTGAGTAAGGTTTTTGGATGAGGAGGTTGATGTTGGAGTGATGATGGATGCGGGAGAGCGAAAGGGAGCTTCTTGGTTCTGCTGCGTTTTGTTGCTTGCTACATTACTACTACGTTTGAATGACGTCGCTCCAGACCCAGCTCCCATCGCGAGATCGGCACGTGCATTGTTGTCCGCATCCACCACCGTTCCTCCTTCACTACTTCGCAATTCCTTGTTTGGTCCTCCTTTGTCATCGATCGCTTCATCGCTCGTCGTTCAATGGCATGATGCACAACGGCACCTCAGACACGACTGGAACCTCCAGCTTCAACTCGGAACATCATATATCCGATCCCGCTACCTCGCAACTGGATCCGAAGGAACGGCCAAGCCTTTGCCTAGTCCGGCTCGGGCTTCGGGAAGCGCCAGGGATTCACCTCTGCCAACTTCTTTCTTCGCCAAGCTCAACCTGCGACTTTCTCCTGCTGACACAAACAACTGACATCCGCACACCAACACATTTCGCCAGTATATTCGTCGGGTAGAATCCTGACGATACCACTCACGCAAACAACACCACAGACACCAACAGCACCATCTATGGGCTACTCCGCACCACTCGCCGTCACCTCCACCTTCGCGCAGAGCAACTTTGTCGCACTCTTCCCACGTGTCTCCGGCCTGTCACGAACCGACTCCAGCTTCGCATCCCTCCTCTGGCCAACGGTAGCGGTTTTGGGCCCGCCGTAGAGGATCAGCCTTGAGGGCGGGCGAAAACCTGCGCGACATTCAGAGGCCTGTCTGTAGGGCTCGCCTGTTTCACATCTACACCAGACTCTTTTCCACACCAACCGGTACTCGTCAGTCCGCAATTTGACGCGAACGCTTGCCGATGTGGGTCTAAGAGCAATTCACGGACACGGCTACAACCAGCCATAAGCGAGCGACACTGCGCCAAGAGACAGGAAACCGCGACAGAAGCAAGAATGCCGGGCATGGACATTGAGACTTCGACGAATGGACTGGAGGTCCGGCGACCTCCGCCCATTGAAATCAGTTCCCCCCGCATCCCTGGACGTGAGTTACCACGGGAAGAACAGATTCCCATTCCGAAGCTCGACCACGATGCGATTCGAGAGAAGGCCAAGAAGCGTAAGAAGAACTGGAAGAAGGGTATGCCTCCAGCTGCACCCGCTGTGAACGTGGTCAAGGGCTTCCACACTCCTGTGACCTCTGGTGGGGAGGAATCCGATGTTTCCAACATGGGCACCCCGCGAATGAGCGCTGCACGAATGAAGGACTTTTCAAGTGTCGCTTCAAGCCCGGCCTTGCGACCATGCCCCTCCAACACCGCCATTAGCGCTTTATCTGCTCGTTTGGATGCACTTGCCATGGAAGGCGAAAACGGGAGACCAAACCTCGCGCGCGTCATGACCAACGACTCAGCTGCAGAAGGCACCGCATCTCCACATTCGCGCGGCAGTGATAGCGACAGGACGGAAATGGAGACCTACGATGTCGCACTGGAGCAAGACTTCATTAGTCCTGATGCTGGAACGCGGACTCCAATCTTCGCATCCCACGCTGTCGAGGGAGGCTTGCGGTCGCAATCCATACATCGCAAAATGTGCGCCGAGGACTTTGAGCCGCTTCGATGCCTTGGCAAAGGTGCCTTCGGTACAGTGCACCTCGTCAAGCAAGCCGCCACGGGCAAGCTCTTCGCCCAAAAGCAGTTCAAGAAAGCAAGCCTCACGGTCCACAAGCGTCTCATTGAACAGACTCGCACCGAACGCAACATTCTCGAGTCCGTGAACAGGCATGCTTTTGTCGTGAAGCTATACTACGCTTTCCAAGATCACGAGAAGCTCTACCTCATCCTGGAGTATGCGCAGGGCGGCGAACTTTTCACTCATTTGGCAATGGAGCGCATGTTCACGGAAGAAGTCGCGTCCTTCTATATGGCCGAGATGGTGCTGGCTCTGGAACATCTGCACCAGAATGTCCGCGTGATCTATCGCGACCTGAAGCCCGAGAATTGCCTACTGGATTGCGAAGGCCACCTGCTCCTCACCGACTTTGGCCTTTCGAAGGTTGCTCTCCATGATGGGGAAGATCGCGCCAACAGCATCCTGGGCACTATCGAGTACATGGCACCCGAGGTCATCGAAGGCAAAAATTACGACTTTTCTGTGGACTGGTGGAGTCTAGGAGCTATCGGCTTCGACTTGCTGACCGGCAGCCCACCGTTCGGGGGTAACAATCATACCAAGATCCAGCAGAACATTCTCAAACAGAAGCTGCAGCTCCCATACTTCCTTGGCCCGGACGCAAAGGATTTGCTTACTCGCCTCTTGCGTAAAGAGCCGAACAAGCGCCTTGGCGGCACGACGACGAAGGAAATCAAAGCCCTTAAATCCCATCGCTTCTTCCGAAAGATTGACTGGAAGCAACTCGAGAAGCGAGAGCTTGAGCCGGTAAGTACACATTTTCACATGTCTGCAATGGATTGATCGTTGACATCCGTTCCAGCCCATCCAGCCAGTCATTACCGACCCAGCGCTTGCCGAAAACTTCAGTGCCGACTTTACTGGACTGCCTTTAAGTCCTGTCGTTTCGCGCAACAGCAAGTCTTACTTCGGCGACACGGCTATCGATCCCTACATTGACGCAGAGAGTGATCCATTTGGAGGCTTCAGCTACGTAGCTAGCAAGAGTCTACTTGACGATGACACATTCATGCTGGACGCTTGACTATATGATGGGGTCTCGCGGACAGTGCTTGATCGATATGGGACTCTTTCTATGGATATGCGAAGATGCCCCTTACACTTTCGCAGTAGCTATGTAGGCGGCGTTGTACATAGCATGCGTTTGGAACAGTCCCCTTTGCCTTTCTTGCTGTGCCTCCTGCCCCTGTTGAAACACAACGGTATACGTCAACAAACGAATCGACGTCGATTTCACTCTGCGGGCTAACGAGGCCAGACGCCGAATTTTTCGTACAAGTTGCCTTGCCACATGTGCCAGGCCTTCACTCGGGAACAACATCCAAGCCATTCCATATAAACACGCTCCCGTGCCGGTAACAGAAGCACACCCACCCCCACAGCGTTACCGAATTGGGTAAGCGAAATACCATTTTCATCACCAACGGCATCAGTCATCTCGGTGTCTTTTGGATACTGTGATCGATCGATATGAAGAGGCTGTTTGATGAGACAGAAATCTCCCCTGGATGGCTGGTGATGGAGATGGAGCTTTGGCGGAGCACATGACTCCGTGCACGGACGTACTCTAGCGCGTCAAGGCGAAAACTCTAAACTACGCGTCTATCCCGTCCATCATGGGTGGATCCCTCTTCCTTCCTTCCATCTTCATCATCAAATACGCCCTGCTATCGTTGTTCACAATCCCGCCAATACCGTATGCAGGTATTATTCGACACGCTCTTGCCAAAGATGTCGATAGCCACGCCCTCTTGGCCGCCTTCACGCGTTCCCAGAATCCTAGCTTTCCATTCCGGTAATAGAGATCGAGCCCAAGCAGGTGCAGCGGCGTCGTCACGAATTGGCTTGCCGCTGGCATGATGAGCTGTGCGGCCGACAGTCGGCTCATATACTTTTCGACCTCGTCCGGAAACGAAGACGCGACCCTTCCAGGCAGATTGAATGTCGCGAAGAGAGTAATGCCATCTCTCACCAGGAACGGGACATAACTTATCCGCGGCAGGGCTCGCGAGCGTGTTGCGGCGGTTCCAAAAGATCGAGCAAAGCAGCTATCCTTGTTCAAGGCCAAGCCTACGTTGACTCCTGTTACCGCGCAAAGTTTCGTGGTACTGCTGGTTGTCGATTCCGCGCGAAGTCCTTCATTGTTCGCGGAGACAGTGTCGATTGCGTTCGCTGTGAAATATGTTCCCGCGTATAAGAGGAGCATAGCCCCGAACGGACGAGGAGCTGCAGACTTGTGCGGTTGGCGGACCATCTGCTTCAGCGAAGACCGAACGGACGCCATGAGAGAGCTCTGGCCTGCTGCTGCTTCTACAACTGCTCTGCACTCCCAAGCAATCAGTCTGGAGTTCGATTCAATCCCCGGGCCGCTACTCACCGGTCGATGACCGTCATCACGGGCGTTACAGCAACAGCTGCCGTCATTGCAGCTATTGCATCAACTGCAAGCCTGCTTGTCCATTCTCCCATGCCAATTTGGTCGTTCAGCAAGCTGGAATCGCTTTTGTTTCTTGCCGCTAGGCGAGGAAACTCCATTCGGACTGTCAATTGAGTCAGAGTCTCTAAACCCAAGGCTGCAGCACAGCGGTCTGCAGGCTACTGCCCTTTCAATCATGGCATCGACCCACGAACAGTCGATATAGCAACACCAAGCTTCTAGCATGACAGCAGAGCTCGATGCTGGCTTCGGGTCAAGCTTTTGAGAGATACGGCTGTTGCATCCGACGCCTATTCCTGGATTCCGGGAGCCCACACCCGATCTCATGTGACCAAGACTTCAAAGACTCGCCAGGCTCTCTTTTTGGGGCTCCGGGAAATGCAACCCAATCGGGACAGCTTGTTCATGTGTTCCCGCGACTCGCAGCAGCAGCAGCTTTCACGGGTCACATGAGAGTGAGCGAGTAATGTAGTTACCCATATTCGGCTCCGAAACCACTCGTACAGCGGCATGAAGCGTCGTTAATGGAACGTACTCTAGGTCTCATTATGATCTACAAGAAAACAGCATGCACAGCACTACAATCTCGCGCGAACCAGCCTGTCCTTCGCGGCGATGAGCTCCCTCAGCTCAGCTCCCTTTCCAACTCTCCAGCTCACGGATTCACCCCAGTTCTTTCCGTTCAGGTCCTCGTTCTTCCATTGCCAGCGCTCGATGTCCTGTCCGCCCTTGTTAATCAGATCTACAACCCACTTGCCAAACACAGGCATCATCTTGAATCCGTGCCCGGAGTCTCCAGACAGTGCAATGACGGACTGGTCGGTGCCTGGTACATGGTCGATACAGTAGTCTGAATCCGCTGTGTCCGCGAACCAGCACAGTTTCTGGTCCACAAAGGGCCTATCAGCCATCCAGGGGAACGTTTCTCTCAGGAGCTGCCGCAGCTTCTGCTCATCTTCCTTTGGGATGAAGTCTTGTGGAGGCGGCAATCTATCAGGCGGCGGTAACGAGATGCCGTTCGAGCCAGTATTTGTGAAGCCGATGCCGAGAGGACATATCTTGAACAGCCTTGTCTTGGGATCTGGCTCGAAGAAGAATCCAAGATCTCGCACGTTGGTTGTTGGAATGCCGCGGAGAAGGTTGCACTCTTGTTCGGTGAGCTGGACGTGGGCTACAGACCACGAACGAGCCTGCACGAATCTGCCCAGTCCCGGGAGAAGAGAGGCCCCGTGTGCTCCCAGTGCAACGATCGTCAAGTCTGCCTTGTGGATCTTGCCATCTGCGGTCTCCACGCCAACTACCTTCTTGCCGGAATACACCAATCTGACTGCCTTGCCAGCCTTCTCGCCGAGAACAAATTTCACTCCCATCCTCGCGCAGTGCTCCCAAAGACCTGCCAGAGTGTCTGAAGAGTGCGCGTAGCCTGCTAATCGGTTGTAGTAGCCCTTGAACCCGGTCAGAGGTCCCGAGTACTGCCAGGTGTACTCTTTGAAGTCCTTGGCGCCATCTAATCTTCGGATTCCGGGTGCGAACACTGGATCCTTCTGAATGGTTGCTAATGCTGCCTCAAGATGCTCGACTGCTTTTGCGGGCGCTCGTCCAGTAGTGGCAACGACGTAGCCGGTCTGGTGAAAGTATGGACCAAAGAGAGGAGTTTTCCAGCCTTCGATGGCGTCTAGGGCTAACTTGGTGTAGAAAGCATCTTCGTATTCTGCTCGCACGATCTTGTTGAGATCATAGGCACCAGAGTATTGCGAAGGGATCTTCTCTGCTCGCTCGTATACGCAGAGGTTGGTGTAGCCGGCGTTGCTCAGATGCAGCGCTGTTGACAGACCCCATGCGCCCGCACCCAGAATCTGAATCGGTGCGTCTTTGGCAACCATATCTTGTCGTCTATGTCGAGGGTGCTGGTTGTGCGAAGAATTCAATTATCGGAGAAGGGAGTACTGAGGTCACGTCTGTCGATACGGCGTTCCAGCCGACCACCACATGATATACAGGACCGACAGCTCGTCACATGCGACTGTGGTCTTGCACCATGGCCTGAAACCGGTGCGCTGCTCCGTCTGAAGGTATTTGTTGAAGAAGTGTTGAAGCTGCCCAAAACGGATAGCTACCAAGCAGCAACGGAGAGCTTCAAGATATCGGCTATGCTACCCGACGACGACGGGAGCGATCCCGGCTTGCTTGCGTCGCACGAGGACAGCTCCACCCTCTCCGCAAACTCCACCTTCTGCACCTCATCCCGGACGACAGATCCATCTGCTGGGCTCTCATCGAAGCATCGCGGGATTCGACTTCCTTTCTGAGCTCTCCTGCAAACACTCGCGAGACACGCAGCTGCGCGATGAGTCTGACCGCCCATGCTTCCGCCCAAGCTGCACGGTAAGGATGTCCGATACGGGCACTGGAGGCTCAACGCAACTACGTAGTCGCGTCGCGACACGTTCGCCCAAGAGCCAAGTAAATTTCTTGGACCTCTCTCGTATCTCTTTTTCGTTGCACCAATCTCGGCTTCTCGAGGACCAGCTGTCACAATGAAGGGCGCAATGATGAGACCCGCGTGCTTGAATGCTTCAAGAGCAGCTCTTCGTCCGACCAGCACAACACCAACGATCGAATCTACATTACAACGATGCGCAGTCCGATCACTCACATCTGGTACCTACAGAGTGCCAAAGCCATTCAACGAGCCAAATGTGAGTTTTCAGGGAATTCAAAAAAGGTGGGAGATTGTCTTCTAATCGTGCACAGCTTCACTTCGCAGTCGGCTCACCAGAGCGAGTAAGGCTCTCCACGGCATTGAAAGAGTTGAGAGCACAGCTTCCTCTGAAAGTTCCAGCAATCGGCGGCCTCAATGCCACCGTGAACGCATCGCAACAGCTCACCGCAATGGTGCAGCCCTCTGAGCACACCTCGACCTTCCAACAATACGCATCCGCATCGAAAGAAGATGTTCAAAACGCGATCCAGAACGCGCTGAAGGCAAAGCAAGAGTGGCAAGACATGCCTTTCCACGATCGTGCAGCCATCTTCCTGCGAGCAGCAGACTTGGTCTCTGGAAAGTACCGATTCAAGCTTCTTGCAGCCACAATGCTCGGACAAGGAAAGAACGCATGGCAAGCGGAGATTGATGCAGCAGCAGAGCTGGCGGATTTCTTCCGGTACAACGTGGGCTTTGCTCAAGAGATCTACGACAAGCAGCCCACCGTCAACGCACAGAGTCACCACGGCAGAACAGACTGGCGGCCTTTGGAGGGCTTCGTCTACGCTGTCTCGCCCTTCAACTTCACTGCTATTGGCGGCAACTTGGTCTCGGCTCCTGCATTGTTGGGCAACGTCGTGATCTGGAAGCCGGCGCCCATGACTGCTTACCAGTCCAAGCTCGTGCACGACATCTTACTTGAGGCCGGCCTTCCAGAGGGCGTCGTGCAGCTTGTCAATGGCGACGCTGAGCTCATCACGGACACCGTTTTCGACCACCCCGAATTTTCTGCTCTTACCTTCATCGGCTCTTCTGACGTCTTCCGCATGCTCAACGTCAAGGCTGCACTGGGCCTCGCTGAGAAGAAGTACCGCGACTTCCCACGACTGGCTGGTGAGACTTCCGGCAAGAACTTTCACCTGATCGGTCCCCAGGCCGATGTCGTGAACGCTGCGAAACACACTGTTCGCGCCGCTTTCGAGTATGCCGGCCAGAAGTGCTCCGCCTGCTCCCGCATCTACGTCCCACAAAGCGCGGCCGACGAGTTCTTCAGCACAATGAAGAAGGAACTTGCACGTGTTCGCGTCGGCCCACCAGAAGACTACACCTCCTTCACCGGGCCAGTCATCGACCAGAAAGCTTTCACCCGCATCACCAACGCCATTGACGAAGCAAACAAGGACGACAAGCTCGAGACCATCGTCGGCGGAACTTACGACGGCAGCGTCGGCTACTACATCAACCCAACAATCTACAAGTCTTCCACACCCGACCACTGGCTCTTCGACAAGGAACTCTTCGGCCCCGTTCTCGCAGCCTACGTCTACCCCGACAACGAATTCGAGAAAGTCCTCGACAGCATCGACAAGCACGGTGGCGGCTTCGCGCTGACCGGCAATATCTTCAGCAACAACCAGAAAGCCGTGCGCTTGGCAGAGAACAAGCTGAGATATGCGGCTGGTAACTTTTACATCAACTGCAAGATCACTGCTGCTGTTATTGGACAGCAATCGTTCGGTGGTGCTAGAGCAAGCGGTACTTGCGACAAGGCTGGTAGCGCTGGGTTGCTGCAGAGATTCACTGCACCGAGGACGCTGAAGGAGGAATATAACAAGCTGGATGAGGTTCTGTATCCTAGTAATTTTGAGTGAATAGTTGCATGGAGGGTTTGGTCATGATTGCATGAAAGCGTTGACGCATTTTTAATGGGCATACAATACTTCGAGCCTTCTTTTTTGGGCTCCGTGAATTGAATTTCGTTCGAAGACCTGTTGATGACTTTCGCATCAACAAAATCCCCATCACCGACAATACTTCGATCGGTGTCTCTGATACTCGGCAGCAGGAGAACACAGAGGAAACGAAACGGTGTGTCGGCGAGCAATCAGCTCACAGCAAAAGCGGAACAAGAATTGACGACAACAGGATCAAGATGTAATGGATTCAAACATTCATTAAGATCCTAGAAAACCATGCCATCATGACCAAACTACCGTGCCCAACCTACACCGAAGACCTCCCCAGAGTCCTCCTCTTCAACTCGGCCCAATAATCCGCCATACCATCCCTCATCCGATCCGCTCCCCCGCGGTTCTCGACGAGTCTCCGCAGCAAATACTGCATACATTCCTGAATACTACCCCAAGTCAAGCACCTGTAGACCTTGGGAACGACGACCACCCCCTCCCCGTCCCCTCCGGACTGCGATTTCACATCGTCGCAGCGCTGCAAGAGCTTACAGCCCAGCTCATCCGCCATCCCCTGCAGCTGGCCGAAGTCCGGGAGGACTTTGAGGCGGTTCTGCTCGGAGAGAGACTGCGTGAGAGTCCACGCACGAGCGACGGAGTCTGGGTTATGACCGGCGAGGAAGAGTTGCATTCTGGGGAAGTTGGCTTCGTCGAAGCCGAGATTGGTGCCCTGCAGGAGATCCTGCACGATTCCGTCGTACGAGGCATCCGTTTCGGGCTTCGTGTCGTGGATCTTCTCGCGCTGGTCGTTGGCAATGTACGCGCCGCGAACCAATTTGACGGCGAGCGTCCAGCCTTCGCGGTCGGCGAGGGCGAGCTGGTGTTGCAGTTTGGGGCGCGAGGCTTTCAGGTATGCTTGCAGGGTGTTGTAAACAAGAGCGCGGCCGTTGGTGTTCCATTTGCGCATCAGGTCGATGGTCCAGCGGTCGATGGCCGTCTGGCAGACCTGTTGCTCGGCGTCGATCCAGAGGCGGCATTTCTGGGCCGCGGCGCGCGCGCAGATGGCGTCCATGGCGGCGATGAAGTCCGCCGAGGGGGTTTCGTTTTTCATGAGCGCGTTGGTGACGTTTGTGCCGGCGCCGGTGAGTTTGATTCCGAGCCAGTCTCCCTCGCCGACCATGTTCAAAGTCTCCAGGTTGCCTTCCTTCCACTGCTGGATCTCATTATTCTGGGCAAAGCCCGTGGATTTCAACTCATTCGACTTGGAAATCTGAATCTCCTTGCCGTAGCAGAGAATCACGCCAGCATACCCCATTCCTCGGATGAAGTCCCGCGTCTTGAAAATCTCCCGTTGGTTGGTGCCGGCGCAGAACTGATCGTAAATCAAAGGCTTCACGACGGCGCGCAAGATCGGATTGCTATCCGGATTCAAGAGCGACGATTTGGAATTTGCGATCTTGTCGAGCATCCCGAAGCCGACTCGGAAGAGGAGAGGGGAGGTGAACATGCTGCCGAGCATCAAGTTGCGGACGAGGCTCCATGTCGGGAGCCGTTCCAGACCAGACGCTTGTGGTGTTGTGGGTTGCTCTGTTGAAGGATGTCTTGCTCCGCATTCATTGCTTTCTTTACCCTTGTGGGCAATGACGGAGGCAGTAGAATAGGTGCGCTCCCATTTGGATGGCGTGATTATTGTTCGTTGGATATGGATAATAGGAGATCGATATAGCGTTTGTTGGAGCGTCGACGCTGAACGAGAGCCCATAACGATGTAGAGTGGAAATTCTGGATAGTAACAACAACAATTTCAACGTCGAACTGTCCGTGACCAGAAGGAGGAACGAATGAGGTGCCACCATATACCTATGTTTAACGACGTCGCTTCTTCATCATCAGCAGCAGCACGACCGGTTACAATCCCGAGATAGATAGGTAGCACCACGGCATTGAGCTCCAGCTTACATTGTCACGACAGCAAATAGCTCTAGGATGGCGAAGACTATCGCGATAGAGATCCGCTGGTTGAGAGCTCTGGAATACACTCTGGATTGTATTACCGAATCGGGAAACCGGGGAAAGCTGTAGGCAGCGCCTGGGGTGCCCAGCTACTCCTGTCATGTGCCACGTCTCGTATCTCGCATCTGGATCCGTTACGGCTACGAGCGGCCGTAGGGTAGAGTCGAAGTCCCGTGATAGAGGAATCATCGGCTGATCACGTCAAAGATGTCAGTAATCATGCTCTATCAGGCGGCAGGATTTGGACTCCACCCTTCTCGTTCGAGGCGTAGAGTTTACCTGATACTGCAGCTCTCATATGACGGAGAATTTCGAAGCTGCGTAAGAATGCCACTTGGCGGTCCTGCGGCATTCATCATCATTGCCATTCAGTCGTAACATCTTCTTGTCTTGCGTGAACTTTATACTTCATATCCATGCCTCGCCGGTGTCGATGTCTCCCATGGCAGGCCAATTCAGCTGGCCAAAGTCCAGCGAATCAGCCACCGCCATCAAATGCTCACCACTAAGCCCGTCCTCTGAGTTCCATTCGCTCAGAAGAGTGCCAATGCTGTCAAAGTTATCCCCTGGCATCTGCTCGTTCATACCAATCATGCCCTCCGACGGGGCTATAGCGTAACTCTCAGTACTGCCAGGAGTGTTCAGTTGACCTTGCTGCTGGCTTTCTCGCAAAGCATTCGCCATTTCTCGCGACTTGCTCAAGATAGATGCCAACTGTTCCAGTTCTTGTCTTTGGTGCTCGGCAATGAGATTTCCTCGACTTGCCATTTCGTCCAGAATGCTGCTTGCCGTCTCGAGTCGCGGGTCTGAATCTTTGACCAAAGATGGGTCGACATGTGTAGCTATTGTGAGAACGAGCGCCGCAGAAAATGCGGCCTCGCGGTCGAACGGGACGAAGCTTTCTGTAGATTTCATTAGCAATGATAGTCTTGATAGAGAGGGACTTTAATACCAAGCAAGCTTTGAGACTGAAGAGTCTCCAGTATGTTTAGACACTGCTGTGCAGATCCAACACAGACTCGCAGTAATGACCTTCCTCCGCGGGAGGACGATACACGCAAGGATTTATGTGTTTCGAGGCGCTTTTGTAGAAAGCTGAAGAGAAGAGGCCTTGTGGCAAGGATTAAAGCCTGGTCTCAGTGTCAGTAACCAAGCTCATTATGGCGTTGGTGGTTCTTAGAACCAACTGAATGAACACTCACTTGATGGTGAAACAAATGCAAATATGCCGAAAGCCTGCAGACTCCACTGGCTGGTGACTCTAGCTGTAGGGGAAAGGAATTATTGCGCTCGTCGTTTGCTTGCGCAATCGTTCGAAGGGCATCTTTCATGCTTGATAAAAATCGCTCACTCCGTCCGCCGGTCTTACCGTAGACCGCTGCAATTCGAGATTAGTAGATAGCTGTACAAAGGGGTCGTAAAACTCACTTTGCAGTATGACGGCGTTTGCTTTGGCCAGTTCTACGTGCAGCCCCATAGCTAGCTGCTTCTTGGCAGAACCAGAAAACGAAGGTAAAGGCGCTGTAATATCGTCGTCTGAAAGACTCATGGGAACACCCATCATCGCCGTCATCTGTCTGTCCAGTACGTACACTGTCCACCAGATCGCGCGGCATCGCTCCACCACGGGTTCTGAGAGGTGCAGGCTTCGCATGTCTGTGTACATGCCTTGCTCTACCGCCATTCTCATTGCTTGGCCAATCTATGAGTGTTAGTAGAGCGAGTTAAGACTGGGACCATGAAAGCCTTACAGTATTGTATGCAGCGCTTCGATAATCCAGACATTGCAAATAGAGTGCTGTACAACACAGTATCTCTATCGATTGCATGGCATCAGTGTACAAGCAGGTAATGTCCGGCAGAAGCTGCATAGCTTGGACGAACAGGTCGGCTCCAGGAGGCCTCTTTCCTTTTGCCGCTCGTACTATGAACGCCTTGCCAAAAGCTAGGACGAGCAGAAAGTGGATGTACCAGAGCCGCGGATAGTTGCTCTCATTTCCAGGATCCTCGTAGTATATGCTGAAGTAGTGCATGAAAGCTGCTTCATCAAACATGTGGAACAGCCGTCCACAATGGAACTTCACGGCATTGATTAAGAATAGGGCGAAATCCGCGGTTGGTAGTCCCGACGTGTCAACAGATGTCGACGATGTTCTGTGGCCATCCCAGCCGAGGTCGTACGTTGCGCCTTCGAACAAAAGTGAGCCTGTTGGTGGAGGAGCGCCGTTGACTTTGATATGTACCAAACTCAACACGCGTCTACCGAACGACCAATTCGAGGATACACCAAGGAAATCTTGCTCAGATAGATTAGCGTTGAAGCAATCTACGAGATCTGACCCCGACTAGCAAGGTTTTCAGACACCAGAGCCTAGCGGAGATCTGGGGAAGCTTACAGCGTCTAGCAGAGTTATTTACGGTGAAGGCATCGGAATTGACGGGATCCAGGGGATTAGTGAGCCCGGCGACTGGCTCACTGCGAAGTCCGTTGTGGTTTGAGTGCTCCGATTCCGAGGGGTCGGCATCGAAGCCAGCTTCGCTTGGAGTCGGACTGTTGTCTCTCGGCGTTGCTGGTTCGGCATCTGATCCTGTCAGCCATGCGGTAAGGGACACGAATCAACTGGGTCGCACCTTGGCCATTCAGAGCATGGCTGTCTTCGTCTACGTCGATTCCATTGTCGTGGGCTCTACTATCGCCGTTTTTGGCAACACCGGCTCTTCGCTCGAGCTCGGCAATATAGCTGCGAGTCAACACTTTAGCAGATTGAAAGCACGAAACGGCAATAACGACCATACCTCTGGGTCACCAGGATCTTCTGCTGCTTCTCGTCAAAATTACACCGCACAGAACGTCGACTACACTGCTCGCAGGGTACGGTGCCAGAGCATTTGATCTTCTGTCTTCGGCATCGCTCGCATCTGCATAACGTGTTAGCGAGCCAGTGCCAAAGCGCGTATCAGCGGCGCGAGGCAGAAGCGAGTCAGGATGCAGTACTTACGCATTCGAGGCCCGCTTGCGAACCCGACCGTCGTTGGCCTGCTTGTGGTCTGCCATTATTGTCGAGCACGCATCACGATTCCGAGCAGCACCGGGAAGTCTGCTGAGATGAAGAGGGCAACTGTCTGGTCAGCGGCGAAGTGTGGTCAAGACCCTGCCAAGCCTCCCGGATATCACAGTCTAAATCGGAAGTGCTATCCGATGCCATTACTGCTCCATCAGGCAATAGCGCCCACTGTCCTTCGAATACGATCCTTCTGGGGGATTTATAAATGTCGTGCACCTGTAGTCCCGTCGACGCGAGTTAGGCATAGTATTACGCTTGAGCATCCGGGTCCAGCTGGTCTGCGTCGCGGTGATAGGATGTGACTGCGGGAACATACGCTGCCGGTTCTGGCACCACATGGCTGCTCATTCTTGTAGCCCTACCCGCGCAGTAGTCGAGTTGATGGAAGTGGTGGCCAGGGCGGAGTTCTTCTGAGGCTTATTCAACAATTAAACCATCAAGACACTCTGAACTTCTGCTTTCTTGCCAACGCAAAGAGTGTACTTCGACTTTTCAATAATCGCATCGACAATTAGACCTGCATTCCGTCTATTCGACCTCCCTACGGTTTGATTGGTCGGCTGCGTGATCCGGTTCAGCACGGCAACGATCCCGATGTACGTTTCGCAAGGATCGGGAGGGGCGGCGAACTCGGATTCCACGCTTCTGAGCTTTCGCGATTGTGAATCTAGTAGTCGACATCGTCAATGAACAGTCCGACGGTCAGCCTCATTTACGTTCTTTATTGAGAGCTTGCATTTTGTTTTCGCCGGGTGAAGCAAGAGAAGCAAGTTAACGCTCGTCGCCGCGCACCTAGTTTTTTGATCAGTGCCTTTCCGCCACGCTTCACAAGTTCTTGCGCTCCAGCCTGGAATCATGGAAACTTCAAGAATTACAATTCTGGGCTGCGGTAGGTCGTGTCAACCGAAAAGGTTCAAGTGCATCTGCTGATCGATTCGACAGGCTCCATGGGCACAAACCTAATGCTGGGTCTATTGCGAAGAGGCAGCTCTACCTTCAGATATTCTGCCCACGTGAACTCGAGCGCTTCAGCAGAGCGCCTACAGAAAGACCTTGCCGGCGTGGACTCTACTGTCAAAGATCGTGTCTCGGTTTCCTCCGGTAATGGCAAGCTTTGTGAGGCGGTTACCGGAGCCGATGTGGTCCTTCTAGGTGTTCCGCCTACTCAACTTGGCACTTTGCTGGGATGCGAAGGACTCGTGGCAGAGTTGAAGGGCAAGATTATCGTCAGCATGCTGGCTGGAGTTGCGATCTCACAGATTGAGGATGCATTGGTCTCGAGAGGGTTTGCAAAGCAGGATTTCCACGTAGCCCGAATCATACCAACACTAGGCGCCGGCAAGGGTGACAGTGTGACACTACTTGCTGAAGCCGGAGGCGAGCATATGGAGAAGGTCAAGGGCTTCTTGTCGCAGATTGGTGCCATTGTGCCAGTGCCGGAATCTCTCATGAACTCTGCTACAGCGGTTATGGCGGCCGTTCACGCGCTTGCAATCGTTGCGGTAGATGCGGTAACAGACGCAAGCGTCGCGGCTGGAGTCCCGCGGTCGGTGGCAGCTTCCATTGCGGCGGAGAGTCTGAGGAGTGGGAGCGGCTTGATGTCCGGTAATGGCGCCGAACGTATGACTCCCGAGCAAGTGAAGGCCGGTATGTCGACGCCAGGAGGCATTACGCTGAATGCATTGGTGAGCTTGGATGCCAAGACGAGGCCAGGCATATCCTCAGCCGTGAGAGAGGCCATCGAATACACGAAGAAGATGAACGACTGAGCGTGCGACGCGTATGACGGTGGCGTATGGCGGGCGGGCGGTTGCTATAGTTCCGGATAGATCTGTGTATTGCTGAAGACCGGCGCGATCATCGATGGATGTGATCATATTCGAGAATCATTACTGTCGTGTTTGTTGGTGATGGTGGAATGTCCCCGTTTGCGAGGCGTGATGAGTGATGAATGATGGGTGACCTCGGAATGTTTCGCGACTGTGTGCATGGGCCCACGGGAGGTGGCGCACCCCGCTCCCGCTTCCGTGACGCGTCCAGCACTTTCCTTTCCGCCCACTTTCTTGACAACGAGTCGTGCACAACAACACCTGGGACCGCCCACTACTATCTCATACGCCGCCCCCTAAACGTTCTGCCATCATGCCAGGCTACGGAAAGCAATCTCCCGAGATCCAAGAACAGATCAAGGAGCTGCTCGAGGCCGGCTTCGACCCCACCACAATCCATCGCAGGCTCAAGGTCGGCAGGAGTTCCATTTATCGCATGAAGCGATGCCTGCAGCAGCATGGCACAAACTATATGCCTCCCGAGCTGAACAAGAAGAATGGAAGGCCTAAGGTGTTGACGCCGGACCAAGAGCTGGTGAGTGGCCCCATTCCCATGCGAAAATCTTGTCTCGTTCACTGAGATTCGTACCAGGAAGTCTGCGACTGGCTACGAGATCCGAAGAACCGGACGCGCTTTCTGGACGACCTGGTCTGGCTGATCCACGACAGGTTTGGTACCGTGTGCAGCACAACCACCATGTCCAAGTTAAAGCGTAAATGGTCGCGTGTCATCGAATTTGAAGAGAACGGCACCCCCCTTGACGACACGACTCGCGTTCAGCTCATGGAGACACATCCCGACCTACCGATACTACATCAGCAGTCCGTTCCAGAGGCACAGATGGGAGTATCAGCACAGCTTCAACCAGTGGACATGCCAATGCAGCAGCAACAGCAGGCAGGCATGCAAGCCGCTGCATTGCAGGCTATGGCAGGTGCTCTGGAACCGCAGCTCGAGCAGCAAATCGACTCGCAGCTTGAACAGCAACTTCATGGGGAGATCACGAGCTTCACCGATTCCCACATGCAGCACGTGGGCCTGTAGTACACCAGGACAGCGAACAGATATGGTGGCCGAATTTTCTAACTGATGGTGAATGGAAATGTGCCTTCGATCAAACAGAAATCAATTACCAGCTCAGTGGTGCCTTTCGCGATGCAAAATGCAGCGAGACATGGCTAGGATGTCACTGGAACACCACACTCTTCTACGACATACGAAAGCATTGGTTTCGAGGCGAAAGAGGCCCCCATTTGCGACTGGGTAGCGTCTTGGTGAAGGACACTGCGCTTTGGGGAGATTTCATGCCGGATGAGACCACGAATGATACGCATTTCTACAGCAACCTAAAATGCATCACATGCAGTGCTAATAATCAACGATTCAGTTTTTGTGGTGCAGGGCGTCGTCTCTTCAGAGTTGTCGAGACATCGCTCCCCACGTCTATCCAAAATTTCCCGAACGAGCGCGCGAGCAAAGCGCCGTGAAGTTTGCTGCAAGAATGGCTCCGTAATTTGGAGACGCGCAGTCTTACTGGTGCTGAACAGAGGCAACCTAACGCTAAAGCTTCAAAGACCGATCTCAGTCTGGACGATCTCGAGACCCTACGACTGGATTTGGAGATTGCGCTGGTGGATGTCGCCCCCGTTACATTGTCTGGGATCTGAAGAATGGGCAATCGGCCGTGCAAGCCTACAGAAACATTCATCCGCAGAGGCGACAGCAACCGTTGAGTCTGTGCGCTTTCTTTGGTCAGAAGCGGGTGAATTCGCTGTGCACGTGATCGTCCCCTGCCTTGGATCCAATCTTCGAGTGACCAAACCAGACCCGGACAGCCGTGACAGCTCTAGTTATGCGGCTTGTCGTTGCCATGCGCTTGATTGGAGTTAAGCAGTTTGCGACGGACTCATCATCGCCATAACTTGATAGCACGCCATGAGAGGGCTCCCCACGCGTCTCTACCTGGCAACGTCATGTCCTTCACAGATCACATTCAGGTTGATCAGGGGTTACTCGCGGCTCTCTCGCTATCGTCTTGGATCTGAGCGTGATGCTGGACCTCACAGTTCATCTCTGCATGTTGGAGATTCCATACTCTTCTCGAAGACGACAGTGGAGATGAGACTTGGTCAAATCACTGGTAGCAACTATCGAGATACTCTTCCAATGTGAAAAATGACTGCACTCGGGACTTCGGAATACACTGCACTGGCTGATTAGTGATATGTGCTTAAACACGGGGAAGTGGTTCATCCACAAGCGCTAATACATGCGCTCTACTCGCCGACCACAAACGGATCATGGACGGTCGAACCTGTCAAGGACAACCGATTTTGTTTTGCTTGCGGTCCCACACGGGAGGTGCGAGTCATGTCGCGGTTGGACACATCTCTGATGTTGAAGAGACTTTGCGCTTGCTGTTCGGCTGAATAGGCATTACAGTGCCGTTTGATGAGATACGCACTGTACATTCCCATTCAAGGCCTTTCAGCTTGGTCGGCCGCTGCATTTTAGGTTCGTTAGCCATCAGTGCACGTCGATGCTTTTGCCATAATCGATAAGATGAGGCTGTTAGAGGCGAAAGTGGAGTACTCTTGAGCCTGCCCTATCTGCTTCTCTCACTTGTCTGTTCGCGGCTTGCGAGTTTTCTTCTTCGGCAATGGCATCGGCTGGCTCGATTGCGATTGAAACACCAGACAAGAACGGTCTTGTGACTGGCCATCAATTACTGCTTCTTGTCCTTTCTATTGTGTTCTCCGTCATCACCGGATCGTGTATCGCTTTCCGGATCTACTCTAGGGCTCATGTTGTTGGAAAGATATTTTTTTGGAGGATGGTAGGTCATGAAAGGTATTCGACAGTCCTTCAAAGAGACTTAATAATCGCGTCTAGTGCTCATAACGATTGGTGCAGTAAGTCCATTCAATTTGTATGGATCCAAGCAGGACGAAGACCTGATTCTTGACTACACAGTTCCTGGCCATTGTCCTGTCAGCTACGTATGCCGCAGGCATGCAGCATGGGAATGTTGGAGTCTCGAATCCAAAACTTGTGCTGATAGACATAACAGGTGCCTTTCATGGGCTCGGAACGCACAGTAAGTCTTCTGAGACGCGAATCCCTTGTATCGAGATTGACCACGGCCTGTAGTATAGCAAACCATTGCGCACCCTAGTGACTTCATTCTGGTCTACAAGGTGTGCCACTAGCCCAAGTCAAGCCATCAACTCGCGCTGAGCTAATGACATGTTCGCAGCTCGCATTCGTGGTCACCATTCCAATACACCGGGCCCAACTTATTCGTCAAGTGCTCATTTCTGGCGCTTTATCTGAGACTCGACTCCAGAACACCGATGCGCTGGGTGGATACTTACTATTCATCGTGGAAACGGCACAATTCGCCGCCAGTTGCGTGGTATTGGGTCTAGCATTTATTTCGTCTGAGCACCTCCTTGATGGTCAAGCGCATTCCATTGTCGGCTTGGATGCGCTCCAAGACTTCTACAATGCCAAAGATATTCTATGTTCGCCCACCTCGGTGGCGATATACATCACGACGATGATTCTCTTCTCTCTGTCGACTTGACAAATTGTTTGATCTCCTCAAAGTGCACCTCCTGACTGACTACTTCCACTCAAGTCCTCATCTTCCCTCCTCTCTTCCCATTCTCTCAGCCCCTTCTCAATGGCTAGACTATAGCTTTCTGCCCTCGGAATGGCATCATCCCTATACCCCAACCGACTCGTCCTCCACCCAAACCAGCTCTCAGCCCTGCTTCCCTCGGGAGCACGGAGTAGTCCGAAGGCAACGTCCTTCAGCCATTGCCGTCCCTCGCAGTCATAGAACACCATTGCGCCGCACGTGCCGCAGAAATAGCGATAGCGACCAGGGGAAGACTCATACTGCCTTAGAGTTCCGAAATCGGGAGTCCAAGGTTCCTTTCCGGCTTCGTCGAGGGAAATATCGCATGTAGGTACGAAGGCCCATGTTACTGTTTCCATTCCACAAGCGAGACGGCAGGAATCGCAAGCGCAGAGTCCGGCGAGGAATTTTGTGTTGTTGCTGCGCAGATAGGAAAGTTCGTTTCGGGTGGTCGATATGGAATTTGGTGGTGGGAAGTCGGGGTAGTATTGTTCTGCTAGTGTTGATGTGGTGGACGGACGGGAGATGTAGAATGATACACCTGTGCATTTGCATTGGGCGAGGAGTTTGTCGTTTGGAGAGGGATTGGTGGTTGGTCGACCGGGAGCAGTCCACGGGATAGGGACTTCTTCGCCTTTGCCTGCTGCTCCTGGGCAGCGTGGGAGATGTTTGCCGTTGATTGAAGGGAGAAAGTCTGCGAAGCCGCCGTCGAGAGTATCCTCGACGAACTCATGCATTTGCCAATCTACGATGCCTTCGATTCTTGACAGAGTTCCGCTGCCGAGAAACCAAAAAGATCGAGGCTGGTTGGGTTCTTCTGCCCCATCGGCGAGCATGTGGCAGCCGCAGGTGGTGCAGAAATACATCGAAACACGTGGAGAGAAGTCGTACTTTGTGACTTTATCCAGTACAGATTGGGAGGGCTCGTAGTAAGCCGGCGGGAAGACCAGAGTCGAGCACATCGTGCCGAAGGTGTGTCGACAGGAGTCGCAATGGCACATGTAGCCTTTGACTGGAATGTCGGACGGTTTGAGGGATATGTCATGGTTAGCAGCGCCGCAGAGGCAGGTCGCTCTAATGACTTGTGTTTCAGTGGCCATGTTGGATGTTGAAGTTGACCTGGACGGAGGAGGGCAGAGAAAGCAGTTCGACGTATATGTGATAGAGGTACTTGTAAGCCTTACCTAGTCGGGTAGAGATGCGATGGTAGGGCATGACGCAGCGTGCGCGTAGCCCCTCAGTCGCACGGAGTATCGGATACTGATGATCATTTTGGGCCAATGGATATGCTCCAAGGAGCTGCTACTCGCATTCGCGTTGGAGCTTCTTCACTTGGAGCTTCAGATATAGTTGTGCCTAGACATGCATCGTGGTACAATTTGGGGGCAGAAGCGGCTTCGTCTTAGCGTATTTTCACATGTGATAGCGACCCGAGTGAGGTGAGAGAATAGAAGAGGGGTGTGCCTACGGGACCGACCGCAGCTAGCCGGCGCTAGCCTTGCGTCATATCCGTCGCGTTTTTTGTTCTCGCGGATTCGCGACTTCCTCACATCACCCCTCGACCACCGACCGCCGACCGCCGACCCCCTCTTGACTCTCTCCATCCTCCACCACCCAGACTCCAACACCTCGACAGTCGTTACTGGGCGGGCTTGTCTTTTACCGGCGTTGTAGGAGCCGGCGACACTCATCAGCCTTTGTATCACCCTTTGTGGGCGACAATAATTCATCCACCGACTGCGCAGAAACTAACCCTCCTCCATCGCGCGCGACATGGGCGACTCCTATCGCCCAGGCGGGAGACCGCCGCCGCGGCACCACAAGCCCTATAACGACTATTATGGACGGGACGACTATGATTCGCCCTCTCCGCCACCGCGGCGTAGTCCACCACGCACACGCAGCGGCTTGATGGACAGCCACCGATACCCCCCACCTCCGCAATTCCCACCGCCCCGCCGCGACCCTCCACCACCAGGTCACGACGTCCGCAACAACGGCTACCAGTTCCGCGGCGCTGCTGCCGACAGCTACCGCTCGCAAGACCAGCAGCAGTTCAGCTTCAGAGTCGACCACGGCACTTCGGCTCCGCGCTTTTCCGACCAGCAGCCGCCGCCGCGGTCGAGGCCACCGCGCCGTAACAATGATCGCCAGGGCGGACGTCCACCATACAATCGTGACAACAAGCAAGGTGGCCCACGCAAGTTCGTTCCCAAGCCTGCACATTCCCGTGCCATCTTGAAGCATACCGACCGCGAGCCCACGCCAGAACAGCTGGCTGGGATGGAGGTTGATGATCACCCGCGCTTTGCTGGGGTGGTATCCAGCGATGAAGACGATGCAGCCTCGACTGGTGAACGCCCTGGAGACGACAACGAAGGCCCACGGAAACGCACCAGGATCGCAACCGAAGAACCCACCAACCGTCCACAGTGGTCCAACCCCGACCCGTACAGTGTTCTACCGCCGACTGACTTGGGCATCGGACCTAAGAAGGACATCGTGCAGACGATTCGCAAGGCGAAGATGGACGTTGCTGCCAACCAGTCGAAGTCACATAATGCTGTCAAAGAGAACGCTGATTACATTTCCTTTGACTTTGGCGATGACGGCAAGAGTGACGACGCCGAATCAGGCGAAATTGATGAGGATGCGAGCGTTGGAAGAGCACCTTCCCCGCCAGCTCTGCCTCCAGCGCCTCTGCCATACCAACCTACAGAGGAAGACGCCATGCGAGCACTGACGGGCGAAGCGGAGCGTTACGGCAGCATCGGTGGTGGTGCTGGCTCGAAGCGAAAGCGTGGATTCGAGACCGTGAGTAGGGGTCTCGTCACAGAGTGGGCTGGCAATAATCAACATCCCATCTCGACGCCCTGGTATCGACACCATCCGCGACTTGCATCTAGCGACGGCTTGCAGTAGGTTCAAGTGATCCTCAGTGATTGGATCACGCGCTAATCAATGACGCAGTAAGCTGGAGAAGGAGATCTTAGATTTCTACGACTACGTGACGCCTTTCGAGCACGAAAGCGACCTTCGGTGTGAGCTCGTCGACCGCATCCAAATGACCTTGAAGAAGTTTCCTCAAAATTACACAAAAGATGTCGACGTGCTGTCCTTTGGCTCGTTCGCGGCCGGACTATACCTCCCAACGGCTGATATGGATCTGGTCGCTGTCTCGGCGCCTTTTCAGAATACCGGCCGCAAGACCTTCTGTCAGAACAAAAACCATGTGCACAGCCTGAGGCACTATCTTGTCAAGAGCGGACTCTGCAAGGGTGGCGAGGCGGTCGCTATCGTCAAAGCGAGAGTGCCCATCATCAAGTTTGCCGACAAGTTGACCGGTATCAAGGTGGATATCTCTTTCGAGAATGATTCGGGTCTTCAAGCAAACAGCACCTTTCAGCTGTGGAAGCGCCAATACCCCGAGATGCCGGTGCTCGTCATGCTTCTCAAGCAATTTCTTATGATGCGCGGTCTCAGCGAAGTCTTCAATGGTGGCATTGGAGGCTTTACCACCATCTGCTTGGTAGTAAGCATGCTGCGAGACTTAGGCCCGCGGGCCGGAAGCATGAATCTCGCCGAGCTCTTCCTCAACTTCCTGGAGTTCTATGGCCTCCGATTCGACGTTACGAGAATGGCCATCAGCATGGCCCATCCTGCTGGCATCTATGACAAGCTGCTCGAGCCCGACAAATTCCCCGCCAAGATAACACACAACCGTCTGACGATCATCGACCCAAATAACATCTACAACGACCTATCTGGCGGCTCGAGGGAGATTGACACCATCTTGCGTTGCTTCGGCGATGCGTACACACTGCTCCGAAAGCGACTGGAACAGATCCGTCAGGACCCAAATGACAACAGCAGCATTTTGGGATGTATCCTGGCGGGCAATTACGCTTCTTTTGACAAGGCTCGTGCGGATCTCCTTCGGGTGAACCGCGGTCGGTCTTCGAATCGTATGCCTCAGATCCTACCATCGACACTCGCAACTCCAGATGCTGCCAACGCCCACGACGCTGCTGCCTATTCAGCACCTACTAATTACCGATCGATGCCACCCCCAGCGCAGTACCCGGCTCCACATCCGTACGAGCAGCGGGCCTACCCGCCTCCGACTTCTCGCGGCCAGCATTACAGCCCAATGCACTATGCTAACTCTTCCACTAACCAAACGCTCAATACTTACCCGATGCCAACCCAGTCGACGGTGCAGCCACGGACACCGCACCCACTTCCGCCAGTGCCGCCAGCTCCAGCGCAGCAAATCGCATCCTCAGCATCGGCACCATCAGGACAAATGTACGGTTACTACCCATACTACCCATGGGCTTGGCAGATGGTCGGGGTGACCCCGGAGGACGTCCCGCCACCTCCGCCGTCACCCCCTCCACCGCCACCGCCACCGCCCCCACCCGAACATGACTGGTCGGAACGCATGAAGCCGAAATATCCGTACATGCGTTCTGCTTAGAGCAAACTGACTCGGTAAGTAGGTCACAAAAGAAGAAACAGAAGAAGGACAAAACACAGGCCGGCCCTTCCTTCACTGCGATCAACAAGTGAGTGCACCGTACCTACGACTCGAAAGATGCACGATTCTGACTGCGCTGGAGGGATGCGACGGAACCTGGACCTGCGAACAATACACAGAATCCGCCGAAACAGCAGAAGAAAACAAAGGCTCAGAAGAAACGTGAACGAGAACAGAAGAGGGCTCGGAAAGAGGCTGCAGAGGAGAAGAAGAAAGAGGCGAAGAAGAGAAAGAAAGCAAACAAAGCAAAAAAGGCTTCGGATACCCAACAAGCGAATGGCGATTGACGGAGCGAATTGAGACCGCGTAAGGGATGGTCCGAGTCTGGATCAAGTGATTGGTAATGTGGCTCTCTCGATCATGCTTTGTTGCTTTCACGCAGACGATACCCTGTACTATTAGATGACACACCGATTCTAGGGATGATGGCGCCGCGAGTCCTGCGTGTTGCACTCGCTCTACGGCTTGTTGCATCAGCGTTCGACCGACGTCCGGTAGCAAACGGCTGCTCTTGGAAGACGCCATCATCCCCTTCCCCGTATACTCGTTTTCTTTCTTTGGCTTTCCCACGACTCACAAACAAGCGGACGCAGAAACGACGACGACAAATTGGCATGGGCTGCACCAAAAGATTGGACATACTGACTATTGTAGACTCATCTCTGGCATTCTCGGGGGCTTCAAGATGCGTTGCATCGACATGTGGGATTTGCAAGGGGGCTCTCTACAATGACACGTTTGCACTTGATGCTCACTTGTGTTTCTTGAAGTGAAGCATGCGCGGAACTTGGGCCTTTCGGCAGAAGAACTGCATCACACCATGCTTCCACATCTTCCTCGAAGATGTTCTTTTCTCATCGATTGCCTTGCTCTCGTAGCGAGCGGTCGGAGAGGGAGGAGGCGATTGGATGATGAGGCACATTGGGCGAGCATTGCGTGGCTTGGAGATGACTTGGGCGGCGAGGCTGACAAGAAATCCACGGCCACACTCCTTGACTCCTGGTGCTTCTGGACGACATCATCATCGAAGGAAATTTGTGCAACAGCCGAGGAATCGTGCTTTTGGTATGTTGGTGTTTTGTTGAGACGAGTTCAGTTATATGCTGACAAATGAAACAGCCCTGCTGAGGGCAGAAGGCGGGAAAAGGTTTTGCTACGCTGAGAGCTGCTGGGGAGATAAGCTGATGCTCTTGCAAGATCGTTCGGTGTGAATAGACCGACATTATTGCTTGCCTTGAAGGTTGGATCTGAGGGGGGATGTATACGCTGGCTTCCAGGAGAGGTAGGGAGGGAGGAGAACGGCTGAACTGCATGAATTTAAGAATGTGAGGATGGTATGGGTGGGTTGTACACTACTTGTACGGTGAAGAAGAATGGAGATTGTGGGTGGTGGGTTAATACGGACTTGGGGAAGGTGAGGTCTTTTTTTACTATTTTACTTGTTCGACGCCGCGGTGAGGACTGACTGACTGGCGTGTATGTGGATTAGATCTTTGATGCGGAGTGGTTTCACGTCTGAGGCGAACGTATTAGGAGGCGAATGAGTGGAGTCTGTGTTGCGTCTTGGAACGCGGTCATTCTGTTGAAGAAATATGATGGTGATTTGCACAAAATGAATTACGCAGCGATTGCTGCATGTGACACAGAAGTCCGTGCTTGCGAATCGAATCCACAGTCTCTTCTTCCACCAAAAAAAAAAACCAAATCATCAGACACCATCAGCGCCCAACTTCAACCAGCCTCATGATTCTTTCAATCCTCGTACCCCTCGTGCAAAAACTTCATCGTCGTAGGAAAAGGCCAACTGTCACTCCAATCCGCCTTCATAAAAACCTTGAACATCCCATCCTTCAACGTCGTCTTCATCTGGCCCTGCAATCCCGGCGTTCGTCGAAGATTCTTACACTTGGCGAGACATTTCAATTGTGTCGCGATGCCGGTAGTGACGATGTTCCTCCCGATACACGCGTGCGGTCCCCAGCCGTGATGGAGGTAGTTCGCGGCGGGGCGATCGAGTTTGATCTCGAGAGGGTTGGGGAAGACGGATGCGTCGAGTCCGGCGGTGATGAGGTTGACGACCACGGGGTGGCCTCTCTGGAGTTGGATGGTGCCGTGGGTTCCGTCTTGGATGGTGGTGTTTTGGCTCGCAATGCGAGGGAGGGCGAAGACGGGGGCGGAGATGCGGAGACATTCGAGAACATACTTTTCTAGCTCTTCGTCTTCGTTCGAGCGTGCCAGTCTTTGGACTTCGGCCCAATGATGGTGGTATTTCTCTTGGTGTAAGAGGTCCAGAACTTGTGCAAGACCCTGCGCCCCGCCGCAGATACCTTCCGCGAGGGTTGAGAGGACGATGGTGCTGATGTCGCCGTCACCTCGGCCCTTGATTAAGCGCTGGATGAGTTGGGTGCCGAAAGATTTGGCAAGATCGTCTTCGCTAGGTCGAAGGCCAGTAGCTCGGAGCAATAGATGTGCCATCTTGTGGAAATTCGAATGCTCAACTAGCTCCACCACCTGTTCGGTCAAAGGCCGGATCGTAGCAGCGGCCTTGAGAGCTCCCTGCCGCAGCTCGTAGCCTTTGCATTCATCAGAATTCGTGAAGATGTACATGAATATCAACTCCGTCAGGGTGTGGAACTGTTCCACAGTGAGGATTCCAGCTTCCTCTGTAAATGTCTTGAGTGGGATATGGAAGAGCTCCGCAATGGCCAAAGTAGAGGCAGGATTGGCCAGGTCTTTAACAATATCCAGCTGGTATCCGTTCCGCAGCTTGCGCGAGTTACATTTGATGAGATCCAGTGTAATTTTCTCGTACATTGACTTGATCTCGTCCTTCCATTGGTGAGGGCAGTAGACAGCGTTATCGATGAACTTGTGTTGGTCCCGATGCCATTGAGTGTCTCCAGCGTGGCAGTAATCTTTGCCCTGAGTCATGTCTTTGATTTGCTTGCCCCATGGGACCTTGAACCTTTCGTGATCTGCAAGCACTTCTGTGGCCGCTTGCCAGGAGCTGATCAATCTTGGCCGAGGAGCTGGTGCTGGCCGATCGAAGCAGAAATCCTGAACTTGGCCCAATGATGACAGATTCTCCCTAGTCTTGCCCGGAGTCTGGAAAGGATACATGGCGTAGATTGAGCTTGCCGGGTACTGCTGTGGGTAAGCATTGTAAAGGAGTTTATACATCACACCTCCGCCAGCGATCTGAGGCTCCGCTTTCGTAATGGTGTAGCCCCAGTTCGTAAGTGTCGCCGCGTTGTAATCCTTCTGCCCGTCAGCGACAGCTCTCTGTCCAAAGTTGAGGCAACCCACCTTGGTATAGAACCTGTCGCCTCTGACGAGGGCCACTGCATCAGACAAAATGGCTCTCGAGATGGTATATCCAGGACACAGTCCAGACCCGGGTTCCTCCACTGGCTTGCCGTCTTCAACGATCAAGCCCGGATAAAGCTCCACAAGATCCGGAGATCCATAGAGTGTTTCTAGCGAGGCAGCTACGTCTGGCTGAGTGGTGATATCCGAAAATGTTTTATGGCGCTGCATGCCGAAGAACTCGCGGAACTCGTTCAGCGTAGCGACATTCCATTTCCGAGCCTGTTCGATGCCCATGATTTCGATTGCCTTCATCGCGATTGGAACGTTGCGAGCGCCGAATGAGCCTGTGGAATGTTAGCACTAGCACCGTTGTCGAAGCGGAAAGACGAAATGAGGATACCAGCACAGTCCTCCGTGGCTTGAGACAAGACCTCTACGAGTTCTTCGCTCTTGAAAAATCCGTTCTCTTGCCTCTTCAAATTCCCAAGCGGCCAAAGACCAGGATCCGTGTTCTTGAATGAATGCCCAAAAGCCGTCTTCGCTTTCACAAAGTCCTGCAGAGTCAAGCTGCCCAGATCCCGATCTTCCCCAAGATTTTGCTTCAAAAAATCTTGCGTCCACTTTTCATCCTTGGCACTGATTGCAGAATGCCAACGGTAGACCAGATTGAACTCCACAGAGACCTGATTTCCGACAGCCTCTGGGGTTTGCAGTTTCCCTGTATCCTGTCTTGGATCCAGGATCCAGCTCGAGGCCGTGGTATTCAAGTTGAGAATCGTACGAACGTAATCGCCGAGGATGATGTTGACATAAAGGCCACAGGTAATCAGACGAGCGGTGTTGAAGAGATCGTGATCCCGTTTGGCGGCTGCAGTGCCGTGCTGTTTATTCAAAGCGGCGTAGGAAGGAGAGCTCCACTGCTCTTCAGATATCAGGGTGAATCTGCCACCTTCATCGATTTGCGAGAGCTGATCGGCCACGTAGTTGTGGAAGCGATTGAAACTGCACATCAATGCCGCGACACCAGGCGGGAAGCCGAGTAGACGTGCTTCGGAGAAACTGTCAGGCTTTAATTTGCCGTCTTTCATGGTGCGGACGTTTCGTTGGCTTTCTTCGCTGTTGCCGTAGAGAGGAGAGAGATCCAGGTAAGAAGAATTGTCGGCTTTTGTCCAGTTGAGGTCGTTGGTGCGGAAGATATCTGGCGATTCGGTTAGAATGATGATGTTTGCTTGAGGGTCAGAGAGCTTCTTACCGTGCACAATAATGGTTGCTAGGTAGAAAAGCATGCTGGACACTTTGTTGGGGTGCTCACGAGTCCCTCCTTCTCGTGCCATGAGTTCTAGGACGAATTAGTCAGTAGAGACATCGTCGATTGAAATGAGGAGCCCATCCATACCATCGAATATCAGACTTGCGTCGGGCAGAGTAGGCGGCAGGATCGTCTCAGGCTCAACACTTCGCGCGTACGCAGACCCAGCCTTTCCGAGCCATGGAATAGTCTTGTTCTATAGAGCTTGTTAGATCCAAGAGTGTCCGACGAGGAGAGGTATGCTTACATTATTCGACCCATCAGCAGTCCTATACTTCCACTCATCCCCAACATACGAAAGCGGAGGATGCTGCACGCCATTCCATAACTTCGTGATAATCTGTCCAGACAACGTCTGCAGAAGCGGAGAATCTGACGGCAAAGAAGCTGCTAGTTGGATGATCTGTTCCATCTGTGCATTCTCGATCAGCATCACGCACAATCAGTCAGTATACATCGAGGGAGACATGCCAGCATCTTCTTATCATCCATCGATCCATGATCCTCCACCGTGTCCACACCTTCTAGAAGCATTCCGAGGTCCTCTGGTGTGCGGTCCGCCTGACTTGCAAGGTCGCCCAGGACACGGGCATGAAGAGCGCATGGATCGTGTTTGGGGACATCGCCATTGGGATTGCTGGAGAAGAACTCCCCAGCAAGAGTCTTGGCTTCAGAAGCCATCTTGAGGACTCTTTCCGGCACATTCAAATCCTCATCGTGGTGTCCAATACAGACAGGTCTTGCAGTTTCGATACTTCCCGTGACGCCGGTGGTGGCTCTTTTACCCCGCTGGTTGTACGATCCAACGCGTAGATAGATCTCGGTTATTCAAAAGTCAGCGATACCCCCATGAAAAGCTAAGTTGATTTCCTCTTTCGTCCAGTAACACAAAGGACAAACAAAAACAACCGATCGAATTGAAGGAAGTGTGTGGTAGCGTGTGGCTACCACATCACCTTCCATGAAGGAATCAAGGCCATTATCATTACTCCCTCCGCCCTCAGACGGAATCCTCATCCGAGATTCTCGCGATGGAAGGGAAAAAGGCATCGACACCGAGGGCGAAAGCGGGAGGCCGTCATCACCAATCAGCCTCCTGCAACCATAATCCACATCCTCGTAAAGCAGTCATCGCAACCCGTGCGCTCTCCAGGGCGAAAGAGACTACTGGCTTGGTCAGGACGGCACAGCGGAGAGGAAGGATTGTAAGGATTTCTTCTTTCACGTGAAAGGAACAATATGCCCACAGTCATGCCTGTCGTACACGGCAAAGTGGGTGGACAAGGCCGCCCGAGAGATTGGGAAAAAGGTGATGACGAGGTGTGATTGGTTGCACAGTTGCGTGATCTGGATAAGCTTTCAGCTCTGGACTGCAGCTCTGGACTTCAGCTGGCGCAGCCGCACGTTGCTGCGGCTCATGGTCTCCCGCATTGCATTCGCATGGCATCGCAGCGCGGCAGCCTTACGCCGCCGGGCAAATGCGAACAGTGAGCGAGAATGGGGCCAAAGGGCGGCGCGAGTCTACTGAGCGGTCAGCGTTCAGTGAGAAAACGTCACAAGTGGTGTCCATGTTGCATCTCTTTCTTTCCTTTCTTCGGTATACCGATCTCTTTATGTACACACAGAACATGCACATGACTTGTCATGCTGTCGATCAAGTCATCACATACTTTGGCCCTTCCCCACCCTGCGGTGTCTGCCAATTGATGTCCTGATCCGGAACTTTGATATCGCACGTCTTGCAATGCACGCAATTCTGGGCGTTGATCTGGAATCTGACGCCAAGGTCTTTGCTCTCGTCCTCAACATATTCGTACACTCCAGCTGGACAGAAGCGATTCTCCACCCCCTTGTACTTCGGCCATTCCATTTCTGCGTGCTTATCCCAGTCCTTGACCTGTAAATGACAGGGCTGATCTTCTTCGTGGTTCGTACCGGTGCGTGAGACCGAGGTGAGAATGTCGAAGGAGATTTTGCCGTCCGGCTTGGGGTATTCGATCTTCTGGCATTGATCTGCTGTCTTGGTGGCGGCGTGATCGCCCTTGCCGTGGCTAAGTGTCCAGGGTGCTTTGCCGCGGAGAATGTAGGCTTCGAGGCCGGAGTAGAGGATACCGCCGTATAGACCGAGAGGCGAATGGAAGCTAGGCCGCATGTTCCGTACTTGCTTCAGCTCTGACCAGATGCTGCTGTTGCGAAGCTTGTCCTCGTAGTCGAAGAGAAAGACCGCTCCTTCTGTGTCCTTTGTCGTCGCCAGCGCATCGAAAGCAGCCTCTGCAGCAAGCATGCCAGAGCGCATGGCAGTGTGCGTTCCCTTGATCTTTGGAACGTTGAGAAAGCCTGCTGTGTCGCCAATGAGAGCTCCGCCTGGGAACGCGCACTTGGGAATGCTCTGGAAGCCTCCCTCATTCAGTGTTCGAGCGGCGTACGAAATGCATTTGCCGCCTTCTAGGTACTTCCTGTAGAATGGATGCTGCTTCATCTTCTGGAACTCGCCATACGGTGCCATCCATGGATTCGGGTAGTCCAGTCCTACCACCAATCCAATGGAGACCATGTTCTCGCCGAAATGATACATCCAGCCACCACCGTAAGTATCGTAGGGTAGGGGATATCCCATCGAGTGTGCCACGAGACCCTTCTCGAACTTTTCGGGCTCGATTTCCCATACTTCCTTGATACCTAGTCCGTAGGTCTGTGGCTGACTGTCTCTTCGAAGGTCGTACTTCTTGATCACCTGCTTTGTCAAGCTACCGTGACAGCCCTCGGCGAGTAGAGTACATCTCGCGTGGAACTCCATTCCGCGCTCGAATGAGTCCTTGGGTGTGCCATCCCGTGCAATGCCCAAATCGTTGGTTGCAACTCCACGCACCGCTCCTTCTTTTGTATATAGCACTTCAGACGCCGCAAAGCCAGGATATATCTCGACACCTACTTCCTCTGCTCTTTCGCCCAGCCATTTGCTCAGCTCGTTCAGACTTACGATGACGTTTCCATGGTTGTTCATCTGCGGAGGTTTGGGCATAGGGATGGAGCTGCCCTTGGTCAAGAATCGCATACGATCTGTAGCTGCAGGCGTGAAGTTCTCGAATCGCGAGGGATTGTCTTCCGATCTCCAATCTGGAAGCAGCTCATCAAGAGCAGAGGGCTCCAGAACGTTTCCGGAGACAATATGGTCGCCAATCTCCCCGGCCTTCTCGAGCAGCAGCACACGGAAGTCCTCGTTGCCTGCTTCGTTGGCCAGCTGCTTGAGCTTGATCGCAGCACTCAGACCCGCAGGTCCGCCACCCACGATACACACATCCACCTCGTCCGCTTCTCGCTCTGCGTGCAAGGCACTGGAGTAGTCATCGTTCACGCTGGCGAGTCGCCTCGAGACAGTGCTGGAGATGGATCTTCGCTGGCCTGCAGTGATGGTAGCAGGCCGGTAGCTCCTCGGCGGTAGACATCTCGATGCAATGCTGGATGTAGAGGGGGCGACAGCAGCTGCGGTGGGCCGAGTGAGTCTCGCTACGTCTGGGAGCTGCAGCAGGCGGCGTCGGACGCCCGAACAGAGCAGAGAGGGAGCGGCCATGGCCATTGTGAGCCAGCAGAACAGTGAGGCGCCACGCAAAGCAGTAATCTAGGAAGGAGGATGGTGCTCAGTCACATGTTCCCGTCCCATATCAGAACCCCTCTGCGCGTGGCCTGGGTCGAGCGGGATAGTACATGAAATGCAAAGCACTTCTGCGATTATCCGAGGTGAATTGATGACGGATGGAACCTGCAACGCTCGTGATTGGCCGCTGAGCTCCCGTCCGTCACGTGACTCGCATCCCCGAATTGCCGGGCTCGCCTCACCATTCTCGTCTTGCGGGAGCCGCGTCTTGTTATTACAACATCACACTGCACCACCGCAACTCCATCCACCGCCAGGACAGGAGCCTTCATCCCTTCAGCGACCATCTCGCACCCGCACCCGCACCCGCACCCGCGCATACAGCCTCATCTGTGTGCGCGCCTCATTCTCGCCGCCTCGCCTTTTCTTCCAGGCCTCCGAGTCCGGACAGGGTCTGCTCCAAGACTTCTCGCGCGCTGCAGTATCGTGCAGCACCAACCACCGCAACCATGTCGGACGCTCCCGGCGTGTCCAACACCCGGCTCTACCTTGGTATGCCGCCTTGGTGGACTCGAACGCTTGACTCGATGCTGACCGCCGCCCGCGCGCGCTCACAGGTAACCTCCCGCGCACTGGTACGCATCCTCTCCCGTGGCTTTTCGAATAATCGCAGGATGGCCTGTCCGTTCTGGTTGGACACACGTGCAATGTGGACTGCCCTGCCCGGCGCACACGCAACGGCAAGATGAGGAATAGAAGGACTGGCCATTCTTGCCCTGCCCACATACTGTTCCTTTCTCTGATGATCCTGTTGTTCTCGCGCACACACGGACCCGGAGCCGGCCACACGGGCTGTCCTCGTCCTCGTCTTCAATATGGGCCTGGCATCGCTGACCGGAATCTGCTACAGCTACCAAGGCCGATGTCGAGAATCACTTCAATACCCATGGCACTGGCAAGATCACGGAGATCAAGCTCATGAACGGGTTCGGCTTCATCGAGTATGAGGACGCCATGGATGCTCGTGACGTTGTTCCAGGTACGTTACTCAGACTCCACCACCTGTCTTCCCGCCTCAATACCCACATGGTCATGCGCTGGCCACCTCCCTCTCAACTCAATCTACATGAGATCTGCTGCTGACTCTCTTCTCTAGCCTTCCGTATGTGAACCCTACCAGTCCCTCCCTCGACGCTACTCCCCATCCATATCGCCTTCGGGCACCCGCCCTGCTATCCCTTCTGGTTATGTACTCGACTGCTGACATATATCGCTGGCTAGATGGATCCGAGTTCATGGGTGAGCGACTCGTCGTGCAGTTCGCACGTGGAAGTAACCGTCCGCGCGATGGCTTCGAGCACCAGCCACGCATGGCTCCACGTCCGCGTCGCACCCAGCACCGGATGACCATCACCGGACTTCCGGGCGACACGTCCTGGCAGGTAAGTACCGTGGCGGGGGTGCTGTGTGCGGTAGGACCACGTGAGACCCATGGGTCCCGCGTTCCGGTCTTGGCGCTCACTTCGCCTCATCACTCCTAGTGGACATCAGACTCACATCTCTGTCATAGGATCTCAAGGACTTCGCCCGTCAGGCCGGCCTCGACGTCGTCTATAGCGAAGTCGGTCGTGACCGTGACCCGGCTAATGCGGGCAAGGGGTAAGCAATGATCTCCATATGCTCAATCGGGCACTGTACTGACTCGTCCGCAGCTTCGTCGAGTACGAGACGGCTGCCGACATGGCATCCGCTGTCGAGAAGCTCGACCAGTCCGAGTTTAAGGGTGCTACCGTCCGCTGCATCTCGGATGTAAGTGATCTCCCACACCTGACCACCCGTCGTCTTGCACGTGGTGCTCACACAAAGCAGCCCCAGACGGAGATACCACGTCCTCGCGAACCATTCCGTGGCGGTCGCTCGCGCTCTCCAGGATATCGTCGGGGAGGAGGCTATGGTGCGCCTCCAGAGGACTTCTACGATCGTCGTGGACCTCCTCGTGGCTACAGTCCGCGTCGTGACTACCGTCGTCGCACTCCACCTCCACGCGACTACTATGACGATCCTCGTGATGATCGCTACGGCCCACCACGCGGTCGTCCACCGGTCGACGACTACCCACCCCCTCGTGCGTACCCCGATGACCGTTACGGTGGTCCACCACCTCGTCGGGGCGCCTACGAGGCCGACCCGTACGTCAACGGTCATGGCCGCGAGCCATACGGCCGCCCACCGAGCCCACGCGGCGATCGTAGAGCAGGAGGGTATGCTAGAGAGGATTACCCGCCACCACGCAGTGGCTACTGGTGATTACATCTCTACTCTCCAGGCGTCGCGTACTGACACTCCCTGCAGAGCATCCTACAGCGACTATGCGGACCCCTACTACCGCGACGACTACTATTACCGGTGAAGATCGTCTCGCCCAAGATGGCATTCATCGGTACCTACTAAGCGGAGCAGAGGGTGGCAATCGCGAGCAGAAGACGTGACAGGATCAGAGCGGTTTTATTTCATCGGCGCCGTCAACTTGCTGGATGTTTTCAGGGCTGTACAACTGTTGTGGGGACGGAAAAAGCATCAAGGGTGTCTTCGTGTACTGGGTTTTTTGGCACGCAAGACGCGATACTCCATACGCGTACTGGGTGCTCTCGTACTCTTCCTCAAGACTCTTCCGCAGCGGTGAAGGGCAGAGCGTATGGCTATGAGCGGCCAGCAGAAAGGACGAATCGTGTAATATCAGAATGAAAGTTGTGGCAAAGTCATGGTCTTCAAAAGTGTGTCGCAGTCTTGCTGCTTGAAAGGTTCAAACTTCTCCCGATCCAGCACGTATTCTTAACCGATGTATCTCTTATCGCCCGTGCGCTTTCTTGTAATGGTAGCGGTCGACGCAAAGCTGTACCTCAGGTAGCTCAATTGAATAGCTCGATATGCCCCGCACCGCGACGCTGCGACAGAAGTGTTGAGCGAATCGATCACCCAAGGCTTGCCACCATAGGAAAATGGACATCGTCTCGGCGCGTGAAGGGCGCGGCAGGTACGAGAGATTGCCGGTCGGTGCGCACCACGTCGCCGCCGCAGATCCATAGCTTGGGGGTGAGATTGCGAACCTCGGAGCGTTTTGTACGACTCTCCCGCGGTTGAGGGAGACTTGGTGAAGCACGTGGCTGGCCGTGATGAAGCTGGGAGCTTGCTTCGGAATGTTTTGATGAGGCTGTGTTGGAGGTAAGAAATACAAGTGCAAGTACGCGACGGAACGGAAAGCTTCCAATCTCTCCGGCGTTCACATGCTAACGGGCCACGTGCCAAGACGCTAGCGTGAGTGGAACACAGAGTGAATATCATACTTAGTCTCGACCTTGCAAATTTTCTTTCCGTACTCTCAAACCATTGAAGCGGTACGTATGAAGGCGTTGCCAAGCGAATGTTTTGTAGGCCCGCTGCAGCTGGGTTTCGGCGGAGATAAAGCAGAAAGACGCATACTTGTCGCATTGTTTTTATTCGGACACGATGATGCCGAGTCATGATCATACTCTAGAGCAGACAAAGGTCGTCCCAGCGCTGTCAACGGTTGCCTTCCACCCGCGATGAAAGGCATAAGGCAGACCTGACCACGTCTCACTCTCAGGTCTCAAATCGTTCCCGCATACATGCTATCAACAGGCATTCTATCAAGCTTACGCCAGGGGATGGGCTTGCATGCTCGTTGAAGGTAGAGCTACTCATCCGTAGCAGTTTGCACATCTGGAACGTCAATGAGACAGCCACAGTCGCCACTAGAGACAGTTTGTGGGGTGCATCTTTCCGAGCACCGAATGTAGCTGCGGATCGGTCGGCTGCACGAGCTGGACTGATCGTTCACCAGACGAGGCGGAGAGGTCATCGCACTTCGATCTTCGCAGGCATCCGTCAGAGGTGGGTTCAGCAGTTCTCGAATTAGCTCTGCGCATTTGGGAGATTTGGCGCTTTGCTGTGTTTGAAAAGCGTATGCGTGTGAGATTGCAAAGCATGCGGTGGTGTACCGCCGAGAAGAAGTCGTAGCAAAGGGTTGTGAGCAACGGTTGGTGATCATATGGACGTCGTTGTCTCCCGAGACTCCTGGCCGGATACAGAGCAACAGCGAGCAGAATTGCGCAAGCATAACTGCTTTCGAGATAGCGCTCCGATGTGCGAAAGCGCTGGACAGACATAGTAGCATGCAGCATCCATCACCATCGGGTTCGAAATTTCTTCCTGAGAGTTGAGAAGAACCACGAGCAGCTGCCTAGTCACTGCCTCTAGCCTTGTGAGCTGTTTTTAGGCTGTCCGAAGGGTCAGGCGACTGTGATCCAGTGTGTAGCGCCACGCAGGAGTGAGAAGTGGTGGAGATGGAGGCTTGCTCATGGATTCGCTTTCTCATGGGGCTGGAACTTCCTAGTTCCTGCCTGAGGCATCAAGCTCGAACGACACCTCTTGGCGGCTAGCTAAGTTTCTCCTCTTTGCCACCGTCCAGACATTCGCGGGTGCTCGCCGTCGTACATGTCAGGGAATCACACAACGCGTAAGGTAGTGGTGACTTGTGTGTTGTTTCAGGCGTAACCGTTCGCCTGGAAGCCACATCCGCCACCCGGTAGAAAGAAGGACCGATAGCCGCGACGTCTACACGCGTTGGACATGCCGATGGAGCCGACGGCGTAACAAATAAAACTTGGCAGGATTGCCCCCAAAGATCGTCCGTCTCCTCATCTTTCGCAAGATCCCTCACTCTCCTTCTCACGTGGACACAACGTGCATTATGGGAGAGGAACCCAGAACGACTTCACTCTCCGCACTAGTGACTTCCCAGACCAGTTAGATGGGAGCAATGGCTTGGCCCCTGGGAAGAACGATTGGTGGAAAAGTACCAGCTGCATTGCACGTTCGGCTCGTCACCCCAGAGTGACGTGCATACAATGTGCGTGTGTAACAGATACATGGGGGAGTGACTTGGAAAAAGCTAAAGGCTGAGAGGCTGAGGGCTGTATATATTGAGTTGCGGTCCGCCATGACCATCTGCAAGCCGCCCGCGTGCTTTTGAAGGGCTTGGGGAAGCCGTAGCACTGTGGGACTCGAGAGGCTGTCTATGATGGGAAAGTTGCAGACGAGTTTCCACAATGTGCTGCTTGCAATGTTTGCGGCCACGGGGTATGAATGTTCGAGGAGATGTTAGACCACCCACGCTGACCTAATGACAGGTCGTTCCTGTTTGGATACGACAGCGGTGTTATGACCGATGTCATTGCCTCTCCGAACTTCCTGGCCTACTTCAACACGACTAAGACAAGCTCAATTGTTGGTGCGATCAATTCGACCTTCTCGGGTGGCGCAGTCTTCGGAGCACTGATGGGTGGCTTTACCATGGATCGATTTGGCAGGAAACGCACTGTCCAAACTGGAGCAGTCATTGCAGTTGTCGGTGCTACTTTACAGTCTGCTGCCGTCAACTTGGCCATGATTCTCGTGGGCCGAATCGTTGCCGGATGGGCCGTCGGACTCATGTCCATGTCGATTCCGGTCTACCAGGCGGAATGTGCCCATCCCCGGGTGCGAGGCCTGATCGTCGGTTTGACCCAGCAGATGATCGGAGTTGGATTTATTGTCAGTACATGGATCGGATATGGTTGCCACCACGCGCCAGACAGCAATTCCGTTCAATGGCGTTTCCCGTTGGCTTTCCAGATTGTGCCAGCGTTGCTGCTGCTCGTTGGCTTCTTCTGGCTCCCTGAAAGTCCCAGATGGTTCGTCTTTTCACTCACAATGTTGTCTTGCTAAATATTGACGACTCTGAACCAGGCTCATTGAGAACGACCGCGACGAAGTTGGCTTGAGAATCTTGAAGAGGCTTCATTTTGATGGCTCGAATGAGGACTGGATTCACTGGGAGTATAAAGAGATCCGCGCTACAATCAGTGCTGAAAAGGCCATCACCGTCTCGGGTTGGAGAGTCATGTTCACAGTACCGCAATGGCGCACCCGTCTCCTACATGGAACGCTGGTACAGGTCTTCACGCAGCTGACAGGAATCAGTAAGCATATCCATGCTCATACCGCGCGCGCGACATTATGCTGATCCAATCTTAAGACGTCATCGGATACTACCAAACGATCATGTACGAAGCCTTAGGAATCACAGGCGGTCGCGCCGTCCTGGTCGCGGGCATCTACAACTGCGTCGGTCCCATTGCCAATGCCATCTTCATCTTCTTCATTCTGGACAAGGTAGGCAGGAAGAAGCCTCTCCTCTTCGGCGCCATCGGCATCACCATTGCTCTGATCGGCGAAGCAGCCCTGAACAGCCAAAATCCACACGGAAACCGCGCCGGCCTCAGCATCGGCGGCGTCTTCTTCATCTTCCTCGTCTCCGTCCTCTTCTCCTTCTCCTTCGGGCCCATCTCCTGGGTGTACATGAGCGAGATCATGCCCATGCAAATCCGAGGACGAGGGAATGCTTTCGCGACCGGAGTAGGAAATTGGCTCGTCAGCACGTTCTTCGCGCAGGTGTCCCCGATCGCGCTGGGGAAGCTCACGTGGGAGTATTATTTTGTGTTTGTGGCGTTTAATGTCTTGGTCACGATCCCGACGATTGCGTTCGTTTTCAAGGAGACCAATCGCTTGAGTCTGGAGGAGATTGACACGCTTTTTGGGGGGAGGGCACTTGGCACGTTGCCGAAGGAGTTGGAAGAGAGGGACGTTGAGGATGCGGTTAGACGGGAGAGTTTGGCGCGGGAGAAGGAGTTGGAGGTGAAACAGGTGGACCTTCACCAGGAGGAGGGAGGTTAATGACGATGGATATGATTGTCTTCGGCCTATGGCTGGACGGCTGAAGGGGTTTGGAGATGTGTTCACAGCTTGTGGCAAGTCCTATCATAGCTTCGGAGTTCCATCCCAGCCTTCTATATAGAACTCGACTTTATTGTCTCTTTCACGTTCGGATACAGGTTTTCCTTCTCCGTCATACAGCGTCCTTTCAACAAAGGTGACCTTGCCTTCTCGACTCACCAGAATAACGGTCTGCTTTGAGGTTCCGTACGCTCCCTTTCCGGCTGCCACTTTCGCTGTCTGAGGTTGCACATTCTCGTCCACAGTCCTCAGCGTATCGCTGTCATTCTGCTCAGTCAGTTGTCCCTTGGCCGGAGGTATCATGATCGAATTGCGCATGTGTCGAACAAACATATCCCAGTCTTCCTCATTCTTGCGTTTTGGCAGGGCGTCCACGCACAGTATGTCGAACAGATGCTCGATGAATGTCTCTTGGGAATCCTTTCTGGTGACGCTCGCGTTGATCGCTTGTCGTAAGAGTTGTTCGCCATGCACGACTTTGGGCCAGGAAACGTCTCCAAAATGGCTATTGCTGACCCCGTGGACTTCGTTTGGTTTCGTAGCGATGCGATCTAATCGCGAAGGCGTCTCGGTGCGGTTGGAAACCAAGGCCAGCCCCGGCATGGAAATCTGGCCGTTTGCTTCCTTTGGTTCTTTCAATTTCCCAAACAGCATTGTGAAGCCGCCCACGTTGTGGATGCCAACTCCATCCATCAGTCTCTGAACGAACTCTTCATCCTTCTCCGAGCTATCCGGTGGCACAGTCAAGTAAGTATTCGTGATGGCTCCACGGCTTTTGCTATTGTCGATTTCGAAATCTCCTTCCTCGCGGAAATTGGTGAGGATGGCTATCCGGCCTTGCTTGGTGATGCCGAGCCATGTTCCCTTTTCCTTGCGTTGTAGATCTCGACCTCCTAGGACATATTGATGGGGCGGGTCCCACCAATCTGCTCTGGCAGTTGGCCTGTTGACGAACTCGTCCCGATTGCTGATGAGGACGAACGGGTACTCCGGATGGGCGGTACTGAGGACGGAGATACACATCTTGGTAGAGAGCAGGATAGATGTCCAAGTTTCGAGGTTATGTCTTCCTTGGGGGCGATTCTCGTGGCGTGATACTCCTAGGATGTGCTGGCGGAGATGTACATTTTTAATGTGCTGGCAGGCTGTCGTTGGGCTGAAGTCCACATCATCGGTTGTGCATGGAGAAATTCTTCTGCGAGTCCATTCTCTCCGCCACTCTTGCTTTGTGGCCTGTGGAAGCAGAACGTCAAGCAAATCACCCGGAAGCCTATTGTAGCTGCTGCTGCACGATCGGAGGTTTCACTTCACTTGACTTTCGGCTAGCGCCCGATAACCGAAGATAAGCCTTATGAGGGGCGGGCAGGGGTCCAAGCTCCAACACCGCTGTGTCCATGACCTCTTGTCGGAAGCGTGACCTTCTTGACCAACTTGCCTTGCTTTCGTCTTCTCTGCTGCCTGGACCGCGATCCTCCTCCTCCAGCTCGACGATAGCTGTCCTAATCGAGGCCTTCTCTTAACCAACACGCCGGTCTTGCGCTCGTCGCACATCTCCGGCGGCTCACGCGAGCAACGGCAACATGTTTGGCTTCATTGCAGACTTCCTCACGTGCGTTTGCAGAGGCAGACAATACGAAGCAGCAGTGGAGAAGATGCGCTGACATAGGCTTAGAAACATCACCTCGATCCTCCTTCCCGTCTTCTTCTCCTACAAAGCGCTCCGTACTTCCGATCCCGCAGTTTTGACACCATGGCTAATGTACTGGACCACCCTTTCACTGTTCCTGGTCGTTGAGAACCAGCTGTACTTCATCCTATACTGGGTTCCATTCTACAGCTGGATTCGTCTGGGCATTCACCTCTACCTGGTTCTTCCTGGGCAGCAGGGAAGCGTGTACATTTACAGACAACATGTCCATCCGTTCTTGGAAGAGCATGAGCGACAGATTGATCGCATGATCAGTCAGGCACATGCCAAGGGCAAGGCAGCGGGTATGGATGCGGTCAAGAGAGCGATTGAGTACGTGAGAGTACAGATTCTAGGTCAACAGCCGCGACGTCCCACACCTCCACCCAGCCGGAATGTTAGCTACACAACGCACCTCTTCAACCGATTTGCCATGCCATCGGCAAGAGAAGGGCTTGCGGCCGCTGGAACTTCCGACATCTTCAACGTGATTGGGAAGGCGTTACAGCAGAGTACATATCCCGACGCTACCACACCTGGAGCACAAGCGCGTGACCTAGCCAATTCGGGTACTCTCATTCCGCCCAATCTTGCAGGAGAGGAGCGCACAGATTTCGTGAACACCCAGCGTGAACGCCTGACGACCTTGCTGCAGGCATTTGATGCCGAAGCCTATCACTCGACTACTGATGCAGCGGCCACTGGCGTTCGCCCGCATTCGTCAACGCCACGGCCGCCATCAAGTCGCAAGTCCTACCTAGCACCTCAGGAGCCTGACATGCACCGTTCGCGGTCCGAGTCAGAATTTGAAGACCTTGCGTACGAGCCGATGCCTGATCCAGAACACTACAAGCCCGGTGGAAGCCAGAATACTCAGCAGCCACCTGCTAAGGGCAATGCTGGCTGGAGCAATTGGATCTGGGGCAACTACGGTGAGAAGGACTCTGTAGTAGATCCTAAAAAGGATATGTGATTTGGATTTCTGGCGCACTCTGGGTTCACGAGGTATGATGATACGACTGGGAAAGGGTTAGATGAGGCGTTCGCAGAGGAAATGATGGCGCAAAGGGCACTCGGTAGACCTGCATATGAAGATAAGCAAGGGCTTCCAAATGCAATGATTAGAATCGATAGGGAAGAGCACAGAGCTCAAAGCGCAAGAGCCTTCGGTCGCGCAATGGCATCAGTTTCCACCTGTGTCTGAAATCATCTTGAGCACTAGATGGCCTTGTCAAATATTAAACCTGCGCTGGACGAATACGTAAATACCTTGGCTCAAGATCTTGACATGTGATTTCGGATTCAGCGCGCATACATACCTATTGTTCTTTTGATAGGGCGGGGTTGATGCCTGAGGCAACCATTCGCTGATCCCCAAATCTTGGCGCAGCTGCACTTCTCAAAATTTTGGCAACGACGACGATCTTGAACACCGACAACCAGCGATCGCCAAGATGAGCGTCCGACAAGCGCCAACGTATCAACAGGGCGCGCCCGAGCGATCGATCGACGACGATTCCGATGTTGAAGAGGAGGCGCTCGCGAATGACTACCGCGAGCAGGTCGGATATGAAGCTGGGGAGAACTACGATCTCGACCGCTCCGTGTCGTTAGGAGGAGGCACACAGGATTTGCAGGCACAATTGTCCGCGGCTGCGACGCCGCTGGAGTACGGTGCATCGATCGAGGCCAAGATTCAGAGCTACGACAGCTACTGCAATCTTTTCCACTTCATCCTGAACAGTGACGGACCCGTCGATATCGAAGTGCCATCGGTAAGAGATGTCACAGTGGAGTGGAACGAGCCCGTACTAATTCATACGTGAAGTATTACTGGGCATGGGATGTTATCGACGAGTTCATATACCAGTTCAACTCCTTCTGCGCCTACCGCCAAAAGGCCGCCTTCACACTGGACCAGCCCAACGCGAACATCAGCAGCGAGGACGTCCAGGTACTCCGCGACAGTCCCCAGGTATGGGGATGCTACTCTGTCCTGAACGTACTCTATTCTCTCATCCAGAGATCGCAAATCAGCGAACAACTTGCGGCACGCAAGAGAGGCGAGGATCCAGCACCGTACGCCGGCGAATATGGCAGCCGAAGCCTCTATCAGATGCTCGGATACTTCTCCATAATCGGCTTGCTGAGAGTGCACTGCCTGCTTGGCGACTTCAGTCTTGCACTGAAGACCCTGGACGACATCGAGTTGAACAAGAAGGCCATGTTCGCCCGTGTCATGGCTGCCAACTTCACCACCTACTACTACATCGGATTCTCGTACATGATGATGCACCGCTATGCCGATGCTCTCCGAGCGTTCAACCACATCTTGATCTACGTCTCACGGACGAAGAACTTCCAGAAGGGTGCACAGTACGACAGCATCAGCAAGAAGAACGACCAGATGTACGCCTTGGTGGCTATCTGTGTAGCTTTCTACCCTACCCGTCTTGACGACACCATCCACACCGCCCTTCGTGAGAAGTATGGCGAGCAACTCACTCGCATGCAGCGCGGCGGCCCAGAGGCTCTTCCAATCTTTGAGGAGCTGTTCCGCACTGCCTGTCCGAAGTTCATCTCTCCTACCCCACCGGACTTCGAGAACCCACACCTGAACCCAGACCCAATCGAGCACCACCTGACGGTCTTCATGAACGAGGTCAAGAACAACATCTTCACTCCCACCGTTCGCAGCTACCTCAAGCTCTACACTACCATGGACCTGACCAAGCTTGCTGGATTCCTGGAGGTTGATGCCGACACTCTACGCAGCTGGCTCCTTGTCAACAAGCAGCGCAGCCGGCAGGTGAGACATTCCGATGGTGGACTGCTTGAGGGTGATGTCGTCAACTCAAACGACCTCGACTACGCCATGGAAGGAGATCTCATCCACGTCTCGGAGGCGAAGGTTGGCAGGAGATTGGTGGACTGGTACCTGAGAAACCTAGCGCGGACCTACTAGGCGTCCGTCCCGCCTAAGGTCTCTGAGGCCAAGCAGATTCCACCAAATAAGAAGGCCACTTCGAAAGTGGGTGGCATCGCGGCGTTAATTGGAGTGTGAATGGGAATGGAAAGCCCCTGGAAGCGGTGAGCATGGGTTCGTGCATGCATAGCAAGGCGTTTGAGTTGGTACCAATGATCACAACGGAAGGGCAAACTCTGTCCTCCAGATCGTAGAGGAACGGAAATGACAAAGATGTGAAGTTTAAAAGCATCCCAAATGCCTAGTTCACGAATCAATGAAGTTCTGTACATCTCAGCTGCTGTGCAGTTGCGGATCGCGCCGCTCAGCCTCGTCCTACGAAGCTGCGCTTCCACAGTCGCTTCATGTGCGTAGCAGAATATACGAGACTCTTCCTTTCGCGAACGCTGTCCGGCGCCGCTGGCCAAGCCTCTTGTCCAGAAACTCGACGGTCTCGTGCTGCTGCAGTCACCGCTGGATTGACTTGTGGCGCGAGCTCAAATCCAAAAACAGAATCGTTGAACGTCTCTCGGCTGCCATTCATTCAACCTTGAGAAGTATAGCGAACTTGACGTATTGAGTCGGGGCCCGACTTGGCCTGTGATTCGATTTCTGTTCGTTTCGAGTGCGAAGAAGCAGGCGTTGTGGTCTGCGCTGTCGAAGGGGTACGTGTTGTTGGTGTGAAGAAGGTTGTCATTGCGGACGACAATGTACTAGATTCAGGGCTCTGGAGTTGTGATGAGAGTGTTTCCGAAACAGGTAGAGGCGGAGGAGGAGTAGGAGTAGCAGGGATCTCGACGGGACGGGATAGAACAAGCGGCGGGACATCCCCATCGGACTCGTCGTCCTCGTCGTTCTTGACGAATTTCAGGGGCGGAAGCTCTCCCGGTGTTGCTGTCCACCATTCCATTACGCTCCCGGTGTGCTTGCTGAACGACGTCCAGCTGGCCATGTGATCGTATTCATCCTTTGGAATCCGAGCGGCCGGGACGGAGAGCTTGAGGGCGTTTCTGGTACGTTCTCGGATTGCTTCGCGAGAGGATAGGGAGTTCATGCTATGGGGATATCTTCCCTCCATCCAGCTCGCTCGCACGCAGTTGTTTGGAGTGTTCTTGATGGGTAGAGTGCCCGAACAATTGATGCAAGAGCGAATAAATCGAGAAATGCGTGGACAGCTTTCAGTCCACTTGCCCAGAAATAAAGGTATGTATGTCTCGGCGTTGCTGTGGTTTGCAGCCCCCATGCAGTGGTGTTGATGTCGTTTGATGTGCTGTGTGACAAGCAGCCTTTGACCCTCTCCCTATGTTCACGATTAGCCGCAGCATGCCTTTGTTTTCACTATCTGTTCCCACAGGGTAAGCGTCAACTTGATAATCAATACAACGCTTGCTGAAGTGAATTCGGCCTCTCCAACCTTTCATTGAGGAGGAAAACGCCGTCCGCTCTACGACGTCGATCGTATCACACATCCGCTTCATTTCAACATCAAGCCAGAAATCAGCCAGCCTCCCTCAAGCTCGTCGATTAGACAGAGCTCCCAACTCCTTCGCCCAGAACGCCGTAGAAGAACCTGCTCCCCTTAAACACCATCCTGGGAAGAGTCTTCGGCATCATCATCATCCTCCTCATCGCCTTCCTCCTCCAGTACAATTCTCCTCAAGACGCCCTTATCAAATAAATCAATCACAAAACGGTACTGGGGTATCCTGTAAGCGTGCGAGGAGAGTAAGACCATCACTTTTCTGAAAAGCTCCGGTCTCTCAAAGCCGGGGGCTTTCTTGTGCTTGAGCGAGGTGAGCTCCGTCAAAGCTTTGTTTGTCAGCACGGTGTTGCCCAGCTTTGTAATGGAGTCCAGAATTTGCTGATTGACGGGGTCATCGTCCTTGATCGATCCAGGTCTATATTGTCGATACAGACTCGACTGTTCGGTCGTTCTTGAAGTACGGATAGAGAAGAGCCTGTTGAAATCGAGAGGCAATACGTAACCCAGGCTTTCGCCCATCACGTTAATGGTGCCGTCCCATCCATATTCAGCAAGAATCTCCTGACCGTGGAGACTCCTGGATATTAGGCCGAGAACAAAGAATGCCGTGCCTCTGAGCGTCATGACTTGGGACTCTTCAGCAATCTGGACGATGTGGCGGGCCACTTCAGTCCGCTCAAGGAATGGCGCTCCAAACTCCATCGATCCGACGTTGCCGACCGCCCAGAGGCAGCCCTTCACTTTAAGGATAGTCTCGGGATCTTCGTCTTCCATTGCGAAGTCTTCGATTGTCGCAGCAAACTCTTCGAAGTGTCCCTTGGCTTTCAACAGCTCGCAACCCTCCGAGGTCCGCGTGAGCTCGCGATAGAAATGTGGCGGCACATAGCCAAAGTCGTGAGGGCCCATGGAGTCATCGAGAATGGACTGAGGCTTTTCTGGCACATCTGACAGAGCACGCGCCAGGGAGGCCTCAACGACGGCGACATAGCTGTCGTTACGGCCCAGAAACCAGTCGTCCATTTCTCGCGTAATGTAATCCAGACCGTCGAGGTAATGGTAGCCCACAGACGTTGACAAGAATCGGAGGAGCAAGGGCGCACCAATCTCCCCAAGATGGTCCAGCGCAGGTCTGCATTTGACAACGTACTCAAGCGAGTTGATGTCGTTGCAGGTCTCTTCCAAAATCTTGATAGCAACTTCGCAGACTTCGATCTCGGGGTCATATAGTTGGCTAACGAGTAATTTGATCGCCCATTCTGCCGAAGACCCACCCGGAACCGAGGGTTCGATAGGCTCGATGGCATACTTCCGCAAAATCCTCGTAGCCATGATTCGCATTGCCTTGGAACCAGCAATCATCGCTTTGGAAAGAATGATGCGCGGATGGCTATCCAGAGTGTAGTCCAGGTTTGTCAACAAGCAGCGTATCAGGTCATCTCGCATCTTAAGCTCGACTATGTGATAGAACATGTTGATGATGTGCCATCTTTCTAATATCTGTAGACCCTTGGGGTCGCTGCACATAATGCCCAGCATGGCAAAGTAGCCGCCGACCAGCGTTTCCGACAGCCGCTCGGGAGAGAACATGGGATTCCTAGAAGTAATTCCACTCGAGACGTCCAATTGTGCCAGACACTCGGCGAGTTGTCTGATAGTCTTGTTGTTGATGAGGTAGTTTGCGCCTTCCGATGTTTTCAACAGAGTCTTTACGAGTGTGCACGCCATCTTGACATATCGCTGATTGGCTTTCGTGTTCGACGCGTCAGAAAAGCGCAGTTGGAACGGTCGTAGAAATTTGAGCAGTCTATGCACGAATTTAGACTTCTCCAGAGCCTCATAGAGCAGTTTCGGATTTGTGAGTGGACCATCTATTAGCTCTTGGATGATGCTCCAATCCCATTTGATATAGTTGACCGTGTTCAAGACGCCCGATTCCAGCATCTTGGCACGGAATTGCGCCTCGTCCATCTCTACACTGGCTTGAGTCTTAGAAGCGGATCGTGCACGGGCCCCTTCGGTTTCCTGGCTGGTCTTCGTCGTAGTAGATGGATCTGAGCGCCACAGCTTCAAGTTGACCTTATCAACCTGATATACAGTGGCCAGGGCCGAATGTCTCTCTTCGCTAGCGAACCTCAACGCGTCATTGAACAGACCTGGCATGGTCTGCAACTGCGCGCTCCACGATGTCGGCAAGAGCTCACTTGACTTCTTCAGCACTTCGGCAACGATCAATCCAGTCCGACGTCTGAGGGCGTCCGTGGGCGCATCATGTTCGGCGTGCAGCAAGCCTTCCATAAGACCTTGTCGGAGTAAGACAGCAAGTGACACTGCCGTGAAATGCTGTACCAAGTTTCGCTTCTGGCGATCGTTCTCACTTTCAAATTGGGGATCCTGCGCGGGATCCTTCTCGGTGTTGAGATTAGCGACACGAGCGTATGTCGTTAGCCTCCGTCCCCCGATGAATGGAGTTGACCAAGACCTCTTCTCAAGTCGGAGAATGTCGATGAGCAGGTCAAGAATGGCGTTGCGGACTTTGATGTCGGTGATGTATAGAGATGAGACCACAGATCGAACAGGCAGGAAGTCGTGCAGCGAGAGCGTCATAAGCCCGGACCAACTCTTGAACATGGTAGCGATGACTCGAGAACTGGCAACGAGCTTGTCGTCCAGATTATGATGTGAGTGTGGCTCGGTAAAGGTGGCGAACGCAGAGCTGAATTCAAATCCAGACTTCAGCACTCCTCGCCGCGCAGGGAGGTCGACGAGTTGCAGAAACGGTCCTAGCAGTGTTTCCGGCGCATGGTAAACCCCACTGCCCATGGCATCTGAAAGTACGCTTACTCCACCAGCGTTCACAACAAGTGGGGGATCTTTCAGGAGAAGTTCGGCCAAAGTAAGGATTGCAATGCTGCGGAGCTGGTCGTCTGAATGATCAGCTACGGCTACAATGATCCGGGCTACCGCAGGGTGTATCTCCTTCGTGCCGTCCTTGACGTCAAGGGAAGCACGCACGAATTTCAACGCCTGCTCTCGCTCCACCCGAGCCTTGCTCTCCTTGACCAAAGAGAGGATCACCAGGTAGTCGGTCTGAAGGGCCCGGACTGTTTGCAGCGATTTTCGGTCTGTAATGGCGTATCGTATCACGCGGTACGCAGCAGCTACTACTTCGCGACTATCAGACAGCAGCATCACCTGCATTCGTAGACCGAAGATCGACCAAGCCAAATCATATTTGAGTGTGGGATGTCTCCGGAATAGCTCGACCAGATCATTAGCATGATTGACGTAGTAGTCCGGCTGCATATCCTTCACCTCAAGAGCTTGTAGAATCTCTGCTAGAATGTACGTGGGTGACTCCAGCTCCGGATCCTGCTCCTCTTCTGATGGCTCATCAACCAGCTTGGCGGTGGCATCTAGAGGCTGCGAAGCAGGTGTCCGAAACAGTTGAGAGAGTCTACCTTTCGGACTGATCGGCTGCTCCTTGCTGCGCTGGATCTCCGCCTCCAGATCCAACTTGAGCTGTGCAATCTTGCGGTTCGAAGCATTGAGCTGACTTTCCGCCGCCATTCGCTGATCGCGCGATTTCTTGGCATTCTTCGAGTTGAGCGCTTCAAGTAGGTTCTCAGTACCTGCCTTGAGGCGCGTCTGCTTCTCGATCTCTTGCCTGTATTCCGCTTGCTTCTGCTCCGACGCAGCGGTATCGTTCCCTCCATCTTCCACATTGCTATAACTCAGATCCAGTCGCGAGAGGTCCAGGCGCGAGTTGAATGACCTGAGCTCGGAGGTGAAGCTGCCGGGTGGAGGCTGGGCAGATCTCGCATATGACTGCCCTTGTTTCGCGGTCGTGAAGCTGGCCGCTGAAAGAGAGCCTCCCTCTCGGGCTGACCGCGAGGGCGGGATGAGGACATTGTTGGGGCCTACGGATGGGCCGTTGACGCGATTGGAAGGCTGCGTCATGTAGGGCATCCACCGGCTCTGGGGCCGTCATTGGTATTCCACCCACTATCTTGCTCGTCGAGATGCATATGGGCCGGGTTGTCGCGTACTCGCTGGCATCGGAGGGTGTGGTGCGGGTCGTGTGGTGGGTGAGGGTGTTATCTTGGTGGTGTGGTGATGCCTGCTGCGATGGCCTGATCTGGCTGTGGAGTCGATGGGTGCCGTAGTTTGAATGTCGATGTTGTGGTGGACTTGAAGATGATCCCCCTCAGGTTGCGTACATCATATGTATGGCCGGGTCGGGGCGTCGCAGGAACGAAACCGAGGCGAGCCCGGGGAACCTGCGTTGCAGCTCGAACGGCGGACTCTTTTCCAACTGCACAACTCTCACCTCCACCGCGGAATCCATTCTTGGACCAATGCTTCGCCCAGGACGCTACCACGCGTTGTTCTCGTGATTTCGTCATGCGGCTCTCAAAAATACCATTCGCAGCCGGTTGGTCGAGGACGCTCCGATGCGAAATCCACATAATGGCCAGACTCGACGGGCATCGGAGGGCTCCGACGTGTCACATGCATCGCGGCTCGCCAGCTTCCCTTCGCCAACAGGACCCTTCGATCAACAGCGCTGTCGCCCTCTTCCGACAAGCAAAAGATAAGCGTATCCATCCCCCGGCACTATAACTAGTCCTCGTGGTAAGGCTGTCTCACCCTTCGCTCATTGTCCTGCTCGACGCCTTGCAATCGATTGTCTCATCCTGGTCTCTCACCCGAAGTTCCTGGAGCTACTCAAGCCGCCTACTACTACCTACCTACAAAGTGACCATTCGCTAGAGCTCCTACTGCCTGATCTACCTCGCAATGGCAGAACTCTCCTACGCCCGCTACGGCAAGGATAACGTCCGCCTCTACAAAGTCCAGAAGAACCCCGACGGCACCCAGGATGTCACCGAAATGACCGTCTGCACCCTTCTCGAAGGCGACATCGCTCCTTCCTGGACCGCAGCAGACAATGCCAACATCGTCGCAACGGACACGCAAAAGCAGACCGTCTACGTTCTCGCGAAGCAACATCCCGTCAACCCACCCGAGCTGTTCGCTAGCATCCTCGGAAACCACTTCATCACGCAGTACTCGCATATCCACGTCGCGCATGTGAGCATCGTGGTACATCGATGGACGAGAATGGAGATTGACGGCAAACCGCATCCGCATTCCTTCCTGAGAGACGGTACCGAGACAAGGGTTGTGGAGGCCGTTGTGAGACGCAATGGTGGAATCAGCATCAAATCCGGGATCAAAGGCTTACTGGTGCTCAAGAGCACGGGGTCACAATTCTGGGGTTTCCATCGCGATGAATATACACGCCTTCCGGAAGTCTGGGATCGAATTCTCAGTACAGAGGTGGAAGCGTTCTGGCAATGGCGATCGTTCTCTGACCTACAAGAGGTGAAGAAGGAAGCCGAGAGACGGACATTCGATGGTGCACACGCGGATGCGAGGAGAATCACGTTGGAAAGATTTGCAAAAGAGAACTCGCCGAGTGTGCAGAATACCATGTACCTCATGGCCGAGGACATCCTGAAAGCTGCACCGGCTGTGGAGAGTGTAGATTACTCTCTGCCGAACAAGCATTACTTTGAAGTTGGTAAGTCGATTGGAGCGAACACTCCTGCGCCAGCGCAAGTTTACTGATGTCCGCTCGCAGATCTCAGCTGGTTCAACGGCCTCAAGAACACCGGCGCAGATGCGGAAGTTTTCGCACCCCAGAGCGACCCCAACGGCCTGATTCAATGTACCGTCAGCAGGAAAGGCAGTAAGGCCAAATTGTAAGCACATCAGACATGACAGCAGCGTTTAATGGTCGTGCAGGTGTTTCTGGCCTCTCGCGGGGCTAGCAAAGATCGCGGTCCTCGGGTATTCGTCCATCGGTATGGCTACAGTTTAGCCTTCTTTTCCATAGAAGCATTCGAAGATACCCCAAAATCCACCCATCAAAACGCCTCGCAATGCTCCTCTTTCTGTACACATTCCCCTCAAACGCCGTTCACAGCAATGCACAGCTATTGCGATGCAGGTGTAGCTTCTGGCTGCTTCGCCTGCTCCAACGTGCCCCGTACCTCCGGCAATTGCGTTATACTCTCTCCAGGTCTCTTCCCATAAATCCCCATCCGTACTAGATTCTGCTTGTACGGATGACTCGCGCTCTCGAAAGTTTTCAAACGCGCCATTCGGTCATCTCGTAATCGGTTCTTGGGAAGCATGCCTCGCACTGCCCTTCGTAAGATTTCTCCACCGCCCTGTTTTCGCATTTCGATCCGATCAGCAAATCTGCAAGCCCAAATCATGCATGACGTTCGAGATGTTTCATACCCATTTCGCCATCATCTTATCCATGGTCATCTCCTTCAAGCTTCCCGGCCGCGTGGTGTGGGAATAGTATTTCTTCTGGAAACGCTTCTTTCCCGTGGTGTGGAGGTCTGAACAGCCGACCTAAATCCGTCCCAAGAGATAAGTATTAGCATCCTGGTTACTTTCCTTGCTGGCTGGCCCGCTCGGCTCGTGTGGATTGGCTTACTGCTACGACGTAGTCTCCGCAGTCTGTCGAAGGGTCGAAGATGGGTTTATGCTTGCCCATGAGGACTATTGCTATTTGCGAGGCAAGACGGCCGAGTGGTCTGCTATCGGTTCCGACGTTGAGGAGGTGCCATGAGCGGGAATAGGCGAGGCGTGTCTGTGAGAGCGTGGGTTAGGGAGTGGTACTATGGACGGGTCCTTGGAATCGGGATGCGTACTTTGCCGATGTATTGCGACATATTGAAGGCTGCGCGCGGGGCGCTTGGGTGTTAGATAGAGCCCAGCAAGGTCAGTGGAAAATCGAGGAGATGCGCAAAGGTTGTAAAGAGCGTGCGAGATGGAGGATCACAAGACAATGCTCTCCCGAATGGGCAACTGCGAATGGAAGTCGAAGCAAGACAGAAGTTCGGCACAAGTTCGGCTCAACCCGACGACGGCGCTTTGAAATCACGGCGAGCTCGAATGACACCTCCGACTCAAAAGTCTCAATGCATCCATCAAGGTCACCAATTGCTCTGCCCGCCGATCGCTTGACACCATGACCATCCCTCCCTTCGAAACGACCTTCGCCGTCCCTCTCAGCTGTGAATCCTGCATCCGAGATGTCTCTTCCAGCTTATACAAACTCGACGGTACATCCAACCATATTCAACCACATCCAAACAAACACACCCTCTAATAACACTTCCCCACCTGACTACAGGCATCTCCAACATCTCCGCCGACCTCAAATCCCAACAGATCTCCATCACAGGCACCGTGCCCCCCTCGCAAATCGTCTCCACCATCCAATCCACAGGCCGCGATGCCATCCTCCGCGGTTCCGGGAAAGCGGAAAGCGCTGCAGTCTGTATCCTCGAGACGCATGCTTCTTCCATACAGGACTACGTCCGAGGTCTCATTCGAATGGTCCAGGTCGCTCCCAATATGACCATCTGCGATGTAACTCTCAAGGGTGTGAGTCCTGGGCTTTATAACATTTCGATCCGGGAGAGTGGGAATATTTCTTCTGGACCGGAGTCGACGGGTGGGGTGTGGGATCTGGTGACAGCGAAGGAAGAGAAGAGGACTGTGCCGAGGGGGGTGTTGGGCACTGTAGAGGTGGGGAAGAGTGGGTTGGGGTCTGTGTTTTTGGACAAGCCGATTCAGATTTGGGAGATGATTGGAAGGAGTATGGTTGTTAGTAGACAGCCGGCGGATGGAAAGTTCGATAAAGAGGATCCGGATACGCTTGTGGGGGTCATCGCGAGGAGCGCCGGGGTATGGGATAATGATAAGACGGTTTGCAGCTGTAGTGGGAAGACGGTCTGGGAGGAGAGAAAGGAGCAGGTTGGCAGAGGAATGTTATAGATGAAGGTATGAAGAAATGAGAACATGAGAAATGAAGTTGATACGACAGATCCGTCTAGCGGTCTGTGAGGTAGTGCAGAGCGTCTTCCTCAGAAACTCGGTCTGCACCTCCAACGTCCTGGTGAGGTGCGGTTCACTGAACACATCAAAATGGCCAACGCCGGGCAGAATCTGGATCTGCTTCGGCTCTTTCGTCTTCGCATATGCATCCAGTGCGAAATCAACTGGCGCTTCCGCATCCTTCTCCGCCACGACCATCAACAACGCTCGAGGTGAGATGTACTGAATTTGACCCATCGGCTCGTGCGTCAATGCCAGATAGCTCGATCTCACCGTCAGATCGTTCTTCCAATCGCACTTCTTCTACCATTCCGAGAACCATTTGTGTGCAGCAGCGGTGGGTAAACTTGCTTGAGCGAGAGGATCGAGATGGACCACTGGGAGGCGAGCTGGCTCTCCTCCAGCAGCTCGTGCTCGACGATCAGCCGCGAAGGCGGCATAGGCCATTTCCAAGAAATCTCCCCGGATCAGACGATGGACATTGTTCCAGCCACTCGTCACGGGATTCTGACAGATGGTGGCTTTGACGCGCGGATCGCTTGCTGCCACTTGTATTGCGTGTCCGCCCGCGAAAGAATAGCCTCAGATGCCGATGTTTTCGGGATCAATTTCCGGTAATGAAGCAGCGTAGGTCACGGCGTCGGACATATCGCTGGCTTGTTGAGCCGGATCGAGTTCGCGTACGGGGCAGTTGGGAGCCGTGTCGCTGGCACCGAAGCCGCGGTGGTCGTAGACCAGGACCGAGGTGGGCAGATTGGCAATGAAGTGCTCTGCAAGCTTTGGAAGTTCCATTTCTTTCACGCAGGACCAACCGTGAGCCATGACTAGGCATGGAAGTTTCGATGAGCTCGGGCTGGAGGGCGTGTACAGCCAGCCACGGAGGGTGACTTGGTCGACCGTCTTGAATTGGAGATCTTTCCGTGGCATTTTGGAGGATGAGTATGCTGTTATTCTGGTGCTGTCCCCAGATCCAGTATGAAATTGCAGTAGATCAGGCACGAGAGGGAATAGCCGTGGCCTTTTGTATACTCAGCTGAGGGCACCGCTTACCTCATTGGACATGTTTGCGATCCTCCTGGGCATGGGCGTGGATCCATAGCATGTGTGAGTCCGTCTAGGTACTCCCTTTAGCTCCTTGGAACGCGAACGCGATCCATCGTCCGGCGAGGGAGCAATGATTGTGCCGAATTGGCCGAGGAAAGGAAGCCGACGGGAGGAGAGGGAAGTCGGGGCTCGCGACTCGTCGTTCTCGCATTCCCCCGCCGTCACATGCCGTTCACTATCACGGACGCAACTCCGACTAAGGTAACGTTATCTAGTCTCTTTCCACTTGCTTGCACATGTGAAGCGCCTGTCTGTGTTCGACGATGCAACAGGGAGCAACGCCGCAGCCATGTCATTTCCCGCCCAACTCAGAGACTCTAGAGGAACGCATCTTCCCACAACGCGCTGGAATCGGCCATCGCAGGTCTCAACGACTCTTCCTCCACCATGATCAACAACTCCCGCCCGGAATACGTCTTCATACGCGTGTGCATAGTCGGCCTACAGGCCATCGCCCCTCTCGCCGTCCTCTATACCGTCTTCGAGCTCCTCTTCTTGCCAGCACCCTCGCGTTTGCCGACAGCGCTGCGTATCTGGCTGCGAGTCGAGGCAATCTTCTATCTCTTCCTCTCCATCCCATACCGATCATACTTGCAGCGAGATGCTACCCACCCGCCCTTGAAATCCAAACAAGACCGCCAGGAGCTCTTCAGCCGCGTGGTGAACAATACGGAGAGAGAACAGCTCGAAAGACATGTCTGCTTCTGGTTCAAGGGCGCCAAGTTTGATGAGATCGGTAGGGAGGATATCAAGAGTTGGGTTTCGTGGGCTTTCTTCGAAGGCAGAACAGAACATCTCGACGATGAAGAGTTGGAGGAGTACGTCCGAGGGCTTGAGGGAATGCTAGGTCGCACTTTTCAGGATGGCAAGGGAAAGGCTGTGCCACTGCGCTTGACGCTGGATCCGATTGAGATGCAACATCGAAGCTTACTCTGGTACCTTGTACGTATCATCAATCCAAATACCATCGCGCCCCCTGTACTGATTCCTGTTCGCAAGATGGTTGGAATTGTCGACCTCATAACCTACGTCCGCATGTGGTTTTACGGCTATCAGTTTTACCGCCAATCATTGAGTGATTTCTTGACTCTCTTTCCATTTCGGCCTATTGCTCTCACGGCGAGACACCGCTCACCTGCCAAACATTTGACATATTGGCTTCGACCACACACGTCAAAGAAACGGCTGCCGATTGTCTTTATCCATGGGATAGGAATCGGTACGTTCAATCAAGACTACGGTCAAGACATTCGCCCTTATTTCCCGTGCTAATCTCAAGCAGGTCTCTATCCCTACGTCGACTTCCTGCACGACCTCCAATCCCAAGACCACCAAGACGGTCAAGTAGGCATCCTCGCCCTCGAGCTCATGCCCATATGTTTCCGCATCACCCACCCCATGCCCTCCAAAGACAACCTCTGCGCCGAGATCCTCCAAATTCTCCGGTACCACAACATCACCTCCTTCGTGCTCGCAACACACAGTTACGGAAGCGTAATCACAACCCACATGCTCTCCAACCCCACTCTCCAACCCAAGATATCCTCAATCCTACTCATCGATCCGGTAACGTTTCTCTTACATACTCCGGACGTGGCTTATAATTTCACAACCCGGAAACCAAAGGAGGCGAATGAATGGCAATTATGGTATTTTGCGTCCAAGGATCCCGGGGTGGCGCATACGCTTGGGCGGCACTTTCATTGGGCGCAGAATGCGCTCTGGTTGGAGGAGGAATTGGTACCGCTTGTGAGGCAGGGGTTGAGGGTTACTGTGATCTTGTCTGGGAGGGATTTGATTGTCGACGCGGAGGCTGTGGGTAGGCATCTTGCTTCTGGGGCCAGTAAGGCAGGGCGTGGCACGATGAGTGATGATAGAAGTGATGGGTGGAAGAATGAGCCATGGCAAGGCGAAGGGTTGGAACTCTTGTGGTTCGAAGATACAGACCACGCGCAAGTTTTCGACTCCAAAACGAAGCGGAAGAGATTGTTGCATGTTGTGGCGAGGTACTGTACAGGCAAATAGACCACAGCACCATCCCACGGCTTGTACGGCTTGTACTACGATTTCGCCTGCTCCGCCGACATTGTCTTCTGAAATTCCTCTTCGAGGATGAGACCTTTGGGCCCTGAACCTCGCCAGTCGTTCGTCCAGACATGGTCTTCTTGTATTCTCTGGGGCCAGTTCCAGCGTTGACGGAGTTCGGCGCCGAGTTCGTCGCGGTCCTTGGCTTGGATCACATCGACGATGCGTTCGCCGATGCTAGGGAGGAATTTGTAGGCATGGCTGAGACAGTCGTCAGTATGCAGGAGCCAGGCGCAGCGGAAGAGGACCGTCAAACGTACCCGCTTCCCCCAGTAGCGACGAAGAGACCTCTATATTTCGGATGGTGAGTGATGAGATAGTCGCCTTCGGGCGTATCCTACGCAAGAATCAGCGTTTATCGAGTCCAGAGCCAGCAAATAGGGGGGTTTCAGGAAAAAGCCGTACCATGTACCAACAGATCCTCTTATGAGTAAAAGGCCTATTTCCCAACGACGGGATGGCTTTCTTCAAGAATTCCCTGCAAGCTGCTTCTCCCTCAGCAGGCACGCCCAGATTCGGATCGTCCAGTTTCGTCCTCGGCACGGAAATGGTGATTTCCTCGCCCGCCTTTTCAGGATGTGGGATCGTCACGGGATTCGCATAGCCATAGCCATGGCGTGCGACTTTGAGAATGCGATTTCGCGGGGGGATGATGAAGAGGCCGTCGTTTTCGCAGAGCATGACCGGATGGTGAGGCTTGCTGAAGCGTCGCTCTTCGGCTTCCGTGATGTCGATGTAGGTCAACACTTGGCCGGTGGCGGAGGCGATGCCACGGAGGTCGATGAGTTTGCCCGACCAAGGTCCCGCTGCTAGGACTGTGAGGTCGGCGGTGATTTCTTCCCCGGAGACGGTTTCGACTCCTTGGACGGCGGAGGCGTTGAACAGGAGGCGTTTTACTTCTGCGGTTCGGAAGGCCACGCGCCCGGTTGCTTCGATTTTCTTGCGCATGAATCTGATGCCGTTTTCGGCGTGGGCCCAGCCTGATGTCCAGTTGACCTGAAACGACGTTGAACGTGAGTATATGGGGGAGATGGAGATGATGGGACGGGGAAGAGGACTGGACATACATAGCCTCTAGTGCCAACCAAGCCACCTGTGCAATCATTGTCAGCTTCATCAGTTCTACCGCTACCTCCATGATGTCTTTTGACTTACCAGTAGTGTTGCCGTACACTTCCCGAGCGCCTGTCTGTCTCTCAGCATTCGAACGCCACGACTCTGACACACATTGGGCTTCTCACCGGCCTCGTCCTCAAATACCGTAACCTCGCCCCCGTCTTCCCTCCTGCCGACCTTCAGGCCCAATTTCTCCGTGACATTCTGTAGAGCACCCTTCAGGAAATTGGCAGCTTCACGGTCTGGAGTCGGCTCGGAGATCAGAGCCAGCCCACTCTGTGTGTAGCGGCCCTCTGCGCCGAACTCGCCTCTCCAGTGAGGCATAGCCTCGGAAATAAGTTTGGCGTACGGAAGGTCTGCGTAGTCTGCTCTGATGATGCGGGAGCTGTCGATTGAGGAGCCATCGGGTGCTGTCCATGCCATTAGCATGTCTGCTGTCGAGGAAGCGAACGTATAGAAAAATACATATTGGATCTTACCGGGAAACTCTACCCTCTCCAGCACCGTGATCTTGCTGTTGTTGAACTCGGATCTCCTCGCCAAGCCATATGCTGTGCCTAAACCAAAGACGCCGGCTCCAATGATGAGAATCTCCGCTGGGACAGATTGCGACATGATGGTTGATGATTGATTATGCGAAGGAGACGTTCATGAGGGTCGAATTGTACGTTCGACAAGATTACCTGTTTGGGTAGTTGACGGGGCGTATCGTACATTCAGTCCGCAAGATAGGAATACTGATGCAGAAATACAAATCGATTATCCAACACCTGCTAGAATGTGCTGGTGGAGCCCCCGGGTGACAGAATATGGTAACTAGCGCCTCCTAGGCCCGACTTTCTCCTCATATTTACGACCCTAAAGATGTTAGTAAGATGGCGAAAATTAGTGCAGAAGAATCGCTACGCTCTGCTCTATCTTTTGTACTTTTTGGTTCTCCGTAAACTTGTATCATAGTAGAATATTCCGGCGGTTTCGAAGCGGGGTGTTATAAGGCTAGGCTTCCAGTTACCGGTAATGTGTCACCACCTTCCACGTTGGTGGAGGTGGTGGTAGCGATATCTCGGACCATGCCCGTAGTCCAATGCAACCTAAGGTACGTACCGAAGCTTTCCAATCCCGGCACTTCCAGCCGACTCCATTCTCCCGTATCGACTCCATCCTTCTCCCTCCCACTGCATCAGACACCTTCTCGATTCCCGCCTGCCAGCGTCCTGCGACTGATGCAGCGCATCGCTGGTCTACGCCATGTAGCCACCAGACCGCCACCTCGCGCCATAGTCCGCACCATACGAACGCGTCAAGCACCACCACCACCTCCACAACGCTTCGTGCAAGCCCGATCTCAAGCTCCGACGCAGGAACAGCGACAGCAGCAAAAGCGGGCGGTGGAGCAAGAGATAAATGAGCTAGTACAACGGAATGAACGGCAGCAGCAACAGAAACAGGAGGGGAGGCAGAGGCGGAACCTGATATTCGTTGCAACCTTTGGTGTGGGACTCGGCATCTACGTCCTACAACTCGTAGTCGCCGCTTTGAAGGCCAACCCAGATCCTGCCATCAGGGATATCTCCAACCAGAAGGACGTTGCGGCACGCTACGATGATACCGCCGACACTTTCGACAGCGACGTCGGCCTCTCGGAATGGGTCATGGGGACCAACAGGTTGCGGAAAGAGCTAGCGAAGCAATGCAAAGGCCATGTCCTGGAAGTGAGCTGTGGAACGGGTAGAAACCTGGGATACTACGACGTTGGGAAGGTTGGCAAGATCGAGAGTCTCACGTTCGTCGATCTCAGTGCGCAGATGATCGACGTGTGCAAGAAAAAATGGGAAGCATTGCGCTCTACGTACGGCAAAGGAATGTTCTCCGCCAAGCAGAACATGAAGGAGGGCCTGGTCACGCGGTTTCTACCGGCTTCTGCGCTCGGACAGATGCCACTTGCGCCGAACGGGAAGAAGTACGATACCATTATCCAGACGATGGGTCTCTGCAGCACGCCTTTGCCGGTGGAACTGCTGACCAACATGGTGAAATACCTCGATACCAGCAACCCTGATGCTCGGATCCTCCTACTAGAGCATGGACGCAGCTACCAGCAGTGGCTGAACGACATCCTCGATGACTCGGCCCAAAAGCACGCAGATATCCATGGCTGCTGGTACAATCGTGATATCGGCGAACTCGTCCAGGATGCCGCGAACCGGACTGGATTAGAGGTCATCTGGGAACGAAGAAAGCATTTGGGAACCACTTGGGTCTTCGTGCTGAAGCCAAAGGAAAACTTGATCCAAGCAAGCCAAGGTCAAGGTGCTGCCGCCGAAGAGCCAGAAAAGCAAAAGCAACCGCCAAAGCCGAGCAAGTGGCTGAGCTGGTCCTAATTGATCAACGAACGCCACATCTCATCAATCGACAGTCCCTCGAGCAGCAAATCCAAGCTCTGCATCACGGCTCAGAGTCAAGGCCAACACCATCATCAAGCGTCTTCTTAGAACGGTAAGTCACCCGCAAACTCTTTTTTGTTGAAGCCTTATCGGCGATTCATGCAAATGATGTTTCACAACCAAAAATCATGTTTCAAGACGAGACTGAACTCCCATTGATTACAACCTTCCTTCTGATACTGCACCTGCCACCCATTGCCTTGCTGCCCAATGTCTGTATGATTTGTACTTCTCAGCGGCTAACGCTTTGCCAGGGTATCGACCCTTCACTACACCACGCCGGATGACGCGTTGTGGGCTTCGACTGCCCCGGTACATGGAGTGAGCTGCGAAACCTCTCCAGCGCATAGCGAGATAATACTTGGCCTGTCTCACTACTCCTCACGTTGGAAGCGACTGGAAAGTGAGTCGTCCGCCACCCTGAGCTTGACAAGAATCGCTTGTGGAGGAAGGCACATGACGCAAAGAAAAGACGAGAATGGTTTTGTTGGATGATCCAATGCTTCTCATTCGAGCCGTGATGATCACTGCAACGCTCAATAGTACATATCTTTATGGTTCGACGGGCTCTTCGCTTGCTATTTTTGTTGCCCGTTCGCTCTACTCGTCTCAATTTTCATTCCTTCCTGTGATTCCTCTCTCTCTCTCTCTCGCCGCCTTACCTTTCGGTCTAGAAATCCGGATCATTCAAGTTATGTGTCCGGTAAGGGTTGTTGCCCAAAAAGAATCAGTCGTGGAACGCCTCGCTATGCATATTGTGGAAAAGCAGACCCAAAATGGCCTCCATGTGTCGGGAGAAGGCCGTGTGAAGTGTGGTGTTGTACAAGTCAATCGCGTGTGGGGAGTTGAAGTTGAATGTGTGCGTGAGGATGCCGGCTCAGTGAGTGCTGGTGCCGGTCCATGTTCCGCCGTCGCGAGAATCACGCACATGCGTGTGTGAGTAACGAATGGCCGTGAGGCGCTCATGTCTTGCGGAAGTCGGACAAGACAGGGTACTGTGTCCAACGTTAGCTCGGACACAACCACTTGAGTACCGACCCAGCGAAGGGAGGAATTGGGAGCACTCACAATCAATTCGAAGGCTTGGTAGATCTCCTCGCGAACCTTTGCGCCCGTGAGGACGATCTTGCCCGACACGAAAATGAGAAGCACAATCTTGGGCTTCATCATACGGTAGATGAGACCCGGGAACAGCTCGGGCTCGTAGGATGAGAACATGTGGTGGCGGCTGGCCAGTCCCTCGAGGCGAATCGGGAACTTGATGTCGCAGGAGCCCACGATGTTCTGGATCTTGAAATCGGTAAACTTCGCGTTGAAGCCGAGCTTCTGGATGATGCGCGCGTATTTTCTCGAGGCGAGCTTGGAGTCGTCCTCGCTCTTGGCTCCGGTAACGACCATCTTTCCGGAGGCGAAGATCAGCGCAGTGGTCTTGGGTTCGCGGATGCGCATGATGACAGCAGCAAAACGCTTCGGGTTGTACTCGGCATTACGTGCGTGGAGCGCAATGGTCTTGAGATCCTGTTGTGACTGTCAGCAGTGGTGCTATTGAGCAACTTCCAGCGCGCATACCAAACGGCAATCCAGGTTCACCGTAGCGACGATGTTCTGCAGTGTTGGGACTGCGATCAAGTCAGTGACTGTGCAAGAGACCGCATGTCGCGTTATCGCGACAGTTCCGCCTCCGCACACATACCTATACCGCTCACGCCGTTCTGCTGCTGTCCAGCCGCAGGCGTTTGCGCCGGGCTCATGGGCACGTTGTTGGCCTGAGGGGGCTGGACTGGGGCGGAGCCTGCCTTCTGCACCGCACCATTCGTATCGGTCGGTGGAGTTGACGTCTGCTGCTGCTGCTGCTGAGCAGGTGTGTTGTACCCCGTGAGACTTCCTGGCGCCATGAACGTCTTGGCCTCCATGGCCGACGTGGGCGGCGCAAACGTCGGAGCATCCATCCTTGCCGTCGCGCTCTTGATCAGTCCTCACGTGCTCTTGCTGCGCGCAATTGTCTTCAAACTCGTCGCGCTCGATGGGGGTTGGTCGCAGCTCGCAGAAATAGGCGGAGGGATGTGGGTGACGATGCGCCGCAGGTTTCTGAATTGCGTGCGGGTCTCGAACTTCAAGCTAATGAGTCCAAGCTGAATTAAATGCGGCCGCGAAGATTGTCGCAGGAGGACGCTGGCCTGCAGTGCTTTCCTTGAGGTGTTGCGCCGCGAGATTAGAGAAGGTGAAATGGAAGGGGACCGAATCCGGCCTCAGAGTTTTCGGTCTCTTGAGTGCGCGCAAGCGGGCGCATAGGGTGATATGCTGAGACTGAAGATGATGAGTGGAATTCGCTTGTGATTTTCTACGTAAGTGCGCCTCACCGAGCAGCGTGGAGTAGCTAGTCGTGAGAGGAGACCGTGAGCAACGACGGAGGTGATGGTGGACCGTGTGTCGCCGAAGCTTAAGAAGGGATGTCGTGTGGAAAACGCGGAGGGAAGCGCTTTTCATATACCTTCTCGACGGCTAGTCCCGCGGCCTAAGCTTTTCGCGGCCACCCCCTGCGTCGATCGTGATTGGCTGGCGAGATTAGGGGTGCCGCTAGCGTAAAGCAGCAAGGAGAAGACAGCTTGCTTCACAACGCCCGCGACAACAATGCGCCAGTGAATTCTTGCTGCACCGCACAACGACAGTGAACACTGCTGCTGCCACCGACACCGACACCCGCCGCCATCGACCCGAATTTCCCCGCCCCTCCGCCCTTCTCGAAGCCTCCCGGGGCTGCCTGGCGGCGTGGCGTGTGAGCGTCAGGCAGAGATAAGCTGTCGCCATGACGCGCTGAGACGGGGTCAACTTATGACTCACAGCAAACAGATTCTTCTGCGCAATCGCCGTCGCAGCAAACGCCTTTTATCACAGCAACGAATAATGATCAGACGAGACGAGACACAACTGCCGGACACGATGTTTCACGAGCGCATTCGGAGGAGTCGCGCTTTGTTATCACAGTTGTCGACTGAACAATGCGGAGATGGCGGCAGTGAGTGTGTGGAGGCTGGGTCGTGCACGCTGCGCGTCGCAAGCTCCCGGTGAGCGCGAGGCTCAGGGCTGTAGGGAGCTCTTCTCAGCACCACTCACCACTCTCTACTCGCCCCTAGCCCGTGGGACGAACACGACGACTCGCCGCACCGGACCACAAGCTTTGCAGAAAGTTGGGCTGCCTGCGCAGAGTTTTCTTGCTCCGCCCACCAGGCCACGCGAGCAAAAATTCACTCCACACTCGGTGGCACGCAGCTTCTCACGCCGATTCGTCGGAAGATGCGGCTGCCGTCTTCCCACCCAGCCGTAATCGCGATATCACTTAAGGTAGCCCGGAGACACACCTTTTGCACCCGCTCCAGACGATCGCACGCGGGGCCTGAAGAATGTGAGCACGACGAGAGCCGCCAAAATTCGCTAGCATCTTAGCATTGTTTCCGACCATAGATCGACTGGGGTCTGTGGAATCGCGACAAATAGGACTCGAGAGGAAATCATCTCCCGGCTCCGGATGCGGTAGGGCTGTACGGTGTGCCAAATGGCGAGCATCGTCTCAGACTGCGAGTGCACAATTTGCCTTGAATCGGTAGGTTTGGCTGGTGATCTGAGATGCGTGCCCGGTCGGTGAGTTCCATTAAGTTTCTTTTGCACTACGTTGACCTGTCTTCCGAATTCAAGTGTTCTTCCTTTGGCAAGAACACTCACAAGTCCGCAGCGCTCACTGTTCTTTCAGAAGTAACATTGTTCTACGCCTTCTAAAAAGAACTTTGCTTAAGCTTCCCAGCACGATAATAGTATCACTGGGAGTGAAATAGGAGAGCGCAGACGTAGCAGGGTCGGAGTCCGAGTTGGATTAGAGGAAATGGCACACCAGCTGGGTCTGTACTGCGGCACCCGTGCAAGGGCTTCAATGCCATGTACAGACTGTGGCTGTATCTGATGGAGCTAGTTTGAAGCCGTTGCCCTTCATCTGAAGTCTTTAAGCACTTCACCTATACCCTATCGAGCTCTGCCAGGCCGCGATAAGCAAGACCAGCGTTCCTGCTCCGTCGACATGGAATGATCGTAGCTAACATCTTTGAATCCCTTCCACTAGACAGAGGAATAACACTGTGTTCCGACAGACACAGCGTCTTCATACATGCAAATTTATCTCGGCGGCTGCTACTGCTGATTTGAGTCTACCTTGCATTGTTATTGCCCTCCTTTTGCCAGCACTTTGGGACAAGAATAATCTACCGCTACGCAAAGACGCTGTAGAAGTGACCGTCGGAGGTTCTCGGAACACGAGCCGAAGCCGAATGCGACCGTGCAAGCTAGCTTCCACCCGCAGTGAACGTGATGATGTCCTCCTGTTTCTGCACACGCTATGGACCTATCACCACAACGCTCGACTTCCTTCTGAAGAGATGGCGGGGGGCCTATCTGATGCCCTCAAAGACCTGCATCTGGCCTCGGATAGACTGGATGGCGACATCGATGACCTCTTGGATCAGGCCAAACCTCGCAAACGCCTCCGAAAATCCGCGGATGAAGTGAAGGCCAGACTCGAAGCCGACTTTTTGACGCCTTCGACTTCCTTCAGCCCAGCTTGGCTTGATAGACTTCAGCAGAGATGGTATTGTCCATCAGATTACAATGAGCTCTTCGCTCTCGGTCAGACTCAGACTCGAACTATCATTCGCTTCACGAGGGAAGGACTGGAAGGTCGTGTCACAGGCTATAAGGAAGTGACGGTTCCTGCAAACAATGCTACGGCCAAGAATTCCACCTCGCTGCTCAGGAAGCCGGCCAATCGTGCCGACTTTGTGCGAGGAGCTGCGGGATTCTATCCGTTTGCTCCAGGCGGCTTGGATGCAGTGGAGGCCACTGCTGCTTACGAAGATGAATTCCTGCAGCAACAGCAACCCAGTCTTGTGAAGACCGATAAGCTAAGCAGAATCATCGATTTTGCCTCGGAAGGAGGTCTTCTTGAGGTGCCGCCTGGTTTCAAGCGAGGACTTCGTGCTACGGAAAAGCCGAAACAGGACGATCAAACTGCCAAGGAAGTCGAGGAGGCGTTGGATGAACAGTCCGATGTGCCCGACGAACTATCAAATGGAGTCCCGTTGCCCAAGGAGGATGGCGACGTTTCTTCTGAAGAGCAGGAAGGCGACGAGGAAGAAGACATCGATGACCTCCTCCCTGTCGAATTTCCCGCACTGGCAGCCCGCGGCCCTCTTGCCATTGCACGGAACAAGCAAGGCGGTCGTGAATGGGCTCATATGGTGGACGTCAATCGCGACATCACCAACTTTAGAGAACTTGTGCCAGAGATGGCACGGGAGTGGCCCTTCGAGCTGGACACCTTCCAAAAAGAGGCAGTGTATCATCTAGAGAATGGCGACTCCGTCTTTGTTGCGGCTCACACATCAGCCGGAAAGACGGTTGTCGCAGAATATGCCATTGCGCTAGCGGCGAAGCACATGACCAAGGCTATCTACACGTCGCCAATCAAGGCTCTGAGCAATCAGAAGTTCAGAGACTTCCGAACTACTTTTGACGACGTGGGCATCCTGACAGGAGACGTACAAATACGGCCTGAAGCAAGCTGCCTGATTATGACAACCGAAATCCTGCGAAGTATGCTCTACCGTGGAGCTGACTTGATTCGTGACGTCGAATTCGTGATCTTTGACGAAGTTCACTATGTGAATGATCTGGAGCGTGGAGTTGTTTGGGAAGAAGTCATCATCATGCTGCCGGAGCATGTCACCCTCATCTTGCTTTCTGCAACGGTGCCGAACACTCACGAGTTTGCTTCGTGGGTAGGACGTACCAAGCAGAAGGATATCTATGTCATCTCCACTCCAAAGCGTCCAGTCCCGCTGGAACACTACCTTTGGGCGGACAAAGCACAGGACAAGAAGATGTTCAAGATCGTTGATGCGAACAAGAACTTCATCGAGAAAGGATGGAAGGACGCGAACGATGCTATGTCAGGCCGCGACAAAATAATCGCAGCTGAACAAAAGGCGAAGGAGAAAGAAGAGGCTGCTGTGGCTGCTGGTCGCGGTGGGAGAGGTGGTCGTGGACAGAACGCGCGCGGTGGGCAACAACGCGGAGGTGGCAATCAGCGAGGAGGTCCTCAGCAGAGAGGAAGAGGGCAGCCTGCCACTCGGGGACAGGGGAACATTGCGAGGACAGGGCGTGGTGGTGGCAGGACCACAGCGGCACAAGACCGCAACATTTGGGTGCACCTGGTACAGCATTTACGCAAAGAAGAGCTGCTGCCATGCTGTATCTTCGTCTTCTCGAAGAAACGGTGCGAGGAGAACGCCGACTCGCTTTCCAACCAAGACTTCTGTACTGCGGCAGAGAAGAGCGCGATCCATATGATTTTGGAGAAGTCACTGGCTCGTCTCAAGCCAGATGATCGACAGCTGCCGCAGATACGTCGGATCCGTGATCTTCTCAGCAAGGGTATTGCAGTACACCATGGTGGTCTTTTGCCGATTGTGAAAGAGTGTGTCGAGATTCTCTTCGCCAGGACACTTGTGAAAGTGCTTTTCGCCACCGAGACGTTCGCCATGGGTCTCAATCTTCCGACTCGTACCGTTGTGTTCTCCGGATTCAGAAAGTACGATAATAAGGAATTCCGTGATCTCCTGCCGGGCGAATACACACAAATGGCAGGCAGAGCTGGCCGCCGAGGATTGGATTCTGTTGGGTCAGTGATCATCGTCACTCCGGGGGCTGACGAGGCGCCACCTGCCGGGCGCCTACGGCAGATGATGCTGGGGGACCCAACGAAACTACGATCTCAGTTCCGTCTAACATACAACATGATTCTCAACTTGCTACGAGTGGAGGCCCTCAAGATCGAAGAGATGATCAAGCGTTCTTTCTCCGAAAACGCGACACAGGCACTTCTGCCAGAACATGAGAAGCAGATCAGGGTGTCTGAGGCAGACCTCGAGAAAATCGTCCGAGACCCGTGCAAAACATGCGACATAGACATCGAAGACTGCCACAATGCCAGTGTACAATACCAACAGCTAACGGAGGCTCTGCACCTTGCGATATTAGGCACGGCAACGGGTCGTCGTATGTTCCACCCTCGGCGGCTCATCGTGTTCAGGGGAAAGAACAATGCGCGAACTGCCGGCGTCCTGCTTCGCGATGGCGTCAGTAAAGGTTCACCACCTACCTTACAGGTCCTGGAGGTATTGTATCGAAACCAGAGGACACGCCGGGACACAGATTTCCTTCCGTATCTCCCGCGCTTCCGAAGACGGTTCATTCCACTGCCTCAGAAAGAGGGCGACATGCAGTTGAGGACTGTCACGATACCTCTCACTGACGTCGAGGCATTGACACCAACACACCTTGAGATGGATGTAGCCGGTGTACAGCAGAGAGATAAGGAGGCCTTGGCTGATGCCAAAGCGAAACTCCTCGAGACCTGCTCATCTTGGACGTCGTCCAGCTGGAACGAGCTTGACTATTACAAGTATCTCAAAGAGATGAATCTCCGAACAATCATGGACGAGAGGAGCAAGGCGGCTACAATTGCGCAGGAGCGAGAGTGCATCCATTGCACCGACTTGCCAAAGCACTTCGCCATGCAGCATGATCAATGGATCATCAAGGACAGGATCCAGTCCATTCGGCAACTCATGTCTGACCAGAACCTGCAATTGTTGCCAGACTACCAGCAGCGCATTAGCGTGCTCAAGGATCTTGGCTTTATCGATGATCAGTCACGAGTTGAACTGAAGGGCAAGGTTGCATGCGAGATTCACTCTGCGGATGAGCTGGTCCTGACTGAGCTGGTGCTGGAGAATGTTCTCGCCGACTACGAGCCAGAAGAGATTGTGGCACTCTTGTCAGCATTTGTCTTCCAAGAGAAGACGGAATCAACCCCGAACATGACACCAGCACTCGAGCGAGGCCTGGACACAATTGTGAAGATCTCGGAGAAGGTCAACCACTATCAGACGTTACATCAGGTCATCTTGTCTTCGGATGATTCGAACGACTTCGTCAGTCGGCCTCGCTTTGGGCTGGTCGAGGTAGTGTATGAATGGGCTCGCGGCATGCCTTTCAGCCGGATCACGGACCTGACTGACGTGCTTGAGGGCACGATTGTGAGGGTCATCACGCGGCTGGACGAGACGTGCAGGGAGGTGAAGAATGCCGCCAGGATTATCGGAGATCCAACACTCTTCACCAAGATGCAGACGTGCCAGGAGCTGATCAAGAGGGATATCTGCGCGACTGCTTCGCTGTACATGTAGATCGTTCCAAGCACTCTGGAAGGATTCGGCATCTCGACAGGAATACGGCAAGCCAAAAGCCCCATAGCTTATTGATCGAGACAGCACGCAACAGCACGGGTACACCGCCTTTGTTGAAAGCCAAGACAGCAATGGCAGAGCCGTAAGTCGGGAGCAAGAAGACCAGACAAGCGGTGCAGCAGTTCCACTTGTGACGTGAGAGAAGGATGAGATGCGGCAGCCTTGCCGTTATCCTCCTGCAGAGTAGCTGCAGCGAGCCGTAGTAGCCGACCAGTAGAGGCCCTGCATTCTAATGAAACACATGTGAGCATCCCTACGTCGCCACGTTGTTTGCCAGGCGCATCTGCCGAATCGTGCGCCGCGCGACGGCTCCGCGAATGAGCTTTGTCGTCGTTGTTGTCGTTGTTGTCGTTGTCGTTGTCGTTGTCGTTGGTGTTGTCACTGTCTGTGCTGTTCTGGCATCAGCTGGATCCGGGTAGATAGAAGTAGGACGCGAATATTCAAAGAACGAGCTCGTGATGTCATATCCACAAGAAGTGAATGCCTCGTGTTCGGCGACGGATAATCGATGTTCCGGCCGTGCCCTGCCAAGAAATTTCTGACCCAGTTGCAGTGCAGGTGAAGGCGGTGCGGGCTGCTCCCGTCGCCGTAGCCGCTAGTCCACGGGGCTTGGACCTCTCGAGAAACTCCCGTCGCTTGTGCTTGTGCTTGTGCTCTGAGCTTTGCGAATTTTTGTTTCGAGACGTCTCTCGTCGACCGCGACACCACCCGCACCACCCTCCGGCAAGCCATCCCCTGTCCTGCCGGGATCGCGACACTTCCACGCGCCTGCACTCTGGCCTCGACGGCAGGGCCCTCCGTTGCTGTCCCTCTACGACTGCACCCGTCCGTCAGGTTACCAGTCCCTCGTGTCCCTCTCACTTGGACTTGGAGCTCCACCGACCGACGCTTTCTATCCCTTCCACACACGCGATCCGCATCTGCATCCGCGCCGGGGCCATGGACGCCGCCGCTCTGCGACAGCGCATCGCCTCTACCCTCGAGGCCAATGCCGACGCGCGACGACAGGCTGAGGGCGAGCTCAAGGCGGTGCGTATCCCTCCTCTTTCCCGTGTTGATATCGTGGTCTTAGCGGGGCTCTCGAACACCATGAATGACTCAGTGTGACTGCTATAGGCCGAAGAGAGCGCGGGCTTCCTCGACGCCCTGCTGAACATCCTCGAGCACGAGCAGAACGGTCCCATCCGCCTTTCCGGTACGTGATCAACCTACATGGTCACCAGTTTGCTGCCCTGCCCAGACTGTCAGAGACGCCAGAGCTGCTGCAGACGAGGGGAAGGTCGAGCACGTGGACACCATGCTAACGGATTCCTAGCGGCGATATATTTCAAGAACCGCGTCAACAAGGGCTGGTCCAAGGCCGAAGACCAGCAGCCCACCACCACATCCATCTCCGACCAGGAGAGAGCTGCCGTCCGCGCGCGCCTCGTCCCCATCCTCGCAGCCGCCCAGACCAATGTTCGCCCACAACTCATCGTCTCGCTTCAGAAGATCCTGCACTGCGACTTTCCCGCCAAGTGGCCCGATTTCGTCGACCTCACGATCAAGCTCCTTCACGCCCACGATGTGCCCTCCGTCTTCGCCGGCCTCCAGTGCTTGCTGGCAATTTGTAGGACATACCGATTCAAGCTGGGAGACTCGAGGGGCGACTTCGACAAGATTGTGGAGGCTACCTTTCCACAGCTGCTGAGCGTTGGAAGCAGCTTGGTCAACGAGACGAGCTTGGAGGCGGCGGAGATGCTACGGACATGTCTCAAGGCTTACAAGCATGCCATCTACTTCGAGCTGCCAACTCCTCTGCGATCGCATGAGGCTATGGTTGACTGGTGTACCCTGTTCCTGAAGGTGGTCGGCAAGGCGCCTCCGGAGAACTCAATGGTGGAGGACTTGGACGAACGCGAGCTGAATCACTGGTGGAAGTGCAAGAAGTGGTCATACGTCAATCTCAACAGACTCTTCGTTAGATACGGAAACCCGGCGAGCTTGCAGAAGGGCAATGGTGAAGATTATACTCAGGTGGCCAAGAGCTTCATCGCGAACTTTGCACCCGAAATCTTGAAGGGATACCTCGCGCAGGTGGAGCTCTGGGTGCAGAAGCAGAGGTGGCTGAGCAAAGCTTGCCTGTCCTACACCCTGAGCTTCATGGACGAGTGCGTCAAGCCTAAGGCCATGTGGGATCACCTGAAGCAACACATGCCCGTTCTCATCGAGCATCTCCTCTTCCCAGTCCTCTGCCAGACGGATGAAGATCTGGCGCAATTCGAGGAGGAGCCTGCCGAATACCTGCACCGAAAACTCAACTTCTACGAGGAGGTCTCTGCCCCCGATGTTGCCGCCACCAACTTCCTCGTGACCCTCACGAAAGCTAGGAGAAAGCAGACCTTTGAGATTCTCACCTTCATTAACAACATCGTGAACAAATACGAAGCTGCGCCCGACGACCAGAAGAATCCACGGGAGAAGGAAGGTGCTCTGCGTATGATCGGAACACTGGCGAACGTGATTCTTGGCAAGAAGAGCCCGATTGCAGACCAGGTGGAGTATTTCTTCGTACGACATGTCTTCCCCGAATTCCGCAGTCCACACGGCTTCCTCCGCGCTCGTGCATGCGATACGCTGGAGAAGTTTGAGGCTCTGGATTTTAAGGATGAGGGCAACCTGACCATCATCTATCGGAATATCTTGGAGTCGATGGCCGACCCCGATCTACCTGTGCGCGTTGAAGCTGCACTCGCTCTTCAACCGCTCATCCGACATGACCCTATCCGGACCATGATGCAACAGAACATCCCACAGATCATGCAGCAACTTCTGAAGTTGGCAAACGAGGTAGACGTCGATGCCTTGGCAAATGTCATGGAAGACTTTGTTGAGGTCTTCGCCGCGGAACTCACACCTTTCGCCGTCGCTCTGAGTGAGCAGTTACGGGATACCTACGTGCGCATCGTCCGCGAATTGATCGAACGCAACAGCTCTAAGGAAGGCGATGAGGGATATGGTGACTTCCTGGACGACAAGAGCATAACAGCACTGGGAGTATTGCAAACCATTGGGACCCTCATCCTAACTCTTGAGAGCACACCAGACGTCTTAGCGCACCTTGAGACCATTCTCATGCCCGTCATCACCATCACACTGGAGCATAAGCTTTACGATCTTTACAACGAGGTCTTCGAAATTATCGATAGCTGCACGTTTGCGGCCAAGATCATCTCGCCCACAATGTGGCAAGCCTTTGAGCTGATCCACCGAACATTCAAGTCCGGTGCGGAGCTCTATCTCGAGGATATGTTGCCAGCGTTGGAGAACTTTGTCAATTACGGTTGGAAACAACTGCTTGAAACTCCAGCATACCTCGATGCCATTGTCGATATGGTGCGGACAATCTTCAAGGATGAAAAGGTCGGAGGCGTCGATCGCATCTGTGGCTGCAAGCTGGCTGAGATCCTCATGCTGAACCTCAAGGGTGGCATTGACAATTACGTGCCTGAGTTCGTGCAACTGGCGATGAACGTCCTCATCAGCGATGAACTCAAGGTGAAGTCGTATAAAATCCATCTGATGGAGATGGTCATCAACGCTATCTACTACAATCCACGGCTGACACTCAACGTCTTGGAAGCAAACGGCTGGACGAACAAGTTCTTCAGCTTCTGGTTCTCAAGTATTGACAGCTTCACCCGGGTCCACGACAAGAAGCTGTCGATTGGCGCGATCACCGCGCTACTAACTCTGCGGGCCGACGAAGTCCCCGTCAGCGTACAGCAAGGATGGCCCAGATTGCTTCAAGGTATCGTGCGTCTATTCCAGACTCTGCCTGCTGCGCTCAAGAATCGAGAAGAAGCGCAGAGGGAAGAGGACTTTGGACTGAGCGGAGATTACGATGACGATGATGAGGTGAGTAGACAGAGTGTCGTTCACAATATATACCTGGCTAACAAATCAACAGGAAGAAGATGAGTGGGAGGGCGAGGATTGGGAAGGCGAGGAGAACGAGGAAACAACCGACATCAAAGACGAAAGCACAGCTTACCTTGACTTCCTCAGTCAGCAAGCGAGTAAGTTCAATGCTGCTGTTGGACAAGACGAGGATGACGATGAGCTCGAGGAAGAGAGCTTGCTTGAGACTCCACTCGACGCGATGGAGCCGTACGGTTTGTTCAAGCAAACTCTCCACGAAATGTCGCAACATCAACCTCAATTCTACGAGCAACTGACCGGCATGCTGCAACCGGAGGAGCAGCAAGTCATCAAATCAGCCCTCGAACAAGCGGAGAAGATCCAGGTCCAGCAGCAACAACAAGCTGGCGCTCAAGGAGCTCCTGCCGTGGGACAGGCGAATGGCACTAGCTGAGCACACTCTTGTCCTTTGGCTTGTCGGCGATCAGGACTCCGAAAATACTTCTTCACCCTCCGTGTGACTGCTGCGAGCCGCGATGTTGTTGCATAGAATGATACCCCTCTCGGCCGGCTTGAACTCTTGCACAAGATTCCCCGAGAATTCCCCATTACAATTTTTGAGATACGATCACCATACGACGCTGCGGAGAGAGGGACAGAGTGGGGCGGTGGTCTGGCCACGAAGGAGAGGTTCAGGATGGAAGAAAGGAATGCAATGCAATGCATGATGACTGTTATGGTGTATAGCGACTGAATGTGGATGCGTCACGAGATACTGGCGCCTGTTGCCAGTGTTGCTCTCTTGTGATGAAACGGCAGATGGAAGATGTGAGTGAGAGTGGGTTCTACTTTGAAATGAAGTTGAGTTCTCTGCCATTGGCTTCCCTATTCACTGTACACTTTCTCTCTGTTGATCAATCGCGGTCCAGGCTACAGCGTCTTCCCATGTCTCCCCGACAACGCCAGCAGAAATCCACGCAATAGCGAGTCTGAGAGCACGTCGTCAGTCGTAGCAACCGTCGAGATCATACTTCGATGTACGAAGAGTTTCGCCCTTTAGCCGCTGTAGACTGGGGCATCGAAATCCCAGTGCGACTAGCGGTTCACGGGCTTGATGTACTCCTCATTGTCCTCAAGTGCCTCCACTTCTTCGACATAGTCCTCTTCTCACCAGTCGCTGACATAAGGCGCACCCTGGCTCATGGAGGAATCGGAGTAGTCATCCTCCTCCTCATCACCTCGCTGGCTCTCTTCGTCGTCGGACTCCGTGTAAAATTCGGCCTCCAATTCATCAAGCCGCGTCTGAAGCTCATCGATGCTCTTCGATTGAGTGCGAATGCCCAGAGACAGCTCATGGTCCATCGCCAACAAGCCTTCGAACTTGCCAGCGTGCTGGCCGAGCTTCTCCTCCGCATTACTGAGTCTAACGTTGGCGGTCTTGTCGGCTCTGATCCGGTTGACTTCTTCCTGAAGCACCTGCCCGCGGAGTTCCTGGTTCTCTCTCTGGCTGGTGCGGAGCCGGCCTTGGAGCTCGGTGATGTTCGTCTGGAATGCTTGGAGCTGGGTCTCGAGCGTCGTGACCTTCTTTGTGAGGGCTTGGTACTGCGCGGCAGTAAAGCCTTGCGGCTTCTGGCTGGCGGTGGACTTGCGGGCCTTCGTCTCCAGGGCGTGGATCTTATCCGTGAGGGTCTTATTCTCCGTTTCGCCTTTCTGGAGGCGCGCTTCACGGCGCTCCTCGCGAATCTTGAGGTCGCGCAGCTGACCCGTGAGCTGCTCGGAGATCAAATTGGTGATGGCCGCCGTCCAGTTGGCATTGAGCTTGGTGGTGGGGACTCTGGCCTCCGACTGCTCCTCTCTGGTGTTGTCGTTGCCATGCCGGTCTTTGTTTTCCAGGCTCGTCTTCAATTCCTGGATCTCAGCGCGAAGGGCGAAGATCTCCGGCAGCTGCTTGTGGCGCGTCGCGTTGGAGCTCTTGGTTCCCTCGAAGAACTCGCCGTGGAGCGTGCCCGTTAGCGCTTTGTCGATCTCTCCGGCCAATTTCTCTGCTTTGACGAGGCCGCTGGACTTTGGCTGGGGCTGTGCTTTCTCGTCGTCCTCTTTCGCTGGCAAGGCGCGAGCCTTCTTGCTCTTGTGGCGACTATCGGCCGACATGGTGGATGTATGGAAGCGTGGAAGGGTTGAGTGCAGACGGTGGTCAGGTGGATATGAGAAGTCAGAAGTGAGGTGAGAGGTGAAAGCCACAAGTAAACCAGAATGGAAGGAGCGCTCTTGCCTCGCGAAGATCACATGCCTCGCGCCTTCCCAATTTGGATGCGTTCTTTCCATTTGAAAGGCCGAGATGTCTCAGCTTTTGGTCTTTCACTTGGTTGACACCCGATTGATTTCCATGCTTTCACACCGACGGTCCTCGGTCATTCTTATTGCAGTGACTCTCTGGCAATAACAAGCTCGTACTATTTACATTACAGATCTGCCTCCAATCCCAGCTGCCTCCTTTTGATTTCAACTTTCTTGCTGTACGGTCGCATCCGAGTGCTATCATCTTCTTTTGTTTGTCCCATCCCATTTGACAAACCGCAGCTCTCATCTCGAGCACTACTTTGAGGTGCTAGTGGTCGTATGCTATTAGGATCCATCTCTTGATTGTTATCTTGCGGCATATGCACAGGAGTGAACTGTTGTGACAGTAGTTAGTATCGAGCGTCGAGCCAGGAAGAAGCAGACACAAGAACAAAAAGCTTGCCGAAATGCGAGCGGACTATCGAAAAGTTGCGACTGACCCGGGCTTTCCGAAAGGGGAAGGAACAGCTGTGCTGCTGCGTGAGGAAACCGCGCTAAACTTCAACATGTGAAAGGCCCGGGCGATGAACCAACGAGCAATGCCTCGTTGCTCTGGAACGATACAAAGAAAGGAAACGCACAATCGTAGGCTTTTAAGAATATAGAAATCATCTTCCCATACATCCCAGCGTCCTCCCACTAACTCCGAAAAAACGTCGAAAAATGGCCAACTACAGAAATGCCAGGTGGATAGCCAAGGCGCGCGTGTGTGTGTTAAAGACATCTCCTATACTAAAAAATAAGCCGCAATATAACTCGCACGCAGGCAAATTCCCATGCAGTTGATATAGCCTGCGCGCGCAGATATAGGTAGAACCCTTGGGCCATCATAATCAAGTCATAAGCGTCGTCAAAAATCGTGAGGAGCGTAACCCATAAGATCGTCGTGGCTCTACCAACAAACACGTCCCGCTCGCTGGAACGCAGCGTTCGCGAATCCCCAAATAGAAGAAGAAGAAGAGGAAGAAGAAACAGAGAACAGCAGCGTCGCTCAAGATGGTCTTTAAGACGCCTTCGCTAAAGCCCAGTAAAAAATCCCGATGAAATCTCTCAATTCGTTACACGTGTCTCCCGTGCGTGCGTGCCAGGTTTTCCCACGCGTCCATGAACATCTCCGCATCTGGCAAAGATAAAGTTAGCATGATCTATCGGGTAGGTCCTGGCGAGAGGAGAGCAGAGCGCACCTTCATCTGTCGTAAAAGGTAGGACGTATTTCCGGGAAGTTTTCATCGGCGGCTCGAAGCGCGAGATGAAAACGGCGGCTGGTGGAGTGGTCGCCGCGAGACTAACAAGCCCTTGTCCCTCGTATTGCGGCCAGTCGGGATCGTGAGCGTATCTCGTCACGAAAACAGTCCAGATCGGAACACCTTTCCGGGGCCCGCGAAGGGCAGAGGCTTCAAGGCGGACCACGTTGGAGCTTGTGTCCCTCCAGAGGCGCAGAGCGTGAAACATCTGTCCGTGTTGGATCTGACCGGCGAAGAGTTCCTGCTCGCCGCACGTGTCATCTTCCAGATCGAAGCGATCGAGGAGGTCGTCATGAGGGACTGGACGCTCGTCTTGGCGCTTCATAGCCACGAACGTGCAGTAGAAGAGGACCATTCTCTCGTGGAATACGAAGTTGAGTCTTGCCCAGAGGGAAAATCGCCCGTCGCCGCGACTGCAACGACACAGTTGCAGAACGCTATTCTGCTGTTAGCGTTCTTCGCGTTGCGAGGCAAGAGAGAGAGACTTGCGACTTGTTCCTGATGATCTTCAGATTGGTCAAAGGTGTACAGTACAAGAGCCTGCGACCCTCGCTGTCCTTGGTGATGACGAGAATTCGAGCTCGATGGTCGCTGTTCCGCCAGTACAAGCGAACCCAAAGTCGGTGTGCATCGAATGCAAGTTCTACAGCGCGCTGAAAGCCATCACGTACCAGATGATGCAGTGCTTCCGGTTCTACTGTGCCATAACAAGCAGATCTGTCATCGAGCTGGCTGTCTATTTGTCGATAGCGGTTTAGAGGATTCATGCCATTATAGACGTCTTGTGCCCAGTGCGCCAAGGGTTCCGATGGAGGTGGAAAATAGGGATCACTCCCATATGAAGTCTGACTGGAAGACATGGTATGCGATGAGTTCGAGGTGTATGTTGGAGACAAAGGCGGCTCAGGAGCTCCATTGAATCTCGGAGGGTCGACAGTGGCGTGCTTATCCCATTCATCGCTCACGACAGTAGGACTGACAGGTGTATTGAGACGATTGATTCGGGGCCGCGGCGTTGCGGTCCCCGGAAGTGAGCTCAGTCTGCGGGATCGACGCTGTGCTGCCTGCTGAGTCTCCAGAAGTTGCTGCACCTGCCGCACGTCATCCCTTGGAATTTCGGATCCGTCACGAAGGCTGAAGGCAAGAGCGTCCAGAGTGTCGCGATACAGCTCAAGTCTCTGAAGAAAGTCGACTCGTTCCAAGCTCTCCATGCGGTGATTGAGGTCCTCCCAGGCAACTTGCGGTGGCTGCTCGCTCGCAAACATGACGAAGATCCCATTCTCCAGGGTGAACTTGAGGCTTTTAAGCACCAGTACCAAAGATTCGTCGATTGTCGGGAAGGAGGATCCATGACTGCGATTGTCTTTGTGTATCTGCCTAAGTGCAGAACTGATGGCAAACAGATCCGCAATCAATCCCGTAAGTTTAGGCGCATGTCGAGGTAAACTCTCTCGAAAGCGGAGGAGGCCTAGAGAATATCAGCCTTCGGGGACCCACTAGGCATCCATCGGTCCCTTGACTCACCTGACGCGGCATCATCGCATTGACCCGCAAATCTCAGTAGCGAGCGCTCGCTATTGATGAGGCTCTCTGCCATTCTATTCGCTGCTACGGGCTGGCGGCGCTTGAGGTCGTCGTCTACAGCTGGCTGCTCATTGGTACGGTCGATACGATGGACCGCCAGGCCGCTATGCCTGAGGCATTACAGTACGGAAAAGGTATTTTGCTCTGAAAAGCGAAGCACGGAAGGAGTCGCGAAGGAGTGTCAGCCGTTCACGCTCTTCTGGTCGGTACAGTGCAACCTTTGAGCCGCACCAAACCTCTGCGCTGGCCCGTCGTGGTGGGGCCTGTCACCGGTGAAGGAGCTGCCCAAGCTCTGCATTGTTCTCCGTCTAACAGCACAATCGTAGTAAAGCCGGCTATCCCGAGTGAAGAAAATAGATGTGTCAATAGGAAAGATATAGGACGAAAGAGAGAGATGTCTCTGTGAGAGGTTAATCCGCTTTCAGACAGGGGAGGACCATGGAACGGATCTTGCCTGTCGCCCGAGTCAGGCCAAGCTGTGCGCGGCGCACATGAATTTGGGAGCTTCCCCATCGTTCGCATCGTTTTCCTACCGAATGACAACCACCGAACGAGAGCCGCGCAATGATACGCAGACGAGACGAGTGCACCTGCGGATGAACAGATGAGGTCGACGTTGAAGCAAGGACAAATAAAGCCGACGCGATCGCCGCACAGACCGTCTCTCGCCTGTCGAAATTCGCACGCTGCAACTCCGCTACAAACCTCGTCATCAGAGAGAAGACGGCAGTGGGAAGCCTGCACTTCTCCAGAAGCGCATTACCCATGTTCGACTAATCCAGTCCTGACAATCGAGGACCAGCCTACGACGGAGCGAGAAATGGAGAAGAGTGGGTTTCTGCCCGCAGCCAAAACTGACTGCAAAGGCTTCTAATTCCCTGCGAATGCCACAACAACGTGGCAGACACCAATATCAAGTGGCGCGCTCAAATCTCTGCAAGGGTATCTCAAGTTCATATCATCAAAGTACGCCCGCCAGACTGGTCGAGGAGTCCTTCTCATGACCTTGCCGATAACGCCGAATCCATGTGCAATCCTCACTCTCTCATCGTACCGAATACCATATTACGATTCCTCCGAACGCCATACATGAAACTCGCAATCCAGACGCATCCGTATCCTCGTCAAGTCAAGCAAGAGATGGTCGCAAGGGTAGGAGTTTAGACAAACTCGTAATCCTCATCGGCGTCTGGGACAGCAGCCGAAGGAAGATCTGGCACGGCGACCTTGTTGGACTTGTTCTTGCGCTTCTTCTCCGGAGATGGACCGACGGTCTCTCCCTCATGGTCGAGAAGCTCGTACTCGGTCTTCACAAGCTCGATCGTCTCCCTCTCTTCAAACTTCTCGACCGCCTTAGCAAGAGCAACGTTCAAGATCTGGCTGCCCTTGGTCGGGCCACGAGCGGCGTCGAAAGAGTACGTGATAGTGGCATCGGCGGCCGGCGAAGGCTTCTCATCATAATCGTCTGAGTTGCTGCCAGAAGAGTCGTCCGTCATGGCCGCGCCCTCGAGCATGTCGTGCTTGCGAGCAACTTTGGCGCCGTGAGCGAGAGATGCCACGGCACTCTTCTCCTCGCGGCGCTTCATGTTGAAGCTGCTGTGGGGCTGTCAGTGGCGGTCGCGTCTCGGCAGTCAATCCGAAGCAACTTACGTCTCAGAGGGCCGATGAGGCCGTGGCTTGCCAACCGCTCGACCGACACCCTCGGACTGTCCCAAGGCCCATTTGTGCTTGCGTGCAGCGTCGCGCTTGTAGTCTTGAGCAGTCTTGCGGAGGTCGGCCTGAGAGAAGGACTGCTCAGAGGACATGATTGCTGCGGTATATGCTCCCGGTCGGTTGTTCTGGACGATTCCGAGGGTCTGTGCTATCGTTCTGAGGACAGTCGGGTGAAGAGTATCTGAATGGACACCTTGATGTCTTGTGGGGTGCGAGGGCGCGGATTGTCGATAAGGCGATATCGTAGGGTGGCTCAGGTGGGTCGAGTGTTTATTGTCAAAATGACAAAGAAACGAAACAGCAGCTACGTGATCAGGGCAAGTATGATGCCTGTTGTTCAAAGACACAGCAGCGGCGGTAGGAGTGTCTGACTGGGTCTGGCTGAGTCAACCTCGTGACTATTCAGGCTGGGCCGATGCTTCCCGAGATACGACGAGCTTGATTGATGAGTGTTGGACGCGGTGTTGTTGTTGTTACAGAAGTCGGTCGAAGCTGAAGGGAGCAATTACAAGACGGGCAGTGGCTTGAAAGAGAACACAAAGCACGTCACGTCGGCGCAATGGCGGATGGGCAAGGTGAACAACGGGTGAGGCTTTATACTATCACAGGCACAGGCACGGGCACAGGGCATGCTGGCTGGATGATGACTGAAGCTCCCAGCTCGGATCGGCGAGCGAGCGTCAACTGTGGGGAGGGGAGCAGACTCTCAGACAGAGATAAGCGCCACAGCATCAGGTCAGGTCAGGTCAGGCCAAGAAGTCAGCACAGGGCCGGCTGACCTGATCCCAAGCAAGCACAGAAGCTCACCGTCCCCGTCACCGTCGTCATGTCCAGCAACGTGGGAAGCATGACTGGCCGACGCGTCTGGCGGTGCGCTGCCGGCAAGTCGCATCGAAACATGCATCGCTCTGGTTCCCTTCCACTTTCCTTTGTTGTATTATACCTCTTGGATGATGAGGTGAGTGCGGCGGAAGACGCGCAACCCGCAACCAGCAACCCCACGTTTCTATTCTGGGGCGCATTCCTCGGCCGGCGCCGTCACACGTGCAAGAGACACTCGCTTCCATCGACGCGTTCTTTCTTCGGCCGTGAGGAGGAGAGTGTCTGCTGACTTCACTTGCCTCGTCCTCCATCAGGCTGCCAACCCCACGAGGAACTGGATGCACATCGAGATGGCTGCCTTCTCCGCATTGGTATCGCTACGCAAGCGATCCGTGTGCCTACCATAACCCGGTTATGGGTTGCTATCTTCAAAAGCAACACCACCTCGGTTGCCGGAAGCAGCTATGTGACACACCAACGATTGACGTGTCCTCATCAGCTTTTCTGGACGTAAGGGTATCGGGGTCAGGATGTTGCCATCCTGCAGTGTTGAAATACTGAAGGCCGGCTTCCATCACATATATCCCCAGCGCCGGACTCCCGTAGGCACGAGCTGAGAGTGATATCTCGGAAAGGTTAGTCCTACATAGAAAGCGCGTTCGAGCGCTATGTATTCAGCAGACTACTGCTTCAGTCCGATAGCGCGGATATAACCTCATGTCTTCGTTCGATTGTCTAGTCGCCGAGCTATGTCTCCACTGGTAGTAGATGTGACTACAGACCGCCAACAATCGTACAGTCATTATAGTCTCGGACGAGAAAGAAAGCAGTGTATCATGACTACGCTGATAGCAATGAAGCGGTGGGTAGTCCGAAGATGAGAGAAAGGTATCTCGAGGTAGTCCAAGTGAGCTCTGCCCGGGTAGTCGCTGATCATGGCCGCTGAGCCTCAGGGGTAGTATAATGGCGATGATGATCTCATGTATCTAGCTCACTCATCCAATTGCCATGCGTACTCCAGCGCTTCGCGATCTCGTTGTTTGTTCCTAGCGGAGAACCACTTTCTCTCAAATCCATTGCTTCGATCCACTCCGTCCCATCTCCAGCCTGGACGTATGCCATACCGGTTTGGCTCGAAGCCTCCTTGATATGACTTGCTGCTCGCTTTGCTCTTCCCCGCTTTCGGAGTCTTCTTGGTCGCCAACAACTGCGCCATGGGATCATTCCACCTCTCCCGCTCCTTTAGCTCGTCATTCATCTTCTTGTCGTCCGCATGTCTGGCAACCGTCATGACCTTCGCATCCTCTAGATCCCGCCTTCTCTCCTCTTTCTCTCTCCTTTGCACGTCACCCTTCCGACTCTCCTCTTCCTCCCTAGCCTTCCTCTCTTCCTCCTTCGCTTTCGCTTCAGCTTCTTCCCGCTTCTCTTTCACGTTGATCATTCGTCCAGATGCATCACGGTATATCGTCTGCTGAGCAAGACCACCCATATCCAGCCCCGCAGCTTTCATCGCTTTCCGCTCTTCTTTTTCCTTCCTCCTCAGCGCCTTGGACACTTGCTCCGCACTCTGCAACCCAGCCATAGCTCCCGAAGCCATCGTTGGTCCCGAATACTCCTCGCCATCCTCGCCAACTACCGCAGGATCATCTTCCTCCCGCTGCGCCCTCGCAGTCGACTCCGCAGCAGCATCGGCCAAAATCGCATCCGCGGCCGCTTGTTCTGCATCCTTAGGTGCTTCGGCGCCTATTCGCACCCATTTTGATTTCTTGGTAGGTTTGTTCAGGCCTCCCGATAACGTGCCGCCTACTATTGTAGGAGCGTCTTCATCTTCTTCGCCATTCTCTGCAGCGTTGCTTGTCCAGGTATTTACATTGTCATCGGCGATGATGAGCCCTTCTGCTTTCGCGGCGTCTTTTCGCTTGCGCTTTTTGGACGTCCTGGACGAGTCGGCGGAGAGGTAGTTCTTTGCGAGATAGTCGGCGAGGGTCATGGTGGGAAGTGGTAGTGTCGAAAGAGATGCTCTTGCCAATCGCGAAGTTCAAGATGTTGATGGGGCTCTGGCTGTCACGTGGAGGTGGGGAGACGGGACGCGCTAGTGAGCTCATGCATGACTCAAGCAGATGGCAACGATCTTCGCGTCTCCTTGTCCACTTTTCCTTCCTCTCTTTCACCCGAACAAGATGTGAACTGTCCGTTCTTAAGATGCCGCGCTCCGACGAAGCGGCGTCGTGGTACACGATGGTTTACAGAGCGATCCAAGAAGTCCCATATGGTAAAGTGACCTCTTATGGCCACATCGCTGTACTATTGGGATATCCGGAGCGATCACGGTACGGTCCCATCCCTCGGAAATGAGGAGGACATGGCATCTCTAACGCTGCTGTCTAGCCAAGTGGGCATGTGCTTGAAGTATTTGCCGCATCCTTCAGATCAGCCCGATTCGCGTTACAACAGCGACACAGTGCCTTGGCAACGCGTGATCAACTCCAAAGGGGCAATTAGTAACAGGTAGGGGTGTCCCACGGCAGATGAGCAACCCAGCTGATTTGTCGTTTCAAGAGGAGTCGATGGAGCAGCGAGGCAGGAGACTGCCCTGATAGCGGAAGGCGTCGAAGTCAGCCGTGGCGATCTAGGCGAGCGAACTGTCGACTTCTCACAATACGGCTGGTTTCCAGATCGATTGCCAAGTGAGGAAAACGAGGAAAGTTGAGCGTTCGCTCGAACCATCACGCAAGAGTTTTTCGTCACAGCAGCGAAAACATGAGCTCTTGGTTCTAGAGTCATCGTCGGCTGGAGACTGCGGTGCGTTCTCTCTATCAATACGCCAACGCAGGCGTGATCCCTCTTGCTGTCCCCACTCATCCAAAAGAGCAGCGCTGAACCTGTATTGTTCCGACGTTCGACTGTCTTACTTCTCCGTAGACCCGGTATACGCGAATCTGCCGGATTACAACTTCGAGAATCATAGCACCATCATCAATAGCACCACACCAATAGCACCATCACCACACACGAGGTGGTTCTCCGCTGCAATCGCCAGTGGCTGGTCATACTCATTCTGCCGACGCTGGTGCTGCTCTTGGCTGGCAATGCGGCAACAGTTCTGGACGGCGTTAGGCGTGGCTCAGATGTTCTGGACGCATTCACTCTGGCGCTCAGGGACAATCGCTAAGTCAATCTGCCTGACAATTCGACTCTCGACGACTTAGAGCTGGCCAAGAATAATAAGGATGTTCGTGTACGGCTGAGAGATGTGCATTTCGAGGCAGAAGTCGGACATATTGCTGTGGGAATGGTCACGGCCGACCGGCCTGTGAAGAAGTTAAGGTTGGGGCGCTGGTACGACCGATGAATGTTGAAAGTGATGGTTATCTGTATGCCCTCCACGAGACCTTCGCTACATTCTAGGTTCCCGTTCACGCCCTCATCACAGAAACGCACATGGTCACTGTGGTAGAAGATTGACTGACTTCCGAGGGTTGCCTCACTCATGCTGGTGTCACTGTTCCACGACGCTCAAATCGACCTCAGAATCAGCTGCAGTAGCAGAGCTGTACACCCTTGCCGAGATCCAGATGAGTTGCGAGTCGTTTATTGGTCTATCTTCGAAACAGCCAGAGCTGTGGCCGAAGGCGGAAAGGCTGAGGCGGAGGTCGGAGTTGAAATCCGACGTAAGATACAGAGCGCCTGCCCTTTTCTTTGGGTGCGTAAATTGCTGCTCCTCCACGAAACCTGCATGTGGCTTTTCAACCTGTATCGATCTACACACTACCACCAGCTAACTTTAAGCTATAGATCCTCAGCTCGATCCTGCAAGGCTGAACGAATGCTGTTCTGGGCATCTCGCCGGCTAGCTTCACCTCTGCCATAGTGGGGAGCACCATTCACTTCCTACACTGCACTCAGTCTTATCATTCCACCGAAGACTCAGCCCCCTTGGTCGTCTGCCGTCCTGCAGGTGGCTGACCATGGTCAGAACGCAATGTCCCCACTGGGAGAGCGAACGCTCCAGGCGCGAGATCTACTCCTCCTCTCACTGCCCACCGAATGCACCGCACCGCAAGGCTGCATTTCTCCTGAACGCCCTCAGCCTGATTCTTCCGAACCCAGGAATTGATGTCCATCTGGCGGCTGCAGTCACCAGCTATGGGTTCAATACCATGCACTGCGCCTCTGCGGCTCTCCTCCACGGCTTTGAAGTCAAGGCGAGTAAGTCTTGTCGTTGAGCCTCAATCAGAGAACATAAATTGAGAGCATCTGTCCGCTCAAAAACTGGAGCAGCACTCACCACACGACTTGATATACTCGGGACACAGACTCTCCCAAGAGGCCATCATGTCACTCAAACTTTTGCTCGTCCTCTTTGCTTCCAGCTTTCTCTTTTCACCAAGTCACGGCCACCCGTCCTATTTGGACGTTCAAGTATTAACACGCAACGCACCCGAGTACACTACTGAAGGTACACATGCTGCCATTGTAGAGGGACTTCGAGAGGCGGCTTTGCACAAGCGAGACCGAGAGTACAAGGCTAGCCAGAAGATCGACATGAGCTGGCAAGACGCCGTCATTTTCGCAAGGTAAGTCTTTTCCGCACGAGCCTGACGCGTACATCTGACGCATCCATTTAGAAGTGGCGAGCAAAACATCGGTAACAACTCGAAGGTCACGGAATCTGTGCAAGTCAACTGCAAAACGTGCTACATTAAAGGCACAGCTTCGGCGGTGCTTAATGTCAAGACGAGCGAGACATCACCCAACTACTAGAGACCGCCAAGGTTACCGTCGAGAACGACGTCAACAACACGATTCACGCAGTAGAGGATGCTTTGGAAGACTTTTACCACAACTGCAACATTTCGTGCGAGATGCACTACTTTGGGGACGTGGTTAAGGCCTTGTATGACGACGGCGTCCAAATTGAAGACCTGCTACCACCGAACGTGAATGTGTCTTTTGAGCAAAATTTCACATCGCCGATCCCGGACACGACTGTAACGTTTCGTTTCGATGATCTGGACCTATATCTGGAGCTCGAGACCATACTCAATGCTTCTGCCTCCTACACATTGCCTTTAATCGCCGGCGCTGCGACCAACATCAATCTAGACGGTACATTGAAGCCCGGGGCCTTTTTCAATGTCGACTTGATCCTCGAGGTGGATGGCTCACTGGACATCACCAGTGGTCTGCACATCAAAGTGGACGACCATGTCGCGCTTGATATGCAGCTTTTCGGTCACGAAGCATCGGGCATTGACTTTCGCGAAGGCCGATTCGAGCTTTTGCCGGTCCGTGTTCAAAGTGCGGATGCCACCTTCAGGGCAACCTTGAGGCTCAGCGCCACAGTAGCCCTCGCAGCTGGCGTTCCGGAACATTTGCCCAACGTGACGATTGGAAGTCACCACCTCTCAGACTACCAACTTGCGGGCGGTCTCCTGGCGGGCGTCAGTGCCGATGTCGCAGTCTTTGAAACGGAGATCAAAGCCTCACCGGAGGATCCAGAGTGCCAGCTCAAAGTGATTCAAGACTACTCTCTCGTCCTGGGAGCTACGGCTGGCGCGCAAGCGACGGTTGGCACCGCTACCTACGGGCCGCACCCTACCAAGACAACCGCCATCTACACCACCACACTAGACAGCTACTGCACAACTTCTGCTCCCATAGTCACCAGTGCTGCCGTACACAGGAAGCGACAGCACAGTGACGACGACCTGTCCACTACAAAGCTGTCCATTACCATCGTCCACACTGCAATTCAATGCCCACTGGGAGCCACAGGACAATGCCCTGTCGCCCTCCAAACGACGTTGCGATCAACTGAGAGTAGCACCACGAGCCTCGTGGGCCCCTCGAGCGAGATCGAGAACTCATCGAGATTCCCAACGCCAACCCCCGTCTCGATCACCGCCGTCCCGTTCGGCACCAATGCAACAACTTTCCCAGCCATGTCAGGTAAGCCAACAATGTACACACCAACACCGACCAACATTGCCGGTGTCGCCAGTGCCATTGCTTCGAAAGTGCACAAACACAAGGTCCTCGCCATCGAACTTGGGGTCGGCATTGGCCTGGGCGTGCCTTTGCTCGCTGTACTTGCAGGTGTCGTGATTTGGTACGTCTCCCATCAATCTCGCGACCGATATTCTCACAAACTGCTTACTCCTACTCCTTCTCCCAGCTGCTGTTGCCTCCAACGCAGGAAGCAGACTCCCGCTCCGACGGCAGACGTCTTCTGGCAGAGTGCCCCGGCAATGCAACAATCTACGGTCTATATGCCCAGGAAGAGTCCTTGATCTCTGAGAGAGAGAGAGAGAGAGCGTGCCACGCAGTGTGGCATCGCTCGATTTTCGCTCGATCTGCATGGGGAGCGTTGGGCGTCGACAACTTTTTTTTTTCTTGTGATCAGGCTCCACGTGGTGGACATGGAAGTCTCGGAGTGTCGACTGGTGCGACTAAGGACTCATTAGTACTGAATCTGCCTGATCGCGACTGTGTCCCGTAGGCAGGTTCCTCTGCGCGGAAAATGATCGCCTCTATAAGTGGTAGAGCAACAATTATAGTACAGAACCCTATAGCTTACTTACCGTCAGGGTGACTGCCGAGGCGTCTGCGGTTCGCACGCGGAGAAATAGCGCAAGACAAAGCTATATAGGTCCACTATCCACGAAGTTCTTGACATACGGCCACAGGCAGCTGACTAAAGACGATCCCGTCCGCTCTCGTGTACTTAAGCAGCTGACCGTGAGATTAGTACTACGGTGGGTGACCACGTGGGAATACCTCATGCTGTATGTTTTTGCAATCTTTTTAGCCCTGTCCGCATCGTGCTGCTTACTCCTTCAACGACCAAGGCAAGTACCTCGCCAATTTGAGTAGTCGCCAGGTACTGCGGTTACTGACTGCTCGCTTAGAGATCGCCAAGATCTTCGAGATTCTCGAGATCTTCGAGATTCTCGAGATCTTCGAGATTCTCGAGATCTTCGAGATTCTCCCACACTAGCCATGCGTTAGACATGCGAATTACAAGAGCGATGGCCACAGATAGCACCCGCCAAGCGATCCTTTTAATAGCCGAACTCCTCGAACACATACTGTCTTTCTTGCCTTTCGAGCCGCTGTGTAAGTGTCAGAGAGTGTCGAGGCACCTCCATAAGTTGGTAGAAAAGTCTTCAACCCTGTAGAGCGACCTTTGGCTCCGGACCAGCAACATTTCGAAGCAGGAATGGCGAATCGTCCACCGCCAATGCCAAAAGACTCAGGAGATCAAGACTTGTTTCGAACAAGTAACATCCAAGACGCCTCCGCCGGTGGACCATCATGTCCCAGAAAGTCTGACGCTAACAAGGCTATGCCCACTCTTGCATGTCAGCGGACTCTGGAAGGGAGTGCATAGAGATAACTCTGCAGTAAGGCTCCATCGGCGTCCAGGAGAGCAAGCAACTTTTGCTTCTAATCCGCAGATCCCACTTTCCTAGGGGGCCCTTATGGATAGACATGTACATCTCGGACCCACCTTGCTTTAAAGCAAACGTCTCTTTGCGCCTGGTTTGGCGAGAGAAGAATCTTCCTCCGAACATAACGGTTATAATAGTTAGAGATCCTGCCTAGATCGAAGTCACCCGTCGAATCTCGAACGCGGAAGGTATCAAGATAGGCGGCCTTGTGCGTATACCGTTCGAGACGCCGGGAACAGTGCGATAGTATCCAAGCTAGAGATAGATATCGGCAAAGAGAGATTAAGAGGCCGATAGGAATTCTTGCGAAGCTAATTAGAGAGATAAGTGAGCCTCCGATCCTGGAAGGAGAGAAGAGTTTCGTGATATTAACGGGCATGGTCTTTCTAACGGAAGCAGAGTGGCAGACCATCTTACAGACAAGGCATCACTTTCTTTAGTTATAGCGTCTTCGCATGTCGGAACGTTATCTCGACGGACGCTACCTCTCAGAATATAATGTCCGACTGGCTGCAGCCCTGGTCTCGATCGCTATACTAGAGACACGACATGAGTTTGAGTCTCCGGATTACAGCTATCGCATGGATATTTAGCACAGCTCTGATCCCATCGCAGTCGCTCTAATTCGCCGTACAATAATCCTGTGCCGATCCGACGGAAAAGTCTTCGCCCAACAACCTGCAGGTCTAAAAGAAGTCCCCCGAGGTTCATTTCATGACTGACCGTTGGAAGAAAATATTGCTCTTTTTCAACGCCAGACAGGCAATGATCTTTCTCGGGGCGGTCGTAGTCAACGAGACATCGTGATTCAGTTCCTCGCCCATCTCGCAATACATACCTGAATGGAAAGAAGCCTGTGGGGAGCTCCTCCGCCGTTGCAAAGGACATCTTCTGCTTCTGATCAGGGTATATCCGACAGAGACGGCCCCGAAGTCGCAAAAGTGCGCTTGAAACTAAACCAGTGTGGTCTTCGGACACGAGCTCAAGATCCAGTCCAAGAACTTCAACGGCTGGGTCAGGATCCTCAAGTTTACTCCTGTAAGGATTTTCAACGAGACCGGTAACAGACATCCAAGAGAAGCTCGGCACATGATACTTCCTCTCCTGGGCTGGGCTTTGCTGGTCTTTAAAGCCCGCAAGATATGGCACGTGCTCACGATACCGATACCACAAGAGTTCATAGTGCAATCGGCTGCGCCACAGCCCGACAACGTATTGGTCTTTCATGAATGGCTCGAAGCGTTTCGCCAAAGCTGAAATAGCGAGAACCCTGTCATCGAGGTACGTGAGGCCTGCCGAAGAATAGAGTGATTGAAAATTCCACCAGCGTGCATGCTCCGCATCAACATCAAGACGTGGGGCCTTATTGCTCGGCGTTCGTCGCGTCAGCTGTTTCACCGTACACAAGCCCGAAAGATCGGAAATATGGCACTGGCCCCTCCTCATAATTCCCCCCGGGATACCGTCTGGATACGACTCCGACGCTGATATTTCACAGCATTCCCAGACAAGCTCTGTTGCAGCGAAATGCAAAGTACGAGGAGCAAGGGCTCTTTCTTGCTGAACCCATGCTCTTCGCAGGAGCGGAGCCCGAAGAAGACTGGATATAGGATAGCCCATTGCGGCGATCTCCACACACTGCGTCGCCCTTTTCACCTTTCGACTCTTCTTCAGGATTATTGAGCTGGGGAACGCCGTCGAATCACGTTCTCGAAATAGCCCCTGGCTGCCATCGCTGGAAGCATTCGCGGCTAAGTTCACGTAGCCGTTGCTGTATATCTTGTCCATTTGCTGAGATTCCCGTAGCCAGTCATCTGGATTCTCGCGGTCCTGGATAATGCAGAGTGAGTCAATTCAGAGGTAGCGGATTCCAAGCTTGCGCGAGAACTCGATGGCTTGCTGAAATGTTTTGGTCAGGGCCGAGAGTGGTATGTTACCGGCACAAAAGTGCTCCAGGTTGGTCCTGGTGAGGCATAGAAAGTCGGACAGGCCCCAGCAATGACTTAAGGTGTTGTATCGTCCCTGCACCGGCTCCTCTTGCGTGATCACAAGTCGCACATTGTTGGCATACATGCCACCATCGGGTCTAAGATCCAGCAGGCGGGAAGGCAACCATGTAGGAGTCTGTGGCTCTGCGCAAATTTGGTGATCATGTTTCCATTTTCGAATCCATCTTTTCGCCGAGTTAGGCAACCATTTGGTAGTCTGTGGCTCTGCGCAAACTTTGTGACCATGTTCGCATTTTCGAATCCACCTTATCGCCGCTGATACTGACTCGAGGCTTCCGGTCGTCAGCCCGCTTGAGCGCGGTGGGCCCGGTGATGGACTCTTTCGGAGGAGATATCGTACCTGACATAAGTGTCTTTGCAGTTCGTCGGAACATTCACAATCGAGCCATATGGTCAAGACTTGGTCGCTTGCTGCAAACATGGTACACCCGCGATCCGCTTCATGTTCGAGCTCCATATGCCGGTCGAGGTCTTTTTTACTTACGTCGTCCCAAAAGGGTTTGCATATTTTGCATTCTCTTTCTGCAGCTTGCTTAATACCCAACATCGTCTTGTAGTGAGGACCGAACGTCTCGCCTGATGCGAAGATCTCGTGGCATCTATCGCATATCGTCATTATTCGCAGACATGCAGAAAATGATAGCTGCACAGCTCTCGTGTGTAGGCAAAGGAAGCCCAGCCGGAGGATCCAGCAGTGACAACGGATCTTGGAAAGAACAGGCTTTGCGTGAGACAATTGAGAGCTCAGATTGAGAAAAGGTGCAGTCAGAAGAAGAGAAGAGAAGAGAAGAGAAGAGAAGAGGCCAAGGAGGTGACCTGACAGAAGATACTGCAGTGTTGCGCTCGAAGGTGGCGGAGCGGGCGGCCTCGAAGCTCGCAGTAGGAAGGTGCTGCAAGCCACCACGGCAACACCCGACGGCAGGCGCATCGGAACCCTATCTCGAACGTGCCCTGCTTTCTCGAACAGACGATAGGGCAGTGGCCTAAGCCTACGATGTTAAAAAAATTAAAGTTTCGGAAATACTATATTAGCTAACTCTTATTATATAATATAGCTTTAACATACCTACTCTTACTCTTACTACTATAATAGTACTACTCCTACTATATCTACGATCTATAATAGTATTACGCGCTACTATTATCTATATAAAGAGTTAATTAAGAGTCGCTATAGCTTAATTAATCTAGTAATAGTAGCGCGTAGCGCCCCTATTATCTTAAAAGCTATTATCGCTAATATAATATAAGTATTATAATCTAAATAATTAGGCCTTAAGAGTTAGATAGTAGAGATAATAAGATTAATACTAATAATAGTAGGGTAAGGTTCTTAAGGATTCGTACTTCTAGAGTTAACTTAGGACTCTTTATTAACCTTTTAGTATCTAAATTACTTAAATTAAAGACTTAAATATAACTCTTAGCTTATAGATCTTACTCTCTATATAAATTTTACCTATTTAACCGATCCTTAAGCTCTCTAAGAACTCTATAGCCGTCTTTTAAAGTACTACTAGCCCGAATATTTAACTCTAGAATCTAACTCTAACTCTACTATAGCGAACTTATAAGTTTTAGCGCCTATTTAGAGTCTTAGAGTATCTAGCTAACCCTATTTATAGATTCCGTAAGCTAGAGACGAAGGATTAGAGTACCTTTTAGTATATTAGTAATAAGAGTTAGTAGGAGTATTGTTAGAAAGTACAGTCCTTAGCGGCTGTACTAGATAGGGCTAGTTATATAATTTGGTTATGTGACCTATAGCTAGGAACTCCAAGTTCAGGAGGATTATATATCGCTCTAGATAATTAACTTAATTAACACATT